ACCAAATAATTTACTTACTCTGGCGCATTACAGGTTTCCGTATCTGTCAGTGTGGACTACATCACCACGACCAGCATTTCCGTGTCCACTGATATTCAAACATCATGGACCACGATCGTTTCGACTACGAGCTATCCGGTGACTACCACAGTCGTGTCGGATGTGACATATACTACAAGCTTCTGGGAGACGGTGACCACCACCACTTCGATCCCGTACACTACCACACAGTATTCCACGGCCACGGTCACTCAGGTATGTGAAAAACCTTGGTGCAGGCCTAAACCATCAGAGACCGTTAAATCTGGGATTCCGGACGACAATATGACTTTTCCACCCGGCCCACTGCATCTCCTCGAGTCATGGTGTGGAATTTAGCTAAGCAGTGTGATACATACAGACTGTTCCGACCACGACAACAGATGACTTTACTCAGACTGTTCCCACCACTGTAACAGATGACTTCACTCAGACAATCACTAAGGTAGTAACCCCCTATTTACAGTGTACCTGGCAATATTTGATCATGCTGACGCGCCTGTTTAGGACATAACCGCGACCGAGACTATCGTTCGCGTCACCACCGATACCGAAACATCTGTATGTGCTGTTGGCAATTCCTTATTCTTGTTCCAGGAGATGAAGCTAATAGAGAGCATCGACCAGGTCTCCACTGAGGTTGTGACATCTTGGACCACAATCGTCTCGACCTCGAGCTATCCGGTCCCGACTACGATTGATCATACGATAACGACCAGCTTCTGGACTACCATCTATAGCACAACGTCGATACCGTACACGGTCACTCAGGTAAGCATCGCCTCGGATTCTGTGAAATTATCACATTTCCTCCTTCGGCTTGGTCTTGTGTTCAAGGATGGGGCTGCGTTTGCGGCGTGCTCTTTGCCGCCATATTTCAGCTGTGAGAACTTTCTTGGCTAAAGTGCAATGATATCTACAGGAGGTTTCCACGACTACCACGGAAGACGTGACCGAGACAGTGACTACGGTACGTTTGCCCAACATGATACATTGGCGTATGAGGCTTACAGCTGACCTGACACCTATGGCAGACGTCCGTCGAGACAGATGTATCAACCGTGACGGATGTATCGGTAACTAGAACCCGCACAGCCTTCCAAAGATCATACGAGATCACCAAGTACTAATGTGCTATGCCATAGACTTTGACAGATGTGACAACTGCGACAGTGACATCGGTGCGTAGAGAAAGTTCCATGTTGTATTAGTCCGTTGCTAACCATGATGCACTTTAACAGACGTCGGTCTCGACATTCACTACTAGCTACCCGTATACAGTCATTTCATCTGAGACTTTCTGGACTACTTCGACGGTCACCACGTCTATCCCATACACGACCACTTTCGTGTCCACAACGACGGCAACCGACGTTTCAACCGTGACGACTACATCAGTAAGTCCTAAAGTGTCCTACAAAGCATGGAGGTCCTACAAAATACTAACTAGACTATACCCAGGTCTCAACAAGTACCTTGGTTTCCAGTTACTGGACTACCTTGACCGACACCACGACCAGTGTCTCGACTTTAGTGTCCACGATAGTCTCAGATCACTCGGTCACACTCACGACAAGCATTCCATATGTATGTCCAGACGCTTTACCCTATCAAGACTTTCCCCCAAGTTCGAGTGAATCTGACTGAAGCCTCCAGACCACGACCGCAACGCAGACCACTTCGCTCTTCACGACCGTCACGAGTAGCTATTATCAGACATTCACGACGGTAAGTTGGACACATGAAGGATCTGCTTAGAAGCGCCATAACAGACTGACCTTTGTAGACGTACACGTACGCGACTACCGATTTCTCAACCCTTCCTGGGACGACGTACACGGCGCCTGGTGTGACTGAAGTCGAGACGGTGCGTAGCCACTTATTTCAGGCGAATTGGGGATGCTGATTTAGGAACAATATAGTTCACCCAACCGGGCCAGACGATCACTCAACCTGGTCAAACAGTCACTGAACAGGGCCAGACCATCACTCAACCTGGCCAGACCGTCACTGAACCGGGCCAAACTGTCACTGAACAGGGCCAGACCATCACTCAACCTGGCCAGACAATCGTTCTGCCAGGCACGACAATAATCGAGGTAGTGACGTCTTCGGTACCTCCAGTTACAACCACTCTCGTTGAGCAAGGGTCGACTGTCACGACGACCTTGCCAGGGTCGAGTATCACTGTGACGCGAACTGTAAGTGGGGGTATCTTCAACTTGTGCTCTCTGGGGCCAGAAGCGCTGATTCGGTGTGTCCTCTCTAGGTGACCCAAAATCCAAACACTATCACTGAGCCGGGTCAGACGATCACGTTGACTTCGACAGTCATCGAAACGATCAAGAGCTGCGCTGTCTCAACTGCAACTAGCGCTGCACTTGTAGAGGCCACGGCTGTCCTGAACCCCCGATCCGACCTGACCTGGGGCTGTGCGCCGTCACTGAACTGCAACCCGCCCAAGCCAGACCACTGTGATGTGTACGATAATCCACCTGACGCTAATTACATCTGCGAGCCGCAGAATTGCAAGCCCATCGGAGATTACCGGAACGTAACTTGGAACACAAACGAGACCGGCTACTACCCACTCAGCGAAGGCTACTTCGTGCTGAACCCCAACGCGTTCGGTTTGAGTTTCAACATCTTCTCCGAGGAGCTCATTGTCGAGATAGTCGATGGCGTGACCACTACTGTCACGACAGGCACCTGGGCCTCTCAGACATCCATCACTGAATTTACCATCTCGGGCGCGTCATCGACAAGTTCAGCTGAGAGCTCAACAACTACCGACCTCTGGTGGAGTGTGAAGCGCAGCTACGTCAGCAAGAAGAAGAGGGCCATGCTTCTCAAGAAGGACCTCGACGTGAACACCCTTCCGGCCGTGTGCTACTCCGAGTGCGGGAACGCCTTGTCCGAGGCGCAACAAGTTGGGAAAACAGAGGGCCTGTGCGCTCCCGATTCGGCCTTCAACAAGCTTTACAATGGCTGCCTCGAATGTGTGGACGCCAACGGCTCCACTGGCAAGGTGACTGACAAAACCTACCTCACTACCCAGTTCTCACAATGGGAGAACTTCTGCAACCCATCTGGTGCGACCAACCCCAGCACGTCCACTTCTCCAGCTGCGGAGGAGTCAACAAGTGCAAGCGTCGTAACCTCGGCACAACAGACTGGCAGTGCATCAGGCTCAATCGTCATTCTCACCTCGTCGGCCTCGGCCGGCACCTCGTCAGCCAGCTCGGCCAGCGCGACTTCAGGATCCGGTACGTCAACGGCCTCGGGCGAATCCTCCTCCGGCTCGGCAAACACCGCCTCTGCGACAGGTTCCTCGACTAGCAGCCCCAGTAGCAGCGTAAGCTCAGCAGTCAGTTCAGCAGCCAGCTCAGCAGCCTCGACTGCAACTGGATCTGAGTCCTCGGCGTCTCTCACTTCTGGCTCCAGTGCCTCGAGCGGCTCAGCAGCGGGGACGGCGACTTCAGGAACTGCTGCTTCAGGAACAACTGGTTCAGGCACGGCTACGTCAGGCACTGCAAGTTCAGGCACCACGGTCTCATCGGCGAGCTCTGGACAGTCGGCCAGCTCAGCACCATCGGCAACCGGATCTTCGTCTGGCACCTCGACGGCGGCAGCCTCAGGCTCTGAGACTACGGGGGCCCCAAGCTCGACCATCACCACAAGCACAACAGGCACTGCTTCTTCTAGTTCGTCGAGTGGTACTGTCACTGCTGGTACTACCAGACTTCGGCGGATGGGTGGTTCAAGCCTCAGCGCGCTTTTGCCGCTGATGGCTTGGTTCTTCCTCGTCTAGACACAAAATGCCGTCACCGCTTCTTCTCATTTTTTGGTCTAAATTTTTATTCTTATACCTTCTCTTCTTGATTTCACGGGCTCAACCATACGGCTTTCTAAACGCTCCTTTACAACATTAATGTCTTTTGCTTAAAACACCCATATTTGCATATTAACGACGATCCTTACGAACATCACGAAACGACACGCTCATTTTTCAAACGACGGCGAAAGACAAAAGAAAAAGTCACGACCCTTTGGCCTTTAGGTGAAAAAAAAAAGACTTGCATTTGCGAACTCTTCACGACATTCATTTAGAACCGGAACGGGATGGGATGGACAGCGTTCCAAGGCCAATACCTGCATTTACAATAACAGGATGATGGACGAGAAAGTTTTATGATACCCCTTAACGACGCTCCTTTGGATAAAAATTAGTATAGATGGTGTCTTCCCCCCCTTGCCTTCTTTATTGGCGATAGCCTTGGGATCATTTGAAGATGGATTTTGGGGGGTTTTCCAGGTTAAATTGATGCTTCTTCTGAAAATGTTGTGATGAATGGATGGATGGGAATATTGAGGATGATAGAAATTTGGACTGGGTAAAGTAATCATGGGTTTGGAGAGCTTTCTCCCCCTCTTTTTCGTCCTTACCTCCTTCTGGGCACTTTTATAATGAGTTGCAGAGAGGGATGGATGGTGAGGGCTGAGGACAAACAGACCTTCGGCCGGGAGATCTAATGATGTTGGGAAAGGACGGATGGCTTTATCATTCTATATATCACCACGTTATACTGCAAGCAAGCAGTGTTGAATAATAAAACTTTTGTATTTCTTGGACCGCTTTCGGAACACCCCCAAATATAGGTATATATATTTATATTTTGTTCTCTTCATCAAGAGGCAGTAAAAAACGTGTTCTGGGTATCTGAATTCTAATACGAAACGACAGACGCTATGCATACCACGCACGACAACCACAGGGAACTTCTCCTTATTCCCATACAGAAATTAGGTCCAAAAACTCATTACTCCCCTTCTTCGCTTATGACTTGCTTCTCCTCCTTTGGCCCGGCGCTGTCTCCCCCCTTCTTGCCGGCAGTGCCTGTCAGCTTGTCCAGGCTTAGTCTCGGCATTGAGATGCTCTTCCTTCCCCCCTCCTGCTCCTCCTCCTTTTTGGCCTCTGCCTTCTCGGCCTCCTTCTGGTTCTGCTTCTTCACCTTGTGCATGGCCTCTTCGGTCAGCTCCTGCCTCGTCATCCTCTCAATGACGTCCTTCTTCCGCGTGCGCTTGTCCCCGATCCAGATCAACAGTCCTGCGGTGGCGTTGGCGGTGATAGAGCAACACAGGATGACGGTGGTGAGGGCGAAAGGCCTGTCCTGGTAATTGATGCCGTACGTGACTGAGCCCAGCGAGATCTGTAGACAGCTGTGCAGGTCGAGCAGTACGGTGATGGCGACTAGGAGCTTCAGGGGAAAGGCGTAGTGGGTCTCCGTCTCGTGTGGGCGATAGAAGGTGTGTGACTTGGCGTATTTCTCGGAGTGGTGGGTGAGCCTCTCCTGCTGCTTCGGATTGAGCACCGAGAACTCCTCGCCGGGCGCCAGCGAGCGGATGCTAGCCGTGTCGGGCGCGGACTCGAGGTCGGGCAGCACAGCCTCGGTGGGCAGGTCATTATGGTCACGCAGCTCCGGCAAGAGGAGCTTCTCGCGCAGCTTCCAGCTCACACGGTCTAAAAATTGCTGTCAGTCTTTTGTCACAAGGTAGAGAAGTGTCAGTAGGCAGCAGGGTGGTGCTTACGGTAGTGGGCGATGAAGATCATGTGATATGTGTCGACGGCGCGGAAGGGTGCCAAGCCGTCGCCGACGATGGCGAAGAGCGCCACCAGAGTGTAGTCGATGATGTTGATTAGATAGAGCTGCTTTCCCCCCACGTTGATCCAGCCGATCAGAAACAAAACCCAGGCTAGACCAAAAAGCGTGATGAGTGTGGCGTAAAGGGTGACGAAGAATCCCAGCGGCCGACGGACGTAACTGCCGAAACCTTTCAAGCCACGTTTGAATTTGGACCGGCGGGAGTGAAGCATGTGGCGGACGTGGTCGTTCAGCTGGTCGACCTCCTCCTTGGTCCAGCCCTCAAGCGAGGCGCCGTGGGGAAGAACGGCATAGTGAGTGTCCTCGATTTCGGACGTGATGCTATACGCGCGGCCAGCAGAGGGCCGTTGTTCCTGATCTGTGGGGTGCGACTGATGCTCCGCAATGCTCGCAAGCGACTCTGGGAAATCTCCAGGCACGGGCGGCGGCCCCCAGGCAGAGACATTGTATGTTGGTCGGCGGTTGACCCATCGGCCGAGACTTGGTATGAACAGTGAGTTCTGGAGGTTGGTGATGGACGTCAGAGTGGAGACCTCTGGATCGACAACGTCGAGAAGATCGACGATTCTTGAGTCGTACACGGACTCCTGGTCGGCAGCGACCTTGGAGTGTGGCTGTTGTTGGGTCTGCTGTTGCTGCTGCGATTGTTGCTGATGTCTCGTTGGCAGGCGTGGAAGCCAAGACGGCCTCCGTCCCCTTGCCTTGGCAGCCTCTGGAGCCTCTGGCACGGCGGGGAGCTGAGGTGGAGCAGCGCCGCCGCCATGAGGCTGCTGTGTAAGCCATGTCGGTCTGTCAGGCTCTGAAGAAGATCTTCTGCGCCCATCCGCATCACGACTGGCCGTCTGTCGCCCTTGGTCTTGAGACGGGGACTGTTGTTGTTGTTGCTGCTGTTGTTGCCAGTCATTCGCGACGCGTGCCATTCCAAGGCGAGACGGGCGCGTACCGAGTCTTCGCAGACCGATGGACGACTGTTGACGGTTGACCGTGCGGCCACCACTGCCTCCATTGGGTCCTGGACGAAGTCTCGAGACGGCTGGAGGTCGTTCTGCATTGGCATTCTGGGAATTCTGAGGAGCACTTCTTGAAGGGGTCAAGTGCGACATCTGATGGGCACCAGGGGAACCAGAGTACGGCTCCCCGCCAGATGGGCCTGCAGGTTCCAAGGCCATGGCAACAAGCAATGCTGTAAAGCAGAGAACGAGGAAGGATGGAAAAAGAAAGAAAAAAAAAGAAGAAAGAAAGAATTATGCAAAGGGAGAGGATGAGACTGCGACCCAGATTGCGGTCAGTGTTTCGGGTTCAAACCAGCAGCAGCAGGGGTAGATAAGCCATATGATGAGGAATCTCCTGCACGGGAGGTAGCGCAAGTGATAGTGAGAGTGACATGCTGGCGGAGCCCTCCTCTTCCGATGGGATCGGAGTTGCGTTATAGGTGTGTGCTATGGAATTGTGTGGGCTGGATCCCAGCGCTGCTGAACAAGATGAAGGAGGAGAAGGAAAAGAGGTTGGTGGATCCCACTGGCCATGCTGGGTGATGTCATGTTTGGTCTGGCCACAGAGAGCTGAGGCCTTGTTTCTTGATTTGTGGCGCCCGACACAGCGGCTACTTGCAGGCTTCCAGGGCAGGTTCCACAGACGCTCCACAGGTGACGATAAGCCTTCGTGGCTTTCTGTCTGACTCAGCATCAGCAGCCACTTCAGACGTCAATTACAATATTTTGTTCCATCGTCACTCAAGTGTGCTACTCCTGCATTGGCGGTATTTTATTCCGTATACAGCACTTATCCACAGTACTAGGCAAGTATGCCTATTGTAGTACAGCACAGTACCAAATGTCTCTGTACACCCTCGATCGTTCTGGTGCTCCCACCACTCACTCACAAGTTCATTACAGCATGCATGCATGCATGTACTATAGTACCTAATTACTTACAACATGGATTGCAACGGCATCAATTTGAATTTTACCGTCAACCTACAATGTTGGGCCCCTTGCTCCCCTCAATTCCCTTCTCGTCCCCATCCTCTTCCTTTACAGCATCTCGACTGACTCCTCCCGTCTCCTCTTCTACTTTCTCTACCTACAATATAAACACTACAGTAGGACCGACGCCTGGCTATCCCGGCACGGCCCGTTGATGGCATTCAAGACTACTTTGGTTCAAGAGTACGGACTGCCAAAGCAGGGACGGCGCGATCCTACTCTGTGCTGCATGCTACTAGTGTAGTATGCAAGCATCGTCGTCGCTCTAGCGTCGTCCCGCTCATCGAATTCTCCGAGTGTTGAAACGCCGAGCCCATTACGACCACATGCGAGACGTGGTATATACACAGATTCTTAAGGCGTTGGAGTACTTTTCACACCTCCCCAACAGTAGCAGGACATACACAACGCGATCAATCCAGGCACACCAACCCGACTGGTACAGAAACAGACTGCTCTGCCACTGACCAAGAAGAGAACGTGGGTTTGACCAATGGCCCAAGGGGGCAGGATGAGCACACCGAAACTTTTCGTCACGTGCATAATGCCCAGAGAGTCATCTTGACAAGAATATATATATATATATATATATATATATATAAGATCCCCTTAAATAGCACGATCTAGCCTGTGTAACACGTCTACACAGAGCCAAAAGAGGCCCTTGCTCTACATATATAAACTACTACATCGAACCATCCCTACGCGCTGACGTCTTCGCTTGATAGTCAATCATCTCTGTTGATCTTTTTGTCTTCATTGTTGGCAATAATCTGGTGGATATCCTTGATCCAGATCCATACGCCTCCATATCTACAAGAGCTGTTTCTAATCATGAACAAATTGTCCTGCTTCACTCTGAATGTTGTCCGCGAGCATTCTCCACAGAGAAGGGCATATTACTCGTTCTTTCCTCGCAGATCATTGACAGGGGACGAGAGAGTTGTCATTTGGAGAACCACAAAACAAAGCAAAAGCATAATCATTGCAATTCAGTCGTACTGAAGCCTCACCACGTGATGAGCTACAATGAAAAGTGCAAATGCCTGGTCCGCCACCACACCAGGAAACGCCGACCCAATTCTTGCCGGCCCCTCAAAACTTGGACTTCATCCAGCCCAGAACACTGACTGCAGCCGCTAGAACACCAGCACCGACGGCCTGGACAGCACCAGCAACCGTCGCAGCTCCAGCTCCTCCCATGGCGGCGCTCTGGACGACGGCGAAGGTGCTTCCAGCTGCCACGTTGCCGATGCCCGCCTGGACGCCCGCAGCGAGCGAGCCTGCTCTCGATAATTCCAGCATCAGCATCCATGCAAGAAAAATCCCAGAGGGAGAAGAAGCCACACGTACCGGCGACGGGGCCTGCGTTGCTGAAGCCAGCAGCCGCCAGGACAGGCGCAGCAGCAGCCATCGGAGCAATGATGAAGACGACGGCCCCGACGCCGACCACTGCTCCAATTGTGGTGCATGGATTGGCCGCGACCCGCTTTGCCATCTACGTATTTCGTCGGCTAATCAGTACAATATCTGGCGTGGTTGCCTTTCACATTTGGGGGAGAGGGGGTGGGGGGTTGTGATCGTAAGGGAGGCTTGCCTGGCGGGCAGCACGGCACGCCGCGTTGGCAATCTTCTTGCCATTTTTCACGACGCCTACGAGGCTTGCGAGGATCGCCTTTTTGACGCGCTTCAAGGCGACGAGAATCGCGTGCGTTGCCTTGCTCATGGTTGATTCGTTGATGATTCGTACTGGGAAGGGCTGCCTTGGGTGTACAGTTGGGCAGATGAATGTATGAGGTGGTCTGATTTGACGACGGTTGAGTAAAGGAAAAGAAAGAAGAAGAAGGAAATTGCGTGACGGTTCGGGCGGGGTAGAAGTAAGGAATAGCTTGAGACTGTGGTGAACGTTAGGCGGTCGGTGTCGCAAATTGCCTGGTAGGCCTCCTGCAGCCAACACGTAGCCAGCCACGGTTGCATGGCGCCTAGGTACGGGTGTGTGAAGGCTTCACTCGAAACTGCTCAACCTCGGGTTTGTGGAGGACGACAACTTTGAAACTGTCAGAAATGGTCAAACAGATACCTTCGTGTATTGTCTCGCAAACAAAAACAGAACACGGTCCATGGTTCACTCACTTACCGGATAGGATTAACCACACGCGTATGGAGGGCTCATTGGGTATCGTGTTATTCGAGAGAATATATGCCTCCAGACTATAGTTTGACTATTTTCTACTTCCAGACTTCTTCTTGATCGAGCTGACGAGACTGCTCAAATCATCGCCTCCACCACCAGCTTTCACCTTTTTCGACTTCTGATCTCTTCGCCTCTCGCTGCCCGCCTCATCACCGCCGTGCTTCCGCTTCCTCCTGCCCTCCTCCAACATGCTCTTCATGCCTACGGTACCTTTGAACTTAGGGTTGGATGGATCAATGGCAAACTCATGATCCTCAAAGACAGCCTTGAAGCGGTCGTTATGGACATCCATCCGGAAGTCATCCTGCAGGTCGGCCGCGGTTTCTGTGTCCTTCCTGCCCTTCTTGCCCTTCTTCTTCTTGTTCTTCTCGGCCTTCAGGATCTCGTTCATGTCGAAGTGGTCCAGGTGGCCAGCCCCCTCGTCAGGGTTGTCTGCCATGAGGAGTTGCAACTGGGCCTTCTCCTCTGCATTCTGCTTCTCCTCGGCCTCCCTTGCCTCGCGCTTCTTCCGCCGTTCTTCCTTGTTCATGGCAGATTTTGACTTCTTCTCGGGCTCTTCGGCTGTGAAGAATGGATCGTCGAAGCCAAGATCTTCCTGAGGCCCCTCTTCGCTTTCTGTCTTGGCGCCTTGTCTGTTTGCTAGGGCTTGCTCTTTCCGCTTAGCCTTCCTCTCACGCTCCTTGCGGATGTATTTCTCTGCGGTCGTTTCCTCTCCCGGCGCCTTCTTGCGCGTATCCTCGGTAAGTGCTGAAGTGAATGTGATCTGCATGTCTCCTACAGGACCGCCTGACTTGGATGACTTGCCCGAAGGCTCGTCCTTAAAGCCGAGTGCCTCTCGCATCTTCTTGCGAGCAAGTTCCTTCTTGCTCAATTTTGGGGCATCGGAGGCGCCCACCACGCCCTCTCCGTCTTCTTCCTCATCCTCCTCGTCCTCGCTGCCACTGGCTAGGTATGCTTTGATGTCATTCTCCGCAATGCCATCCCTGCTGCCACTGAATGCATTTTTCATAATCTCTTTGCGGTTGGTATCCTCTGGGTGCATGTCCCAGGTCAGCTTGACCTTGGAATGCTGCAGGGCATCCGTCACAAATTCGACAGGCTTGTAGTTTTTGGGCACGCTCTTGCATTCATCCCGAGGTTCGTCGTCGAACGTGACGTCGTCCGGCACAAATCGTAAGTCGAGGAAATTGGACGACGACAGGTATTCCGAACCGTCTGTTTCCTCGTAGATCTTCTGCGCAGTGTTCTTATCTGAGCAGATCATGACTGCGTAGTAATACCGGAGCCTGTCCAGCTGATAGGTCCGCAGTGCATCGCTGTCGAAATCCTCGTCGTTCTCCTCCTTGAAAAGGTCGTTCTTGGCCTCCTCGTCACTGTCCTCGCCATCGTCTTCCGGCTCCTCCTCGTCGTCTTCGGAAGTTTCGTCGTCCTCATCGCCGCTGCTCTTCTTGAAAATCTCCTTGGGCGGCCCCTCTAGCTCTTCGCGCTGCATTCTCTCCTTACCAAACTCAGAGGGATAGATGGAGACTTTCTCTATACGCCCGCCGAGTGGGACGAAGCTATTGCACAGAGCCATCAAGTCGACGGACTTGATGTTGTCCCAGTCGAGGTTGACGATAGCTATGCGATTTGTGATTTCACCGGTTTCGACCTCGGCCTGCTGGGTCCGGTATTGCTGCATATCTGGTGCGTTATCAACCTCCTCTTCCGAGTCGTCATCGTCGTCCTCGTCTTCACTTGAATCAGAGTCAGATTCGGACGAGGAGAAGCCGCCGCCTCTCGCAGGATCATATTTTGTCTTGGCCTTCTCTAGCTCCCGCCTGACCACGTCGTCTGCCTCGACCTCTACGTCGTCATCGTCATCATCCTCGGCGTTCTCCTCTGCTTGTTCATCTTCATCCTCCTCTTGATACAGCCTCTGCAACGCCTTCCTCTTGGAGTCGGACTTGATCTTGCGGCCGTAGCGGTCGGTCTTTGCAGTCGAGGTGAAATCGTCATCCTTGAGCATGCGCGAGAAACGCTTGTCGATGGTGGTCTTGGTCTTGCGCTTGGAGGGGAGGGCATAACGAGGGTCGGTCTCGAAGCTGGCGAAGCGCGCGTCGGTGATTTTCGCTGAGGGGGCACCATCTCGCCCCTTGGCTTTGGTTTTCTGTTTGGAAGACATCTTGATGATGTGTACTTGGGGCAGTCAATTTGAGAACAAGGCGACCTTCTTAATGAAAGAATTTCGCCAGTGGTTTGTACCAAGCTGCAGGCGAAAAAGCCAAGGTTCCAATATTTTTCTTCTCTTTGTAAATGTTCTGCCGTCTCTATATCAAGCCACGCTAATCCATGTATGGAAAGCGGTCAGTGATTTGACTATAGATATCATGGTACAATCCTTGCATATCCCCGCCCTCCCAATCTTTTGGTAGAAACTGAACCTGAGGATTTCCCGCATGAGCATCCTTGACCCTTGGTGGTTGCGCTTTCCAGTGGCCATAACTTCCTGCTAGACGAGATGAGAATAGTCTCTGCACTAAACATAATTGATTGCTCAATCAAATAGAAGCTACTACCAATGCGTCATTCTTTTTCCACCTCAATATGGTCACTTCTTGACACGATGATATGATGAAGCAGCCATCTCGTTCAGTGCAACTTGCCCCCAAACAGCTTTTCTCCACGCTGCGATTTATTAGAGTCGTTCGTTTTCTACTGGAATCTACCAGACAGACAGTCCACCATCTCACCCATCTCATGACGCCTATCCGCCAAACAGGCTATCATTCGCCCTGTTGGCGGTGGAAGAAGTCATGTCTCGAGATGCTGAATAACATATTCAAGTCCTTCATGAGCCACGATTACCCACTAGCTTTTGTCTGGCAAGAAGGCCCTGGAGGAGACGAAGATTCTTCCGAAGACCGTCCCGAACGGGCCCGAGTCCAACACGACGACCGGCTCGAAGAGAGAAGGAAAGCCAGACCAGGACTGCTGTCAGACCCATCGATAACAACAGCCGCCCAAGGATTGATTTGCGCCTCTTATGGGCTTGCCCCTAATTACGACCATTAGTAAACATGCAACGCTACTAACGTCACTTGGAAGAAGGCCGTTGGGGGAGTACCACTTACTCTGAACTGCCAGTCTCTCCACACTGGGAACAAGCTACGCCACCAATAATGGCCTTGTGTCCAAGGATAGACTGCCATATTCCACTCTTTACCATTGTCCAGCTTCGAGACGTACCAGCTTCCACATCCAGTTGCTAGCACTGTCTTGGATAGGGCGTCCTGCATCTTATACACATACTTCTGCTCCGCGTCAAACGACAGCTCTGCTGTGGTGCCTTGGCCATCCAACAGCGGCTTGATCACCCTGAGGGCATAGTTGATGGAGTTTTCTGAGGCCATGATGGCTGATGTGTGACCAGTTAGGGAGTTGGGTCCTGAACGGCAAAGTTGTCAGCCTTGGCCCAGTGTCCTCAGACGAATTTCAAGCGGCCACACAGGGCCTGCGCCGACTTACCCAGGATAGCAAAGAAGTTGGGGAATCCACTCATAACAGAACAGTTATACGCCTCGGGCCGACCAGCAAACTTTGCCCAGTGGTCCTTGATCGTCTCTCCATTGACACCGATGACCTCCATGGGAGACATGAAGTCTTCCGTCTCAAATCCATTGCAGGCGACGATGACATCCGCTTCGATGAGTCGCCCATCTACTAGCCTCACGCCCTCGGCCACGATCTTTTCCACTGCGGTATCCGTCAACTCGAGGTTCTCTGCGTGAAGAGACGCCAGATAGCCCGGGTCAAAGATCCTTCTCCTGCATCCGACCTCGAAGTCCGGGATCAGCATGTCATGATACTTGGCTGGCGCCATCTTGCGCATATAGTCTTCGGCCTGCTTCGTCACTTTCTTGCGGTATCGGTTCCCGTCCCAGTTCGTATAGAAATACCTCAGCTGATCTTCGGCAAACGCGAAGATAGCGAAGCGTGAAAGCCTGCCCATGATGGGGTTCTTCAAGATCGCCCGGGTGTTGTCATCGATCGCCTGATCGACGCCTGGGAGGATCCAATGCTTGGTCCGGACGATGTGCGTCAGATGCTTCGTCTGGCCCACAATAGCCGGCACGACCTGTGCGCCTGTGCAACCGTTCCCAAAGACCACGACTCGTTTTCCTGTCAGGTCCAAATCCTCTGGCCATTCCGCGCTATGAGAGACGCGGCCCTCGAAGCTTTCCAAACCTGGGACGTCCAGCTTCTTTGGGCGCACCAGCTGCCCCGTCGCGCCGAACAAGAACTGGCACTCATGGAGGAACTCGTCTCCGTTCTCCAACCTCTCCACGGTCAGTCGCCATCTGGCCCTCTCTTCAATCCACTCCGCCTTCTTCACCTCCGCGCGGAACGTCATGCGGGGACGCAAGTCATATTTGGCTGCGACACGGTCCAGGTACTCCCACAGCTCGACTGATGGCGGCAGGACCCTCGACCAGTCCGGGTTCGGCTCGTAGGAGAGAGAAAATAAAGCGCTGGGGATGTCGCATGCGCAGCCTGGGTAACGGTTCGCGAACCAGGTACCACCGAGATCTTGGTGGCGCTCGAAGAACTGCACGTCGCTGATGTCGTACCATCGCTTGAGGGTTGCGCCGAGGCCAATCCCTGAGAAGCCAGTGCCAATACAGGCGAACTGCGTATAGCGACAGCCTTCTCCTGCTTTGTCGGTGTCCGTCATGTTTGCGAGGAGACAAAACCCCTAGTGATTGGAGAAAGGGGTGTGTGTGTGTGTGTGTGTGTGTGTGTTGTCGTTCTGGGCTCACGGTCTCTCGGCAATGGTGTTATGCGGACATCTGGCGATGTTCCACTACTACTCGCAGGTGAGGGCGTTGCAACCGAGGTATGCTGCCAGTTTGGACTTTACCGAACAAAGTTCGGTAATATAAGGGATAATATGCATGAGGAGATGGATCCCGTTCATGTCACTTCAGCAGGGGGTGGAGCATAGCACCCAAGGGCCTGGCGCTGGTCTACAATGCTGGCTTCAAAAGTGTGACTGCGGTGAAGGGGTCAGGTGTGCTATTTTTCGGATCGACATACTACTAGGGTATGTATACGTTCCGAGAACCTGAGGAGGGGGTTGCATTCGAAGATGTTAGCTCGAGCATGATGGTATTGCCTCGCCACCGTCACCGGCCCGTTCAACGCAAGCAACTCGAAATTGAGCGTCTATTCGTCGTAGTCTGTCAATTTACTTACAAAGTAGGCCTCGAGCTTTATGGTAAACTGTCTAGACTTTTGTTATGTTTAAGCCTCCACTGATCCTTTGCCAAGACGCTGCAAGCCCCCTCCTCCCAAAAAGCGCATCGGGTCAATTGTCCTCCGGGGCCTATCCGGACATTTGTGGCAGGCCGAGCAGATCCGTCCGCCTTGGGATTTTGGGCCGCGCTCAGTACTCACCACCAAGACGGATGGGATTTGGCCCGGGGACAGTCGGCCTTGTGGGAAGAATCTCAGCTAGGGCTGCTATTATTGTGTCAACAGCGTCGAGCATATGAACATGAGGCTCGAAAGGGGACGGTGCTGAGATTATTATATTAATCGAGTGACCGCGCTCACCGTGTCTGGGTTTAATTGAGAAGTTTATCAGTAAAAAGAAGAAGAAAATATTCATTCAATCCAGCTTCGAAGTTCACAATAATTGCATTACAAAACTCAAAACACAATTACTCTTCTGTCCATCACCAAATCAGCTAGCCAAGATGATCGATCACACACAGATGTGCGTTGCCGCAGAGGACCACAAAGCCACTGTGGCCTTCTACGAAGAAGTTCTCAAACCCATTGGCTACGAGAAGCTCCTAGTCTTCGGCCCCAACGGCGAATACGTCGGTTTCGGCGACCGCGGCATGCAACACCACCAAATGCATACGGACTGGTGGATCATTTCCAAGCCAGAGAAGACCCCCAAGACTCACCATGCATTCCGCTGCAAAGGTTCGTTGATTATTTCATGGCTCGGACACACTCAACTCTCCTATAGACTTTCCGGGCTGACTGGTCAAAACACAGATCGCGCGGCTGTGGATACATGGTATGAAGCGGCCATCAAGGCTGGCGGGAAGGACAACGGGAAGCCTGGGCTGAGGAGTCATTATCATGCTAATTACTACGGAGCGTTTGTGATTGATCCTGCTGGCAACAATATCGAGGCTGTCTGTCATGATCCTCAGTAGGCGGATAGGGGTGGTATTGTTTGTTCATTTATGTATCTGATCTGATTGGTACTTTTTGGAGGGCACGCTGCTTGCGAGGTACCCAAGATCGCCTGGGGACTCATCATATAAGTTTACATGTGCATGAATGCAATCACAACATACATCACTTTTGATACCGTATCAGTCAATCTGAAAAAAGGAGGAGGGAAACAAAGAACAAGCAAAAAAACGCCATCGAAAAATCTGAGCGCCCTCCCTCCCACTGTTGCGAGCTACCTTTCAAGGCACGTCATGAACCAATTCCAATCCTCGTCAATAAGCAGGACGGTTCAACATGTCCTTGATTGCCCCCCTCAGACCACCAGTGCTACCACGACGATTTGGATAGTCCATCCTATTTGTCACCTCTGAACCACCGGCAGGATAACGCGTCGTAGCGATGCGGTTGTTGCGATCTGGTGAGAGACGGGGGAAGCTCTGATTAGCACGTCTGCAGAACGACACACACACACACACTCTCTCTCTCTCCCTTCCCCAACATGAGGAATAACTCACTGCTGCGGTCCTGTCTATCGGCGTCGAGAACGGCCTGAAGTTTGGCCTTGGCTTTTTCCGAAGCGGTAGGCATGGTTGAATGAGATGAGATAATGGGAGGGTCTCTCCTTCAGTATCTGTGTGTTGTGTTGTGTAAATGTATGAGATGATTTCTTTCAGCAGTTTGGTGTTCTGCTTGTTACTTCAAGTTTTCTTCTTCTTCCTTTGATGGTGATTAGTTCTGCTTTTCGCGACGTACAACGGGCGTTCCGCTCTCATATAGGATCACTAGGTCTTTGATTTTCCCCAATTCTGCTGTGTGCCGCATGCCTCCTCACAATGATATCACAGTCGACAACATGGGACAAGATCGACGTTGCGGCACAGGAAACCGTCCAGTCAGCTACCAGCCTTTGAAATTCTACCTCGAGACGAGTGTGACTTGATCGAGATCCGTATCTTATTAAGACTCAAATGCTCAAAGGAGCGGGAAGAGCGGGAACAACCACCGACGTTGCTATGTGATGCCAGCTAGTTCCGTTTTCATCACCTGAAGCTACTTACATTTCAGGCGAAGCAGAAGCATGCTGCGCGGGGAGAAAAGCCACTTCTTTCCTAGCCTTCCACTTCATGTCAAAACCTCGACCCGACCCGTCTTGGTCTGGGTCCGGAGAAGCAACGCCAGGAGCAGAGCCTCACATACGTGGCCTCGGGAACTCAGTACGTACCGAGTGGAAGTTCTTTGTTGCCGCTGCTCAGGAACAGGTCCTGGAGGCGTTGAATAGCAGAGTGGTAATATCAGTGGGGAGGACGAGGATTGCCCGAACCTGGCAAGCTTCAAGTCGATGCTCAAGCTCTCCTTGATATTGCCGCGCGTGGTCTTAGACTACGTTACGTCCTCTTCGACCTGCGTATGCTTGCTTCCTGCATATGTGGCGTAAGTCCATCAACACATCTGGTCAAATTCTCGTCAGCCACCATGACGCCTGAATGGCTTCCCCGACGAGAACCCGTACCTGTCAACTCAGACTCAGTCTCTGTAGCAGTGAGTCACCTGGACAGTAGAAGTCCTCTTGCCTTCCCTCTATAGGGGATCACATCAATGTTCACACACGTGGATGATAAGTTGTGGTCGTTGTCTAGATTGAACGGGGCCTTGGGAAAGATCTCCGAGAAAGTTACCGAGAATGAGGTCAACTTTTGTTTTTTCCATCGATGGTTTGGATAGATACGAAGGCGGCCACGATGATCATTTCCGACTGATTCGTCCACAATTCTGCTACTTGCTTGTTTATCCACCTACTCAGGTTCTCAAGTTGCATAAATGCTAATACTTCTTTTGAGTTTGTTCTTTTGGGGGGAGGGACAGTATCGGACAATAAGTAAACTGGCCGCATCTCCTCATATCAGAATTTGCCTGTCAAGCAGACTATGGAACGTATTCGAAGAGGCCTTCGGCAGAAAGCCCAAAATATACATCCATGAGTTGACGCGGAACGACATCAAGAACTACGCTGCCGGCCGCCTACAAGAACACCCGAGATGGCCTGCTATTTCCGATTCTGCCAGCGGCCAATGGTTGGTTGACGAGATTGCAGAACGCTCATCGGGCGTATGCTCTGGGTGTCCTTGGTGACAAAGGTGCTACGCGAGGGGATGACGAACCGCGAGAGTTCGGGCCAAGCAGCCCAGAATCTTCAATGGCAGTGGTATTACGACGGTCACGATACTCACCCCTTCGAAGCTAAGAAAGTCTGTCAACGGTGCCCAGATCATCCCAAAGGCGAGGAAACGGGGTAAAGACAAACTTGAGCGGCATCCACAAGGTACACCAGCCAAAAGATGCCGACAGGATTAGTTTCCCCCCCCCCCCCCCCCAAAGAAAAAACAAAACCACACACACACACACACAGGGATTCTAAGCTTGTGGTGGCCCATGTAGTACTTGTTTTGAAATTCACGACCACCCGAAGATACCAACTACATTTGGACAGATCCCGAAAGGGCGTGCATGTGCTGTCGATGCTTGGACTTGTACTTCACCCCCATACCATCGGAAGAAGAGACACACAAGATATTGTTGTAAAGATTGGTGCTGTCCTGAACGATAGAATATTTTTTTTAAGTTGGTACACATCTGGCCAGATACTTTAAGTAAACAGGACGTCATCGCCGAGTATGCCAGCCGTCCTAATAAGGCTTGCGAGACTATCGCCCATGCCAACGGTGCGGTCTCGTAGCACACATGGCCTGAATCAGACAATCAGCACGCGATCCAAGGAAATGAACAGGCAGGGCCACATTGAACCCAATGAAACATCATAATAAGGATTGAGCGTCTCTTACTATTAATGATAGTGGAACTGTCACCAAGAAACTCACTCCCAACCAGCACCCAGCAAGGCAGCGTGAAGAACTCACGTAGACATCTCGCGACTCAGTCTGATGCCAAGACAGCTATGGAAATAAGGATGGTCAGCAGGGATGTTTTGCTCTTCAGGGCTCACTGATTGTTGGAGGTAGTCATTGACATGTGGTCAGCATGTGGAACATCCATGTATATTTATTTATTGACACCATCGTTAGATTAGAGGTTGAGCAATAATAATACGGACATGAGAGGCAGAGAAAGGAACGAGGGGCGCAGGTATGAGCAGTCAGCATACAATGGGTCGACGATGGAAACTGTTTCAGCACAGATGATTAAGATGTAGACTCGGACAATCTAGCTCGCATTTGACAAACGGTGGTCCGAAAGGAAGTTTCATCCAGAGTATATCAGCTATACTGATCCTTCGTCCCTCAGACTATCAGCTTGAACAACATACGTAATCCGTCAATGTGGGTCAATGAGGGTTTAAAAAATGGACAGCACAGTTAGTACGAGGGATGGCAAAGAGGTGGTGGGTGGGGGGGGGGGGGAGACGCTGAGAGTCGGGGGCCGGCTTCGAAACGTGATGGTGGTGAGAACATCGGACGTTCCTACATGGGGCGTATTTATCTTCCTGTACTATAGTAGATGATCCCAGTAGTGAGTGGTGGTGGTGGCTTCGAGTAGCCAACGACCGGTGGAGAAACCCATGCAAGCGGTAAGCCACCAAGTAGGCAGTGCTTACCAACGGTAGGACGCCCACGCGTTGCCCGCTCCAATCATGGATAGGTCTTGGATCGAATGAACAACAGCAGCGAAGGCTACTTCCATCGGCACCGAAATACGAGATAACCTTGTTTTTGTGTATGTTGTGTGTGTGTGTGTTTGTATCGGGCAATACACCACACCGAGGTTGAACCTATTGCTTACTTTACGAGATCTTGGGGGAGATGGCTCCTATGAGATGGACGCCATGGATGCTTGGAGAAGAGGGACACTAGGGTACACAACCGTGAAGCCTGGCCCTGATCTGATCTCAATCATACCTGTGTCTGTAGAGCCGCCAGGTAACTAAAAAGGCGTTGGTTGACAATGCAGTTGGTATTGAGTCGAAATCACTTGACTTGAAATCGTTGCTCGAACGCTGCTTCGCCCTGCATCTCCCTTTCGTTGGTAAGGCTGCTCAAGGAACCTCACCCCAGGAGATTGAGTGAGAGCAGGAAGCCTCTGTCTGCCTGCAGCACTAAATTATTGCCTCGACACACAGCAGTAGTAACAGCAGGGTCTGACACTGCCCTGTGAATTTGCTGGGGCACTGTCAGCAGTGGGCATTCTCCCCTTCCGGCCACTAAAAATATCCTCGCCTATTCAGACCCCCGGCTCCATCACCAGTGTTACGCCGCCTACAGGATGCGTGGTGCAGCGCCACAGGCTTCCTGCGTATCCTGCAGGTGGTTCTGCACAATGGATTAGTCTGGAGAAGAAATGAGCCTCGATTGGACGACTTGATTGACTAGGGCAGCTTGCAGGTAGCCACAGCATCGGATCCTTGTGCCCGTCCTGCAGGGCGGATTACGAGGTATCCAGTGCGACTATAGTATAGCAAGTCTGCAGAGCCATACTCCCTTACAAGATGGAGCACGGCAGGGCACACGGCAACCCCTCAGCTGTTGATATAAGCCCGCAGGATCTCCTCCGAAGCGGATGACATGGCGTCCGACTGCGCACCTCCCTGTGTTGAACTCGATACCATCTACCAGCCTCGAGAGGAAATTTCGCCCAGTGCTTCAGATCTGGTCCAGGAACTGCCTTTCTTACGACTCCGCACTACACAAACATGCCGTCCCTTCTGATAGCCCGGTTGATGGAGGATGACTCCATCTCATGGGGCACACATTTCCCGCGAGGTGCCTCAGGAAACACATCCAACGGAGACAAAAAAAGGATATCGATCATCGTGGCAGTAGTGGCGGCTCTCCTCGTCCTGAGTGCCTGCATCGCACTCGCGGCCATCTGCCTCTCCAAGCGCCGAATAAGAAAACAGCAACTCAAGGAGGCACGCCGAAGGGACCCCTGCTTACATCCAAGAGCCTTCAGCAAGCGGCGGAGGATGACGCAGGATGATCTGCTGCACGAGGCGGAAGAACAGCGGGAGGCTATGATCCGGAAGTCACTGGCGTCACGGTCCGGGAGATCAATATCGCAGAGCAGCCAGCTGACCGTCGACTCGTTGGGCACCTCGGAGATGACCAAGACTGGTTCCGTGTACCGATACGGGCCGAGGGACGGGGAGGATGCTTCGAGGCAGCACTCGAGGTCTAATTCCGACGTCTCGCTGTACGACGAAAAGAGCTGGGAGGCAGGGAATCATATCGGGAGGCCCAGCTCGGCGGCCAGCCTCCAGAGGGCGAGGTCCAAGTCGCCGTTGCCTGGGATTCCGGCGCCCACTTTGTCAAGGTCTTCTTCGCCGACCAGGTTGCTACAAGTACGATCAGAACTGCCTCCGCTGCTCGAACCGCACCCCCTCTTGCGGAGGATGAACGAAGACTCGGATTCGGAGAATGAGCAGCTGAGGGGATGAGGGATTGCTGTCGCCAGTCACGTGCAGGACTGGGCTGCGTCGAGTATGCATGATGAATTAATGACCATGGAATGATAGAGAATTTCTCAATACAAGAAAAGGTTAAAGGAAAAAGCTGTGCGCAATTCAAATTGTCCCATGCTGGAGTGGAATTCAAGTGAAGACTATGCAACCAATCAAGCCGGCGCTGGGTCACTGCAAAGTGCTAAGGATCTGAGTACTGAATTAAGCTAAATCGTACAGTACTTAAGCAGGCCAGGCAGGCAGGCAGCAGGCCAGCTGAATAATGTGGCTTCTAAGCTTGTCCATGGTGGTCTGTGCGTCGGCCAGGCCGCCTCCTACTTCTCAGTCCAACACTAGAGCTCTGATGACTCGCCTTTCCTTTCAACCTCCTTTCTCCATCCACGCCCTCTCCCTTTCATCAACGACAGTCGTTTCACCTGCCCGCAAAACCGTCCATCTCTGCCTGTGTCAGTCTTTCCAAGGCAAGAACGGTGGATCACGGTTTTTCCGACCAGCTTTCGTCTTGTCTGCACCGAGCAGAGCGACCTCGAGACGTTTCTTCGCGTTGCCTTTACAGCAGGACACCTTTACTGGTTCCGAACGGTGGTCGGCAAGGGCATAATCTTCCTCTCATTTGAATGACTCTCGACCGCCTTTCCATACATTGCGACGATCTGGTTCTCTGACCTCAATTTTAATCGAATCACACGTGTGCACAAAACCACTCTTGCTTTCGCGCGACTCGATCACCACGTTCTCGTGTCGCCGCCACTCGAATGCGAGCGCAGGGGAGCGGAATCGTGACTCGAATCCCATCGGCCTTTCAACACCGCCAAGATTCACTCGCCACTGTTTCGTTCTGTTGCCCTCTCCAATCTCGCCAAAGACCGAGATCAAGTATCCAACCGTCACGTCCAAGGCCTCTTGAAATCACAAAAAGCGCAACTCAAGCGGGAGCGTTGGGTCAAGAAGAAGGTTCGGCTCGACGCCGAGTACGACATCTACAGACGACGCAAGAGAGTGGCAAAGAAATTACGGCCTCGCAAAATCACCGAATCTTACCACCTGTCGAAGCCAAGTTTGTCGGCAGGAGCCGCCAAGCCTGCAGCTGAAACTTCACAGGCTCAGCGCCCAGCACTTGCTGAGATCCTCAACGACACCTCGTCAAGTACTGCTGGCCGCAGCGTGACATCTGAGACGATGGCTACCACGGTGGTTTCCCAGGAGGAGTACAAAGAGGCTCAGCTGAGCAACATCCTCATGTGCCAGGACTGCAGAGAGGTTCCCCCCAACCTGGTCGAGGAGTTCAGCAGTGGCGACATGGTCTGCGCGTCCTGCGGTCTTGTGGTAGGTACCGGCCCCCACAGCGTAGACTCAATACACAGTCTAACAACAAGACAGGTCGGTGACAAGATTGTTGATACTCGATCCGAGTGGCGCACCTTTGCCAATGATGACCAGAATAATGATGATCCTTCGCGTGTTGGTGATGTCGGCAACCCTCTGTTCGAGGACACCGTCGCTACGCTGCAGACCAGTATCGGACGGGACGGCAGTAATTCGTTCCACCTGATGAAGACGCAGGCAAAGACCATCGAGAAGGGCCAGGTCAACCAGAAGGAAGGCTTCAACAAGATCAAGACCTTAGCCGATACTCTGCAAGTGGGCGCTACTGTCCGCGACTACGCCCTGCACATCTTCAAGCGTAAGTATTGGTCGTCTGTGATCTGACCTGTCTGTCTGGGGGTTGGCTAGTGCTCATCCTCTATTTTCTAGTCGCCGACGAGAAGAAGTTCCTCAAGGGCAAGCCCCAGGATGCTGTTATCGCCGGTGCTATCTTCATCGCGTGTCGCCAGAACAACGTTCCTCGAACCTTTCGCGAGGTCTTCAACCTGACTAAGGTGTCAAAGAAGGAGATTGGCCGCGTGTTCAAAGCTCTGGAGAAGTGGCTCACGGAGATGCGGGAGAAGGGAGAAGCTGCCGGCCTCACGGACGTCACTTCTGTCCGCGGCTACGAGCAGAAAGGCTCTACTGGTGCCGACGATCTCGTCCGCCGGTACGTCTCGCAGCTTGCTATCAAGCAACAGTCAGATGTTGAGAATGTTGGCATCTACATTGCGAAGAAGACCACCCAGGTTAGCACCCTGGCTGGTCGTTCTCCTCTGTCTGTTGCTGCCGCATGCATCTTCATGGCTGCACACTACCTTGGTGATTCCATCACCTCGAAGAAGATCGCAGGTGTTGCTGGTGTGAGTGATGGGACCATCAAGACAGCCTACAAGTACCTCTACCAGTGCCGTGATCAGCTGCTGGACCAGGATGCTTTCCAGAAGAGCCGTGGCAAAGGCAAGATTGATCGACTGCCTCAGGCCTAGAGCAGCCGGTGGCAGCCCCATCGCAACACAAGAGAAAAGAGTGAGTCTTGAGCTTGCTGACCACATCAGCGCACAACTCAATCCCAACGACCACTTGGCTCCGAATTCCTATTTTTATACAGATATGGGGTGGCAGCAAGGACAACTTTGGCATACTCATGAACAGGTTGCAACTAACATGACCTCTCTCATCCATCTGTTTGGGCATATTTTGTGGCGCTCCATTCAGGAACTTCAGGAGAGGAATGGTTCGTTGTCGAATTTGGACAGGGAGGGAGGGTCAATGCACGTGCTTGACCCTGCAATGATCAGAATGGCAAAACTGTAGGGTTGTTATGAGCCCGGCGAGGCTGGCTTGACAAACATAAGGTCTTAGGTACATGAGCAGATTGAATCTCTCATTGGCAAAACCTCTGCTCCTCATGCTTGTGACAGCTGACTTGTGCTGGGCTGTTGCCCTTGTTGCCTTGGACTGCTGGTGGGAAGAAGCATGGAGTGAGGAGCTCGAATGCTCGCTCCCCTTGAGTGCTGAATGCGCTTTTGTCCAGCAGTCAGACATGATCTCTCACTGACCCGACCCCCTCCACCCCCCCCCAAACAAACCTTCTTCCACACTGACCACAGCACCTTTTGTCCAGGTAGGAAGAATTTTCTCATTTCATCAACCTTTTTTGAGTAGTCTGACCAAAATATCCTCCTATGATTTCATGAATTTTGTCTGCTATTGGGATCATACTTTCTCACATGCCCTCAACGATAATGCTCTGCTGTTCTCATAAGAACATAGAATGCAATCAAACTCCAAATTATTTTAATCTTGTAGACTACAACTTGTACCAGTTTCTTTGACATGGCAGCCACCGCAAATGACAAGGAGTATTTTCAGAAGTGGATGTCGATACGTTCTCTTACAGCACTTCAGCCTACTTAAGTACCTTTCCAAAAGTCATTTTATGCTTGAGTCTTCTCCTGCTCTCATCTCCGTCTCCTTGATTTTCAACCCAAGTCACTACCTAAAAAGTGGTGCACGCAATAATTGAATACAATAGAACAAAGTAGGAGGTAGAGGTGAGCAGATGGTTGAGGTGTTTCCCTGTCCAGGGTCCAGGGTCCACTAAAAGTGTAGGGGTTATGTAATCACAGTCGCGTTGCTCTTTTGCCTTGCCGTGGCAGACCGTGCTTGTTTTCACAACGACCATTCAACCTTCGAAGCCACCCCACATCTGGTCGAACCCATCAACACCGAGACCTGCCAGCACCAGGTGCCTGTAATCGTGTGGACAACGACAGCTGCAGCATATTCACAAAGATGCCAGGTCGCAGATCAGGCCGCGCTGCTGCCAAGCGTGCAGCGCAAGCTCTAGGTAAGCCTTCCCCCTCTGCACCATCTGCACAACTTCCATTCCTTGGGCTGTCGCATCTATAAAACCAGTCCAACGGACTTCCCATTCCCCCTCACTACCTGTCTCTTGGAACACATGGTTGCAACTCACTCAATTGCCACACTTACTGCCACTGCTGTGCATCGAGCTGCCTCCCTGTGCAGCTGCGCAGGTGCATAACAGCAACCACCAATTCAACCCCTTCCTCTGCCCCGACCTGGACCAGTCAAATGTGAACTTGCTAACCAAGGGCTTAACTTGTCTTCTTCAACAGAGAACACACCCAAGACGTGGAAGGAGCTTGAGGATGACGATGAAACAATGCAAGATGCTGAGCAGGAGGACGAGACCAAGCAGGATGAGGATGCTGATGCCAGTGCAAAGGAGTTTGGTGCTGAGGAAGACGTCGAGGAACAGGAGGAGGCCATAGTCGAGAAAACACCCACCCCACCTCCACAGCCTATGGTTCGACGCAAGCGACTCGGCCGCCCACCCAAGGTCAAACCCCCCGGCTGGGATGATGGCATCGAGGTTCCCCGAGACGAGGTACGCCCTCGTCGTGGTCGAGGCGGTTGGCGTGGCCGAGGTGGACGCAAGGGCGCCCCGGCTCCCATCACCCAGCAGGCGATCGAAAAGGATGGACCAGTATACAACATTATTGATGACGAGCTGGACCTGCCCGAAGATCCCGAGGGAGAGACCAAGGTCGATAAGATGGGCTACCTGCAGGGCGGTCGCGAGTACAGGTGCCGGACCTTTACCGTCAAGGACCGTGGCGACCGCCTGTACATGCTGTCCACCGAGCCTGCCCGCTGCGTTGGTTTCCGAGACTCGTACCTGTTCTTCACCAAGCACCGCCGTCTGTTCAAGAGTATCGTCGACGACGAGGAAAAGCGTGACCTGATCGAGCGAGAGTTGATCCCCCACTCCTACAAGGGTCGATCTATTGGTATCGTGACAGCCCGATCCGTGTTTCGCGAGTTTGGCGCCCTAATTGTTGTCGGTGGCCGTCGCATCATTGACGACTACGACCTCGCGCGCGCTAGAGAGGAGGGACACCAGGAGGGCGCCATCGCCGACCCTAACGATCGATACGACCCCAACCAGCCTTACAACAAAAACCAGTACGTCGCCTGGTTTGGCGCCAGTCAAGTCTACCACACCAACGCGCCTGTTGCACCCACACAAATGGCCGAAATGAAGAAGCGCCGCGTGGCGGTCACTGATACCAACTGGATGCTTGAGCATGCTCGGGAGGCCGCGTAAGATGGGGGGAGCCCCTTTCCCTTCTCCCCTTGTCAGAGAGATTCGCGATTGCTGATATCATTTCTTTTTGCAGGAATTTCAACTCCCAGATCAATGCCATCCGTCGGCGAAACAACCAGGGCGTCTACGACATTCATACTAACACCATTCAGTATCCCACCACTATGCAACCCACAGCTGCACGGATCGAGCCGATCCCATCTTCGGCACCCGGCGCTGCGGGCGGCCACATCTCCCAAGTCTTTCCTCCGCTGAACCCCGTCGTCGCTCGCAACTTCACGGTCACGGACACCTACTGCGAAACCCCGCCCGCGGGCATCTCCTCTGCCAGCTACGACAACCACGTCAAAGGCACGGCCAGCACAGGCCGCAGTTACAACGTCCTGGCGCCCTTCCAGGGCCTCGCGGCTGTCAGTGACGAAGTCAAAGACTGCCTGCCACCCGAGTGTCGCGCAGCCTTCGACGAGGCGCTGGCTAAAGAGAAAGAGTGGCATGGCGTAAGACAATTTTCCAACCCTTTAGGTTTCCGAATTTTTGTTTCGAGACACTGCCAGTGCGGATTCTGCGACGTGAATGGGCCGCCCAGAACCTGATCCAGCCTGAGACTCTGGAGACGACAGCAGACTTGGGCGGTGAAAATCGGCTCTGTTTCCTTTATTGTCTTTGGCTCATTACTTCGGTTTCTTGCCTTTTCTTCTGATTATCAACATCAAGAACAGAATGACTAACTTCAGGTGACACTATAGAAATGGGGAAATGAGTCGACTACGAAGTCGAGACGCACGCCTATTATTGACAAGGCCATCGTCCCTTACAGCGTGGGGCGGTGATTGTGTCACGATGGGAATGTGACTGCTATCGTATGTTTACGCTTAACGCGGCAATCAATATGACGGGACGGCTGGACATGGCCTTGAGGTGGAATTCTGGGAGTTGTGTGTCGAATCAAGGATTCAAACGGAAACAGTTGACGACAAGCCTACGCCCAGGTCAAGCAGGAACTTGTGGCTCAGGCATCTTTTGTGTTTTTGTTTTTCCCTTCCGCCTTAATGGAGGGAAAACCAAAGACGAGGGACAGGGGGCTTGCGTTAATATATCACTGTTGTACGATTATGGACTACGCGATGTTTGGTCTCTATGGAGAGAGACCAGCCAAAAGGGAGGAAGGTATCGGCGTTTTGGTGGCTTCGTGTGTATGGATCATACCCCTTTCTTCTTTCAACGTTTCTCTCGGAGGCTTTACCGAGGAATTTACACGAGCTGGGAGTCGTTGAAAAACCAAAATGACATACCCGTGAGAGGACTTGTCCTACTGGTGATAGAGCCAGAGCCAACAAAGCATTAGGCTTCAGGCAATGAACGAAGGACTACTAGGTCCAATTTTGATACCATTAACTTTTCTGCTTTAACGTAAGTGATGTAGCTCTTCTGTGACCTTTGGGTTATGCCACTGCGTTAATAGAAGTGACCACTGATCACTGAGCTCTGGACTTTCCCCTCCTTCTGGGCCTTTGATGCCCCCTTGGGGGGGCGGGGGGCGAGGAAGGGGGACCCCGACAGGATGGATGGCGCTGAAGGTTGAGGCATCTGCTATGTGTACTGGGCGGGCCCGTCATGTCCAGATCGTTGGGAGAGGCACGTAGCATGCTATAATATCCTTTACTTTCTTTCCTCATGGACATATACCTGATACTGCAAACTTACTTGAAACGCAGTAAGAATATTCTATCCTAGACCTAGCCAATACATCTGAAGCACAAGGGATTGTTCCTTATTCTAAAACTTTCTCGTTCTTATTACTTTCTCCCTTTCCCTAACTATGCAGGCAGTTAATCTACCCGGAATATTCACTCGTTCATCCCTCGCTGGTCTCGAAAGAAGCGGAAGGTGGGCCGGGATTATACACCAGCACTCAAAGCATCATCAACCACAAGAGCAAACCTTGATGACTTGAAGTTTAGGGGTTGTATGACTCCCTCCTGGGGTAAGAGGAGAGGAGTCACGATGACCGACAGAACCAGGCATCACAGAAAATCACTACTAGCTTTGCCCAGGAATGTTTAATGGTGGTGACAAGGAATCAGTATATTCGTTCAATAGCAGACGTTTGAAGGCTCCTCTCGGAGTTCAGTGCTATGAGCCAAGGGCCCCCCCGGGGGGGGGGGACAACAAGGAAAAGGCAACAAGCAGAGTCACACTGGATGGACCCTCATCATCTCACACGCCCCCAGCCAAGATCAACCGCGTCATCGTCCACGCAGGAGGATACATAAATGGATAGAGGCTTGTAATACATCGTGTCAAAACACGCGTTTCGCCATTCTATCGAGACAAAGTGAAAAAAGCGATGAACAACGAATGCTTTTGATGAGCGGCGGAGTCTGCCTGGCTTGGCCTGCACTGCACTGCACCACCGACCTCCCCCCCCCCCCCCAGCCTTGTAAGCGTAGGCATGCATATGTATGTAACAAGACAATCAATCAATTCAAGCAATCACATGGACGGTGGTGGTGGCGAGAGCTTATGCTGATGCTTGGCAAGAAAGGGCGGGCGCGCGGGACGTGGACGTGCATGCAGGCGGGCAGCGTCATCCAGCCAAAGCTTGTCTTTCCATGCAGCACAGCAAGCGAGGCCATCAGCGCATGAATGAGTCTTATGATGTTGAAGAGAGGAGAGGGGGGGGGGAGCCCAAGACGTAATCCTCTCTCCGTCCCTTGCCAGGGGTATCGTTCGTGTTACACGCGCCTTTTTTTGCTCAGCTTTTTCAAAATGCTCATGATGATCATCAGGGCATCATCTCTGTGGAAGGGAGAAAGACCAGGTCTCATGATGAGCAAGCAACAACGTACGTCAAGCTCCCCCTTGTTGCTCCGGTTTCAAAAAAAAAAAAAAAAAAAACCCCATGTGTAAAAAGTTGTTGTGGGACAAAATAACTTCCCATCCTTCAAGGGTTCAATGACGTAGTTCCCCCCCGTGCCTTCCGGTATAGTGCAGCAAGGCGATTTGCAAAAGGGAAACCCTTCAACAGGAAGGGAAAGTAAAAGAAACATTAGGAACAAGAAGAGGACTGGGCGCCGCCACACACCCACAGAAAGGAAGCCGAGTTAGCTAATTTTGGGGACATGGCAAAGAAAAAAGCCAAACAATCCAGACTCTTCCGCGGCCCCTCTAAAATGCATCATAATGGGCATACTATGTACACTGACTAACCCCATAAGAAGGGAGATCTGCTGATCGTCTGCGCTATGAACGGAAAAAAAAAAAAAGAACAAGCTCAGCCCATTCATATAGAGAGAAAAGGGTTCGAGAAGGAAGTCATCCTGGCACGCACTGGCTAAACACAACATAACACCAAGATGTAACTATGTACAGTATGCCCCACAATGATGTTGGGGTGTGAGACCTTGTCGTGGAGGGAGAGGGGGGGGAAGGCACAGCGGGCCTCGCCTCCCGCGTCATGAAGGAAGCATTGGCACAACACTCGCATGCGCTTGCCCGCTCTTCCCCGGCGCGCGTCGAGGAGGGGTTGAGATTCTAGGTTTTTGGTCGACTGAGCTTTTTACCCGCGATGAATCACTCGATGAGAGGACGTTGCCCTTGCTCCGAAGTGCGGATCGGGACGGGGGAAGTGGCTGATCAACCACTCTCATTGTTTCTTTTATTTTTTTTCCTTTCGGCCCTTCCACTGTTAGGCTCCTGCTGTGGGATTGCATGTTCTCAAGCGCCCATGTGTTCACTGCACAGTAGTACTATGACCACACTCCGTCGCCATGTGGAGTGGCAGAGCGTGCCTGGCCGAGGGTTGCTCCACGACGGGTATGGTTTTTCGAGGAGAGCATCAAAGTATAGGTCTTTCTTTTTTTTTTTTTTTTTTTTTTTTTTTTTTTTCCGTCCATCAACTTGACTGGCACAGAAAAATCCTCATGGCCAGAGTTCAGCCAACATGTTGACATGTAAGACGTGTGGCACCCTGCATAACCGTGGATGCCGCCTACTCGACATGATGATCGACCAACAGTTTGGGCTTTGGAAGAGGGGAATCACTCCCATGTGAGGAGGAGGCCGTGCGTGCGTGCGTGCATGCGTGCGTCCTATTGCAGGCTTCTTTTTTGGATCCCCTCCTAGGCAACCCCCCCTCCCCGGCTATGACACACCAGCTGGGCAAAGAGTGTCGTTCTCCCCCGCCCTCTAGCCAGCCCAGGCCGTTGCGATTCCTTCGTCGATCCCCTTCCCCTCCCCCCCCCCCCTCTTCCTCCTCTCCTCCTCCTCCTCTCCTCCTCCTCCTCCCCCTCCTTCTCAGTAGGGTAGCAGAGTAACGTCCAGTGGCAGGTGATGGGGCCGCAGCATCTCTTCCTCTTTCTCACTGCTAGATGCGGTTAAGGGAGGAACAAACGGTCCTGTCACTACTTGTGTGGTAAGCCATGTTGGTGGGAGTCCTCACTGGCAGCGCCGACAAGCTTTGATCGAATATTCAGGTACATGATCGTATGAACAGTAATGGTGCCTCGTGTGCCCGAAGGGTGTCCACGTGGGGCGCAGTCCGTACTAGTTCCTGTATTCCCCTTTTGGCAGTATGGGGTTTGCAAGACTACCAAGGCGCATTGTACATTGTAGAGTCAATGAATCCCGCTGGACCTTTTTGGATGACAGTCTCTGGCCAAAAGAGCCCATCTAAGGGTTGGAGAATAATCTCTATTCCTGAACCACGCAGAGACAAAGTCAGGTACTCCCGTCCTACGCAGTGTGGTGGTCCGAACACTGGCGCAGACAAATGCGTGACACTGCTGAGGCGAGTAGTGCTTCGACGACATGGCCCTTACTAGTACGCCTGGATCGGCAGGTGCGGGAAAGGTGAGATGGCCCGTTTCGCTTTCTAGGCAGCTGAGCGCCCACAGGACTTGTCGATTTGGCCTGCCCCTCCCTTTGACGGTGGTGGAACCACCGAGACGGGACGCCATGACACCTCAGGTAGCACTTGGGTACGCGGCATGGTCTTGCCGAGCCAGGCAAGGTGTTGAGACTGGCACTTGGGCTTCCAAACCTGCGGAGATTCCTGAGGGCTTCGAGATTGCCAGGCGTGGTGTGCCAGGATGCGCGACAGCCCGACCACAGGTTTCCGCCCGGAGAAGCAGCTCCATCAATAATACCATGTCCTGCCCTGTTCATGCCCTGTTGCTCAGTGCAACCCTACAACCCGGTCATCCAGTGATTCCGTCTCGGATGTGTTGCCGATCCCTCCCTCAAAAGAGACCTGTCTGTTAAGAAAGATGTATACAAGGAGAATGGTCAATGTGTACGTCGGCTTCATCTTGTTGAGAGTAGCTTGTGAATCTCTGTCCCAGACCTGTCGTGTAGTACTGCATACAGATGGCCGGGCAGGAATGATGAGGACAGGCCGCGGCTGCTGCAATCTCTCCGTATGCCGACGCGTTGACTGGCAGCTTGAGATCATCCATCCCCCTCTGGACACGAGGCGCGGTTCTGAAATTACAAGGGGTCCTCCTACATGACCCTGATTCGATCCTGTGGACGGTTTTAAGTCCGCTCAATGTTCCGTTTTAAGATTTTTGCGACTTGGTTGCCTTCTGGAATTTAACAACCGATGCGACATTGACTCGACTCGTATTTGGATGTCTTCTCTTGGCTGTGCTGCTTCCCTGGCTGAAGTCGGTTTCTCTCGTCCCACGCCAAGCGTGATGTTTCCCACCGAGTCCCGCAGTTTAAATAGCAAGAAAGGTGTCAAGGTACCAGACATAGAAAGCTGCCGAGAGAGGGACCTTCTTCTTTCTTCGTAAGGACAAATACCACTTTGGTTGGCGTTGCCATCGCGGCCAGACGCGGCCCATCATCATCTTCCAACCACCGGGGCTGGGGCAATTTGGCGCTCTGGGATTCTGCGGGTCCTGTCTGAGAATAGTAGTGTGGTGACTGGGTCGAATGGACTGCAGCGCCAGCTTCAGAAAACGGATTGGACAGGGGCCATCTTCTCTCTCACTCTCTTCCCCCCCCCCCCCCCCTAAGTACAGTCATGAGCATTTGACGGGTAGCCGCCGCAATCCGTTTCGGCGGGAGCTTCAGCCCCCATGTCTGCGTTCTTAAGTACTGCAGCCATGCGGCAGATGCGGTTATGCCCCAATGCCGGCGAGGGCCTCTTCCGCGCCCCTTGTGACGTGTGACATGAAAGAAAGTAAAAAAAAGGGAAAAAGGGCAGGGAAGCGGTAGTATTCCTCGTCGTGCAAGAAGAGTAAACTGTAGTACCAGAATAGATGGTTGGAAGCCACCCGTTTGTGGTACTCGGTGTGCTGCCTCTCCTACCGGGGTGGTTGAAAGGCCAATTGACCACGCACAAGCCCGGCCCCTCCATGTCGCGCCCGTCCTGCCATATTCGTTACGAAGGACGGGTTGGCTAGTGCATTTCAGTCTCATTTTGCAGGGCCTCAAAGGAGAAACGTCCCCGCCCGATCAACCTGCCATGAGTTCCATTCCCATTTCTTGCCGTTGCCGAAGTAATCTGGACAAAATGGCAAGCGTTAGGTGTTGAAATTGCGAGTGGGAGGCCACAACCCAGCGATTCGAGAATCCCATGTGATCTGGGGCTTTGCAGGACGGGCTGTCCCAATTTGCCCCACAACAGAACTTTGCTGTTCGTTTGATTTCGTATCAGTGGAGCAATCCTGTTCGTCAATGAAAAGCCACTTTTCCCATGGGGGCTTGTGCTGGCTGGTTTCGTGAAAAAGCGCGAATTAAGGGCCAAAAAAAGGTGAAAAATTTGAAGTAAAAAAAAATCTCGAAAAATCGGGCGGTTTCTGCATGGCTAATGAAGACAGGTCAGTATGTTAAACTCACACCCCATCACAAGGTTCAGCGTGCCTCGTGCCATTTGAATTGGGTGGGGTGGTAGGTTTATGGTGTAGTATGCCTCGCAGCAGATCCATAAAAATTTTTTTGGGACGGCCTGTATCGCCTCTCGGTTGGTCCTTGACTGCAGTGCTGAGAACGCTAGAAATAGACATACGCCACTACTAAGGCGGGAGTGGTGCTCCGTGTAACATAGCAGCGAACTTTTTGCGGCCGATGATGCCGGCTAGCAACCACAGGGTCGTCCATCGTGACCCGCGGCGGAGGCAGGGTCGGAGCTAAGAATGTGACCAGGTGCAAGTAGGCAGCGCCAGTCGACACGGACAGAGGAACAGGAGGACGAGAGAGGTGACCCGAGTTTTGTAAAGGACAGGCTTCATTGGTTGGACAGGCGGTGAAGTGCTCGAGAAGTCTAGTGAGGGTTTTTAATGTTTAGCGCACCTAGCAGCCATTGGCAGGCGGTGGGCTCGCGTGGCCCACCAGGTGGGTGGCGGACAGGCCCAGGCAAGGCCCACTGGGGGTCTTGGAAAGAAGAACCCCTCTGGCCCCACCCCCCAGTGGCTCCTCCACTGCCCAGTCTCCTGGGAGCTGGCGTTGGGCACTCAGGGTCCCGGATCTGTTGGCCACGGGTGGTTGGGAGCGACAGGGGCCTCCACACGCCCTGTGCGGTCATGATCTTGGGCAGTTTTCGTGGGGCCATTTTGTGGATACAAAACCACTGGTGGAGACTGGATGATGCGTGGGTGGAAACAAGGAGGCGTGCCGCCTTTCTGTCCATAGCGCCCAGCCAAACCCCGGTCGCAGGTGCCATGGAATGATCAGTGCCTCCGTGTGTCGCGGCATTTGCTGCAGTTGTTTGTTGATACTACAAAAAAATGTACTTGGACATCTGTTACCGTGCCATCACTTTAAGAGAGAGACAGAAAGAGGAAAAGAGAAAGGCTGGGGAAGGAGGGAGGCAGCTGTTTCGTCAGGGTGACAGTGACGAAAGGGCCAGTCAGTCGTCGCCACAGCTGACGAGACTTTTGTCGCGCTCGTGATCTGCAGCAGCTGGATGAAAAATTTCGTTGGAATGCCAAATTGCAAAAGGGCGGCGAGCCTGGCATTGAAGGTGACGACGGCATCTGGCTGGCTGATGGGTGGGTGGATGGATTGGAAGAGGCGGAAGGGATCTGGGGGATCCAGGATGTCGTCCTTGGTCTCCTGCTCTCGGATGCCACTCCACACTGCACCAGTCTCTGCAAATCAGATCTACTGAAACTGGCCTGGCTGGGCTGGCTGGGAAGGAATGAGGACTGAGGGAAGATGAGGGAAGGGGGGTGTGCGATTTGGGAGGAAAGGGCCGGGGGGAGGGGTATGGTATATACATAGTACGGAGTAAACATGTGGCTCTTTCCATTCTCAGCTTAGCAATCCAACCAGCAAAATCTCTTATGACGGCGGACCCCTGTTGCCGTTTCCCCTTACCACTTTCCCCTCCGTTTTCCTTCCTCTAGCCTGACCCTGACGAGGTTCCTACATTGTATAGGAAACCGCTCTCCACCTGCGGCACGCTATTCCCTTTCCACCTTGTCGTTCCATTTCTTCTTATTTTCTTCTTTCATCTCTTTCTGTTTGAATGTCCGCTTTATGTTCCTTGACTCTTACTGTAAAAGGTGGCCACAATGAACTCATACCATGGTACCTAGTATAACACTTGTCGAAAGTAGTCGGGACTCGTCTGGCGGTCTTGCCTCATACGTACAAACAGAGTTTGCACTGGGTTTCCCCTACTGAGTACGCCTTTGTTACGAGGTGTCAATGACTAATAGGCCCTGCCTGGACCGCTGCTGCCCTAACATGACGCGCGCGCCTCTTTTCTGGAGGGAAAAATGCAGGAGGAAAAAAGAGAAAAAAAGAAGAAATTCCTGGGCCTGCCACTGATTTGCACCTGCAACCCGCGCCTGCACCGCCTGATGAGGCTGGCACCAGCCGTTCACCCTTCAGGTGGCATCCCGTCGTCATCCACCACCGTAAGGCCTGCCCGGTGGGACGCCAGCAACCTCAAGTCACTCGCCTGTCGTCGCCTAGATGACCGGCACAGGTCAATTTGCATCATCCAGAAACGACAGCTTCTCACTCTTTTTCTTCTTCGATCCCTTTTTAATTTCTCCTCCACCCCTTACATACCATACCCTCTTGTCATGCTGCCATAATCATCAATCTCTCCTTCACTCCTCCTCTTCTTAACACCCCCCCCCCTTCTTTCACCCCCTTTCCCTCTATTATTGTCAACAGCAGAATCCTCCCTCATCGGTTCTGCCGTTCCGACCAACTGCGACCAGCAGCTGAATTGAGTCTTGTGTGGCTCAAGCCAGGGATTCCAGTACTGTACAACACAATACGACACCGGTGGTGAGAACCACATTACAGTTACAGGACAATACCGCGAGCCCATCTCGCCCAGTGATCCATTTCACCGACCCCATACCCATCGCTTCGTGTCCTGTAGCCTGTCCGGTCCAGTGCCTTTTCGGTCCCGTTATCCGACCAGCTGCCTGACTGACCCACATTTTCCTCTGGCTTTTCGAGTAAGAGGAAAGAAAAGACGAGACAAGACAAAGCAAACGGCTGCAAATTGCGAACGCGAACAATACGAGGGAAGACGTACGTCCTTTCGGCCCAAGGAGCGAGATCGACACCTGAGGAAAGGCGCAAAGAAAACAGCAATATCAACACCAGTAGCACCAACCGCCGCGTCCTCAGCTCGACGTGGTCAGCAGTACTTGACGCCGTACGAAACGGTACGACACACACGGCACGGCAAGAAGAAAAAAAACACACGAACGAGAACGGATTACGGAGGTTCCATAACACCACACCCACCTCGCCCCCTCACTCCCTCCCCTGCTGCCTTTCCAGCACCGTTTCTGCAGCCACCTGCAGTCATCTGTTACTGTGTATCCCCACACTTTGGAACCTCAGCCGTTTGTAGCGGATCTGCAACCCGTCAAGGGATCTGGCAAGATCAGGATCAAACTCCCTCCCTCCCAGGCCAAGGTCGTTCACGCCGAGCCTTCCAGCGACAAGCCCTTCGCCCCATCCTCCTCCCTGATTTTCCCAGAGGACGACGCTAGGCCGAGCATCCGAGGTCAGTAACCATACATTTCGTTGTCAAGTCAGTCATAGTTCATTTATCCATTCATCTCATCTCATCATCGTGCATCATTGCCACATACCTGCCTGTCAGGTCAGCCCTTCCACTTACCTCCTCATCCTTCTCGTCCTCCTCTCCCAAAGAAAGAGAGAGAAAGAGAGAGAGAGAAGAACAACCAGTCCAAGAGGCCAGTCCAGAAACGGTATCAACATCATCAGGCTCATTTCCACGAAAGTCCCTTGAAGGGGCCCTTGTTGTGTGCCAGAGAGAGGTGTGTGTGTGTGTGTGTGGTGCCTGTGTCTTGTGGCTTTGCCAGTGGTAATCTTACTGCTCGGTCAATTTGACAACACGGATCCACCACACGCGGAACCCCATTTGTTTTGGGTCCAGGGCCAGGGCCAGGTCCGGGTCCAGGTCGTCTTCCGTTTGCTGGCCACCCTGGTTCGTCGTCTCCGTTACTAAATCTCTCTACCACACTCTTGAGACTGGCACTCCTTGACCTGCCGGTTCACTCCTCGCCCATCCTCTCTCTTCCTCTCTCACCTCTCACCTTTTACTCCTACTACCTCCCCCATCAGTCACCTGGCACCTGGACAGCTTTCCCTCGTCCTCGTCGCCTCCGACTTTTCCTTCCTCCATCCTTCTTTTGACGGCGAGAGCGATCACTGCGAAGCTTGTCCACTTCAAAGTTTTCGTTAGTCCTCATCCCTTTTCCGCCCTCGAGTCGTGTCTCACCCTCATCCGACCCGTCTCTTTTTTTTTTCCTCCCTCTTCTCTTTCCACCTCTCCTCGTTCAGCCATCAACTCCTACCCCTTGGCTGAGTCTTTCACTACAACCTTCAGCCTACAATCGCCTGACGCATCTCACAACTTGTGTGTGTCAGGTCTAAGGCAACACAAACGGACTTAACATCTTGTTCTTTGCCTCACGCACTGCGAGATCAGCCTTCACTGACCCTCGGCGACCCAGTCGTGTGCAAGGACTCTCTTGATCTCGCCCTTGCGCAAGATCAATCCTGTGATTTTTCGCCCGTTTTGCGCGTCCTTCAGTGTTCGATCACTTGAAGCCCTTGACGAATCCAACACAGTGTCACTCGATACACTACTTCGATACACTTTTCTGGTCTTGAACTTCTCGCCAACGCCCTACGACTCTTCACTGCATTCGTATCGTTGCGTTTGAGACATCGTTCGACCACGCCCCCTTACCTTCCCGCGACAATTTAGACTCTCCGGACGATAAACTTGGAACCTCTTTATGGCGCAGGCATCTCACTAAGACACCATCTTTCTTTGCCTTTAACCCCACGACTCTTCAGCCTTGGAATTTTCTGCCGGCGAACAGTGGCGCTTCCACGTAGCTGAGCTTGACCTCCAGGTGCTAGAAGCAGATCGCCCCACCCTTCACCTTCCCCGAGATCATCCTTCCACCCACCAGCTCCGCAGCAATCCGACAAGATGCCTGGTGGAGGTGTTTGTGCTGTCCTCGACTACGAGGTCGACATGATGGCCGAATACGTTGCTGAGATGGCGGTCGAGCTGATCACCCCTCGATCCGCCGTCACACCCGCTTTCCGAAAGTTCTGCTCTCAAATCCTGTCTTCCACGCGTCTCCCGAAGACGACCATCCTCCTCGGCATGAACTACCTCTCTAAGCGAGTGAACGGCATCAGGATGTCCGGGGCTTCTTTCCACCCGCACGAGGGCCAAGTCTGGCGAATGTTGACCATTGCCTTGCTCCTCGGCAGCAAGTTTCTCGACGACAACACTTTCCAGAACCGCTCCTGGTCTGAGGTGTCCGGTATCCAGGTCGCGGAGCTGAACAAGCTCGAGGCCGAGTGGCTGGTCGGCATCGAGTGGAATCTCTATGTGGATCTTGACCGGAGCCAGGACTACAATGCTTGGTTGGAGAATTGGGGCGAGTGGGTGGCCAGGAAGAAGATGGCGCACACTCTGGCCAGCCGCGAGAGACTCGCAGCCCTGGTGACTCCCATCCAGACCGACTTCAACCGTCCCGTCCGTGCCCACGAGTACGATGTCTGGCATCAGCAGCAGGTCGCCGAGTACGAACGTCTCTCCAGCCTCAAGCGGAGCGAGCAGGCCCAGCAACAATCTGCATACCGTCCCCAAGAGATTTCTTGGAACCAGTTCTCGACTGGCCCATGGTCAAGCGCTCCGCTCACGCCTCCCGATTCTGGCTACGGCACTCCCGAGTACCCTACCTCTGCGACATCGGGCAATGGCCAGTTCTACGGCGACTGGTTTAACCGAGCTTTTGCCAACGACTTCCAGGGCCACCGCTACTCGCGCCAGAACTCGGTTCCCAACGTCTACCATCACCCTCGCCACTCTCACTATCCTGGTTACTATAACGGCCAGAATATCTGGGAGATGAACGTTGCCGAGTGCAACTGTGCTAACTGCACTGGTCCCTTTGGCGCCAAGTCTCAGCAGCCCTACTTTATGGCAGCTCCTGCCTACGGCCAAGCTGTTCTGGGTTAAAAAGCCATTCTGCTGCTTTGTTCGAGTCGGAATAGACTGCTGTTACAAGAGAGCCGGCTTCGACCCTGCATGGCCGGCGAGGACACATGGATGGAGTTTATGCATTCGCATTGCGGACGGTCACGGATCGAGACCAACGATACAATTTGCATTCTGATACCCCACCGAGTCTCGGCACCAGCTTAGGTGTTCACGTACCGACACCGAAATGGCTTGGTTCTGCGACTGTTGGACCGGGTGTCTTACTCAATGTGATGCCTTCCGGCTACCTTGGGTGGGAGCTCCCGTTCCACTGCACCACTGGGTTGATGACCTGGCTAGCATGATCGCGACGCTGCCGACTCGTTTAATGATTTTCCTTTTTTTCTCCCTACATTTTCTTCACGGTTTCTTTCATCATTCTCTACGACACATGGCTGCGCTGGCCATCTCATTTATGGGCGTTGACGGACATAATACCAGGTGGTCTTCGGCAATGGCCACATCAGTTACGTTCTTTCGACTGGAAAAAAAAAATCGACGACGTGGCATCTTCACGGTGTTAGATGCCAAGAAAATTCCAGCACCCGTGGTGGTGAAATGGAACGCGCTACGGTGGATATTTTCAACTGGTCTCGACGCGTCTTGGCTCTTGGCTGTTCAGCACGCTAAATGTGAGGCGAACGAGTGACGATCAACCGACGAGAGATCATCCAGCCGCCTCTACAGCACTTCGGACCTAGTCAGCCTTTCGCATGCCGACTTAATTCTACCTCCGAAGCCGGCCGATAGCTTGAACTTGGTGCTTCACCATTGCCGCAATATGCGGTCAGGGGTGCTCTACAACACTTATTCGCGTCATCGACCTGCTTAAAAAAAGTTTGATTGTTTCGGGCAATTGGAGGACTTGCTGTTTTTTTTGTTATTATTCATTTCTTTTCCCTCTCAGGTTTGATACAACTTGTTTCAGGAGGAAGACGGTGATTTCTTGTTTTCTCATACCCCCCCGAGCCTGTCACGGCTTGGCCTGTATTTTGTTTGCACATGATTTGTCTTCGTTACATTCGTTGGCTGAGGGTTGGTTTGCACCAACACCGTTCAGACGACGTGCACAGTTTTCCAAGCAGAACGGGCTTTGAGGACGTGCCATCGTCGACCCGAGGCATATATCTTTATTCCACTGTACCTTCTTCGGCTTCCATTCGGCATGATACGCATGTTTAGAGGTTATTCTTTGATTGGCATTCATAGAAGGTGGCACGGTCGGTTGTTCTGATTAGTCCTGCTTTCGATTTTTCTTCCCTCCTATTCTTCCTTTTTGTAATGCTTTCGCGTTTTGTTTTGATACTGAAAGAGGTGGACCTACATTTGCTATCTCTACACTCATGATGCGATGAAGAGTTCCTCAGATGGGTTCAAGAAGGGATGAAAACAAAAGGGGTCTTTTGTTATTGGCACGCAAAAAGATTGGAACTGAGGGGGGGTAGCACACAACGACCACAATAAAAGCCTTGACCGGAAAGGTCTAAGGTTGAAAGGGGAGGGAAGATGATATACAAAAAGTTCGATCCTCCGTTTCGCGAGGGCATGCGCTCATACCAAGTCCAACGAGCAATTGTGTCGTGTTTTTAGACACAGGTGTGAGTACTTCAGCACTCCAGGCAACCGTGGAAGAGACGGAGGTGGTGATTCAAGGCATACCAGGTCCGTCCTGGCTCAAAAGTAACGCAAAGCACAGCACAGCACAGCGTTTAGATACCATACCAATATTAAAAAAAATCAAAGACAATGCACCAAGCAAAGCTTTGCGCAATCACGTGAGAAATTGTGATTTCCTCTTGATATTTCGAATGTCTCGAGGTGTGGTGTGCTTTTCTGACCGGCGTCATTGATTGGTGTACGCACATGTACTGGGGGTGGACTGGTGTAGTGTCATCACTGGTGAGACGGCCGTACTTGGCCGTTGAGACTCGGTGGTCTGGTGGGGAGGAAAAGCAGGTGGAAGCCACAGACCTCGCTATGAAGGGCGAATTGAATTGACTGACTCATAAAACAAAAGATTAGACATCATTCATAAGCAGACCGGTTTTTAAACAAAGGAAGAAGGGGGGAGGGGGAAGAATGGTGATCCAGTTTCCAATTGCAATCTTGTTGAGTTGGTGTTCAGGTTGGGTTGAGCTATAAAAGAAGATGAGCTAAGAAGATGGACGGGTGGATGGGCCCTCAAGCCTGCGGCATGGGGGGGGGGGGGTTGTTTCTTCTCTCAATCCGCAACATCACCCACTTGTCCATGACAGTAAACAATGAATGCCCTGTCTGTAACAAACTCGCACCGCCATTATCACATCACAACGACTATTTAGGTGAGGTGAGAGGTGAGAGGCACTGATAGAAGGATAAAGAAGAACAAGAACACAGGTCATAAATTTTTAATTTTTAATTTTTTTTATTATCTTGGAATTCTCAGCGCTTGTCGTGTCTCTTCTCTTTCTTATTCCTCCTCACCCACCAACTTAAACGACGACGACGACGACGAAATATCACCAGCCCTACCGTCTTCGTCTTCTTCTTCTTCTTCTTCTTCTTCATTTTCTTCTCACCATGTCGTCCCGCTTCATCTCCAGCGGTGCAATAGACGCCAAAACAGGCGAGCAAGTGCCCCTCCCCGCCGCCGCCCCTTCGAACGCATCATCATCCACCACCGCCACGTCCACGACCAAAAGGTCCGAAGAATGGGCCGCCGTAGAATCCCAGCTGGAAAAGGAGCGGGCGCGCAGGGCCGCCGCCGCCGCCGCCGCCGCAGCAGCACAAGACGAGAGCCGAAGCCTGTACGACGTGCTGCAGGCGAACAAGGCGGCCAAGCAGGCTGCGTTTGAGGAGGCCAACAGGCTGAAGCACCAGTTCCGGGCGCTGGACGAGGACGAGATTGGGTTTCTGGACGAGGTGGTGCAGCGGAAGAGGGAGGAGGAGGAGCGGGTGCGGCGGGAGACGGAGGAAGGGCTGCGGGAGTTTCGGGAGGCGCAGAAGGGGGTTGGGGATGGGGTGGATGGGGGAGGAGCACAGGAGGATGAGGGAGAGGGGGTGGTGGGCGAGGGGGTAGGTGGTGGTGGAGGAGGAGGGTGGTCGGTTGGGAAGAGGAAGCGGAAGCGGAAAGGGGGCTTGGATGATGGATTGCTGAAGGGGGTGAAGAGGCGGATGAGTAGTGGTGGTGCTGGGGAGAGCGGGAACGGGGAGGAGGAGGAACAGAGCAAGAAGAAGGGAGAATTGCCAAGTAGTGAGAAGAAGAAGAAGAAGAAGAAGAAGAAGAAGAAGAAGGTAGAGGATGAAACGGAGCCGGCTGTTGGCACGAAGGTCGAAGACGCGAGTGGACCAGCCGCTGAGGCCAGAGCTGCTGCTGCTGTTGCTGCTGCTCCCTCCTCAAAACCGAAAGCAGGACTGGTCGACTACGGCTCAGACGACGACAGCGATTGAGACCCACAAGACACACAGGTATGGGTTGACGAAACGTGGTGGTAGGAGAGTCTAATACCAGCAGCTGTATAATGGGGAGTGAGGTCGGTTCCTTGGATGTGTCACAATGATGCAGGAAAATTTGTCATGTTGTGAAGAGGAGTGCTTAAGCTATATTAAATGCTTCTATCCTTTTATGAGTACCTGAGCCGGGCAACATGCTCCCACCAAATCCGAACTCAAAATCTCCTCCACATGGCTTGGTAATACATCCTAGCATACATGCCCGCTCGATGCAAGTTTCTATATGTGTGACTGGCACGATGAATAGAACATCGTACAAAACGTCGCCTAAACCAATTTTGTGAGCCGCTCTGCCCGGCCGAAAAGTTGTGACTTTTCGCGTGCCTCTCTTGTCGTCATGTAGCTCAGTCCACGTCTCCAACATTGGGTATGGGGTTTTTCTTGTTCTCGGGCTTGTCAGTAGCCCATCTCCACAGACTTCTCAGGCTGCCCTTGATCCACCCCTCGACCTCCTCCTCCGGGACCACAATCGCCCTTGCGCGTTGCTCGTCCTCTGGCAGCAGCTCGAATCTCCTCATGCGCATGGCGATGCGTGGGTCGAGCACCACTGGCCTGGGCCAGATTTTTTCCTTGGCCGGCGCAGCAGGCGACACCGAGCCGTCCACGAGCTCGCTCCCTGCCGCGGTCGGGCTGGCGTCCTCGTCGGTCTTCTGCTCCTTCTTGACATCCGTGTCGCTTTTCCAGACGCTCTTCAGCCAGTTCTGTTCCTCATGTACCAGCGCCGTCTGCTGCTCCCACTGCTGGTCCATATCCGAGCTGTTGGCATCACCCACCTCCCGGAAGTCCCTGTACGTGGCAAAGCACACGGCTGCGACCTCGGCGCCTATCTCATCCGCCAGACGTCGCCTCGTCAAAAAACGATAGAAACGTGTCGGGGTGTTCAGAAAACCCAGGATGTGGGGGAAGGAGATCGGGGCCGATGGTGCCAGCTCGGCTGGTATGAGCAGCGGCAGGTGGGCCGTCGCATAGTCGTCGACCGAGTTGTACGGTTTGGGTTGCCGTGGCCTTTTGGTCTTGTTCTCTTGTTCTTCTCCGTCGCCTTCCCTCTTCTTTTCAGGTTCGGGATCAGGCTGTGCGTGCAGTGGCATCTTCAGCGGGCCCAGCCAGCCCTCGTGCAGACCCCGGATGTACTCTTTCCATGTATGCCGCCCGATCACGATGTCGCCCCGCACACCGTCGTAGTCTGGAATGCCGTGTTGTCTCCGAAAATTCTCAATGAAGTCATCATCTGTAGGTAGGTCTGTGCCCTCTTCTACGGCGTCGGCAGAGCCAATGTCCTTCTCCACCCGCCGCCTTCTCTTCCGCACCTCCTCCGCCACCACGGCGCGGATGTCCCCCTGCTGCCGTCCTTGTCTGAACTCCCAGTCAAGCCCGCTCGCAGCCAGCACAGGCTTCACGTACTCCCGAAAGTGGTCTTGGGCGACGCGCAGCCCATCGCCAGGCGGCGCCTCGAGGTAAATAGTCAGCTTGCGGGGCATGGCCGAGGGGTTGCCGCCGGGAATGGGCTCCTTGGCAAGATGCGAGACGGCATGAGCCCAGCGCGCGGTGGCGCGGCGCTTCTCGCGGCGGTCGTAGATGATGGCACCGGTGAGGGTGCCGGCTAGGGTCCAGAATATGAGCCAATTGCGCGACGGGAGCTTTCGCGGCAGGGCGGGGAGGCCCATCATACGGAGGGCCGGGTTCTGGGTTGGCTTCGGCTTGGGAGCCGTGGTTGTCGTCGAGGATGACGACGAGGTGACAGGAGGGGACTGAAGATAGGGATACAATCGGTCAGTCTTTGCCATCGCTGTGAGAGGCACCTATCACAGGGTTTACAGGATCGGATGGCGGAGCTTACCGGTGTTGCTGCCGACGACGCGGCTGGGGGAGTAGGTTCAGCCATTCTGGCTGAGGTGGTCGGCGTGCTGTACTGCTTGAGAATTGAACGGCAAGAAGAGGCTACCGAGTAGAAGAGTGGGAGCGTGGGCGGATGGCCGTCGATCTGACCTACGCGGTGAACCTCAGAACGGAACGCGACGACGTTCACGACCAAGTTACGCTGCGAAGTCGCAAAGTCGAGCTTGAAATTTGAACCCAATGTCCAAAAAAAAAATAAAAAAATCACATTCGGTCAGGCGATAAGCGCTGATAAGATAGCATTTTGCTCTTACCCGACTCTTCTATCCTAAGCGGGCCAGCTATGACGCTAGGCACTCGCCCAAGGTTCAGTCACTTGGCGCGCACCCTTTGCCAGACCCTCTGCAGCCTTCTCGAGCAACAGTGCTCAATTACTGAACAAGGCATTGAACTACTAGCACTGATCCTCGTACATGCTGAATTCCATTTGAGCCTCTAATTCTACGTTGAGAGGAGTCCAGGGGCAAGCATCTTATACCATCTCTCAATGCCCTCATGAGTTCATCCATGGCACACACCAGCCTTTGATGTTCAGTGAGTGTGTCATTTTTGTCTTACAGTAGATAGTCAAATTTGATAAGTGACCAAAAGCGGCAGTAGATGCTCTATATAGAGTGCGTACCACGGGGAGAAGACCTTTCTCCTTCAGCACAGCACCATCAGAATCAGGATAAGAAGAAGTATCTCATTCACAAGGAGACTACCAAGTTTGTCTAGAATGAAAGAGGGCGTAAGTTTCTAGATGCCTCTTCATAGAAATAATAGATCTTGCTAATAGTGCTCTTGCTATAGTTTGTATTCTATTTTGGAGACATAACCACAGGCCAGCCAGCCAGCCGTTGAGGCTTTCCAAAGGTGTGGAATCTAGAGCTTGTAGCGGCCGAGGTTCCCCTCCATTGGGCGCCATCCTGGTAGTGCGTCTCGCTAAGAATTTGAGGTGCAACCCTGTTCAGGGGAGGGTTTGTCAGAGAAGACTGGATGAGGAAAAGAAGAAAAGAGAAAACAAAAAAGGAGTAGGGGAAGAAGAGAAGCCTGCTGGACCCCCCCCCCCTTTTTTTTTTTTCTTTCTTTTTTTCTTTTCATAATAGCAATGAGGCAAAAAGTTGTGCATCTTCATTCCACGAAGAAATCACCCTCAAGATCTTGTTCTTCTTGCAGCGAGTATCGCTATCTCTGCCCACGGCCCTCTGGGCCTTGGATTGAAATTCCCACCCAATATAAACATAAAACAAGAGAAACTATATGCCAGTGAGTTTCTTCAATAAAATGGCACTTCTGTTCCAACATGTGTGGCCCCCTCCCAACTTCAGGTCCATGATTTAAGGTTGATCTACTCATGGTACTCAGAGCAGCTGATTGGTAGGTTTCTTCTCTTCCAGGGACCTGGACTCTGACGAACTCGCACTTTGCAGGCCTTGCTTAGCCTTTCCTCCCCTCTTCTTCAGCAAAACTTCTCCTTGTCTGACTCGAACGTGTGTGTTCCACTTGCGGCTACGACAGACACAGCAAAGTGTCCCTCCTCCTACTCCTCCCCCCTCCCCGCACAGTTCCTTCAGTGACAAGCCCCTGATACCTTGGAAGACCCTCGCTTGTTCTTGTTCTCCTTTCGTAGGTGGCACTGGATTGTGACGACAGGGTCGAGGCTGCTTGTTGTCTGTTATTTGTTGTCTCTGCTGGACCCTCCTCACCTTGACACTGGTCATTCTCGCTTGCCCTCACCGCTGCCCACTTACTACAATCCTCTGAAGTGGACCCACAACCCCTCAAGCAACCCAAAGCTCACTTACCGTTGACCTTCCATTTGCTGGATCCCGCCGCTCCTGGCCCACCGACATCGCCGCCCGCCCCCTTTCCCCTCCACTGCACCTATCTACCTGCCAGACAGAGAGCAAGAGAGAGAGAGATAGACAGAGAGAGAGAAAGAGAGAGGATCCCAGGGCCGGACCCTCCCCTTAGCCGTCGATTTAGCATAACGGACACGGACACGCGACTAACGATTGCACAAGCCAAAACCCCCCCGGCCCGGCCATTTCCACGACAGCTGGCTTATGTACAATGGACAATCAGGGGAACAGGTTGTACCTGAACATTGGCAACAACACCAACAACAACAACCGTCTAGGTGCTGCCTCCTCTGCTGACAGGGCTTATCCCACCACGCCCTCCACCTTCCCTCAACCTGTGTATCCTCCTCAAGGAAATCAGCAAGCTCAACAGCCACTGGCCCAGCAGCAGAAGCAGCAGCAACAACAGCAGTACGGCTACGGACAGCCTGGTTACTTCCTGCCCAACCAGCAGCAGCAGCAGCAGCAGCAGCAACAGCAGCAGCAATACTCTGCCGGATACCAAGCTCAAGCCATGGCCAGCCATCATACCGACTTCGCCCAGGGCGGTCTCCGCACACCTGGTGCCAGCAACGACCCCAACACTGGCCTGGCACACAAGTTTTCCCACCAGAACCTTGGCGGAGCTGCCCAGTCTGGCGGCTATGGCTCCAGAGGTCCCTCTCCAGCTGGCGCCCAGCGACCTCGAACTGCTGGCGGTGGCGGACAGGCCACCAACTACAGCTACCTGAACGCCCCGATGCCTGGCCAGCCTGGGTCGAAACCCTCCTTTCCTGAATTCGACGTCGCTCCTGAGCGGAATCCGGACAAGTTCGGCTCCAATGCGAACAACAACCAGAAGAAATGCTCCCAGCTGGCGGCAGACTTCTTCAAGGACAGCGTGAAGCGGGCAAGAGAGCGCAACCAGAGGTAAGAGGAGCCCCCCCCCCTCCCTTCCGCCCCCTCTTCCTGGCTGGACTGGCATCCGGCCTGCACGCCAGGACCGGGTCATTTGTGTCCTTGACGAGACCGACGCGACTGACATGCTCAATTTCTTCTGTGTATATAGGCAGAGCGAGATGGAGCAGAAGCTGTCCGAGCCGAACCAACCCTTGGCCCGCAAGGAACAGATCTGGGCCACCGGCGGCCGCCGCGAGGGCTCCTACCTTCGTTTTCTGCGCACCAAGGACAAGCCCGAGAACTATACAACGGTCAAGATCATTGGCAAGGGCGCTTTCGGTGAGGTCAAGCTGGTGCAGAAAAAGGCGGATGCCAAGGTCTACGCCATGAAGTCTCTGATCAAGACGGAGATGTTCAAGAAAGACCAGCTGGCCCACGTGCGCGCCGAGAGAGACATCCTTGCCGAGAGTGACAGCCCGTGGGTCGTGAAGCTCTACACCACCTTCCAGGACGCCAACTTCCTATACATGCTGATGGAGTTCTTGCCCGGTGGTGATCTGATGACCATGCTTATCAAGTATGAGATCTTCTCAGAGGATATCACGCGCTTCTACATTGCCGAGATTGTTCTCGCGATCGAGGCTGTCCATAAGCTGGGCTTCATTCACAGGTACGTCTCTGGCCAGAAGAAAAGATGGTATACGTGTAACTCGGGCCTGGGGTAGGGGTGCTGACAGTGCAATCCGCACCACAGAGACATTAAGCCTGATAATATCCTCCTCGACCGCGGTGGACACGTCAAGCTGACTGATTTCGGCCTGTCGACGGGCTTCCACAAGCTTCACGACAACAACTACTACCAACAGCTTCTGCAGGGCAAGTCAAACCGGCCTCGCGACCGTAACTCGGTCGCCATCGATCAGATCAACTTGACCGTGTCGAACCGCGCACAGATCAACGACTGGCGCCGGAGCCGAAGATTGATGGCCTACTCCACCGTCGGAACTCCCGACTACATCGCGCCTGAGATCTTCACCGGCCACGGATACAGCTTCGACTGTGACTGGTGGAGTCTGGGTACCATCATGTTCGAGTGTCTCGTAGGCTGGCCGCCATTCTGTGCCGAGGACAGCCATGACACATACCGCAAGATTGTCAACTGGAGGCAGAGCCTGTACTTCCCAGACGATATCACGCTGGGCGTGGAGGCGGAGAACCTGATCAGGAGGTACGTATTTTATATATATATGACATGCGATGAGCAAAGTCTCGATACTGACCTTGGAAAACTCAATAGCCTTATTATCAACACAGAGAATCGCCTGGGCCGCAGTGGTGCGCATGAGATCAAGAGCCATGCTTTCTTCCGCGGTGTTGAGTTCGACTCGCTGCGGCGGATCCGGGCTCCGTTCGAGCCGCGCCTCACGAGCAACATCGACACGACATACTTCCCCACGGACGAGATCGACCAGACCGACAACGCCACGCTTCTCAAGGCGCAGCAGGCACAAGTCGCGGCTCAGAAGATGGGTGAGGTGGAAGAAGCTCCGGAGATGAGCCTGCCGTTCATTGGTTATACCTTCAAGCGGTTCGACAACAACTTCCGATGAGCCTATGGTCCAAGAGAGTTGGTTCCTGCTTTGGATCTTCTTTGCCATAGAGGCCGGGATATCTCATGCCATGCCTGGCCAGTGCGAGCACTCGAGGCGGCTGCTTTATCCTCCGCATACAAGCTATCCTCCTCCCGAAACCTATGTCTGTTCTTTTTTTTGGTGCATTTTCAAATATTCCTGCGCATATATAACAACTCTGCATACTCTCAGCACGAAGCATTCTGTAAAGGCGGGTCAGCGAAGCACGGGCAACAAACCAGACCTTAGTCGTCTTTTGGTTGCCTGTTGGGTGGAAGGAGCATGGCACAGATGTATGAGGCACGAGTAGGGATAGACGGGATGAAACGCAATGTCAAACGGAAATGAGTAAGATCACTAAGAGTACCAGTCAATTATGAGCATTACAAGCAAGCATCGAGACGAAGGGCGGGAGGAAAAAAAAAGAGAGACAGAGAGAGAGAGAGAGAGAGAGAGAGAGAGAGAGAGACCCCACAGAAAGGTATGCAAGGCAAGGCGTTGGATGATGATGTGAAGACGGAACGGTGAGCTGTATGCATGTTGAGAAAGTCACAACCCCAAGACGGGATGCATGATAGAACTTAAAGTCATGATGATAGATGGATTGGCTGGCAACGGATCGCTTGACCAAACTTGCATAAGACTGTGATATATATCGTTTCCTTCAGTGAACAGGCCAGAATATCACAGCCTCCGCCTTTCGTCCTTGCTGCTCCTGCCTATTAATATGGTGAGCACTTTCGGTGGTCTAGCGGTTTCGCGCTGTATGTTTCGAAGAACCCTGATGACCGTCAGTCAGCCTATGAAGACCTGCCATGCCGCTTGCCAATCATGTCTTACACTGACTTGCGCCTGATCTCCGTGCGTGACTGCGTATCGACTCTGCCCTTGAGGGACGGCCGGTCGTCATCGGATGCCGCCCATTCATTCGCCGTGATCACCTCTCTGTGCGCCGTGTGAACACCATTTTCCCAGGTCCTTTCTTTTCCACCCCCCCCCCCCCCCCTCTTCCTCTTCGGTAAATATTATTGAAACATGACTGCGCTGTCGTGACACGTCCATCACTTCGACGACATCCTCACCTCCTGCCACCCAGACCCGGCGCAGCATTGAATCTCTCCTCGCGCTCCGTCATAAACATGATCTGCACCCAAAACTCCCTTGCATCCGGGTCCCAGAACTCAAACTGCCTGTCCTCGCGCTTGTCCAGCTCGCGGGCCGGGATCTTGAAGCCGCACGTCTCGTAGGGCTCGGCGGCGACGCACAGGTACTGGAAGTCGCGGTCGGGCTCCTCGACGCGCTGGCTGAAGGCGCTCATGATCTGCCACCTGGGCACGACGCCCTGGCCAATGTCCGGATACTGCAGCTGGAACAGCAGCCCCTGCTGCTTGGTGACGGGGTCGCGCACCTTTGTGATCTTGTAGCCCGGGCGGCCGATCTTGACGACGTTCCTGCGCGGGGTGCCGCCGGCGCCGAGGCCCAGGGCGCCGAAGCCTGCGCCGACGACGCCGACGGGCAGGCCGGTCTGGGGGTCGAGCTGGGTCTTGCCCTCCTTCTGCTCCTTGGCGGCGCGGCGGGCGAGGTTGGTCTGGTGCTTCTTGCCCTGGGTGTGGGCCAGGTAGGAGCCGTCGTTCTGGTGGACCGTCAGGCACAGGCGGCACTCGAAGGAGCCGACGTGGTTCTTGAAGAAGTAGGGGTCCTTGTCCAGGTCGATGGTCTCGAGGGCGAGCTTGCGGAGGCGCTCGCGGCGGTCGGCGTTGGTTGCGCTGTGGGAGGCGACGCCGCCGCCGCCGAACTTGGAGCCGGCGCGGTTTTGGTAGTCCATTAGGGGTGTTGGGTTGTTGTCGAAGGGATGATCAAGAGGGATGTTATTTTCTCGTCTTCTCCTCCTGCTTTGTTCCAGTCGTGGTGGTGAGGCGAGGTCGGGGTCGTCGTACGTGTTTTGTTGGTCGTTGGTTATAGTAGCAAGTCCGTCAAGTTAACTTTCGAAATGTTCCTGCCGCGGGTTTCATGGACTAGTCTGGCGCGGCTGGCAGCGCTGCCGCTCTAGGGGTGTGCAGCGCAGCAGCGGCTCCTCCCGGCATCGACCCCCCTAAAAGTAGCCACGAACGCCCCACTACTAGGAAAGACCAGGACCCTAACGCCTAGCTCACTGAAGCTTTTAAGCCGTCCCAGCCTGTCCTTGACATTCCACCAAGTACAGACCTCGTCTATTCTTCATGGCGAGCTTACCAGAAAGTCCACTGAAATTTCGCATGGTAGTGGCTTTGTCTTGCTTCAAGTATGGCATGGTAAGCAATGCTTCTAATTAATCATCTAGACTAAGCTTATTGACATAATTGTTTTATTGACATGCGTTGCCAGAAATGAAGGGGTCAGTTCATTGTTCCTAGTCAGACAGGAGGACTATTTCGACATCATGGAAGGTTGAAACCCAAAGTGTATTTCGAAAATGACGGTCTCCCCTGGGCCAGAAGCGGAGGACAACGTGCCAATGAAAGGCTGCTAAACGCTGCGTGTCCGTCCCTCATCCTCTGCTCTCCAGACATGACCATCCAGAGACGGAAGCCTTTGTCGAGCGTCTACGGAAGGAAGTGGTGGACCGCATGAGACGAAGGATATCTGTATATCCTGGCCAGCAGACGGTCCAAAAATTTGTCTTTCTTGGACATCATACACGAGCAAGAGCCTGATGTCTGTTCAAGAAGGCCTCCACACACCCGACAAACCTGTCCAGTTCCTCCTGCGGCGTCCCAAGAATCAGGGCATATATGCCTCGCTGCGTGAGCCAGAAGCCCTCCTCCATCATCTCGAACCAGAACAGCTGCTTCAGCGTCCCATCTTCCTCCGTGCACCTTTGGATGGCCTGAAACCCTTGCTCCGTGAAGTGTGACCCGACCACGGCGCCAACGCCAGTGAAGGACATCTTGGTGCCCTGAGTCAACGCGAGCAGCTGGGCACGCAGCCGATCCCCTTGCGCATTGAGGTCCCTGCAGGCTTCGGGCGTGTACACTTTCGTCAGCCCTGCGTGGCCCGCGTGCATCACAAGCGTGTTGTTGTTGAAGGTGCCGTGGTGGGCCAGGGGCAGCGGTTGTGTCGAGGCTAGTCTCGGGTCGAAGACAGACATGATCTCTGCCCGACCGCCAAAGGCGCCAAAGGCCAGGCCGCCGCCGAGGAACTTGCCAAAGGTCTTGAGGTCGGGTTGGATGTGGTAGACTTCTGCCAGGCCGCCAGGCGCCAGACGGGACGTCATGACCTCGTCGAGGATGAATAATACACCAGCCTGTAAACCGGAAGAGGTGTCAAAGTCTGCTCCAACCAAACATGAGAGGGCGGAGGAACAGCATTTCTCTTCTTCTTCTTCTTCTTCTTTTTCTTTGACTTACGTCTTTAGCCACAGCCTCGATCGTCTTGAGGAACTCATGCGTCCCTGGAATCGCGCCTCCACTGCCCTGCATCGCCTCCACGAGCACAGCCGCAACATTTTCCCCACGAATCGCCGCCTCCGCACCTGCGCTGTCGTTGTAATCCACCACCACCCACTCCCCTCTGTCCACCGCCCCCGGCCCAGGTCTGCCGCCTGCAAATCCGAGCACCCCGCCATGATACCCAGCAGAGAAGACGACAACGCGCCTCTTGCCCGTGTAGGCGCGCGCGGCCACGAGAGCCTGCAGATTGGCCTCGGTGCCTGAGTTGCAGAAGCGCACGCGGTCCAGGGCAAACCGCTCGCAGAGGGTGGCGGCGTAGACGTGCTCTTGGGCAGTGGTCGCGCCCAGGCTGAGGCCTACGGTGTCGAGAACGTTCTTGATGGTGGTGATGATGGTGGGATGAGAGTGCCCGTACAAGCCTGCCGTCAGCTCGCCCACCATATCTGTGTATCTGTGTGTTTAGTGTTAAGAGAGGATATTTCTTTTTGTCTGTCTCCCAATTATATATACATATGTCTCTAGGTCGCTTTTATCTTATATTTATATATGAGATGTACGTGGTGCTTTGAAGGGGAGGACTCACTTACATATGACCATCCTCAGAAGTGACCTGATATCCCTGGCCAGACTTCATGTACACGGGAAAGGGAAACGTGTACAGCTGCGTGCGTGTGTTGCCGCCGGGTAAACTCTCGACGGCCTGTCTGTACAAGGCTTCGGAGCACGGGTTGCGCGCCTTGAAGCGGGCGATAGCTGCGTCGAGGGCATCTTCGGCCGACATGCTGTCCTTGTCGAGTCGGGCACGAGGCTGCCACGGTGTTGGCTGTAGTCGTCGTCGTCCCCTATGTTTATCCTGTTAAGATTTTCTTGTATGTATGCAGACAGACCTGCCGTGTACAGCATTCCAGTTTGGAGGGAGGACTCTACTAGTGAGGAGTGAGGAGACAGAGACAGAGGTTCTAAAAAGATGGTGTTGAAGGGAGAGAAAGGAGAGCTATCAATTACTATATTGTAATACTACTTGCTTCTTATCCGTGCCGGCCGTTCACGCAGCGGGCTCATCAGATGCCGGCGGTACTGTATCAGTGGCGGCGGCTCCGGCTCCGGCCTTGCGGGGGGCCGTTGGGGCTTAACTTTAAAATAAGTGGAGGGTTTTTAGAGTAATATATTCTGTTGATCGTTCGTTCCTATGGCATGTGTAGCACAATTCTCTTTGTCAACACTTATTCATGCCATTCACAATCCTTCATCTTCGAGAGAAAACACTACAGTCTTGCAGTCTTTGATTGACTTCGCAGTTGCTCTGGGGTATCAGTTTAGATTATGATATTATATATAGTCGAGTCAAAAGAGAGTTCGCCCTCGCTAGGTGTAAATGCAATGAGGTTTCAAACACACAAAGACGCTTCTTGACCAATCTTCTCTCGCTACCACGGGGCACACACGCATCTCACTTCCCTCCCTCGTCCTCCTTCCTTCTACCTCACCAAGTAGGCTCGAGGTGATTTCACGTTTATGCGTAGCTCGGCCCCCCCGTCTTGAGCGACAAAGAGCCTGCAGCCGAACCACCAGCATGAGGCGCCCCAGCGGGCGCAGGCGAGTAGTATCCATAAGCCTCCGAGCCGGGAGCAGCCGCAGCCGCCGTCTCACCACCGGTAGGGCCCCTGACCTGAGCGGGCGCAGGATGCGCGATCTGGGACTGGCGGCGAACAGCAGCAGCAGCCTGCGGCGAGGCGACCTGCGTGTAGTACGTGCGCCCGTCGGCGGGGCCGTCGGAGGCGACGAGGTAGACGACCTTGGTGAGCTTGCCGTACTTGCGCCTGCGGTCCGTCTCAATGCAGGCGAGCACGAACAAGACAAAGTGGGCGACAGTCAGGAGCACCGAGAAGGCGACAAGAGACTCGAGTAGGTGGAAGTATCGGTTGGCCTGGCCGAGCGAGGTGAAGGTGTCGAAGCCGCAGTAGACGTAGCTTTCGCCGTTGTAGTAGTCGAAATTGCTGTCGCTGCAATTGGCGTCGACGGACCAGTCAGCAAGGGTGTAGGACAGGCTGAAGGCGAGGGACACGGTGGCCAGGAGGGCGAGGATCCAGAGGATCAGGTGCACGCCGACGTGGGCACCTGGGTGGATGGGCCGGTAGATGGAGCGGCGGGCCATGAGGGTGATGTCCTCAGCGACCTGCCAGACAAAAGAGGCGCCGGCCTAGAGACAGAAACAAAAACAAGGGTGTCAGTACAGGTAAGCCTGTTCACACAGGACAGTCAACGCAATACACTCACAGCAGCAGCCATGATGATGGCCCCGAGCCACGCGTCGAAGTAATAGAACTGCGTTATAACACCGACTGACAGACCCAAGGTAATGACGGCGAAGACGAGGTTGAAGCCGCCCAGGACGAGTTTCCCCAAGCTAAATGGTCTGCTGGGCTTGAACTTCTCGACCGGGGGCAGTTCAATCGGCTGGAACTGCGACTGTCTGACAGCCGGCTGGGCTGTCTGTGAGGAGGGCATGTTGCTGAACTGGGCCGGGGCCGGTTTCTCGGGGATGCTTGCCGACGGCAGAGACATGATGAAGGAGTCTTTTTTGTTGTCGTGAACGAGGTCGATGCGATGAGATGAGACGGAGTTGCTCGTACAGAACCACTCCAACGATTCAACCCGGACTAAACCTATCCAAAACACACACACAGAGACAGACACAGGAAAAAGTCTCTTCTCCTTCCCTGTAGTAGTAGATTGTGAGATTCTATAGTCGAATGTATGGTCGTTTCCAGGAACTTTTCGGCTCAGATGAACAAACTGCGTGTAGCGAACGTAGCTAATCAAACTCCCATGAAAGACAAGAAGATGACTGGAATATAGCAGAGAACAAAGGACATAGCAATACACACGATGAAAGGAAGATAAGGTGGAAGGGGAGGAAAAGGACGAGGATGCGTCTTGTCAAATAAAGAAAGGATTGAAATCAAACAGTGGCTCCGCCACCCACTTCTCGGTCTTCGTCCTCGCATAGTGTGCCCATCTTATTCCTGCCTTGGCTGCTTGCTTGCTGCTTACCTAGTATCGTGGCACGGCTATCGTTACAGTAGGCTCAGGCTCACTCTGCGACAGCCCAGTAAGAAAAAAATAACGAAAAAAGCGGGCGCAGTCGTCTCATGAGTTAACATTAAAATTAAAGTAGATAGTTGCCTGCACAAGCGATTTGACCCGACTGGCTGGAGTTGATCCTCACTAGCCTCAGCACTGTCCAGCTAGGCTTCAACAAGCACCAGCGCCTTCTTGGCATGTCCTGCTAAGCACATCAATCCGTATCTGGCAAGGCGTGTGTCTTGCAGAGGGTAGTAATCGTCTAGGAAGGAGAGAGGAAGTCTCGACGGGTTTCCCCCTCTCTAAGTTCCTACTCTTTCTGTTGCTTGCGCCTCATCCTTCCTTTGCCCCCACCCCACATCTTATTTCATTGCCCAGATATCTTCCTTCCTTTGGGGCGAGGTCAACGGCATTTAAATGCACGTCATGTGTTGAGGAAGGTCAGAGTGATCGACTTTTCTCTTCTACAGGTGAGAAACTGGTGTCTTGGGGGGGGGGGGGGCGGGGGGATAAGAATAACTAGCCATCCAATTCATTCGGATGGTCTTCCTCTTGACGCTGAGCAGCTCACTATCGTGACGAAAGTCGGCTAATTCTGGGCCTTCAAAGGAAACAAAGGTCGATCGAGTCTCCATCCAGCAGCTGCTATTTATGCTGCGCAAAAAAGGGGTCCGGCACCCGCTGCCAATTCGTTCTCCACATTAGGATCAAGGACGTTTCCACTCGTTTTTCCGATGAAGATCTGACTGACTGACTGACTTGGCTGTTGCCTCGTGTCGATCTCGTCTGTTGGTCTGTTGGTCTGTTGGTCTGTCGGTCTGTCTGCCTGTTCTTCCAGGCGGGGAACCGTTGGCGGTGACGATGGCGGCGTTCGCCAGTCTCACTATAGAGCTCCGCCTTACGGTTTACAGGCTGGCCCTGACGCCAGAACCCGGCGTGTGCACTTTTTCCGTTTACGACTATCTCCGAAGATCCCCAATGTATGGTGCCCCGCTTACCACGGCAGGGGGAAACGCCGTCTGGCCGGTCCCCAAGCGGAGATTCGCAGCAATTGCACACGTCTGCCGGGAGTTTCACGACTTTGCCTTGCGCTTCTTTCAGCAGGACTACTACGGTCATGACAATTATTGCGCCGTCCCCACAGACATTCCTGATCCCACTGGGCTCTCGTATTATGTGGGGAGAGCAACCCGCCCTTTGCAGCCCGACACGGACATGCTCTTCATCAACACGGCATCTGACCTCCTTGAGCTGCTCTCCATCCTCACATCCGCAAGCGCATATTCCAAACCAGCCGCCATGATCCAACACCTTGCCCTGTCGCGGCGGTGTTTCGACCCGCTGGACAGCGAATTGTTGCACCACCACACTTCCAACCTCAGGTCACCCCCGGACGTGGTGAACCCGAGCGCGTGGGACTTTTTGACGCAGGCGTCGTGTATATTCTTCGACTTTATGGGCCTGTGTCGGATCTCCGTCGTCTACGGGACGACATGGGCGACGATGTCGGGAGAGCTTTCGGATGCATATGAGTCAGACCGGGTATTGAGGCCCCAAGGGAAGAGCATGGGATGAGACAAACAGGAACTGCTGGAACCAGGCAACACCCCTTTACGATGTAGTGCCTGATGTTCAGATGATCGACTTGGAGACGGAGGAGGAGGGGGAGCAGCGGCAGCGGCAGCAGCAGCAGGGTGACGTTGTGACCGCATCCTCGGGCCAAACTTCCAGCACAAGAAGCACAGCAGACGTCAATGCCATCTTCGACAAGCTGCGCGCTGACCTCGAGCATATGAAGCAGCGTACCCTGCCCCCTCCTTACTATCTCTACGACGACCCAGACCTACACGACGTGACGCCTCGTGAGTTCAAGCTAACCGCCAAGCGCATGGTCAAGAAGGGAGATCTCCGCGGGACACTTGAACCAACGCGAGCTCACTACCAAGACACTGGCCTGGACCACACTCCCCCCCGAGGTGCTCCCGGCTTACAGCGCGGCAAGTAGAGCCGCCTATTCATCGTCGCCGTCGGCCCCCCGCAGGATGTGAAGGAGGTCTTGAAACAATTCTTTGCTACAACCCACGTGAGGTGGGAAGGAGAGGGAAATTTCCTCCTTGCGAAAACGGTTGGTATCCGTGGGCAGTTTCATTTTTATCCTAATGACTTGATGACCAAATATCGGGAGAGAACAACATGCTTGACAGTGAGCACCAGGAGGATCAGGATTTCATGAATTATGATCAAATCAAAAAGTCTTGGGCATTTTTCTAATTAGCAGTGGGTATCGAAAGCGATATGTACCTACGCCCGATGAAAAACAGGCAGACATATCTCGAAAAGTCTACCACATACATAGTCTATCCAGGCATAGACACGAAAACAAAAAGAAGGTTGTGAACGCCCCATCCATGTATTGTTATGTACCAATTCCGTCGCCTCCCTTATCAGGCAGGCCAATTCAACACGACCTCTTCATCTTATCCTCTTGGACCTAGTCTATCCCATCTAGAGGAGAGAGAAGGCAGCACCGACCACGGCAACCGCGGCGAGGGCCGAGGAGCCAAGCTTCAGGGCACCGCTGGTGGTCACGGAGGAGGAGGAAGACGCGGAAGAGGACGAGCTAGAGCCCGAAGACGAAGAGCCCGAAGAGCCGGAGGAGGTGCCGGTCGACGTCGCGCTGGAGCCAGAGCCAGTGGTAGTGCTGTTAGAGGCACCAGTGGCAGAGGACGAAGCAGACGAGGTGGTGTTGGTGGAGGAGGAGGTGGTGGTGTCCTCAGCAGGGCAGGTCAGGTTGAAGCGGGCGGTGGTGGACATGTCGTCAGAAATGGCGAAGGTCTCGTTGTTGGACGCGTTGTCCTCGACGAAGTTGTACCAGAAGGTAGGAACCTTTTTTTCGTGCATACATTAGCATCAATCGATCAACCTGTTGAGCAAGGGGGGGGGGGGGTTATCATAGCAGTAGTAGTATGCATACCTTGTTGAACAGCTTAGCGCAGCCGACAGTGTCCCAGTAGGTCTTGGCATTCGCAACGGAGGCAACAGCCTCATCCCATGTCTCACCAGAGTAGGCCCAACCAGTCTCGGTCACCCAGACGTCCTTGTCGCCAGCAACACCGACGACGGCGTCGTAGGCCTTCTGGAACAGGTCGGGGGCATTCTCAATGGTGTTGCCATCACCAGTCTGGTAGTAGGGGTACTCGTCCACACCGAGCCAGTCAACGGCGTCAATCACGGCGCTGTTGGAGGAGTTGGTGAAGGCGTCCCAGGTGTCGACGTGGCCGATGGGGACGTCAGCCATGGGAGTGCCGGCGAACTTGGTCTTGTAGTCGTTGATGAAGCCGACGATGGTGCTGGGGTCGGCACCGACACCGGCCTTGTTGGCCACACCGGTGGCCGAGTTGCGGTAGAGATCCTCAGAACCGATCGAGATACCGATGACGAGGTTGGTGAAGTCGGTGCCGAGGGCATCGACACCAGCAGCGAGGGCGGTCAGCTCGTTGTCGATGCTGTCGGTGCCAGAGGCCCAGATACCGAGCAGGACGGTGGTGTTTGTGGCAACAGCGGCATCGAAGGCCTCGATGGGGCTGTTGGTGGTGCCGCCCTGGATGTTGGTGTAGAGACGGATGGAGTTGAAGGTGCCAGGAGCGCCGACGAGGTTGGCAGCGTTGGTGAACTCCTCAACCCAGGTGGACTTGACCTTGTAGGAGCCGTCCAGGGCGGTCGAGCCCGAGTTGAAGCCCAGGTAGTTGGTGGCGGCGGCAGAGGTAGAGGCCACGAGGGCGCTTGCGGCGAGGAGCTTGGAGGCCATTGTGAGGGTTTGGTTTTGTTTTTGTTTGGTGTCGTCTGCTTGACTTTGATTTGTTTTGGGAGGGTTGAGGGAGAGAGCGGATGGACGAAGATTCGTTCAAATTAATTGATTGGTGTGGAAGTGAGAGATGGAGGAAAATGACTGTGTCAAGAAAAGAGAGTCGGGCAGTTGGGCAGCCAAAAAGTGTGAAAAGAGAAAAAAGATGATGACGGAGAGAGCAAATGCAAGTGTGGTTTGCTTTCTCAATGAGTGTGTATGAAGAGAAGGAATTAGAAGAGGTGTGTTTTGCAGAGGATGCGGTGGGATGAGATGGGATGAGGCAAAGGAAGAAGAAAAAAAAGAAAACGATCTGGTCTGGGCCACTCAGACAGGGCAGAGGAGGAAACCTTGGCAGGGTGGATCGGCGGGTCCCTTGCAGGCTGGTACCCCGTCCTTGCGCAGCGAGATTAAAAATAGGGGGGATCATCCCCTAAAGGGAAGCGGCTAACCAGGGGTAGGCCAATCAACTGCCCAAACACGGATTGCATACCCGCGCGGCCCCTGCAGTAGAACAACGCCTACAAGGGGGGGTCACTATGGCCCTGGGAATAGGGTTTGTGGTAAGCCCCGTTCAGGCCCCCCCTCCCCAGCCGTGGTCAGGCCCGCCGCCAGAGTACTATGATTGCAAAAGTGGACGCAGGTGGTACTGCTTATAGTATTAACCCTTGGCGATCCCTTGCCACTCGGGCTTTCAGGTCGCCCGTGTCTTTCCTTTTGTTTCGTTTACACCGCAGATCATTTCATGAATTGGCTGGCATTCATTCTTTCCACTTTATTTTTCTTCCTTTTCTTCTTTCTTTTTTTCTGTGGCTTGCACACGTGAGAGACAACCCGAATAAAATGAATCATGCGTCGCATCCAATTCTTACATGCATGCATGGATCAACTGCTGGAGATCTTTGATTGCCGATCCGGGCAGGCTTGCTGATGAAATCTGAACCGTCGAACAATGGTATAACTATAGTACATACCACTGTAAGGATGTTTTACCTAGTATGCCCTGAAGTACCAGACATACCAGAGTATACGTATTTGCCAACTCGCCTGTGTCATGCAATGTGGGTCGAGGCCGCAGAGGCACTCTCCGGAACCCAAGACTGGGAACCGTCAAAACCTAAGCTTAACAGAAGCCCACAGAAAGAGGCAGTGCACGTGCTAGAGATCTTGGAAATTACCCCCCACCCTTCCCAGGACAAATTATGAGATCCATCCACAGGGACGAGGAACGGAAGAGGCAGCCCAAACAACACCTACTCTCATTTCTCTCTCTTTTGCCATGCACGTCATCGAAGATTGATATATCCCGTCTTGAGCCCAGCCTGTAGAATGTGACAACGACCGGTACTATTTCGCAAACTAGAGGCAGCTAGACGCGTGCATGAAATGAATGTTACTTGTCCAGACGCGTATGATTTGAGTGTGTTTTGGTCCAACAGGAACGGTCAAGACTTCCAGATCAGTGGGATGCTGTATGTTGCTGGCAGATAACTACACATCCTTCCAGACGGTGTTGGATGACAGACACCTTCCTCTAGGATCCGGCCGCCATAGGGGGCTACAGAACGAATGCAGCCGATGGTTTTTGAAACACGGTCCTGTCCAGGGCCCGTGGCCTGGTCGAATGTCAGCTCCGACAATGCTCACCAGCATAAGTATCTTACCATGAGGACACTCGGTTTGCAGGCCTTCCAGGCCGAGGTCCATCTTATTTTATCATCATAAACCCTCGACGGCCAAAAAGTTCACCTTCTGAACGGTGCCATTTTGGGAGATAGAGAGATTGTGTTCAGCGTCGAGAGTGTGCCCAGCATCATAACAACTCTTTTGTTTTTTTTTTGTCCCTGCTTCGCAATCTGACGGTGAACCTGTTCTGTTCCGAGCCTTGGGCAGGAAGGGGCCACGGGTGATGGTCCCACTTGTTCATTTTCTAAAAATTTTAGATATCTGGTCTCTTTTCTTGGTTGCTACATATGCAGCAAGATCACAGTGGAAGAAGCCTACTGTCTTGTTGGAAGTCAATGTCGCCAGGTCTGCCACGTTGAGTCTACACAACTTCGTTCCTTTTGCCTTTGTACACTCTTGGCTGCCCAGCTGGGCTTCTTATGGTCAGGTGTGCCCCACGGTGGGTGTCGCGGTGTTCTTCTTGTCGTCCATTTCCGTATCCGTTCGGACTGTCATATTCGGCACATGATGTCCAGATCCTTCTCTCGCGTCTAGGACGTCCTGGAAGGCGCATGGTTTTGCAACAGGGCAATGTGTGTTAGCCTGGTACTATTGCACTGTCCCAATGGCCCGCCATCGGTGTTTCCTGCTGTCTACCTTGTTGGGGAGAGAGAGTGTGTGCGTGTGTGTATGAACTTTTGATAGTGAGCTGTACAGGGAGGTCAGTCTCTAGATATGCAACTGGGATTTTTTTCTACTTCTTTTGCTCGGCGTATGGTTGCTGGAAAGAGGACGACGTGCAGAGAGTATCCTCCATCTGGCAGGACAAAAGCCCCTGGGAAAAAGCCGTTCCCGTCAAACCATCACCAACCGTGCTGGCTCTTCTGGCTTCGGTTTATCCTTGAGATGGCTTTCCTGAGAACGACATTTGTACCGTTTGATAACAGCCTGCACAGCTGAGGTCACCTACATAGTCGACATCACTTGTTAACAACTCGAGCAAAGTGACGGGGTAGGAGTACCTCATAGGAACAACAACAATCATATCAAACCCCCCCCCCCCACCCTCCCCAGCGCCAAAGCACTCACCTTCTTGCACAAACAGGTATCATGCTCCAGTGATAACAACCTACAAAACTTTGCCTCTCTTCAGTTCAAGAATTCCGCAACTTTTTCCTCGCACCAATCAAAAACCTCGCTCGCCCGACCCGATCCTCCCTCGTCCACCTTCCGCTGCGCCAGCACCAAATCTTCCCTCTGGCCCGGGTGCCACCGCCCATCACACGTCGCATACCGCCCCTCGGCCGCGTCAGCAAGAGTGACCGAGTCCGAGAACCCCATCCACAAGTACGTGTGTGCGCCTACAGGCGAAGGGTTCCTCAGCACAGGCCTAACACAAAAGTACAGCAGGTTCGGGGTGTACTGCCAAATATTCGTGGCATACGTTCAAGGGTTGCCGGCGAGATAGAGCACCCCAGTGGTCTCGGCGTAGCGGCGGGCAAACTCAGAGGCGATGAACCAGCAGGCTGCTTTGGACTGGCTGTACAGCTCTTTGTAGTCCATGGCGTCCTTGGCAGAGATCACGGAAGGGTTCGGGGCTTGCAGGAACTCCTTGCGCACGCCGTCCGGGGGACTGCCGGTGTCGACGAGGAGGGAGCCGGGGAAGACGGCCTTACGCTTCCTGGGGGGCTGCGCCGGGCTGTGCTGGAGAGGACGGGCGTGAGGAGGCGGGTTAGGAGGAATGGGCCCATTGTGTTGGTTGTGAAGTGATACTCGTGGCCTTGTTGTCCTGCGGGGGCATTCTTACGGCCGCCTGTACCCGCATTGTTGAACTTATATTAAAGTTTATTTTAATAGACCGTCAACAAGATCTCTTACCTATTTTATAAATTCCCTTGCAACAGTGAGAAGTAATGAGAAGAAGACTGACAGTATATCCAGACGACCTTCTGGTCCTTTTTCCCTTTCGAGGAATTCCAGGGCGGCTTTCTTGACGCTGCCAAAGTCCATCAGGTCGAGATGTATGAACGCCAAACTCCCCCGCTGTCTGCCAGCATCTTGTACTCCTTCCTTCTCGTCCCTATAGTGAGCTTTGATGCGGGCAATGGCACTCTCAGCGCGCTCCTTGGACCGGGTCAGGATGTAGACCTTGCCGCCTGCACCGTAGAGGATGCGCGAGAGCTCGTAGCCCAGACCGTTGGATCCGCCCGTGACAATGAAGACCCGGCCCGACTGGGGTGGCAGGGTGGCTTCCGTGAGAGAGAGGGCCGGCTGGCGGGAAGAACTGTGTCCAGATGGTGGAAAAGGAGACGGCCATGGTGGTGCTATGACGCAGGCTCTCCTATGACCTATGTTGTTCTTCGAAGGTGAGATTTGGAGTTCGTGCTTGCCACTCATCTCCTTTTGTGAGAACTCGAGTGTTGATGTAGCCATGGCTACTAAGCACTTATGCAGTTGGTTAGCTAGCGCTGTTGTTGGATATATAGCACTTATCAACTGTGGATTTTGACCGATGAGGTTAATTTCAAATACCACCTCCTATGAGATGATAACCTGCTCTCACAATTGTATATAGAAGTGAAATACAAATGCTTGAAGCAAACGAGTCTCTTGCTGCAGGTCATGTTCGAGACCTCCCAATGGAGGGACCGTCTTGCACGAGCTCTCTGTGGTCATATAATATATGTATAAAGACCCCTGTCGTCCCATCACCACTTGTTGTAGTCGGCAAGTTCTACTTCGTCCATAATCCAATCCAGCATGCAAGCTGTTACTTATCAACCACTGGCTCCTATTTAACCATCTTCAGCACATTCTTGGTGCTGAATCGCGTGCTGAGAATGTCACAGTCTCTGAATCAGTGTTTTTGCCATCATCAGATACTGACTTGAGGGCACAGGGGCCTCCCCTCACCCCGGCCCACACTGCAGAATCTGGGGTGTGACACTGCTGGAGGGGCATGAAGGACGGGGATTTTGCAGGTGATAGTGGGCTCAGCCGCCGGGGCCGCTCGTAATTATTTTTTGATTATTTTTTCCTATGTTTTTCTTTCTGTCTCCCAAGAACAGAGCCCGTCACACCCCCTCGTGTCAGTTACTAAGATTAACAATTCAACGTCTTGGCACATGGCTAAATCAATTGACATTGTACTCGACCCATCACCTTCAAAACTTCCACAAGCATTTGCATGTCGAATAATTACAGGAAAGAGAATAAGAAGAAATGCGCAAGGCATGCGACGGGCAGAGAGCTACCTGGTCCCCTTGCTTCCTGGCAAATATTTATCTGCGGTGGATGGGAAAACAGCCTGACGAAGAAAAAACGCACCATGTAACATGCGAGTGCCCTCGTCTGTCCTCGCCGCCCAAAGCAAAGCATCAGATCAGACCCTCTGTTTGGTTAGATATAAACTGATGGGCAAAATTATGAGCAGCGTTCTACTGCACAGGACAGCAGGGGTAAGGAAGAGGGGAGGCTGGGCTTGGCTTGGGCTTTGGTGGGAGGGGTTGGGCTAGTAAATTTTGTGGTCCCATGTTTCGGGCGTGCATTGTGTCGTGTGAGGAGAGCGCAATCAATTTAATCAGGCGGTCTGAGCATCTGGCCCCAGGCTTCTGCGCCTAAGTAGGTAGGTATTTGCCAGGGGGGGGCGACAACTGACCTGCGCCCAAAGGTGAGAGGAGTGTGACCTTTTTGAAATGGCGGTAAAAAAGGAGATTAAGAAAGGAAAAAAAGACTGAAAGAACTTTATCGAGACCTGCATATTGAGATTGAGTCTTGACTTTTAGACCAACGATACTCAAGAACGACAAAACTCTTCCTTGAACAAATTCATTCAGAGGAAACCATTCACACCGCCTACGACAAACTTGACGATTGGACGAAGTCCTCTTTCCTCAATCCTCCAAGAAGAAAAGAAATAAGTGGTTTGAACGAGAAGGATCCTACCATACCATGGCAACATCCCTAATTTCAACCTCTTCGTCGTCGCTCGACAGCCGCGTGCGACAGCAAGTTGGGAGCGCCTACTATGTCACCCGCAAATCTGACGACTCAAGCGCGTCAGACCGTGTATACAAGAGCCGCTACACATCGGTACGAATATGTATTTATTTTTGTGACTCTTCCTTGCTTCAATCGCTCGCTCATTTCCACACTCTTTCTCTGTTCCGCACATAAACACACACTTTCTTAATCATCCTCCCACGGTGCACACGGCCCGCAATTACTATCCCAACCCATCTTAGGAGAGACAGAAGAAAGAAGGAAAGGAGGAAGAAAAACAAGCCATTGACTCACCCTCAACAGATTTCCGTCCAAGAAGATATTCTCATCTCCAAAATCTTCTGGGTCAGGAATAAGGCTCAGGGCCTGTTCCGGCGCATCTCTACGGTCACCTCGCATTCATACTCGTTCTCACGCCCACAGCCGCGGCCGCGCGAGTACTCGAGGGGCCGGCCGCGGTATCGAGACTGGGAGTATTGAGGAGGGCGCGGCTGTTCAGCACGAATGATGGCAGCGGAAACATGACGACGAAATGATGTTAATTTTATTCTCTTCTTTTTCTCACCTTCTGGCTTTTTTTGGGGGGGGCCGCGAAGGGGGGGGGGGACGAAGAGGAGGGGCATGGGAAAATGAGGCTTATGAGGTTGGCATGAGGGCACGCGATGATGAGCAGCGGAGCTTGGCGCATTCTGGAGTGTGGCTTCCTTTTTTTATTTATTTGATCACGCGACCACTGGGTGCCTTCCTTCTGGCTCCCAACGATGAAATCGTGCATAATATTTATTCTCACAACACTCACTCAGTTCACGAAAAAGAAGCATTCGAATGACGATCCCATCATTTATAGAGTTCCCTCTTTCTTATTCTGGGCAACCGACTGTCTATATATATGTGTGTATATGCATATATCACTCATGTCGACGTTATATAAAAAAGAGAAAGGTCGCCCCGTTGTGAGGATCCGACCGGGTATCTAATAAGTAGGAGAAAACAGAAGCAGATTCCCCCCTCTCGCGTACACACAGCGAGTCTCAACCCGCCTGCGTGTGTTGTGTGGTACAAGCACAGCAGAAGATATATACCTTGGGCCACTTGGGACACAGGTCAACCCTCTCAACCCGCCTTAGCAGTCTCGACCTGGTCGACACCATCACTCTCGTTGCCGCTGGGCTTCTCGCTGTCCTTGCTCCCACGGTGCCGCATCTCACCATCGCCAAACTTCTGCGCCTCGGCATGCCCATCGTGGTGGTGAACACGCTCGACGGTCTCGATGAGGCCGTAGCGCAGGGCCTCGCGCTCGACCTCGGCATCGCTGAGGAAGGGCATTTCCTTGGCGGCCTTGACGTAGGACATGTTTTCGACGGAGCCCTTGGCGAAAATGATATCGATCTCCTCGAGAGAGCGGTTGGCCGTCTCGGGGTAGAAGATCCAGATCACGGGAAGGAAGCAGGCGTTGACCACGGCGAAGAAGAGGTAGGTGCCCCAGCCAATGTTGGTGATCATGATGGGCGTAACCCTGCAGAGAGAGAGAAAGTTAGTCGGGTGTGAGGGAAAAGGAAATATAACAAGCAGGCAAAATCTTACATGACGATCAGGAAGTTGAAGAGCCAGTTGCTGCAAGTCGACACAGCATTGGCCTTGGCACGGGTCTTGATGGGGTTGACCTCGGCAGGATACAGCCAAGGCAGAGGCAGCCAGGTCGCGCCGAAGCTGGCAATATACGTGAAGAGACCGACGGCAGCGCCCTTGGCAGCAGTAGGAGTGCCAGGGATCAGGCAGGCGAAAGTGATAATCATAGAGGTCATCTGGCCCACCGTGCCGATCAGGAACAGCTTGCGACGGCCGACGCGCTCAATAACGAACCACGAGACGGTAGCAAAGATGGAATACACAATCATGTTGACGCCACCCATGAGCAGGGCCATGTTGTGGGTCTGACCAATGGACTTTTGGAACAGGATGGGGAAGTAGTAGATGACAGCGTTGCAGCCGCCAATCTGCTGCATCAGCTGGGACGAGGCGCCGAGCATCATGCGGCGGAAGTGCTGCGTCTTGCCGTTGGTGAAGAGGGTCTTGTAAGGCGTGGACTTGGCGAAGCCACCCGAGGCACGGATGGAATCGACGATAATGTCACGCTCCAGGGCGGTCTCTGTGCTGTCGAGCTCGTAGCCGCGCAGGGCAGAGATGACAATCTCGGCCTCCTCGTAGCGCTCGTGGGTGAGCAGCCAGCGAGGGGACTCGGGCAGGAAGTACATGGGTATGGAGATGATGAGGGCAAAGATGATCTGGAAAGCGATGGGGAAACGCCAGGTGAAGTTGTCGGGTCCGTACGAGGCGCCATAGTCGATCCAGTAGGCGACGCAGGTGCCAAAGGCGATGACGCCACCCTCGATGCAAATCAGCAGGCCACGGTTGGTCGTGCGCGAGCACTCAGCCTGGTATGTGGGAATAGTCGAGGTGTTGATGCCATTGCCCACGCCCATGACGACACGGCCCACAATGAACTGGGCAAACGGGGTAGCGTTGCTCATGGAGGTGATCTGGATGATGACGCCGCAGAACATGATGGCTCCGCCTATGATGATGGCGCGCCGCCGACCCAGGAGATCACCCACGCCCAGAATGAACATGGCGCCAAAGAGACAGCCGATCTCGTAGATGGCCGTGGTGAAGCCCTGCATGGTGGAGTTGTCCCTGGTCGCAGGGAACATGTCATTGAAGGGGGCCGCCGAGATGATACCACTCATGACACTGCACGGGAGGACATTGTCAGTCTACGTTTCCCGAGTTGAAAAAATCACGTTGCTTATTTTCGGAGGGGTGTAAGGAAAAAGAGAGAAACCATACCCTTGATCATATCCAAAAAGAACGAAGCCGGTAGTAGCAATGGTGGAAACCAAAAGGGAGAGCGGCCTCCCTGAGAGGCCACAAAACTTGGGGGGCGCCATGGTTATCGATCCAGCCTTGATGATCTATGAAAAAGAATTTTGCATGCAGAAGACACGGGACAGACAAGACGATCTCTTAAGACCTCTTGAAGCTCGCTGAGCAGGAGGGGTCGACCGTCTGGGAAAAGGTGGAGGGGGGATGGTCGAGCTGGAGGAGGAGAGAGAAAGAGTGTGTTCAAAGAGAAGGAGGGTGGTGTCACGAAGGGCAGATGTGTTCTGTCTTATATGATCGACCTTTTCTTCCCCCCCCCCCCCCCACGATGCGATCTGACTTGGGCACTATGCTATGTAACAGTAAGACCAAGGCACAAGATAAAAGTTCCACCGTACGGCCGGCGTCTCGTTCTGATGCTACCATAAGAGTACATCATAGTCACTCTTTCAACATCCTGGGGGGCCAGAAAACCAGGGGGCACCCCCATGGACCTCGGGTACTGTGGGCAAAAAAGGCACGGGCATGCTCTGGCTGCCGTTCCGCCGATCTTCTCCCCACATTGAAGGGATGTTTGGTTGGTGTGTCCTTTTTTCTTTTTGTCAGGGAGCGTTGCTACAGTACGATGCTACGGCGTGCGTCCTGCAAAATGCAATGCGAGGCACTGTAGTGGACCAGAGACAAGTGATAGGCGGTGACAAAAGCGGGTGCAGGGTCCCTGAATATCATGTCCCCCGAAGCCCATGTTCGGCCCAGCAAGTGGTGGTGGCCACGCGTGCCTCGGTTTGTGTTTGCGGGGGAGTTTGGTGTATGTGGCATAATTAAACTCGAAAATTACTTTAGGTACTACTAATATGTACAGAATACTACTTCCTTGGTCGTAACAATGCTGGCCCGACCGACGACTCATGCAGGCTGCGAGGGGGGAATGAGACACGGGCTGAGTGTGATAGGGTTGAAGGCAATGATGTCGAGGAGGAAAGTGCCGTCATCTACTCAGTAACTCAGTATCTAATTTACTTACATGGGTGCAAGGTGCAATAACTTGGTGTGCAACGGCGGGCGGCGAGAGAAGAGAGAGAGAGAAAAAGAGCCGAGTAGAAAAAGCCAAAAAGCAATGAGGTCATCGTGTGGATTATTCTTCTCTCGGCGAAAATCTCCCTAGCCAAGAAATGGACGGGTTCCCCGCTCGGGGAAAGATCTGCCAGAGATCCTGTCCTCTTATGTACCATAGTATTTGCTGGTGTGGTGTTGGTTTCTGAAAGCTGAGGCCCCGCTTTCTAGAGTGGCTTGTCACGGCAGGGTGGTCAGCGGCTGAAGTTTCTGGTCTTGGCTGGATATTATTCGTCTTTCTCTTTTCCTAGGTCCTTTTTTTCTCTTTCTTTTTTCCTATACGGCAGGTCGTTGAGACGGATAGGTGAGGAGCCTTCAAAGTATTTGTCTGGACTGTGGTCACCCTCGGGCCTTGTCGGGATTCAACAAGCCGAGTTAATCCTTTCACATGTCGTTTGGCTGAGAAGACGCAGTCAGATTCCCAAACGCGGGGGGGTGGGAGGCGAGGTCGGTATGTCCCACTCTTTTTTTTTGGCGCTCACTCTCACTGCAGTGGACCAAATCCCCAGTGGGCCAGTTCTCTGTGCCATGGGGAAGGGAAAGCACAACTGGAGAGGTCTCCCAAGTCCCCATATTCCCCTCTTTCTGAGTCGTGATTTTTTTTCTGGGTCGTCCTTTCCTTGGTCACAAAGTTCTGTCCCGGGTGCCCACAATTGGTCAAACGGGCCCCCCTTCCTACTCCAGCTAGAGGAAGAGAGTACCGTAGGAACAAGCTCCACAAGCTTTTGAAGATCTTCTTGTCCGTCCAAGGCCCAACCCTCCAACAGAGTATGTGTGTGTGCGTGGATATTTGAATATCCATGCGACAACTTATCAACCTGGAAGAGGCTGAAAGCGGCCCGCAAGATTTTTCGCTGCCAAAACCCAAAACCCCTGTGCGCGACGGTTCAATCAAAAATGAAACCTTGCAACGTGCTGCAGCCGAGAGATGTTCGTCCAAGGCAGAGACGCAGATCTTTCTTCAGATCCGACAGGGGGGCAAGTCATGAGAAGTGAGGTGAGATGCTACGGTATCAAGAATACTACCACCGACAAGCTCAGACGGCCGGACGAACTAGGACGTATCAACGTTATCAAGACCGCCGCCATTGTCCGCCCGGTATTCCTCTCCTGATGGGCCACCGCGGATGGACCGACCACACACACTCAGGCACCCGGAGTGGAGGGGAATGGGGGACGCCTTGTCCACTCAGGACGGCTCACACGGAGTCATGTCAGCCGCGCCGGACGGTGTTGGTTCAACGAGAACCCACACGGTCCTCCGACCCGACCCGACCCAAATTCCCACCCCTTCCTTCTCGTTAGGAGCAAACAGAGTACTTTCTGTGAAACAGGAAGGGACAGATGAAAAAAAGAAAGAAAGAAAAAAAAAGGAAGGAAAAAAAAAACCTGTCAATGAAAATTGGACCTCATCAACACCATTTGTAATTGTGTTTCCGCTTTTGATCTCCGCTTTTGATAGGGATGCGTTGCAGCTTTTTGGACAGCGGTGAATCCTTTTGCTGTGCTTTCGCTCGTCTTGATCTTTTCCGTATCCCTGCGATATCCGAGCTCGTACAGGACATTTTCACAGGAATAAGAGAACGAGCTGAAATAAAAGTGTCCAACCGCTGGCGCTATTCGGTCAGTGCTCAGACTGGTGGATGATCTTTTCGTGATAGATCGCATTCTGTTATACCGGGTGCTTCATCAGACTGCTTGGTTGTTCGGAGGTAGCACTGGAGAATGAAGCGACGGCAGGACACGAGAATTCCTTCTCGGTCAACGTCCGGGCAGTTATTATCAAGTATGGTACACAGAAGAGCTGACTCAGATCCAACATTTCGACTCAGACGACGCGACGCAGCGACGATCAATGTTATTATGGTTGCATACGAATAAGCTGAATGTCACAGCCTCAAACCAGCAAAGCGCGCAACTCACAACGTGTATACTGGCTTAACGACACCAATTGATGTTCAACATACAAGCCAAAAGGTTTGAGTTAATGCTGATTGGTATGGATTTATGTGGAAATTATATATGGACAACCCTGGACTTCACAATTCCGTCGGTATTATTTACTCGTCGGGAATATCTTCCTCACCGGGCTCCTCATAACCTCCATCAGGCTTGGCACCACGAGTTCGTCCCTTGATGATGTTGGACTTATCGATGGCCTCGTTATCGTCACGTTCTATAATCGACAACTGTCAGCCTATTATGCCCGTTCGCCCGAGAAGGATTGGGGAGAAGGGGGAGGGGGGCTGCTTGAGCTACGCGCATACCAAGCTGGGCGTCAGAGTCAGCAGTAGCCTCGTCAATTCCCTCCTCGACAGGTACTTCGTCCTCCTGGACGGGGATCTGCTCCTCCTTCGTGGCATACGATTCCTCAGACATGGTGTTTGGCTGATGGACAGTGGGAGCAAGATAACAGAGACTGGGTTTGTGGAGCTGAGAGTAAAACGGTCCGAATAGGGAATTGTGGTTCTCGTGGGCCTGGGGAAATTCTGGGTGTGTGTGGGAAAGAAAATGCGGTTCTGTTGCTGAACTGTGGAATGCTCGTCCCCCAGGCTCGAAAGGAACCTGGGGATTTCCCCAGCCTTTTATTGTCGTCGACGACAACCCATTTTCCTTGGTGCGGGACTGGCTTGCAGACTGGTGCATATCATCATCATCATCAGCATCACCACCACCACCACCAGAAACCCACATGTCGCCCACGAGGAGTCTGTCCTTTGTCTCGTCGTGCAATATCTTCGATCATGACGACAACGACTCCTCGATGATGAATGGCATCGGCCGTTTGGGACGCGGAAGCCCCCTAAATTAGCACACAGCTGGCGCGATCGGGCAAAGACTTTAGAGTTTCTGCCGCTTCCCCAGACTGCCGGGACCGCTTAAATTATTCAATTCATTAATCAATGACTACCAGCAAAGCAGCGGAGCGCGATTTGCAGGTAATGTTTCGTCCTTGTGCTGCTCAGATGCTGGTCTCTCAACGGCGCGCCCCCCCTGGCGATCATTTCAATCACTCGGGAGCCAGCGTTTCCGGGAGGGACTCAATGACGATGGCGTTCAAGCGCGGTCGTGTGTATGTACGGGATCGATAGCAGTGACGATACACTAATTACACGAAGACCCGTTTTTTAGTGAAACCATGATGGCACGAAACTCCCACAGACAAGCTTCGATCGCGACGAGGCCAGCATTCATAGCGTACATCCAAGGCGTCCTTCACACAGCCTTCTTCAGACTTGTGCGTCAATGATATTTTCAGCCGCATCTGCCATTATGCAGACTGCTGATCGGCTGTTGAACCATGGAGAGGCTCAGTTCCCGCGGGCACTTTTAGGGCGCCTTGGTTCTAGGAGAAGGGTTACTTGGGACCAATTCTTTTTATGACATTTTATGCTAATTCACCTCTAAATGACATGGTCATTGTGTTTGGTAATTACCATGGCGGTATGCAGGGATGGTAAGGAATCAATGCCTGTGAAGGTCACCTCAACTTCAAGCCTTGGCCAGACTTGGTGTCTCTGGAGATACAGCAAAGGAGAAAATGGAATGAACCCTAACCCTCATGATAACTGGCCTCTCTCTGCCTATGAGTGTTTGAACACAGAATTACTGGCCCAGAAAGAGAACAATGATTGTTGCTGATGATAATGAAAAGCTGTCATCCAGTGAGAGGTGGCCTTGGGGGTAAAGAGAGCATGAAGAAGAAGACCATTCGACCTCCCCCACACCCCCCTCCCAAAAAAAAAAACCCCCCTTTCCAAGCATTGTTGATCCTGGTGGGTTCTCTAAGGTTTCCAGTGCCCACATGTTCAGAGCTGATTGTCAAGGAAAGTGGTACATGATGGGTGATCTCGGGCTTCAAACTTTGTCTGTAACTTGCGCAGTTCTGATCCTCTCTTGAAAGTCTGTCTCGCATGAAGAAAGGCACGGAGTGTGACTTCATACACATATTTCCCGTGTTGCGAAGAGAAAATGCCCATTTCCAGTAATAAATTAAATGTATGCCCAGGCAATACAGTTTCTTCACATACTAATTAGGGACTTGAAGCATAATTTGTTGTCAGCTGTCTCGAGTGAGAAGAAAGCTTGGTAGTTTTTCATGACAGTGAGCATGCCCCCAAGCACGACTACTCCGCCTCCCCAATACTCCGTTAGCAAAAACATTCTCCGAAAACTAATCCTGACGGTCCACTCGACAACTTCGGAGAGCTGCTCTTGTTTTATCTCAGCAGAGAGCGTTGTTGCGGCTGAACGCAGACAGTGAAGTTCTCACTGAGACAACGATGAAAGTCCACTTCATAGTGGGCGATATTTTCCAATGCAACTTTGTTATCGATCCCCGCTGGGATACCATCTCTGGGCATATGATGCCGTCACACGCTCGTACATCTGACTGGCATCGAACACTAACACTTCCGTGCCAGCTTACCTCGCAATTCCTACTACAATCAAATCTACGCTGACAGACAGGCAGACAGGCAGACAGACGGGCAGGGAGAGAGAGAGAGAGAGAGAGAGAGAGAGACCAGAAAGAAGAACAAAGGAAGAAACAGTAGCTAGCACCGAGAGTTCTACTCTCATAGTACGTGTGTTGCATCTGTTACACTATCATTTATTGTGCATATGAATTCAGTATAGTTGACTGACTTTTGGTTTGCAGGAAATCTTGTTTAGAGCAGTGAGAACTTGGAGGATGAGCATCAAAAATCAATCATGTCTTGCTCTCAGCCATCTAACAACAATCAGTCATCGATATGGCCTGGAGGGCCAGTACGTTGCTGACTACTAAGTATTTTCTATTCTTTCTCTTTTCTCCCCCAAAGAATACAAATAAGGAAATCAGCTTCTATGATACTTGATATTTTGTTTGACTGCTTTTCTTATGAGAAGTCAACCATTGAGGTGACAGCATATTGATGACCCAGTCCGCAACGTGGTAATCACTTAAGTACTTGTGAGTGACAAAAGGCAAATATAGCAGCGAGAGGCCACATGGTGTTTAGTGATCAAGTAGGCATCCTACAGAGGGTAATAGCGGGGTAGCATGCTGGAAATATGCCTCCAAAGGCACCATAGCGAGGGGCTGAGTCATCAAGGACCCTGCTGGAAAAATATACCAACATTACTACTTCCCTTTAAACCCCACTGCATGTGTCTCCAAATAGTTGCCTCGGCATTACGAGCAATGCGCCCAGCAGAGTAGACTCATGCCTCAATAATTATTTTACTTGTTGTGACAACCTTAATATTCACCACGCGTGATCTGAAAGACCGCGAGAAATTATTCCATCCGGTGTTTCTACTTGAGGGGCTTTGCCCGCTTCTTAGCACCATTACCAAACCATGGCATCGATCCCTGTGATCATTGGCGTGGCTGATGTCAAGAACAAAACGGGCCAGCACAAGGAGCCTGCGAATCTCATGCTTGAGGCTATCCTATCTGCAATAGAGGATACCTGCTCCCCAAAGGACCAGCTCAGATCCCAGATAGATGCCATCGACGTGGTGAGGACGTGGACATGGGCCTACGCAGATCTTCCCGGGCTTCTATCCGAGAAGCTGGGCCTTAGGCAGAGACCAAAATGGACGCGTTATACCGCAACCCATGGTGGAAATCAACCTGCAAAGCTGGTGGACGAGGCTGCTGTGCGCATCGCCAGAGGAGAGACGACAGTGGCGGTTGTGACAGGAGGTGAAGCCCTGGCTTCATGTGAGAGCCCCCCCCCCCCTCCTTCTCTTTTCCCACTTAGCGAATTGCCAGAAATGAGCCGCTGATACTGATTGTTCTGCTGCTTGTGGTCAGTGACTGCAAGCGCAAGGGCAGGCATTGCAGAGCCACCAGGCTGGACCAAGCCTGACACTCCGGTCCAGGACGTGTTCTCACCATCGACCGTGGATCTGGGGCAAGGTGGGTGTTCTCCTTTTATGACCAGACATGCACACACACACAAGAGCCTTCAGACTCCTCACACAGCTGCAATTAGAGAATATCGGTGGCATACATTCCATCGGCGCCCCAATACACATATACCCCCTTTACGAAAATGCATTCCGTGCACACCGTGGACAGACACCTCGTGAGAACAACGACGAGTCGGCCAGTTTATACGCAGATTTCGCCAAGGTTGCCGCGGAGAACCAATACTCATGGAACTATGGAAAACAACCCACCAGCAAGGAAGAAATAGGGACCGTATCCCGCAGGAACAGGATGATTTGTTCACCTTGTAAGTAATGAAGCCTCCCAGAGGGCAGAAACAAATCCGCAGTTTCTTGGCTTGGGGATTTCCTAGCTAATATGTTGAGACGCTAGATCCACTGCTCATGAACGCCTTCAACACCGTCAACCTGGCCGCTGCTTGCATACTCACTTCTGTCGAGAAGGCAAAGGAGCTTGGTGTTCCCGAGGAGAAGTGGATATATCCTCTAGGAGGGGCCGGGAGGAAGGAGAGGGAGCATTGTATGTCTTCTTGGATATGACAATTACCTTTTGCATCATATAGACTGACACATTGAAAAGTCTGGGAGCGTCCCAATTTCTTCCATAGCGAAGCGATATCCTTGGCGCTGGACGACTGTATGGCATCATCAGGAGTCAAAATTGATGACATTGATGCTCTTGACTTGTACTCGTAAGTGTCATGCTTCACCGCTGTTGCTATTCTTTCTTCACAGACCAGTGGTTCACAGGGTGCTCTCTACAGATGCTTCCCCATTGTCCCTAAGCTCGCATGTCATCATCTCGGTCTGCCGGTCCTCAACCCTATCAAGCCCCTTACTCTACTGGGGGGGTTGACATCTTTCGGAGGTGCAGGGAATAACTACTCGATGCACGTATGTACTACTTCTTGTCCCCCCCCCCTCTAATGCTCCACGGTAAGAGGCGTGCTGAAATATTCTCTTCAGGCCATCACCGAGATGTGCCGCCAGATCAGACACGGCAAGTTTCGGAAGGGGCTGGTGCTTGCTAATGGCGGGGTTCTCTCGTATCAACATGCCATCTGTCTATCTTCAGTATCGAGAGGGCATGGCTCGTTCTATCCAGACAGCCGTGTGAGTTCGGACGCGGTTGTTGATGAGCCAGCTCCGACGGTCGAGACCTTTGCAGAAGGAGAAGCACTTATCGAGGTCTGCCTGATCCCCTTCAAGGCCATCTGGAATAAGCAAGCCACACAGACTGACACGGAAGCAGACGTACACTGTTGAATTCGGCCGCGATGGAAAGCCAGAAACGGCTTTCATTATCGGCAGACTAGAAGCCAATGGCCGCCGCTTCGTTGCGAACCACGGAGACCAGCGGACGCTGCAACGAGTCTCCTCTGCGCTCGAAGAGCAGGTCGGCAAGAAGGGCTATGTGTCGATCATGCGCACGAGCAAGGGCGAGCCGGAACGGAACCTCTTCTTTTTGGGACCCAAGCCGGGATTGTAGATGTGCTGCTCAACGCCATGTAGAATTGATGCTAGATTGATAAAGGAAATAAAAAAAATAAAAATATGGCAATCATTGTTGCAACCACTTGTGATATGAAATCTATCACCAAAAGAAAACCACACATTTAAATCTTTACCAACCGATCGTACAGTCACCAGTTTTCCTATTTCCCATGTCTCAAACATTCAGCAATCAAGTTCTGCCACAAATTGAATCTCATGTGATTTTATGCAATGATCAAGTCGTCAAATTAGTCATTACCTTGCAAGAGACATGGACTATCAATGGGATAGCTGGCTTGGCGTCCTACGAGACCACATAATAACAACACTGTTATTATGAACCTGTCACTAGGGTCTGTTTGAGAAAGTCGCACAGAGCCTCTTGGCAGCGTCGCATCTTCCGGTTCGAGCCATATTGTAGCACAAAACAATGCACACTCGCCTATAGATGTTAACAAGGGCCCACTTCACAGAAAATCACCCCAAAACGTGAGACTACCAAGGCTACTCAAAAGTGTTAGAGGCGCAACTTGGCGACTTCCAAGCCGTCAAAGGTTCAAAACGCCAAGAGAGGCCAACGACCACAAAACAAAACTTGGGCACAGATGTTGTTGCCCGGCCTCTGTGATTGACTGAGGAGGGATTCAACCCATCGATTGCATTAATTAGGTAAGTACTGTGATCATCTGTCTTGTTGTCTATGCCCTTGCCAGCCTCTCCCCTTCTGTCCGTCTCCCAAAGCGTTTCGACCACCCACGGTCCTATAGCGAGACCTGTCACGTCTGAAGTCGCTTTCGGACAAGATCGATCACTGCCAAGAGGAAAAAACACTCAGAAATAGAAGCCAAGCACTGCACGATGTTCGCACCTCTTACACACTGATCACTTGGCCTGCCGGAGCTATGACTAGCCGTTTTGCCGTAGTATTGTTCTTCTTTTGGGGGTGAGATGGTTATGGAAAGACATGAGAGGCCAAGAAAGTAAGCATGCGAGCAAGCAATTGATCGTCGTGAATATATGTTCATGTCATCCCACTTTCCAAAGTCGAAACTGGTTCTCTCTTGGAAAATTATGAGCAGTGCTCCCTTTTTTGCCTTTCGTCAACCTGTCTCTTTCGTCGATAGATCTGGTATCACTTTTCTTCTTGTTTCGAAGCATAATTCTTAGAATCATTTTTCACAACCCTCTCACTTCTGATACCCCCATCCGTTCGCCTAGACTGGTATTTTCCCCATATCTGTTCTTTCAAGTATTATTATTGTGGATCTACGTCCGGTTACGATTTCCTCCTTTCAGCGTTAATTACCTGCCCATCGTACGACGAACCCACCCCAAGACTCAACCAAGATGCTTGTCAGATACAGCACCGTCATCGCCATGATGGCCACTGCGGCCATGAGTGCCCCTCTCAACATCAACCTTGGCGCTTATTCACCTGCCCTGGTAGTGGGTGATGGTGAAATCTCCTTTGCAGGCCAGCAGGGGGCAGAAGGCATTGTCAACACGCTGGAAGGTGCCGCTGCTGCAAACAATGCTGCCGTCGCTCAAGGCCAAGCCATTGCTCCTGCTGGAAAGGTTAGAGATCTTGCGGAGTCATCCGCTCTCAACGAGCCAGTAAGTTGGACCCGTCATCTTCTTTTCTTCTTCTCCCCTCAAACGACCAACCCAAGGTTCACAAACATTGATGCTGATCATGACCACCCACTTGGAACAGGCGTCCCGTGCTCTCCCAGGTTCTATGAAGGAGCTGGACCCCCGTGAAGAGGAGGAGGAGGAGCAGGAGGAGGCCGCCGTTGTGAAGAGACAAGAGGAGGGTGGCTTGACCAAACGTCAGGCGGCCGGCTTCGACCGCGCGCTACAATTCGCTGAGGCGGCCTTGACCAAGGGGCCTAAGATTCAGCTCGGCACGGAGGCAGCTGGTGTTGGCATCCTGGTCGACAACAACCCGACGCCCGCTAGTGCTGTGACAGCGGCATAGGAGGTTTTGCCTCCTTTTTCTTCTTTCTTTATCTGATTTTCTCGGTTTTTTCCCCTTTTTTCTCGAGCAGCACGGGCGCCATGTGCACTTTTCATCACATATACGAGGACGGATTCATGGCTGGGGGCGGGGCTTGGGTTGGGGGGGGGGGTGAAAGGAAAGGGGGTCAGGAGATGAGAGCAGGACAAAGGCGTGTTCCGAAAAACCCGGATGGGATGCTTATGGTTGAGCAGCCAGCATAACAAAAGACAGTCGCCAGGGAGGGAGATATGAAGTTGGATGGTTTGGGGGCGAAGAGGGCGCTCCGGCCATCTCGGGTGAGGCTCGAGGAAAGGGATGAGGTACCTGCATTGGCGTAGGGGCAGCGCATGAGGCGATGATGATTTACTACTGTACGCGAGCATAATATTGCCCATGAATATTGGCCCCATGGTCTGGGTCCTTTTTAGCAGAACCAACACTGGGCCCACAACATGAATACAGTCATGAGGTTACAATTCCACTTGCCGGGCGCCAAAACATGGAACAAATGGCAGAATTATGATTACTACTTATTGATTTCTTCACCCACGGTACTGTGTTCAATGCTGAAACCGGCTATTACTTCCGACTTGGGGTTTTCGAGGAGGGGGTGGCGACGCCAGGGAGTTTGGATGTGGCACATCCAACCGTAGGGCACCACCACCTCATGGTGTCAGGTAATGTGTGTAGGGCTGGGTTAACACATTGGGACAGACAGTGGGAAACTATTCATATCGTTTCGTTCCTTTGAACAGGGGGTTGGCGTGGCCAGCGTATTAGAGTGGCACCTATTGACCCAAGGAGTCGGACCAGCACCAACCAAACTGGAGTTCTACACTTTGAGGATTTAATGCATGCGATCTGACAATAAGGTTGTGAAAAGTTATTGATCCTCCTACCCGTTTTGCACCACCACCATCAATCATGATGCATTTTTGCCCCCCTTTTCTTCTCATCCTCGTATCAGCAGCCTGACCCGTTTCGTCTTGGCGGTTGGGTCGAGGGACAGACTATAAATCCATAGCCTGCGGGACTATGTAGTGTCACCACACCAAAAAACAAACGAGGCACGCACACACATTATTTGCTGCACCCAGCCCGTTCTGTATTGGGCGCTTACCAGGGCCCCCTCCTCTTCTTCGAAAGCTGACAGCCAGACTTGTTCTTACGGCCCACTCTTTGTTACATACGCCCTCCCGAGACCTCCGAATGCGCCTCTCTCTCTCTCTCTCTCTCTCTCTCTTTCGCTGTGCTCCACGGTTGCTGGCGTTGCGCCTCTATCTTCGAGAAGTCCTCTTTTCTACCTCTGTGTGTTGTTCTTGTACGATGTCACACGCATCATAAGCCGAGCTTATGTCCAAGGTTCGTCGTATTATTCGTCTAGCACACTTCAACCGACGGGAAACACGGACCCAAGGCATTTCGGCCCGCTGAGTCTCATTGGACTAGACTAGAAGAATTGTTCCCACCCCAGCCACAAATCATGCATAATAACTTTCTTCTTTTCTTTATGTAGCATCTACCTGAACTCTCTAATATCTGACATTGCGCCCGCTTCAATTTTGAGAGCGGACTTTTAAGGAAGAGAAAGGAGTACATAAGCAAATGTTGGTAAGCTGGTCAATGTGGCTTGGCAGCACGATGGACGGTGTGGCTTGACAGGATCAAGTGCGAAGGAAAGAGGGGGGGGAAAAAAAGAGAAGGATGCAGCCACGTTGTTATCCGTCTTGAGAAGTCAAGTCGTACGTAGTAGAAGTTTGTTTCGATCACAACCCCTCCTTTTTTCCAATCTACTACACCAACATTCATACAGTCATAGTCCCGATGTCTCTGAACCACGTGTACAGCAATAAGTATTTGCAGGGAAACAATCCTTGCCGCATTGCAGGAAACCTATACGATCCCAAGAGACGCCCGAACGCGTAAGCAGGACGGCACGTTGCCAGAAATACCACGAGATGCAGCAGAACAGTTCCGGTTTTTTTCTTCTTTGTTGCTTTCAGCACACAATATGAAAATCCGGAATAGGGTTTCGGAGCCGAACACACTCGTCCTGGTAAGGTGGCCCCGCTTCAACACTGCACGAGGTCGTGAGGTCCGCTTGTGGTAACATAGGGGTACACGTGCATTGGTGGGAACGCCACACACGTTGTCCTGCAGCTCGGGCAAACTTTGCACCACATACTTTGGAACTATAACTCAAAACGCAGCAAGAGAGTAAGAAGACCAAAGATGCCGGGCCTTTCCCCCCCTCTCTCCCATCAAGAATCTCTCAAGAAGAGCCCAAAATGATAGTGTGCTTATGCGCCTGGTTAATCTCGCAAAACAGAGAGTAGCTCGAGTCCCATTGTTGGCTCCTTCTCCTCCTCCTCCTCCTCCTCCTCCTCCACAAGCGGCCACTAAGGCAGGCCAGCCAAGAGGCCAAAATGTACATGTGCTCAAACCGTGCTGATGAGAGCCCAATTCTCCGGCCTACAGGCGCGTCACTAACTTGTCGCTAATCACACGATAGCTCTGCATCCTTCTTGCTGAGCAACCTTACATAAAAGGACCGCATGTTGGTGTGGCTTTTCTCTTCCCTCTCATCCAGATAGAGTTCTCGGTAACAAATGTAGTGCAAGACTTAGTTAGCAAGCGCGATTCGCCACAGAGTATCCCCACCCCTCCTCCTATCCATCTGTCCCCTCGTCTTGGAGTGTAAGACGGGTAGTACCTGTCTGTAGATGATACCAGAGACGAAGGATACGAGATAGGCAGCGAGCGAGTGGACTGACTACTTGATTGGTGAGTGAGCACTTGCGGCATCACCGGAGGACCGCAGGTATTGAGGGCAGATAGTAACCGATGGAATATCAGTATACGCGCGCCCGACGACTCTTCTCATTATCCTGGTAACCAACTAGCCTCTCCAAAGACCCATGGCAGGGGAAGTACCTTGTGTAATGATCATTACAAACCTTGGGACCCAATAAGCGGTTCAGCCTCAAGACGCACGCGTGGCTGTTCCACGAAAGGGGGGGGGGAGGGAAAGGGAGGGGTGGTCAAGGAGGAGGGGCCAAGTCAGGCCCACACACTTCTTGTAGCTTATCTAGGACAAGCTTGAGTTGAGAGTTCAAGCTTAACTTTCTGAATCTGGGTTCCTGATCCGTATTGATTGGTTATATGCGTGACTATATGTTGTTTCTTTGAGTTCAAGTTTCGAGTCATAACTGGAGACAGTGCTTGCTTCTTTGGAATTACGTGGTCAGCAAAGCACTCACCGCAGTCTCACACACACTCTTTCCCTTCGCATTTCAGGTAATTAGAGAGTGTGTTGTTTCAAGCACTATTGTTTCTTGCAGGGGAACAATAATGGCTTGCCGTTGTCCTTAGTACCTGGCAATTTTTGTTTTGAATCTTGTGCACACGTTCTCATCCCGGTTCTGTAAGTAATCTGTACTAGACTTGGTATTATCGATCTTGGGACGCACGAGAGTGGCGCCCCCCTCCCTCCTTGAACAACCTTTGTCATCCCCCGACCTCCGACGACAACATCCTTCCGGACCTTCTGAGCGGGGCGAGAACAAGAGCATTGGCACTGTACCCAAGACCATTTGCTGCAGGAATAAGGGCGGATGCATCCTTACCCCAGAGGCCCGTCATGATGATGACGACGACGCCGCGTTTCAACTTGCCAACCGTCCTCTCTCTTCCTCTCTCTGTATGGCTGTTTCGCCCAACAGCTTGGCGACAGAGGAGAAGGCTGCCTCGGATATTGCAAAGGACCATCAATAGTCGAACCAGAACGGGCTTGAGGCCGTATCGCATGCTGACGCGCGCGTAAGAGCTGGTGATAGTCTCCTCCTTTTCCGGGCAGCCTCGGGCCCCCAGGCTTCCACAGCTCAACGTCCAAGGTAACGTGCCCATCGACGTTCCTGATGAGCATCGAAAGCCTTGCTGACCATCATACCAGGTTCCCAGGAGATCATGAGGTCCAGTAAAAGTACTGTTCCCAGGGGAGGCGGCGAAGAACGTGAGCGTGATCCTCAGGCGGAAAACACTTCTCCCTCTCTCTCTGACTCTATCTTTCTCTTCCGTCGATGCCCATCCATCATCACCACAACCGATGCTGTTATCAATAATGGGACGCCACGAAAACCATAAATACCCAGGTGGCGTCCCCTCCAAGATGCTTCACCTCTCCTGTCTCATCATCATCATCATCTCAAACGGCATCAAACCATCCTTCCCTCCTCTTCGTTCTTCTGGCATCACGTTCTTTTCTGTTTGGACAATCGTTCTTTCAAAATGAGAGTGCTTCTTCAGTACCTTACGCTCGTTACGGGCTCTCTTGCCCTCACCCTCCCTTCGGAGAACCATCTTCACCAACTGCAGAGCAAGGCCGAGTCTGGCTTGAAGCCCAGACAGTCCTGTGATAACACTGCCACCTCTCGTGACTGCTGGGGTGACTACAGCATCGACACCAACTACTACGTGAGTCTCCACCCCTGGACCCTGGCTCATCCTCTCAAGTACATCTGTAGGCCCATCATTTGCTGACCTTGGGCTTTTTGTCATAGGATGTGGTGCCTGTCACTGGAGTGAACCGCGAGTACTGGCTCAATGTCGAGGAAGTCGATTGTGCGCCCGATGGCTACAATACCACCTGCCTGACCTTCAACGGCACTGTTCCTGGACCAACACTGTTTGTGAGTATCATTGGCTTTGTAGAAAAAAGCCTTCATTTGAACCAAGATACTGACGTACAAAAACAGGCCGATTGGGGTGACACCTTGACAGTCCATGTAACCAACAACGTTGTCGATAACGGTACGACGATCCACTGGCACGGAGTCAGGCAGCTCAACACCGTCTCTCAGGATGGCGTTCCTGGCGTGACGCAGTGCCCCATCGCCCCGGGAGAGACCCTGACCTACAACTTCCAGGTCAGCCAGTACGGCAGCACCTGGTACCACAGCCACTTCACTCTCCAGTACGCCCAGGGTCTGTACGGTGGTCTGGTAAGATATCTTGTCCAATTGGAGGCGGATGTTGTGTGAGGTGAGGATCTCATACTAACGATTCCCAAATATGATTAGGTCCTCAACGGTCCCGCCACAGCAGACTACGATGAGGATCTCGGCCCTCTCTTCCTGGCCGACTGGCACCACACCGACGTCTTCGAGCTCTGGGAGACGGCCCGCCTCGGAGCGCCCCCGACCATGCAGAGCGGCCTCATCAACGGCACCAACACCTACAACTGCACCAGCGCCGCCGACATGACCTGCCACGGCACCCTGGGCTCCAAGTTCGAGACTGTCTTTGAGGCTGGCACCAAGTACCGTATCCGTCTCGTCAACGTCGCCACGGACGGGCACTTCCAGTTCTCCATCGACGGGCACGACCTGACCGTGATTGCTACCGACCTCGTCCCTATCGTCCCTTACACCACAGACAGCGTTCTGGTCTCCATCGGGCAGCGTGTTGATGTGATTGTTGAGGCCAATGCTGAGGCTGGTGACTATTGGCTCCGCGGAGGATGGGTTTCTGCCTGCAGCCAGATCAACAACATCGACGACATCAGTACGTTCCCCAAGAAACTCACAGGCTTCTTTTTCTTAGCATTTTTTTGAGCTCTTGTCCTTGCTTGCTTGCTCCTCACAGAAGAATCATATGAATGCTGACAACTTTGGCCATCCGAACAGCCGGTATTGTCCGCTACGATGCCAGCAGCACGGCCGACCCGACCAGCACTAGCAACGTGACAGCCAGCACCAGCTGCAGCGACGAGCCCTTTGCCTCTATCGTGCCCCACCTGTCCCTGGATGTGGGCGATATTTCGACCGAGGCTGACGAGACGCTGTCCTTTGACGCCGGCTCCGTCTTCACCTGGACCATCAACAACAGCAGCCTGTACCTGAACTGGTCCAACCCGACCATCGAGCAGGTCATCTCTGGCGCCGACATCTTCCCCACCGACTACAACGTTGTTGCTGTTGACGTGAGTTGCTCACCATCCACCTATAGAGAGAGAGAGAGAGAGAGAGAGAGAGAGAGAGAGAGAGAAAGAGAACAAAGACTGACATGAGTAAATCATTTCAAGGGACCCGCCAACTCGACCAACTCCTCCGAGTGGGCACTTCTCGTCATCGAGGACCAGACTGGCTTCGGGTATGTTCCTCCCCTCCCTGCACCATCCCATCACTTCCTTCCCCTTCTCCCGCGCTGACCATGATCCCCCCCCCCCCCCCTTTGCCAGTATAACCCACCCGATCCATCTTCACGGCCACGACTTCTGGGTCGTCTCCCAGTCCACAGCCGCCTACACCAAGGGCGTCACCACCCTCACCACCGCCAACCCACCCCGCCGCGACGTCGCATCCCTCCCCGGCAACGGCCACCTCGCCATCGCCTTCAAGCTCGACAACCCGGGCACCTGGCTGGTCCACTGCCACATCGCCTGGCACGCCTCCCAGGGCCTCTCCCTCGAGTTCGTCGAGAGCGAGAGCCAGATCGTGGGCCTGTCCGTCTCCGACGACGACAAGGATACGCTGAGCTCCACCTGTGCTGCTTGGGACCAGTACACCACCACCTCTGAGTACTTTGGCCAGGACGACTCTGGTATCTAGACGTGGACATGGTGCAGGATCGAGCAGGGGGGGGGGGGGGAGTTACTTTGCTGCTGAAACTTCTTGCATGTTGCTGTTGGGAGTGGGAGGGAGGGAGTCCAAGAGGGCAACCCTTCCGACGGCCCTTCCATCCACAGGATTGATAAGTGTAAATATTAATTGGCCCTTTGCTTGCCTCTTGTTTTGTCACTCTTTTCTTGTTGCTTGCTCAGCACTTACTGTCTTTTCTGCACATTCGTTTTTTCGTCTTCTTCTTCTTCTACCTTGGTGTCTGTCTTTCTTTGATGTTGTGGCATCAAAGTGTTGCAGCGAGTCACGGAGGAAACAGCGGCAGGGGCTTATTTTCCATTTGTGAAAGATTTAGTTTATTGATGTACATAATGAACGAAGAGGAATGCCTGATTTTTTCCCCCAAGAAATTATTTCCTGCGCCCTGGAGTGATCTTTGAATGCCTGCCGTGAAATATGCGATATCCTGTGCTCCTCCATACGCCTAGAGACGAATGTTCTGGCCGGAGATCCTGTACCTGTGAAATATGAGATAGCTGGTGATTATAGTAGGACCAACACAACTCATTGATTTAGTTGACGAGTGAGGCGTGGCCACTCGGGCCTGACTCCGTGTAATCAGTGGTCACGAATGCCCCTAGAAAGAAAACGAGGTCAGTATGACTCGAGGAAGAAAAGATAACCCGAAGGGGGTAGGACACATACTGTCAACCTCAGGTAACCCCTCTAGACAATACTGCAGTGTCTCGGCGATATCATGGGAGCTCATGAGCGGGGTGTATGGATGCAGCAGTATATCCACTTCGACCCAGACGCCATCGCCAGCATGATACGCCTTGATACTCTTGAACCCCTCAACGATGGGAGCGAACCGCCACGCTAAGAAGATGATCTTCCTAAACAGCCTGTCATCGACTGCGGAACCGCTCAGCCGAGTGACGTTCTCAAACGCAGTGCCGGCCCAGTCCCAGATGATGAAGAGCGACAGGATTCCAGCGCCGACGGGGTCCAGCCACCATACGCCAACCTGCTTGCCGATGAGGGGGAAGATGAGGGATAGCGTGTTGAAGTACACATCCGTCTGGCAGTCCTGCGCCAGAGCTTGCACCTGCGTCGTCTTCACCCGGATGCAGCCGAACCATATGATGCCCTTGACGACGATGGTGGCTATCATTGCGCCCATCGCAATGGCGCCGAGGTCCACGATCGTGTGGTCGCCGTCGGGAAGAAGCTTCTCGACGGATTCCTGGAGGATCTGGGCGAAAGAGAGTATCATGAAGATGGAGAACACTAAGATACCTAGTGGCTCGAGACGGCGTCTGCCGACCGGAAAGCGGCGCTCTAGAGAGTTCAGTCTCCATTGCACCAGGCGGTTGGTCGTCCATACAATGACAGTGCAGAGGAGGTCGAGAGCTGAGTCGACAGTAGACGCGATCAGCGACAGCGAGGAGGAGAAAAAGCAAGCGACGATCTTTGCAGCCAAGAGAAAGATGTTGGCCACGACGTTGACATTGATCGCCCTCTTGGCGGATCTCTCGGCCTTGCTCCGCTTCGTCCGCTCCTCCTCCGGCAAGAAAGCCTCTACGTCCTCATTCTGCGCCTGTAGTGTACCACCATGCTCAAGGATGCCGTCATGGTCTCTGTCTGGGTCGAAGGACTCGAGAATATCGTCCGCTATACTCCTGACGACCGAGTCAACCTCGAGCCAGTCACCTAAGGCATCATTTTGAGCTTCGTAGAATTTCTTGACGCCCTTGTTCTTGATGGATTTGATCTGAAGAGGACATAGGTTAGGGCAGGGACCGCAGTAGCCTGAACAAATATAACAATACAGGCTGGGACAGATGCTTCCAGGGCGACCTTTCGTACCTGGTCGTCTGTCTTTCTGAACCTCTCCAGCTCATCGCCCTTCACGGCGTCGATGAGTTTGTCCTTGATTCTTTTCCTCCGCTCATCTTCTATCGCCTTGTTCCCGGCATCCTGGAATTTAAAGGCTGTAGGCTTGGGTCGAAAGGGGTTATTTTCTTTCTTGGTCTTGGAGCTGGCGCGGCCATGAGCGAAGGCAGCAAGGGATCGTCTTCCGACCATATTCTTTTGATGTTTTTCTTAAGGGGTTGGAAGGGCTTTCTTAGGAAAGCTCGGAATGCAGAACCTCATAACACAAAAGCATTTGATGGAAATCGCAAGTAATTATGCAGTGTCTGATCAGACTGGATTTGAGCTGAGACTAATATAAAAGAGAGGACGTGTGTCTGATGCTGATGAGATCATCGCTTTCCAGCTTACACCTGAGACCAGGGCAGGAACCCTTGTCGACGGCCCTCACGGCTGTCACGGTAACACATTGTCCTTTGTACAAGAAGAGGAATTTGCATTGATGATCCGTATGGGAAGAACCGAACCCTCCTTCTTTTTCGATTGTCTTATTGAGTACAGTATGGTATTGTGGTAATATTTGTTTCTTCTTCTTCTGTAGAGTTGATCGTGATGGGTAGGATATACATTTGTGTATCCATTTCTTGGCTTAGCTGTTGATTTGTATCATGTACTTTGGATCAAACCTGAGGTGGCCTGACACAGTGGCAGTGGCCGTGTCCCTTTTCCTGGCTCCTACCGTCGGGGAAGAGCAGTTAATAGAGAGACATCCACGTGTGGGCGTGACGTCAGTTGGAATTTCGAGAGGAGGAATAGGGTTAGGGTTGTTGCTTACGGCTGTACTGTACGTCCATCCTCTGCCATCCTCCTCTTATTGCAGTTGACCATTCGTTCTTCTAATTGGCTTCTGGTAAAACGATCTGGCTCTGGATATAACGACCTCGAAAAGTTTGATAATTGTTCCCCTGACACTTGCTGCAAGATTGCGTGCTTGGCACTGCAGTGAATGAGTCTCTTAGCTGGCCCCAATCGCTCTCGCTCTGTATTTTCCATAAGACCGCGCTGGGATCAAGGGTATTGGCCATTGCCTACCGAGCACGCACTTTTCGCGTACACAGTAGTGCTAAGGTACTATGAACCGCTATTGATAGAATTCCTACATGTACTGTGGTGAATGGCCATACAGGGGTATCCTGCCTGGGCTACAGGGTCCTGCGGCACACACCGCGCTTCTCTGTCAGGGTTGTTGGTAGCCGTGCCGCGAAAAGGGAACTCCATGCGTGTCGCTGAAGCCCTTGTGGTGTGCTGTGCTGAACATTGGTATTTTCAGGGGATGTATTTTCAGCTTCCACCTCCCAAGAACACGCAAGAAGAAGAAGACAAAGAGAATAACTTCGCGACGGGCGTCACGCAGCTCCGTTTTATCATCTACTACCACCTATCTCCTAGACCCCGAATCCAAGACCCAATCGAGCTTTTCGCTATCGAGCTCCTCGAACCCTTCACCGCCCCAACCCCAATGATGATGACGAGATAACGGGCCTGCATTTTTTCCACCATCATGCGTCTGGCTCGGCGGATATTGTCCCTACTGGCTCTCTTTGGCACCATCATCGTCCTGATCCGATACCGCCGCAATGTCGAGAGTACCATCATCGAGAAGACCTTCGACGCCGTCGCCTATGCCCACGCCGTCGAGGAGGAGGCCGCCTCCAAGCTAGCCACATTCCAGCTGCCACAGGTCATCCTCCCATTCCACAGCAGCGATCACAAGAACGACGACGACGATAATCACGATCCTGCTACAGACGACCAGACCTCCGGCTCCGGCTCCAAGCGTCCTGGCGTCAAGCCACTCCTCACCACGGCGAAGGGGGATGACGGTGGCGAGATCAAGGACGTGGGCGCCCTCTGGGCAAAATGGAGCAGGATCATACACGAAGCCCGCCCCAACGCCCCTAAGATCGTGCTCAACGGGCACGCGCAGACTCAGAATCCCACACCCGGGCAGACAACGCGGCAGCCCTATCGCGACTACGTCCGCCAGTCCGTCGAGGAGCTCGCGTCCCTGCGGGAGATGCACGGGCTCTTCGTCGACAGGCTCGAGGAGGAGCTCGGCGACGGGCAGAGGAACATGTCGCAGAGACAGTGGAAGGGTGTGGGCGACGTTTTCAAGGGCCGGGGCATCGTCATGGTTGGCGGAGGTGAGTACTTTGGTCCGGCCATCATCAGCCTGCACATGTTGCGGAGGACGGGGAGCACACTGCCTGTTGAGGTGTTTGTGCCCAACGATGCCGAGTTCGAGGAGCAGCTCTGCAATAAATACCTAAAGAAGCTCGACGCGAAATGCGTCGTGCTATCGCACATTCTCGACAAGAGCGGCATCAAGGTCGGCCCGGGCGACGACGCGGAGATCAAGATCACGCACTATCAGCTCAAGTCCCTCGCGCTGCTGCTCTCGTCCTTCTCCGATGCCCTGCTCCTCGACAGCGACAGCATCCCCCTCACTGATCCTGCGACTACCCTTTTCGATGTCGAGCCATACCAGTCCAAGGGCATGGTTGTCTGGCCCGACTTCTGGAGGGCCACAGAGAGCCCCAAGTTCTGGACCGTGGCGGGACGGTCGAGCTATCCTCCAGACCTGCCCATGACGTCCAGCGAGGCGGGGCAGCTGGCCGTCAACAAGGCGACACACCTCGCGCCTCTCCTGCTGGCGACATATTACAACATGTTTGGGCCCGATCACTACTACCCTCTCCTGTCACAGGGCGCGCTCGGGCAGGGTGACAAGGAGACCTTCATGGCCGCCGCCGTCAGCCTCAACTCTACCTTCTATAGGGTCAAGACCAATGTTGCGAGCCTGGGACGGCACGACGGGCGCACGGACCGGGTTACCGCCATGGTTCAGCACTCCTCAGCCGACGACTACCGTTATCTATCATCCACCTCGTCGTCATCACCACCCCTACACAACAGCATCAAGCCCATGTTCCTGCATAGCAATACACCAAAGATGAACGCCGGTCATCTTGTGGACGAGGGCGACTTGTTGGCGACGGACCGCACCACGAGGCTGAGGCTGCTTGGGCCGAAAGAGTCCCTCCTCAAGCAGTTCGGCTTCGATGTCGAGCAGAGCATCTGGGACCTGCTGGTCCAGACCGGCTGCGAGCTGCAGAACGTAATTGAGGAGTGGAAGGGAAGGTCGCAGATGTGCGAACGGCTCGAGGAGCATCACCGAGAGGTTTTTGGTTCATAGACGGGATTTGGGAAGCGGGGGCAGAACTCTTGGGTATATATACATATCTAAACATCTAGTAGGAAAGAAGGGGAGACGGGGGTCAGGCTCAGGGTATGAGATCTACGAACGGTCCAGGGACGACCAATCTATCTATCTAAACATTCACGGAGCATGCAACCTATTTATTTTTGTTTTCTGTTCTTTTATAACGGGCGGAGGTGGCGGTGGGTAGCCCTCCTGATGTATGAATAATCTCCTCAATGACACATGACGAACAACACAGGCTCGGCCCCTTCTTGGGCTTGCCTTGACAGCGATCACCATTCCCACAAATGGCGTCTCCTCCAGGACTACGACTCACTCTGCCTCTCGTAGGCGTGGTGTATGCACAGCTAGCTAGCTAGCTAACTTGAACGGGGCTTCGCATCGAATGGGTGTCTAGAGCCCATTTCTTCCTGATCTTGTGGGTGTTGCTTGGTCCTTCCTGCAAATGTTGTTCATATGCTGCTGTGTACATGTTCAAAAACACACCAAAGCTATCTACAAACCCCTCAGCACCGGATCGGGCCTTCTCCAACGTCGATCCCCGATGTGACGGTATACTTGTTCGTTCGTTCGTCGTCAATGACGGGGGGTGGTGTCAAAGCTAGTCTCACACCACCACACCAACTCAAAGTTCGGACCTGCGTACCACGACCCAAGGGAGAAGGGTCCTCCCGTCTTGGCTTTCGATGACAAGAGACATCCGTTCCTACTTTGAATCTGGGGTTTTTGGGTGCTTATTTAAGAGTTTATGTATGAGAGACCCTGGAACATTCACATGGCCTGTTCATGTGTACTTGTGGGGTTCAGTATGGTTCTTTTTTACGCTGGCCCGAACTGAAGGTACGATATCGCTTATGCAATAGTCGTATCAACAAGATTTGCAAAGACCCAAAAATCTATGAACGAGGGTATCTTGAAGTTCAATAAGCAGTCCACAACTCCAAACAAACAGCAAAGAGGCTGTGTGCGTGTATGTGCACAACACAAACACCACAATGCCAATACAAACATCCAAAACAACGCCACGGTACAATACGGCACAAAAGAGCAAGAAAAGTAAACGCAGGTAAGCGACGCCCCTCTTTCTCTCTCTCAAGCATCCACCTCGCTCGGTGCCACAATCAAACCCTCTTCGCTGGCCTGCTGCAGCGCAACATACCACCTGTTCGCCATGAGCGCATAGCCAACATCATTCGGGTGCGTGACGTCCGCCATGGTAGTAATATTCGGCCCCCCAGCCGAGGTGCTCATATCAGCCAGCACGACCCGCCGCCCGGCCGCCCGCAGCGACGACGCCACGTCGCGAAACTGCGTGTTGGCGTCGCCGACGCGCTTGTTGGTGGACTTGACCTTGTTGACGATGAGGGTGCTCATGACAACGGTGGCGCCGGGCGACCATTCCAAGACGTCCTCGACGAGCGCCTGCAGCCTGTCGCCGACGTCGATGGTGGCGTTGGCGGTTAGGGAAGGCTCCAACCTGGATTGCTTGGTGGTGTTGTCGATGTTCCAGTTCTGCACGCAGTCGTTGGTGCCGACGTTGAGCAGGACGACGTTGGGCAGGTACTTTGGCACCGAGGCCGCCGCCTTGGGCATGACCTGGTCGATCCGGTAGCCTGGCCAGCCCTCGACGGCGTTCTTGATCATGGTGCCGTTGTTCCGGCTGCCGACGTAAGTGATGTTGTCGTTGCCGCCGCGGCGAAGGAGGCCCAGGAGGTCCTCACGGTAGCCGTTCCCGTCGGTTGAGAGGTAACCGTAGGTGATGCTTGCGCCTAGGGGCATGATACGCAGGGCAGTACCGTTGGCGATGAGAGATGTGTTGGGCGGGTTGACGTAGAGGGGTGTGGCTGGCTTGGGAGGACTGGAGCTGCTGTGGTGGGCTCGCTCTACAAGGGGTACGGTGATAGCTGGGAATGAGTTGTTAATGAGAGGTGGTTCTCTAGAATTGTATGGGTGCATGAGAGTGTGTGTGTGTGTGAGTGAGAGAGAGAGAGAGAGAGAGAGAGAGACGGTGTGGAAAACCTACCTGGAACAAGAGCCAGGACGATCAAGGCCAGGCATGCGAGAGCGAGTATCCTTATCTTGCGGGACCAAGTTTTGGGATTGAGTCTTGCTACTACTCCAGACGTCGTTGTTGATGTGGTGCCTGCCTTGTCCACACCTTGTGTATATGAGCTCCCTGAGGATCTTGCCGAGGACTCTTCAGACTGAGTCTGTCCTGTTGCTTGGCCTGCAGGCGATGGCGACACGCCGTCCCCTACTGCAGGGGATATGGATGTGTCTGTAGCCATGGTGGTTGTTGTCGTATTTCCTACGATCTTGTATATAGTAATTGGCTGTATATTCTTCAAGACCAGCAAAGCAACTGGCTTCTCCGGAGAGTGTTGATTTCCCTCTCCCAAAAATCAAAACTTCAGGTAAATGCTAGGACAACGTGAAGAATGTTCAAACCCCGATTTTCTGAAAAGAGATACCAATCTGTCGCAATCCATGTGACTAAGAAGGACGTGAGATACGAGCAGAGAAAGAGTAAGAGAATGAGGCTGGGAAGGTGACCACAGAGAGCTCGTCCATGTGTGCTGCGTGTGTGTGAACGAAGCCTCGACAAGAAGGAGGCGGTCGAGTGCCAAGAAAACAAGGTCACCCTGCCCTAGAACAAGAAGAACAATGAAGTACACACAAACACACGACCACAACTAGGGCCGGACGAGACGGTCATATAATAAAGTGCTTTGTCTATAGCAGTGAGAAAAAGAGAAGAGGAGAGGGCGGGGGACAAGTTTTGACATCACATCAAGGCTGGCTGGGTACTTGTACGTGCTATGATATGTAGGTCAGCCTAAGAATAATGGACCCCAGATCCAGACACGGCCATCATCGCGGCGTTGCAGCAGGCAGCCCAAGAAGGAAGGGGGGGGGGGGGGTTGAGCGCCAGACCAGATCTTCGCTAGGCAGCGTGGTATTGAATAGTAGCCTAAGACAAATGTGCCCTTGACATCTTACTTGGGGACCCCCTGCACCCGTCAGACACAAAACAAGACGAACGAGAGGGAGGGGGGAGGAGAGGGCTCGGAGTAAGGAGAGGGTGAACAGATAGGCTCGAAACGTGATCGTTCCCAGGGATTGGGAAAACAAGCAGGGGGGTTGTGAGGCTTAGCTCTCCCACGGAGAAGCTTAAAAAGATCGCAATCGCGAGCTCACGCTACTATAGAATGCGGTTACGTCTAATAGCTTGAGACAGACTCAATAGAGGGAGAGGGAGAGGTACGGGACGCACCCTCGCTTCGTCATCGGAAGTTACAGTGTATCTCATTCGCCCATTCGCTCTAAGCTGTGGGTGTGCCCGGGCAGGGCTGCAGTAGGCGTGCACTACGGTGCCCTTTTGGAAACAGTAGCCAGGCACACAAATGGTGTGGGGATTTAGGTCCCGAGAGACGCATGGGAGGATGATGCTGAGGATAGCCGCCGACAGGCTTGGGTTTCTTTACTGCGCCCCGCTGGGGCCGGTGGCTTGTTTGGTGTCTGGTTGGTGCCTTCGCTGCTGAAATGAAGGAAGAAAAATTAGCCATGCTGACTGCTGGGGAATAGCCGGCCCGGACGAGGCCCCAACACGAAGGAGCCAAGTAGGAACGTGGCCAGTGAACAGTGGGCAGCGACCAGTGGGGGTGTTTGTGGCTGTTGTCAACTTGAGCTCGTCATCTCCCTAGCGACTTTTGTCATCTGCAGCTGCGCAGCCCGCACGGACGCTTCTTTCTCTCTGTTTCTCTTGACCATAACGACAAAGCCAACTATCTCTGGTTTGCTCTGTGATGATCCTTTCGACGTTGTCGTAATTACGAAACTTTCATGACGACGCGTCTGAAGATCGACGATATCTTTCTCTTTCAAGAAGGGCAGGGTGGGAAAGAAGAATAGCTTTTGTCGCGTTCCCCCCCAACTGAGCGTGCCGTTACAGCCGGGTGCACGTGGCTGGGAACCAGGTCGGAGGAGCCATGACGAGGGACCGTCGCCATACGTGGTCTCGACCGATCTTGAACTTGATTTCCATCCATCCATACATGACGGTGTCGAAATGAAATGAAGAAGAGCTACCACCAACCGTGTCGTCACTCTCGGAATCAGTGTGCCGAGATGTGCAATGTGGATGTGTGTGCAAGCTGAGTGTGTGAGAGAATTGCAGATCAGTCCTCTAGTTAATAAATAGAACTTGGATCTTTTGGCTGCAGCACAGAGGAAGAAATCTCCGAATCGATCCTTGATGTAAGAAATGGGACTAGGCCATCGCAGAACGGGTAGCACGGGTCATGATCGTCCCTTCTCGCCGGCCTGGCCTGAGGTCACCACACAGCCGACAGCACTTGCCCTCCTCCAAAATCGGTGTTGCGGTTTCTGTCACCGCGAGTGCTTGGCAGCGGGGTGCGACTGCTCCTTCTGGGGTTGTATCGTCTGACTGCCTCTCCCAAACTGGCACGCACTGATGCTTGATTCGGCTGGCACAAGTAACTACAATTGAGCAAAGTACTCTGACAAGAAGTAGGAGGAAGGTGGAGGCGAGGAAGAACCCCCCCCCCCCCCCGAAACCTTGGCTCCAATCCCGATCACAGAGCCGCACACGCCCAGGCCTACTGCACCGCACTGCCGCCCTTGGCACTTTTTTTTTCAATTTCCTCACACCTTCTCACATAGGGCGAAGAGTCACACGTTATGTATTTTCAAGTCAATAACTGTCAGTCGGTTTAAGGTTTATGTCCCCCCACCACATGTGAAGCTTGGACCACAGCAGCCGCCTGTGCCTATGATTAAAAATAGACTCGCCCACAAAACTCACGATCGAGCCCCATTGTGTCCAGAGCTTCTCCCAAGCACCGTGGGCTCTTCCACAGCTTTGAATCTCACCGCCTAGACTTTCATTCACAGATATGCTGCAACTTCATCGCCGTCGCCACATCTTTGCTCCGTACAAATTCGTCCTCCGCTACTCGAAACTCATCATCCGCCAAGAGAGGAGTCCGTTATCGCCCGTCCTCGACATTTGGCCCACATATCCCATAAACACTCCCTGTTTCTTGCAATCGTAGACCCCGAATTCTGACGTGCTCAGAAAATCCAGTCCTCGCTGTTGATGCGAGTTGCAGGGAGCTTGCCTAGTTTGTTCCCGAAGGACAACGCACGGCTGCCTTCTTGGAGTGGGATCACAGACACTTCTGACGACTCAGACGAGACGGATGCTTGGCGTTCCCGTGTCCTGGGAACAGAAGGTGATATTGTTAAGGCGTTGCCGTCAAAACGTTCTCGCCTCAACGGCGACTCCCTCAGCACTTCGTTCTCATCAAACTCAACCGCGGCCAATCTGCGCTTCGTACTCTTTATGGGACTCGAATTCGTACTAAAGGAAGAATCCGAGCCAGCCGATGGGGTGCGCAGAAAATTCCATAAGGACTGTGTGCCTGATCTTCGACAGGGAGTTGATGGCAGGGAGACGGCCGGCCCCCGGATTCCATCTCGCCGCTCAAGCCACAGCCGCAGGTGTTGATATATTGCGTGTACGACTGACGGCGGGAACGCGTTACCAATTTGCCTTTTGATGACACCTTGGCAATGACCTTCGAAAACATGTGAGGTAGGGAAGCCCTGAAGGCAGGCCAACTCTCGTAGTGTGAAAACGCGTTGGCCATTATAGTGAACCGTATTTTCGGCTCCAGAACAAAGAATCGTCCGCTGCAGCGGCACATCTGCGTTTCGCCGCGCCACATTCACTCGCCGCGCCGCGTGCACATCATGGAGTGTCACATTTCTCGGCATATTATCAATGGCCTCACCCTCAGTGACGAAAGGTTTTTGGTGAGGCTGGCTTCCGTGTGTTGCAGCAAGCTGGGGAGGAAGCTTTTCGCCAGGGCAGGCTCCGATCATGATGAGCCGTTTGCGCGTTTGGGGCAAGCCAAACTCGAGCAACGGTAGCTGGTTTTTCCTAGATGCCTTGTCGGTACTTGATAAAATTGTAAACGTAGGCATACTGAAGAGAACTTACCACTTGATGGAGTAGTGGCGGGAAGTAAAACCTCGGAGCAACGCATTGAACCACAGGACATGCTTGTTATGCGTAAGCCCGAATGTTTCTTCTAGGGTAATAAGACGTGGGTGAGTTTTTTCGAGCACATCATGGAAGAACAGAGCAGCAGTGTTTGCTTCATCATTCTGTCCTTCGCGGACATGGATGGGGCTGTAGGGTTGGCAAGGTGGGGAAATATGCAAGACGTCAACGTAGAACTTCTCGGGATCGTGAATGAAGTCGTATATGTCTTGGGTAAACAGGTTTGTGTCTGGGAAGTTGCGTTGGTAGGTTTGGCAGGCTGTAGACGAATTATCAACCGCAACGATTGGCTAAAGGAACAGAATGCAAATGTCGTTGAATTAGCACTTTGCTAGGATGATAAATTGACCAACTGGAAAAGAAAGAGAGAGGAAAGACCTACCTCGAAGCCTGCCATAACGGCCCCACGAGAGGTACCGCCAGCCCCGCAAAAGACATCTCCGAAGGTGTACTTTCCAGTCGTCTTTGCCTGAACACCCCGTCGACGGCCACGCCAGTCTCGTTGACGTTGTTGGTCTGACACACAATACGGCCCTTGCTCGACATCGTCTTCAGAAAGATGAATCAAGGCGCCGCCAAGTGGACGGTCATTCTTTTGGCAGCGGCCATTCTGATACTCAATGCGCATCTCCCATCGGCATGTCAAGGGAGCTTTCTCCTCCTTTTGCGTATGTGACATTGAACGCCAGTTCGAGTCATTCCCGAAGCGGCAATTAGGGAAGTTGGAGTTCGTCTTGATGAGGACCCTCTTGGCCAGGACTTGGTTGGCAGAGACTTCGATCAGCATCTCCTGCTCGCTCGTACGATGATCATCGTGAACAGTCTCAATAATACGGCACACTTCGTTCAACTTGGGCTCTAGTCGTCCTCGCAGGTTCTTGGTGCGTGCGTATGGTACACCACGGAGCAGGACTCTGGACGTGGACTGATCCACGCACATCTCTTGGATGTCAATGAACTGGATCGCCCATACTCCAACGTGCTCGGCAAGCTCGACAACATCGCCAACCGCCAGCTCCATCCCCCTGATGCTGACAATTGACTTCTGGCAACGTCGAGGGTTGACATGAGGCTCGGAGCTCAACTCTGGGCTGCTGCCGTCGTCGTCTTGAGTCAAGTCAACGAGCTCTTGGGTCACTTCAGCCTCGTCCTGCGCGATACTGCGCGCAACTTCGTAGAGGGAGTCATTGTCATCATCGTCGGACAGGGAGATTGTTGTCCGCTCCACATTGCTCATGCGAGGGCAGCCACGATATGAACTGGAACTGCTAGCCATGGTGACTTTGTTGGGAAAGTGGAATTGAGGTAGCACAAGTAGTCGCGGAACCTGAAAGTCAAGGACGATCAGACTATAGGATGCAGGGAAAGACAGGAAAGCTCATATTTTGAAGTCGGACATACCAGATGAAATGTTAGTAGGCAAGAAGCGCCCAGGCGGTTGGAGACTGCCGCGGCTTCGAAGGACTTGAGAAAGTGTAACAAAGCGTGGTGATAAAGAAGTGGAAAGGACAACAGGTCAGGACAGTTTGCTTTTACAAAGTTCCGCAGAAGGAAAAAGAAGCGTGAAGCTGCAGTTAGATGGAAGGCGAAGGGGCAGCGCAGGATATGGGCCAGTGTGGAGGCCCGCAGAAACTTGAGGTGGGTTGAACGTCAAGATAAAAGCTCTCCACGCGGGCGTTCAGGAGCTGAATGGATCGCGATGACTGGCCTGGCGAGTGTTTGAAAGGTTAAAAGGGGAAAGGGAAACGATGTGCAACTAGGTTCGAAGAGATATGTTCTCAGGATGGCTGAAGCTGAGCCAATGGAATGTGAAGCGCGGCAGTGGGTGCTAAGGTGAGGCCGCTGCAAGACAACAAGAAGAAAGGGAAGACAGATCTGAGAGGGAGTAAGCAAGCAAACGGCTTCTTGGTCTGGGAAAGAGAGGTGCCCCGGGGGTGGGAATAGGGCAGTAACTTACGGTTGATACAAGGCTCAGATAGAGTTCTTTCACTGTTTGGAAAAACAGATCCGCGATCTTGCGAGTGGTAGAGTAACGCAGACTACTGTTCAGAGAGACTGAAACGGCAGTAGAGGATGGAGAAAGGGTCATCTGAAATGGATGGAAAGGACACAGCGTGTCTCTCGCTTGGTCGATCGCGATGTATTGTTTCACAGGTGTCAGTGGGACAGAAACTGTATTCAAAGTGATGAATGGGACAGAGAAAGATCAATGGTATATGTTGAGGAGAGGCACAAACTTCTTGAGAGAAGCTCTTCGAACGAGATCAATGATGGAGAAGTGGAGTGTGGAAGGTAGAAAGTAGAAGATAGAAGGTTAGGGGGAAAAAAGGATGGCCATGGAAAGAAGATACATGGGCCAGGAGCAAATCGACCCCGATGTGATGGACATCTTGAGTTCGTACCTCTGCCCATAGAGACACAGATAGTTCAGTATACCAGTGCAGCTTTGCAGGCTATGGGATATCAAGACTGATCTGATTCACAGGCTTCAGCAGACAGAAAGGCAATTGTGCTCTATGCTCAGTCAATAGTAACTCTATACACGTTGAGCTACTGCCTGACCTGTTGTACCGTCTGGTTTGATATTAACCTCAGTTTTCCCCCAACTTTTGTTCACACTTCTCTCACTTTCTGCTATTACCTTTTCATCTACCCTCCTGAGACGTTTTACAGCCTGCAACACCACCACAACACCTTTGAGCAATCACCTACAGGATCCCTCTACAAGAAAGCAGGAGATCAGCCTGTCTCAGCTGAAACGCTCCTCATAAGCACAAAGAGCTCTTCAAAAGACCTCTCTGCATATTCCATAGATAATACACCTTACCAGCATGTGCCACGGTCCCAAGTTTCTCAAACGGGGTTCTCTCCAAGGCCAACCTCAAGTCTTCGAACGCACTAAGCAAAGCTTTATAAAACACTTAAGTACTTGCTGAGTCATCCATGCTGTCGCCGGCTTGGCCAAGCGGTAAGGCGTCGCACTCGTACTACGGTCATGCGAAGATCTGCGGTTCGAGTCCGCAAGTCGGCAACTTTTTTTTGTGTCGCGGCGCGGCCCCGTATCGAGCACTAGGCTTATGTAGTACCCAAAAATGTCATGAATCATTCACGTTGCCGGCTTGGCCAAGCGGTAAGGCGTCGCACTCGTAATGCGAAGATCTGCGGTTCGAGTCCGCAAGTCGGCATCTTTTGCCGCAGCGCACACAGAACTTGTGGTCGGGCATGTATATCTTTCTTCTGTTATTCCGTCTCGTGTTCTTTTTGCTCAAGTCCTCTCCTTGTCATGGCATCAAGACTTATTGTTGGGTGAAAGAACAAGAGTGTCTGCAGTGCTGTGACGCGTGACATACGGTCTTACGGGGAGTAATTGTGGGGTTCTATTTGTACGACGACACCCACTCAAGGTCTACCATAGTAGTTTATTCCAGACAATCTCTGTAAAAGGCTTATATTAAGGACCAATGCAATAATAAGTCTCTTGACATGAAAGTGGTGCTGTAAGTTACGAGGCAATCAATAAGATGGGATGCAGGACTAAATGTAGCCAGCCACACTCGATCACGTTGCAAGAATACGTTGGCAATGTTTTCATTAGATGCAGGCTCCTCATCTCCAGAAACTATGACATGAACCCGCCTCTTACCCTGCTCCCATTAAGCGCCGCTGATGCTGAGACACGATTTATGCTCCCCTCTCTTCCCGAACAAGATCAACCATGATGTTTCAGTCTGTTGGCTTGGCCTAGGCTCATGCTGAAAGCGCAAGGCACGCATCCACCGCTAGTCCGACTCTGCATGACGACTGTTTAGTTCACGCACAGATTACATACGATCAAGTGGAGAGTGATAGACATACCGTCCTTCCTTCTGATAGACCACATCACTGATGATCTCCTTGTCTAGATCTGGGAACATGCCGGCCAGTGTTTCGACGATGTTGGCATGTTCAGCCCGGTTGATCCTCTGAGCTTCCGCAACTTCAGCGCTGGCCTGTCTGGCCGCTGCCTCCTCGGCAGAATACCGACCGTGGGCGCTTGCACTTCTGCGGCTGCTATCCCCGCCTGGTGGTGGGTTGGGCGTGTGTGATGGGCTGCGGGCTGAGGAGCTTGACTGGGCGGGCGCGTCGCCGTCGTCGGAGAACATTCTTCCGATGGTCGAGAGGGGTTTCTGGATGGACCGAAGGAGCCCAGTGATGGCGGCCTTTTCATCGTATTCGCCATTGTCGTCATTTGAAGAGGTGGACTGCCGAGGTGAGTAAGATGATTGAGCTGCCGTGTTGTGATCCATGGACTGTCTGGCCGACGAGGGCTCGCCTGGCCCGCCGAATAGCTGTGTTGGCCTCTCAAGGGTGGTGGAAGTGCGTGGAGATTCCAGCCTGTGCTTTTCGGCGATGGCGGAGACAGCAGCCTCAACATTCTTCTCAAACTCTTCGTCGGTGATCGTGAGTGTCGTGCGATCCATGTTCTCGATGAACTGAATGGCGCCCATCTTGAGTAGACGCGTGTTAGCTGGCGTTCTGAGTTGGCTAGGAAAGGGGATGAGATTCTCTTACCAACGAGGACAGATAGTAGCCAGCTTCGCCACCAAGCTTGTCCTGGTTACGGAACCTAAGTATGTACTGAACGTTGGATACTATATGCTCGGGATTTGCTTGCAGGGTGACGTAAATCAGTAATGGCATGAATGAATCCGCAGACGAGTCGGCTTTCGAGTGTTTGAGGAGGCCTATAGGCGCCTTGTCAGCTTTTACACTTCTGTCCAGGAAGCCAGGAGCAAGCCCTTACCAAAAATGACTTTGCAGCAGTTCAAGATACAGATAATCTTGTCTCTCGGCGCCCGATAGGACTTGATCTTAAGGAGTTCTGAGTTGGTTAGTCTGAGGCTCGGCTGCACGGGAAACAGATCGGGCTCTGACCTTGTTGGGCAAGTTTCAGAAAGCGCTTCCCGCTGTCACCAACCTGTTGGATGTCCAGGTGCTCCTCTCGAACCCAGCCGTAAATATTGATCTTCTGCGCAACCACTTCATCACGCTCCACGTCCTCTTGGTGTTGTCCCCTGCGCCCTGGTCCCATGGGCCGCTCGCCACCTTTCCTCCGCGGTTTCCCTCCTGGTATGGGCTGTGGTGGTGGAATTGCAGGTGAAAATGTCTGCGTATAGAGTCGATTCATGACAAGCTTTTCCATGCCCTCCCTTGCATTGTCGAACTCAGCATCGGACACGTCCTTCCACACATCACAGAGAGCCATCTTGTTGGCAATGAAGGCAAGAAAGTCGCTGATGATCTTGACCTGCTCGTGCACCATCCATTGCCGCTTGCCAAACTCGTTGAGGAAAGACCGCAGGTATTTCGCAACTGGGTCAGCCTTCTTGTTGCGCAGCTGCTCCAAGAATCTGTGGAAGTCGAACGGCAATGCCGATTCAGGCTCAGGCTCCGGTGGAGGTGGCCTATGCAAAGAGACTGTTGGTGATAACGGAGAGCCAATGTCGCGGTCCTCCTTGATGAGCTGACCCGTCCTTCCGGAGCGTATCGAGAGATCCTTTGGGGGCACTGGTGGTCCTTGGTCTTCGGGGTCCTTGCCCTTGGAGGCCAAGCTGGCCGGAGAGCTGATCTCCAGCCGCAAGCCCTGCAACTGCTGAGAGATCCCCGGCCCGACAGGCTCCAGGCTGGATCTTCGAGTTTGGTGTTGTATCGAGGCCGTGGAGAAGGGGGATGCGATCTCGAGTCGAGGACTCATAACCTCTTCCTCGCCTGGTCCACCGCCCCCCTCCCTGAATTGCGCCATGATGTTCTGTATCTCGGACCCATCATTATCCCGCTCATCTTCGCTTGTATAGCGTCTCTCGTCATCCGAGCGACCCTGTATAGAATCTAGGGACAGCCGAGGGCGGTCGGTGGCACTGGAAGGGGTTCTCGAGGGGGGCCGAGAGGTCCAAGGGGTGGCCGGCGTGGGATCGACGTATGGTTTTGACTCGATATTGGTGAACTGGGCGGCGGTCGTGGTCATAGGGGTGGAAGGCTTGAGCGTTGCTGTCGAGGTCTCTGGTGCCTCGAGTCCTTCTTCTTCTGCCTTCCGGGCCCCAGACACCAGATCCAGCGGCTCTGGCCTGTGAGCAGCATTCTTCTGCCCGGTTGCAGCAGGCTGCTGCTGGAGCCCTGCGTCGATGACAATCATGTCCTCGGGCGGCGGAACGGGGTCGGCCACAAGAGGCTTGGTCTTTGCCATAGTCTCATTGTTGGGTGACGATGACGTCTCTTCTTGACTTGGCCCCATTGCGCTCTTCACCTCGCTGGCAGCAGTGTCCTGAGCATGATCCAGTGGAGTAGCCTGTTGTGATATGTCTGAGCTGGACGGAGGAGACATGCACGGAGATGCGGCGCAGTAGCTGTCTCTGTAGGACGTCAGAAGGTGTGTGGATCGTAGCCTTGAGTCAAGCCTCGGTGGATTGTCCCTCTTGTTTATCGTAGAAAGTGAACGCCTTACTTGTCAGCCGCACGGCGAGGAGTATTAGGTTCTGATTACTCTGTTAGGGGAATTTCTTAGGAATCGCCGCCTCCATAGATGATTAGAAGGCCTCTAAAAAAAAAATTAGGGGAAAAGGTCGCGTCAGACTTGTCGTCGTGGTGTAGTTGTCAGATTGAGAGGGCCGTTGCATGAAATGGAGTCTATGAAGGAGCAGGCATGCTGCAGCACAGTTGTTGAGGTCAGTTCGGCGTTAACGCAGCAACAAAACAAGGCCCGGGGCGGGGTGCTGCCAAATAATCTACAAGGGTAGAGTAGGAGAGCACCCCACTAGGGTCTTATTGAGCCGTGACTTAAGCCTGAGCTCCAGCATAGGCTCCAGTCCCGAGCTTTTTGCTACAGGGTGGACAAGGTTGGACCCCACCCTCAAACCCTCTTCATCATGCCTTTCCAACAGAGAGGACAGGAGGGGAGTGTGGGTAAACATCAGGGTCTCACAAATCACATACTATGCACAGAGGCTGGACAGGTTGACAGGCAATTTGTGGAATAGAGTCGTCCCTGGATTGTCCTTGCTCCTGTAGTGGGGAATAGGTGTTGTGCTCCGGAATTGATGCCTTACCTTTCACATGATCATCATGGTTCCCCTTTCAAAACATGGCTGTAGTATTCTATGCAAAACATATGAGCATATTCTTCACTTACCTCAGCATATTTCACTTGTTTATCTGTTTTGCTGCCTTTTGCAAGACTTCCCAGACGGAACCAGTGATTGTTTACTTATCTTGGTTGGGTTGCAATGTGTTTTTTCCTTTTCTCTCTCTCTCTCTCTCTCTCTCTCTCTCTTTTTTTTTTGGGGGGGGGGGGGGGTTTGGAGGCTGCGGGAAGCTTTCCCCACACTCGAACTTACACCCAAACTCAGCCCTATGGTGGCTTAGTTTCGGCTGCTAGGCCTCCAGTGACGCGCCAGCTCAACAGCACATGCAGTTGCCCTTTGACGTAACTAATCGTTCGACGTTTCAAATAGAAAGAACCTCATTCAATCTCGCCTTCACTCCTCAGACAACAACGACTGCTCACCCTCGCGTTCTGGATACCGTTTAACATCTAACGTTTTAATAACCACTCCTGCAGGGTACCTATTTCTTTCTTCTTCTGACCTGCCTTGACCTGAGCTTCATCATATCCGAACCACAACTGCAATAGAGACAACAACAACGATCGATTACCCATCATGGCAGGAACTCCCCTCAGCCCGCAGAACATTCTGCAGGGCATGGCAGATGCCCTGCCGAATCATGAGACAGGCGATACCACCTCAGACATGAGCAGCTCTGCCGAGGCCCTCGCCCTCTTCACACACGCCTGCATGGTCAACCTGGGCTTCCGTCTGCTGGGCTTCCACGAGGACCACAAGATTGGTGAGCATACACACACACTTCTCTCCTCTTCACTTTATAGACAATAGCGTCACATATATACTGACCACATGCTCTTTATCTCTCCCACTCCAGAACAGGAATGCGCCTCCCTCGCGCCCCGCCTCCCATCCAGATGGAACGCCTCCGTCTCTTCCTACTCGTTCCTCTACGCACACACTCAGTCCTCCATGCAATTCGTTCTCAAAATCGACAGGATGGGTTCCAAGACCGAGATCCGCGGCCTGGCCGTCGGTGCCGACAAGATCACCCGCCTCGAGATCTCGGCGCGCGACTACATCTCCTCGTCCGCCCTGCCGCTGCGCATCACCCTCCGTCCAGACGGCGCCGAGGACCGCTCCGACCTCACCTCGAAGCTGCAGGCCGTCTTTATCTCGCCCGAGCGGGTCGCTGATCTCGCCAGCCTGCTCAAAATCAACATTTTCCAGAGGCTGATCCCAGGCCTGCAGAAGGAGGGTTACGAGGAGACTGCCGACGCGCTACAGGATGCCAACACCGCCGCTCGAGAGAGGTCCGGCAGGCCGCAGCAGCATCCCAGGGTCCCCGAGCCGGCCCTCCCCGAGCTAGCCAGGCCGTACCCGTTCGACGACCCCCTCGCTGCGCCGCGGAGACCCGGCGTGCCAGCAGGCGACTTCGCTCCACCTGGTTTTGAGGACGAGCTCGAGATCAACAGGCCGCCACGCGGCGGCCTGCGCATGCCTGGCGACGGCAGGTCACCATTTAATATTGGACACGACGACCTGCATCCACCGGGACTCGCTCCCTATGATCCTCTGCGAGGCAGCTTTGTGCCCGGCGGCGGACTGCCGCGCCCGGGCGGTATGGGTGGCGGAATGCACCCCACGTTCGACGATCCGCTCTTCCAGGGCGGCGGAGGCCAGGGTGGGGGGCACGATCCGCAGGCGCCGCCTGGCGCGCGGTGGGATCCTGTCGGGCCTGGGATGGGACCGCCGAGATTCGGTGGTGGACGGCCGGGTGGTGGGTTTGGAGGGCTTGGTGGGAATCTCTTTGGGGGTGGTAGGAATCCCTTTGGGGGTGGTAGGAATCCCTTTGGGAGTGGTGGGAATCCCTTTGGGGGTGGTATTATTTAGCTGGTTGTGGGCACAGCAGCAATGCTCAACAGGCAGTGTGTACGATTACGGGGCTTGACGATGTACATGGCAGTGTTTTTTTCATAGCAGAGCCTAGTCAGAATCAGGCCAGATGAACCTGACCCCCGAGAATGAGACCGACTGGCTTCGTCTTCTTCAGTCTGCCCTTCAAAGTAGTGAAATATTCCATTCTACGTCACAAAGGTCGTCTCCTGTTCCATGTAGGTGAAATGACATGCCTTCAACGTTCGCAACATATACGAAAATGGCGAGTAGTCATATGATCGTCGGGGTTGTTGAAAGGTCTATCTACTTTGTTACCCTCTGTGGGAAACAAAGGCCAAATTTGCTTGTTCCTCATATATATATATATATATATATGTGTGTGTGTGTGTGTGTGTGTAAATCAGATTGTTGGACGTGTGGGGAGCATGTATAGGTTCTGACCCTACACCGTCGTCCGCCCCAGACAATCCAACTCTGTGTGTGCATGTAGTATAGGTATCGACAGGGTGAAAAGAAACAAAAGGCCAACTGCTTCTACTACTATTGTGGTCGGAAAATTCATCGTATCGTCGTCCAGAGCCAAGCCTCTCCGACGTGCGTGCCGCAGGAAAAATGCTGTGGAACTTCCTTCAACCAGCGTGTTGAATCGAGTCCCCTGGCCCAAGAAGGGGCCAGGGCATCCTCTCAGGAGCTGCTGGCCAGCTCATTCAGCTTCTTGTGCTCGTCCTCCGTGAGCAGTGCGTACCAGTGCTGGAAGTCTGCGATGTTGTCTTGTGCGGCTCGCACAAAGAATTCAGACAGATACTGCTGGGTCTCGTCGTCGCGCGTACGGTTGCCACCGCTGTCCAGCATCGACATCAGAGCTGCATGTGAAGGGTTCACCATATCAGGCTCATCTTCCCAGCCTTCATCGCCGTCATCCTCGTCTGCGTCGGCAAAATCGGCGGCGGCGGCGGCGGCGGCAGCATTCGCTGCGCCCTGGACGCCCGAGGCCGACAGAAGCTCTTCGATCAGCACCTTAAGGATCTTCAGAGTCGCCGGGATCGAGCTGTACTGATCTGGGTTTTGCTTGGCTCGCGACCGTGTCATGATGCGCCCGTTGCCCGGCTGAATGATCATGTCGCCCTTTACTTGTATCTGGGCCAGGCGCTGGTCGTTGAGAGAGTAGAGCTTCGACAGGGCAATAACATTCTGACGGATGTCATCATATCCCGCAAAACTGACAGAGTTCTCTAGCCACTTGCTCATGACAACCTGCAAGCCATTCTGGCCGTTGATATCGATAGTGCTGAGGAACTGGACCACATCACCGGCCTGGACCAGTGACAAGCGCGCGAAGACACTGATGAGGGACTGGATGAAAGCAGCAGCCTCTGCGGTTGCGAGACGATTAGCAACTGCTTGCAGGAGCTTCTCCAGGTAAGGTCCCAGACGCTCCGGTCCGGCCTTCTCCACAAGCTCTGCTGCGAGCCCCCCGACCTCTGATGCGGCGTTATCCTCGATGTTGGGCCCAAGGAGGCGGTCCACGATAAGGAGGCAGGTCTCCAATCCAGACTGGCCGTTCTCGTCATGCCAGCCGAGCACCTGGTGGTGGTCGTGCATGAGCATGTACTTGATGGCCTCTGCACCTGGCCGCAAGACTTCGCCCTCGGGAGACTGAAGCAGCAGGTTCTTCAGTTTCGGGAGGGTTGCCGCAACAAAACCAGCGGGAAGAGGTTCAGAGCCATTTTGCACCAGCGGTACAAGGAGCTCGCACGCCAAGGTGAGCAGAGGATCGTCCTGGGTCATGTCTGCGACATTGAAGGCGCCAGCGATCGTGGGCAGAACCTTGGCGCACAGGGCCGCATAAGATGTCGGATCCGACAGGGTCGAGACAAGGTCTTCAAAAGCCTCGACGACCATGAAGGTGACTTGGAAATTAGAAGCGCCATGTTTGGCGATCAAGAATAGCGAGTCGACCGACTTGATCTCTGACGCGATGGTAATGCGCGGGTCGATACTGATGACAGCTCTGAGAGCCTCGGCGAGGGTGACCAGCAAATCATCAGCATCTTCCAGTTCAGTCATATCCTTGCCGTCAAGAAAGCTGTTGATAGCAACGAGCATGGGCGCTTGACGGTCGCCAGGCACGTTGCCAGAGGTGACGAAACTCTCCACGCTCTTGATACAGGCAACCTGGACGAGCTCAGAGCTATCGCTGCCGATGGACTGAATCGTCCGGTCGAGTAATGTATTGGCGGGCGCAAAACCTTGGGACAGTGTGCCGGCGACAATGAAGCCTCGAGCCCGGAGCAGAGGCTGCTCTTGACCTGGGAAAGAATGAGCAGCGGTTCAAGGGGACGAGATGCGTTGTTAGACTGATATCCTGGCTTAGAAGGAAAAAACTTACCTGCGGCATAGTTGATCAACTCCACGTGTGCCTGGGCAACCTCTGGTGGCACAGCTTCGGAGCGATCCTGGAAGTCGCTGAGAAGCATGTTGAACAGATACAGACATGCCTCTTGCGAGCGCCAATCGTTTTGACCCGTGAATTGTGTTTGGGTGTATGCGAAGAGACCTTCCAAAGCCCTGCCATGCAGCCACTCCCCAATCTTGATCAGCAAATCACCACAGGCGGTTCGTGCAGTGTAGTTTGCCGTCACCTGCAAGTCATTATCAGCAGTGTCTTCCGGTGGAGGAGGAAAGAGAAGAGAAGAAGAGAGAAGAGAAGAAGAGAGAAAGAAAGAAAGAGAGAAAGAAAGAGAGAAAGAAAGAAAGAAAGAAAGAAAAGGAGCGATTGTAACAGTGACAGGATATGGAGGCCACCTACCGAGGTCTCTTCGGCGAGGTATAGCGACACGTCAATGTCCCAAAGCTCCTCTTCCTCGCAGGTGATGCGACTATAAGCAACGAGCAACTTCATGAGGTCTATGACCCAAGGTGCCTCATGGGCTGGCCGTCCATTGAGCTGCGCCTCGAGCTCCTTCTGAACCGGTGCGGCCCTCATGCACTGGTTGAGGAAGTCCAGCTCTTCCAGGATCAAAAAGTCGAGGGTATATGGCAGACCATCCGAGTCTTCTAGTCGTCCCTGGCCGGTGGTGTCGATGAAGTGCTCCTGGTACTGGTCTTGTAGGAGGGAGAGCTCGTGCCACGTCGCTTGGAAAAAGGCAAGGCTCTGCGGCAGCAGAAGGGTTGGGAAGACGCTCTTAACCTTCATCAGGGTCTTCACGACCTGAAGTTTGAACGAGATGATGCCGTTACGGTACGCGCGCGCAGAGGGTTCCTCAGAGACCGGCGGCAGCTGAACCTGAAGAACCTGCGAGAAGAATGGGAGCCATCCCTTCAGGGCCTCATCGGCGAAACCCTTGACCTCCTTAGGATGATCGTCCTTGACCATATCCATAAGATCGAAGCAGCCACGGAAGACGAGCACGGCCAGGGCCCGAAGGGTCGGCTTTCGAGTATCGCTGAGGGCGACGTTGTAGACGACATCGATGATGGGGCGGGCAGCGGAGAAGAATTGGTCTTCGGTCAGGCTCTCGTCGACGATGTCGCTGAGGACTTTAAGGGCACCGTAGAGCTGGGCGTCGGTGCCGGTCGGGATGACTTTCAGGAGAGTAGGGAGGAGTGTCGGCCACTTGTCGGGAAAGTCGCTGTTGGCGATCTTGCCAACTACATAACTGCGCTCTGTGTTACTTGGCTGCCCTCTCATCATACGGTCTCTCTCTCTGCATCGTTCTTGTGCGTAGCCTACCTGGCAGCAGACTTAACCCTGCGGTCGGACTCGTCGCGCAGCGCCAGATCCAACAGCTTGGGACGCAGCTGATCCTTGGTGGATTCGGGGATGGGGATACGGGGCCCTTCGCCATCTTCATCGCCCTCCTCACCCCAGTTGAACTCGATGAGGCGTCGGAGGTAAGACAAGGCGGCCTGGCGGATTTCTGTCGCGACGGCGGAGTGGGCAGCGATGTCTGCAAGGGCGATTGGGAAGGCAGGGTTCGTCTGGGCATGCAGAAGGTCGAGTTCAGCACGTTTCCTAGGCCCTTCTTGGGGGGATTGGGTGTCGACCAGCAGCTGAGCCAGCTGGTCCTCCATGATGGTAGCCCTCTGTTTTTGCTCTGGCCTGGCGGTGGTCTCTCAGGCTCGAACTACTGCGGGGCAGGGCTAAGAGGGGTACTTGTGAGTTAGGTCACTGTTAAGTAAAGTGGTCTGAAGAAGAGCAAGCAGAGCAGCCTTGTCAATCGGTAAGACAAGATCTGATGTGAAAAGGAGTGCCTAAGCCTGAAATAGCCTGGTGGTTGTTGAGTATCCTGCTTTAGCTCAACACTTGGTGATGCAATAGTCGAATGAAGCCAGTGTTTTTGTTAGCAAGTGTGCATGAAGAAAGGGAGAGAAGGGAAAGCTCGTTGGGTTGTAGTGCACAGAGGGTAAGCTTTTGGGGATGGTGGGGTTACAGCTCAGTTTCGTTTCCACTGCAGGGCATTAATGGCCCCCCACTCTCTCCCCACCTTAAGACGCGTCTTCTGCTGCGCAAGGAGTCAACTGAATGCCCTGACTTTCTACCTATACAAATTTCTGAGAAAAGATTTACAGGAATTGGCTTTTCATGACGATGATGCTAGTCCTCTCCTATTATCTATTGAAAGAAAAGAATAAGAAGGGGAAAAAACATAAAATGAAATTCTTCCCATATTGATGAAGGTTTGGTTGATGGCATTACCAACACGCTGGTAACACCCAGGCCTTCTTCAAAAAGGGACGTGACGCGATTTAGTTCGCGTACAGGGGCTAAACTGTCTTGGGTCACTTATGAAGCATCAAAGTTCACAGTAAATCCTAACCAAATGTTCTGGAGGGGGGTTCTACCCATCTCTCAGCAGGATCTTACAAATTCATAGAACAGTAAAATGACGAGCAGCTCCCATACTTCATTCATTATCTTATACCTTGGGCCTTGGCTTGGAATACCTGGCTCATGGTTTTACCAAGGAAGGCTTAGAGAGATGACTGTTCAACCTAGCCTGTAACAGTACGACTCACTCAGCATCTAGGCTCAATTGTGGTAGCCTTCTTGGTCATCAGCGCATCTCAAGAGCACCTGCCGGGGCTCGAAGAAGACCATAATCTGCTTGCCCTTCCAAAGAACAAGACAGATGCTGCCAAAATCGCCGAACGGGTGTTCGAGAACGGGAACTAGGCGTGGCTGCCTGCTAAGTACTTAATTAGTGCCCACCTGGTCCCATATTGTCTCTCAACTGCTTATGCATAAACAGGCGCGGTTTGTCTTGTCTTGATCTTGAGACAGGATTTTACAAAAACAACAAGAGGGGCTACTACTCGCAAGAAATCAGCATCATGTCAATGCCACCGCCTCCCCTGCGACGAGCAGGAGAAGGGCAACAACTATTGTCGCCTCAGACGACAGAAGTGCCTATTGCCGAGGCGAGTACTCTCCTCGACGCCTTCACCAGCTTTCTCACCGTCTCGATCCACACTATCCTCTACAATCGCAACATCTATCCCAGAGATACCTTTCTCTCCGCCAAAGCATTTAACCTGCCTGTCCACCAGTCCCGCCATCCCAAGGTCTGCTCATGGATCAACGATGCCGTCGACGCGGTCATGGCTCAGCTAGCCAAGGGCACCGTGGAGAGGGTGGCTGTGGTCATCCATTCGCCGCTCAAGCCACCACCTGCCAAGGTCTCGGTTGTCCGCCAGCTGCCTCCTGGAAGTGTGCTTGAGAGGTGGATGTTTGATGTCTCTCGGTTCCCGTCCTGGCCTGGCGGTATAGAGGCATTGAAGAGCCTTCGTGGGGAGGGAGAAGACCACCAGCAGGACGAAAACAAGCAGCAGCACGATGATGAAGACTCGGAGGAGGGCGAAAGTGTCAGTGAGGGAGACACTGACGCGGAGGACGATGCTCAAGGGGCCACCGACGACGACAACGACGATGACAACGAAAACCCGGCTGCTACCATCAATTGGGTCGACGTCGATGAGCAACTTAGAGGTGCGGCGCGCCGCCTTGCCTACGCGGGCGAGAAGATGGATGCGCTGCCCGAGGGCTGCACGTTCACAGTGGTCGTTGAACTACGAGACAAGGCCCGGGCGCCAATAGGGTACCCTCAGCCATGGATCCCTTCACAATCTGGACTGAAGGGCGCTACGCAGAATCGCGGGAAGGTTGCCAATGCTGGTGGTGCTGATACTGCCGCCGCCGCCACCATCCCTATCCGCACGATCGAGACTGGACCCTTGTTCCTCGAGTGTTGGGTTGAGGAGGGCAAAGCAAAGGATGTCCTGCCAATGTCTGAGAGCCACAAAGGACCACAATCTTCCGAATGAGCTCATTCATCCACAAGACGGAAAACATCACCACCCTTGGTCCAATCCAAGACGGGGCCATTGCGCGCTACCAACGTTTAAAACCGAGGATCTCTATAATTGAACGCCAAATTTATCGTCTACATCAAGAGGGCACCGCCGACCATGGCCGCGGCACCCATGAACACGGCGTTCTGGGTCATCTTCGGGACGCCACCAGTACTTGAGGAAGTCGACCCGGTTGTCGATCCAGAAGTTGATCCAGTCGTGCTCGCGGCGAGTTTCTCCAGGCCGGCCGTGACCGTCACAGGCAGAGTGTAAGAGCTGATGCCTGTAACCACAGCACTTCCAGAGCTCGTCACCATCGCTGTCGAGGCGGCAGTCCCGGAGATGTCGTAATCGATCGTTGTCATAGACGTGGTACATGTTGCTGTGTCGGAGGTGATGGCGCAAGAAATGTCGATAGTCCTGGAAACAGTCAGCCACCACTCATATTCGAACATAGCCAGTTTTAAACATAGTCAGTCTAGCTTATGCCTTACCCAATAGCTGACTCTGTCATGTGGACCTCTAGCACGGCAGGCCCGTCGACGATCTCGAGACCAGTTCCAAAGCCGCAATCGAGGGAGGACTCAGATGTAGGGCAGGTGACAAAGTATGATGTCGCTGTGGCATCCACCCCGATAATCGATCCCATAACAGCCTCGGAATCGACAGAGCTCGGCAGGTGAATGTCCATAACCGTCGAGGTCGCGGACCCGGACGTTGTGGTATCGGCATGGGCCATGCTGGCCAGCCCAGCTAGCAAAAGAAAGATTCGCTGCGTCATGATCGATTGATGGATAGCCGATGAGAAGACTCAAAAGAAGGACTGCGAGTTGAAGAGTCTTGGTCTATGTATATATCGATTTTTGATGGCGATTGTGAGATGGCGATCTCAACTGTGCAGGTGTATCATCGCTTCTAAGGTGAATAGTCGCCGCCCAGTGGACGTTCAAGAGGCTTTAATACCTGCTGTGAGAGTCAGGAAATCGCATGATGCATGTAGTCTGTTTGGTCCATTCATATCTCGCTTGAGCCTCGCAAATACAAACGAGACAATTTTAAGCCTAAAACTGGCCCACTTCTGTAGCTCAACCCCGGCTTCTGTGACCGGCATTGTGCTGCGGCCTGTCCCTTTCTTGCTGACGATTGGCCTGGCACGCCTGGGTTTTTGTCTGCAATTTTATTGGAACGGCGGCAAGGACACAGTGCAGCTGCTTTACTTGTAGTTAATTCAAGAAAGGCTTTTTACTCTACCAAACCCTATGGCTTTAGGCAAACCGAGGAAATGGTAAGGGACCCACTAGTGAACAACCAGGTTCGGGATGTGAGCCTGTCTGCATGCTGTCATCCTGCGTCGACTGCGGCTGAGTCCACAGAAGCAATTGTCTCTTGACTTAAGCTTTTCCTGTCCTTCTTTCCCTCCTTCCTTCACAGCGACAGCCGGGCCGAAGAGGAAGGAGTTCCTACTCTTTCCCATCCCCCGTGTCTTCTGCTTCTTGGCTGCATAAGTTTGTCAAGCAGAGCCCTATCCCGACCTGGGAACCTCGTTCACGGGGGATTAGCAACGAGCCGACTTATTGATGTGCTAGGACCGGGCAGAACAGAAGTGACAACGCGAAGGAGGCACACCACCCTACTCGGGGTAGAGTGAGCGGTGAGCAAAGTCCCGGGGACGGGGACGGGGACGGGGACGGGGACGGCCGGGGGAGGATAGAGAGACAAGAGAGAAGGGGAGGAGATAGGACCACGTGCGGTACAGTTTAGGCAACACCGCCAAGCGATCGTTTGGCTCGCCAGGCTTGGCACGGGAGCAGCGGGCAAGTTGAGGGTTTCCTGCGGTGCGGCCGATGGTTCCGCCAGCCAGGGTTGGCTCACCCGGAGAGCGGAGACTGCTCCCCTACGTTCTCCAGCACAGGGTAGGGGCTTTTCTCTCGGGCGGGCGGGAGGGAAGGGCCCTGCACAGCAAAGCAAGGCTATGGACTATTGCGGTAGGGTCCCTTATAGCAGCAGCAGCAGCAGCAGAGGGGGGAAGGAGGGACTGAGAATGAGAGAAGGAAAGAGGGCCAGGGCACGTCTTGGCAATGTCAGACAGCCAAGAGAAAGCCAAGACCTCAAGGCACAGATAGCGGGCTGATGCCAATCACCGACAAGCACTGGATCCCTCTTTTTTGAAAGCCAAAAAAAGGAAGGAAAAAAAAGGAAAAAAGCGCGACAAGACCAAAAGAAGGAGGGTGAGCCTGTCAGGTTGTCCTCCGCTCCTCCTCTTCTCACAACACACACACAGAAATCATACACTACACACTACACACACACACTCTCTCTCTCCCTCTCTCTCTCTCTCTTTCCCTCTTTCTCTTTCCCTCTTTCTCTTTCCCCACAAGATCTCTGCTGAACCACTTTGGAACTTCAGATCACAATCTACAGCAGCGTTATTGTGGCCTTTGTGGATGGTGTGAGCGCAGCAAACGCCCTCTCACAACTTCGGGATCCATCCAAGAGAGCTACCATACAGAACAACACCAATGATCCGATAGCCACCAGACACCCCCCCCCCTTCTTGGACGTCTTGGTCATCACCCCCTCTTCTTCTGAGGGTTGATTATTTCCTCGTTTCCCTTTTCTTAATATGAAGCGTGTCTGGCCACGTCTGCCCCTCCTTTTAGCCGCGCTGGCTCCGAGCCTAACGCCGACGTCCGCCGACTCCTCCCCGACCACGGTTCCGGTCTATGTGCCCGGATACCAGAGTGAGAACTGGGATGATCTGGCAGGGAGTGTAATCACGAGTGTAAGCAGCTCCGAATAATCATCAATGCCATAATCCTCTCTCTCTTGCATGTGCTCGATGCAGAAGTGGGTCACGATTATGAAGGATGATGATGTCGTCCCGTGCCTAGGCTTTTATTAACATTGGCTGCTGCTACTTACAGGACAGCACGGCCACCACATATACCATCTTCTGCCCGGACACGGATGACTGCCAGATAGCAGGGCGCATGCAGTTCACCTTTGCAGAGGGGCCCAGCACTTTCAAGTACTCAGGAGAGGTAGAAGATATGCTGTGAGTGAGCAGGTCTCTCCCGCTTATTCCTTGTCCAGACGACATCATCACGAACCTCGCTTACACGCTGCCCTTTCCACACGCAGGACGGCTGTGATCTCATGTCAGCTAGTCTCGACGACGGCAGCCACGTGCACGGAGTATTCTTCCTTCGGCGCAGGATGGAAGAAGGGCAACACGACGGGGCCCACGGAGGTGTCTCGCACGGAGACGTACCTTGGCAGTGAGGTCCAGTGGGGTGTCTTGACCTTGACTACGCCTGCGCCGACCGGAACGGCTGATCAGGCCATCGGTGGCAGCGGGATGTCGATCAACCCCAGTGATACGGCGTGGTTCTTCCCTAAGGCAACGAGGACATCGAGGGCAGCCCGCAGCGTGGAGCCACCCAGCAGGCCGGTGGCACTGGCGGGGGCCGTGGTGGTGGGCACGACGGTGATTGCGATGGGAGTGCTCGGCGTATGACAATATTCTTGAGAACTGGTTTGATTATGGCGAGGTTCGGGATACCCCAGACGAGGCTTCATCTGATTGCGAGTGTTTGGATCATTGCATAGGCGTTTCTGGTTCTTGGTTCTGGTTCGAGGCGCAAGTGCCCACGAGGCTCGGTTGGTCTAGGGCGAGACATGGGATCTTCTTCAAACAGCAAAAACATTATACTAAAGAAAAGATAATGATTGGTAGATTTTGTTTGGTTCCTTGATTCGTGCTTAATACATAATCATAGTATCATGTTTTTTAAGAAAGAAAAAGGAGCATGTCTGAGCCAGTCGTAGATCCTAGGTGGGTCGTGAGCTGGGGAAACGAGGATCTGGCGGCGGCAAGAAGCGAGCGGCTGTGGGGGGAAGAGGTTGGGAGGGCTCTCTGGAATAGCCAGCCGTTCGACACTCAAACCAGATCGACTCGCCCACGTTTCTCCGTTTTCTCGAGTCGCACGAAGCCACCCCATATTCCCGACGCCTCTCTCTATTTTGTTTTTTTCTATTTCTTTTACAAAGGACCCCTGAACGGCGGCTGGCTGGCCCTGGAATGATCTCGGCAAGTTAAGGTTGCAATGCGAGAAGGAGAATGAAAAAGGAGAGGGACCGCGCGGCAGCCAGTCGGTCTAATATGTGCAGAAGCATGTTTCAGGTGCACCCTTCTGGCCGGGAGTCGAGCCAGCGTTCAGCCAATCGAGGAGGTTGAAACAAACAAGGTCATCTCCCCTTTTTTTTTGCCTCTTCCCTTCTTCAGTACTACCTTCCTTGCCCCTTACTGATGTGTATTTGCTGCAACCACTGCAGGGAGGATTTGGTTTACTTTGGAGAAGCAAAAGGCATATAGAGACATAGGTTGGTTTCTCTGGAGATGCTACAAATCACAAAGTATCTCTAGGTCGTGCAGTCTAGGTAGAATCTATTATTTGTACATTAAATGAATCCTACGTCGTGCCTTTCTGGCCTTGTTAGGCCCCCTCAGCTTCATGGCCAGATTCACTGACCCCCTGTAAATCATACTTGGTAGCACAGCCCTCTGCTGAAAACCCCCGCCCTTGTTCAAGCCTCTAGAACCCTGCAGTGACCACTTAATGTGTCAACTCACTTTTGTGCGTCTCTTGTCCAATGCGAGTCACCAGAGGCACAAGCATGCAGGACAAACGAAACAAACCCCACCCCTAGAAACGCAGAACAGGGGGGGGCCTCGGGCGTCATGAACCATTTTTACCCTTTGACCTCTCTCTACTGTGGTACACGGCAGTGCAGCCAGCCGCCCAGTCAGATGTTTAGCATGCCTGATCGTCGCATGCCCGTCTTGCTTTCTCTCCTTTTTGGGTTGGCAGACCAGGAACCTGGCCCCCCTCCTGCAGGAACAAGGTAATGGCTGCCTCGCGTTTCCCAAAAGATGGGCTCCATATTTGGTACAACGTCCTGGTCTGGGGGAGCTTTCATGTGAGTTAGGTATATGATGGATGGGGTTGGTGTGCTTTGTTTGGTCTGGGGGCGGGTCAAGAGGCCTAAAGGATTGAGTTCAACATCACCAACCTCATCTCATCCATCTTTCTTTCCTCCATTCTTCTCTTGCTTCCTCTAACCTTCACTTCACTTCGCTTGCCTCTCTTCTTCGATTCCTTGTCCGTTGAACGGTAGCAGAGGGTCAAATTCTTTGCCCTGCTTGTCCTTCGTTGACTGACGTGTGCCCCTCGTTGTTCTTCTTCTTTCCTCTCTTCCTACCCCTTTTGCCTTCTTGCACAGCGTCTTTCGTTCAAGCCGCGTCTATGAAGTCATTCTTTTCAACATCTTGAACGGACAGTCCTTCATTCCTTCACACACACACACACACACACACACACACATCACGGGCTCTTGTCCCTCAACTTCTATTTGTTGTTCAGAACGTCATCTCTTGTGGAGCTAGGACTCCCCCTTCCCTCTTCTCTTCTTGACATTTCTCTGTCTCTCTCTTCAACACTGCTGGGCAGCCTCCCTTTTCCACGGTCGAAATCAACGCCACCATGAACGGCGGTATTCTCAACCTCGTGTCCGCCATCACCAAGGCCGGAGTCTTCACCCAGGTAGCTTCTGCGGCAGCAACCGATGGGACAACTGAAGCCTCCACCAGCGTCGCCGCTGTCGCCCCAGCCAGCCTGGATGTGACCTCGACCTGTACGTTGTTCGAAACATGAAGCTGGAGTCTGTCTGGGAGGGATACTTGTGTGTGCGTGTGGCAACAGTCTGGCTGACGTGTGTGTGCGTGACGTTACAGCTTCAATCCTTGGTGTTGCAAAGACTCTTGCCGAAGGTACCATGTCATACTATCCCGGAACTTCTGAGGTGAGCATTGGTATTCACAAAGGGCAGACAGCTCCTGTTGGGAAGAGCTCTGCCGCGTCTCACGGGCCCTGCTGACACAAGGTTCTACAGGCCTACGCTGCCTTACCTACGCCGTACTACTGGTGGGAGTGTGGTGCTATGATGGGGGCGATGCTGGACTACTCACACTACACGAACGACTCTACGTACGACGAGGTCCTCACCACCGCCCTCTCGGCCCAGGTCGTGGCCCCACAGAACGACCTGATGGTCCCAGCCGACTACGGCTCCGAGGGCAACGATGACCAGGCGTTCTGGACCTTCACTGTCCTCTCGGCCGCGGAGCGCAACTTCCCACAGACGGCCAACACCAGCGTCCCCTCGTGGCTGCAGGTGGCCGAGAACGCCTTCAACTCCATGTCTGCGCGGTGGAACACGTCGGCATGCGGCGGTGGCCTGCTGTGGCAGATCTTCGCCGACAACAGCAACGGGCTCAACTACCGCAACTCCGTCTCCAACGGCGGCTTGTTCCAGATCAGCGCCCGCCTCTACCGCGCCACGGGCAACCAGACCTATCTCGACTGGGCCAACAAGGTCTGGGAGTGGTCGACGGCCATCCAGTTCATCGACGCCAACTACTACGTCTACGACGGCGCCGACTCGCGCGACAACTGCACCGTGGCGAAGCGTGATAACGTCACCTTCTCCTACGCTGCAGGAATCTACCTGTACGGCGCCGCGGTCCTCGCCAACGCCACCAACGGCACCGACGCCGCCACCTGGACCACCCACACCCAGGGCCTGCTCAAAGCCGCCGGCAGCTTCTTCTCGCCCTACGACAACGCCACCGACATCATGTACGAGCACGCCTGCGAGCCCTACGGCCTGTGCGACACCGACATGAAGAGCTTCAAGGGCTACCTCAGCCGCTTCATGTACTCCTCGGCCCTCATGGTGCCGTCCATCGAGTCGACCGTGTCAACCTACCTCGAGGCCTCCGCCACCGCCGCCGGCAAGGCCTGCTCCGGCGGCGACAACAGCACCACCTGCGGCCAAAAGTGGTACACGGGCGCCTTCGACGGCAGCGTCGGTCTGGGCCAGCAGATGAGCGCCCTCGAGACGGTCCACGGTCTCCTGGCCAAGGCTGCGCCCGCGCCGTACAGCATGGCCGAGATCCAGGACGTGCGGCTGTCGAGCTCCTCCGTCTCGACGGCAACGACAGGCACGGCGGACAACTCGGCCAGCAGCAGCAGCAGCGTCCTGAGCGCCACTGCGACGTCCTCGCCTGCGAGCACTAAGCGTTCTCACTCGCCGGCGTCGAGAGTGGTTGCTGTGGGGGCGGCGGCTTGGGGCCTGGCTGTGTCGGCTGGATCTCTGCTGGCTGTGTTGGTGTAGTAGGGGCTGGTAACCAACAACCACCTGTATCTTTCCTTGTCTCGTTCTTCTTCTTCTCCGTCCTCTTCTCACTTGGTGGTAGAAGATAAAAACCTGTATTACGGACTTGTACAGAGATAAAACAAGAAATTGAGCGTGGAAGGTAGCGCATGTCGTACACAACATGTACATATATGCATGCATGATCACAACATACACGTACATCGTGAGCATAGCCGGCGTTGAAGGAAAGCTGGATCATGCCTTTGACAGGACAGCAATCAGAAAAAATCATTTTACCTCTTGCAGAACGTTATACTGCAATTTCGCTTGCCTCTTTTTGTAAGAACAAGAGAGAAACAAGATGACAAAAGTAGAGTGAAGTATTTGTTACACATCACGTGGAATTAGAAAGTTTTTGTTTATTTACTTTTCTTCTCTCTCTATCCAATTTATCGCCTTACCAAAGAGTATGTCTAAGGTGGGACCCTCTTGTTCTAGGCCAGCCAAGCAGAATAGAGACCCGTTCCATCTATCCATAATCCATCCTCTTTTTTTAAGCAACAACCCCATTTGCCTCGTTCTCCCGTCTCTCTTCCTCCTTGCCCCCAGTCGACGGGCTGGCCACGCCCCTCACCTCAGCCAACATCTTCCTAATCGCCCCCAGCAACCTAGTACACTCGGCCTCGGTGCCGACGGTGATGCGCAGACACCCCTCACACCCATGCTCCTTGCCTCTGAACCGCACCACAACGCCCTTGGTCTCGGCGAGGCCCTCGTAGACGGCGAGCGCGGTCTTGTTGTCCGGCACCCCCTGCGCGTTCAGCATCTCGTACAGCAGGAAGTTGCTCGCCGTGCCGCCGCGCAGCCTGCCCACGCCGGGGATCTGGGGCAGCTCGCGCACGAGCCTGTCCCTCTGGGCGACGAGCCTCTCCCGGTTGGCGCGCATGGCGGCCAGGCCCTGGGCCGAGAGCGCGTACGAGGCCAGGGCGCTGGTCGGGGAGGAGATGTTGTAGGGGGCCTTGAGGCTGTTGAGCAGGCGGGCGACGTCGGGGCTCGCAAAGGCGGCGCCCAGGCGGACGCCGGCCATGCCAAAGGCCTTGGACAAGGTCTGGAGCACGACGAGGTTAGGCCACTCGGCGACCCACTCGGCGAGGCTGGCTCCGTCGGGGGCGAAGTCGATGTAGGCCTCGTCGAGGACTACGATGCCGTTCCAGGTGGGGTGCTCGAGCACGCGGCGCACGTCGTCCTTGGACAGGAGCCCGCCTGTGGGGTTGCCGGGCGAGCAGAGGTAGGCGAGCTTAATGCCGTTGGTCTGCGAGGCGTCCAGGGCGGCGAGGATGGCGGGGACGTCGAGGCTGAAGGTGGGCGCGGGGAGAAGCGGGACGGGAACGAGGCCGACGTCGTTTACCTGGGCACTGACCGAGTACATTCCGTACGTGGGCGGACACACGAGGATGGTGTCGCGGCCAGGTACGCAAAAGGCGCGCAGGAGAGCGTCGATGGCCTCGTCGCTGCCCACGCCCACGAAGAGGTTGTCTGGGGTCAGGTCCTTGTTGGTGTGGTCGTGTGTGTTGCGCAGGCGGCAGAGGAGGCGTTTGAGGTCGTGCTGGTGCGGGTCAGGGTAGCGGTGCAGGCCAAGGAGGTCCACACTGGCGGCTGGACCAACATCACCATTATTGGCGGTAACAACGTCGGCAGTGATGGGGGGTCCATAGGCGTTCTCGTTGGCGTCGAGGAGGATGTTGTGCCCGTCATCCTTGTAGTCATCCCGTGCGCAGCGGTAGGGCTGCAGACGCAGGATGTTAGGGCGTGCACAGGTGGAGAGGTCGAAGGGAGACATGATGGGCTTCGAGGAGGAAGGTTGCTGCGCGGTGCAGCGATTTGATCCTGCTATGTGGTATCTAGAGAGAATAAAAATATATAATTTTGATCATGAGAGAAGGGAGATTGGGTCTGAATGAAAGGTGTTGAGGTATGGCGATGTTGTAGGGGAGATGAGGTTCAAGGGGAATGAAGATTGTTGAGTCACGATCATGGGCCAGAAATTCCATGGATGATGAGTCTTGAGTGAAAGTTTGCGGGTGAGGTTCAGCGGCCGGCTCGGCTCCGAACCCGGAGGTCGAGGGCTGCCCCACTTCGGCCGGGGTTTCGTCATATCGGAGCGCCGGTCGAGGCTTCCCAGAAACTCGTCACAATTCAGGAAGTCGCGTCAAGAGAAGAACGTAGTGTTTGGTCTACCGGGGCCTTCCTTTGGAAAAGTGCTTGGTTTATGGCGATTATTTCTTCTTGGTTAGTAGTGGTTGTATTATCGAGTCGCCTCGTAATTTTGCCTGGAACGCAAAGGATGATGTTTCCAAGAGGGTTCTCTGTTACCTTGACTACCATCTCGAGCTCTCGATCGAGTTCTTGATGTCTTTTATTTTTGAAAGTCACAGCAAAAGCTCAATGCCATCGTTAGACTCGACACCATCGGCACTGTTCATGCACAAGCCCGTCCCACGCCAGCCACGCCGTCGGGTCAATAGGGCCGAAGTATGGGCACATTCAGCCTGATTGCAACGGCCAAACCCAATCAGGTCAGCACCAATGATGGTAAAATAAATTTCCTGACGGCTCGATGGCCCGATGTCTGCATACACTTACTGCGCGAGCTCCAAGGAAACAGTCCCTCCACACTATACAGCTTCTCTCCTAATCATGAATATCGCCCACCAACGAACAAGCATCAGAAAGCTTACACCGTTGGGGTCTTCCTCCTCCTTCAAGCTTCTAGGATCTATTTCATCTGCCGTGCGCGAACTACATCAGCGACAGTGGTATCTCCTCACGTCATTGTACATGAATCGATAGTAATCCATCTTTTGTTATCCCCTCCCCCCCCCCCGGAGCTACCTGATCTCGGCTAGATGCATCTCCCATGTAGTCAACCGGGCTCTAATCGACTCTTCTCCCCACAGGAACAGAACTTTGGCTGCCCCTCAACCATGTCAGCCCCGCCTCGCCGTCCCTGGCCTTTGATCCTTGGTCTTGGTCTTCCTTCGGATGAGCGGGCGGGCGTCATGGATGTTTCCCGGGTTTTCACCCGCCCTCTCTTACTATAGTCAGTACTATGATGGTCCCCTGGGTGCAGTGGTATATAATCCCCTGGCTTGGTACTTAGCGCACATATGGGCACCATGACTATTCATCTCAGATACATCCTGTCATCGACTGTGTCCTCCTCGCCCTGCTGTCCGGGCCACACTTATAATTCATACTCCATCCCCTTCACAGACTTTGAATCAGCCCATTTCTCCTCAAGGAGACGATGCAATTCACAACAATCGTCGCTGCGAGCATAGTAGTGGCGGTCGCTGCAGGGGCCTCCTGTGCCGGCAAGCCCTTCTCGAACCTCGTGACCTTTGGCGATAGCTACACCGATGACGGGCGGCTGAACTACTATATCAGCAACAACGGTGAACCCCCACCCGCGGGCACCATCCAGCCCGAGTCCAACGTCAGTGCTTCGGGTGGCCTAGTCTGGGGTCAATTCGTCCAGTCGTATGCTGGTGTTGCTTACTTTGACTACGCTGTCAGCGGAGCCGTCTGCAGCAACGAGATCATCTCGCGGTACTTTAGCGCTATCGACGGGCCGTTCCCCTCGGTCGTGGACGATGAGCTCCCAAGCTTCGTGGCGGACGTGGCCGCCCAGACGCTCTACGCAAACAGGACGGCTGAGAACACCGTGTATGCGCTGTGGATTGGCACCAATGACCTGGGCTGGGGTGCCTTCCTATCGGATTCACAGGCCCCTGGGGTGAGTACCTATTTGTGTGTCCTCTTCTTGAGGGCCGAGATTTTCTCTTCCTAGTACTGCGGAGGGGGGCCCAGGAGGAGCCTGCTGACTCACGGGAGAGGGCAGACTAACATCACCACCTACATCGACTGCATATGGTCCGTCTTTGACACTGTCTATTCGACAGGTGGCCGCCGCTTCGTCCTTCTCAACACAGCCCCGCTCCAGTACGCGCCCATGTACGCGGCCCAGAGCGCCGGCGGAGCAGGCGACAACCAGTACTGGACCAACAAGACGCTCTACAACCAGACCGAGTACCAGAGCAAGATACTAGAATACACGCAGCTCGTAAACCGCGTCTTCCATTATGGCGCCGCCTATGAGCTGTTGGTCAGCGCCCGCTGGCCTGGAGCGACACTCGACATCCTCGACGTCAACAGTTTGCTATCTGATATCTACCACAACCCAGCCGCGTACCTAGACAGCCCGGCCAACGCCACAGGGTTCTATCACCACTGCGACGCCAATAACAACTCCATCTGCACGACCGAGCCGCAGCCGTTAGACACCTTCCTGTGGTTCGACGAGCTGCACCCTACAAACAAGACGGATACGTACATTGCGAAGGAGTTTTTGGGTGTGGTGTACGGGAACTCGTCGTATGGGACGCATTTTGGTTGAGGGCGGGGTGTGTGGGGGGGTGTGTGTGTGTGTGTGAGAGAGAGAGAGAGAGAGAGAGAAAGGGTGGATGGTCAGCTTGTTTTCTCTCTCTTCTTTCCCCTCCCCCCAAAAACAAACTTCGGTCGACCAGGAAAGTAAAACCTCGATTGGCCAGGAATAAAAGCAAAGAAAGAGCCATTCGTGCCCAGCTCTATCCCACGCAATAGCAGCAGGAAGATGCATGTCTTGGTCGGGTCGAACCTGATCCCATCCATCCTCCCCCCTTTCTTTTTCCTTCTCTCTCGCTGGTCACATTCAAGTCTGAAAACCACGTCCCTCTGCCAAACAGTCTGTATCTAGTAGATGTCAGTCATTAACTCATATGTTTCTCGCATACTCGTGCAACAGGGGAAAGGAAAAAAAGAGGGGAAAAGGAAATTCAGTCAAAAAGATCCTCGTGCGATGTGGTGGGAAGGGGCATGTGATGAGGTTGCGCTTCTGAAATAGTACGTACAGTACCTGAATCCACAGCGTCCGCAGTACTGTGTAGCACGCCTAGTAATGCCCGTTCAGCCTATGTTAGCACTCGTCAAGGACAAGATCTGATGCTAGATCCAAATAGGAATAACGCAGTTCATGGGGCTCTCATCAGCAAACGAAGACCCACATTTTCTCCTGCCTGCGACCAGTCCCCAGCCGCCGCCCTCTCCCTAAGGCTATCTCCCACCCTGTCATCTTGTCTCCCGCAGGTCCAGAGAGAGAAAAGACAGAAGAAAAAAAAGTCTGCCCAGCTCTTTGAGTCCCCTCCCCCATTCCCCCCCTCCCACGCCAGGTCTACCACAAGATCGCCATTAGGTGTCTAGAAGTGACTCGGACGATAACGCTCTCATCACGCGCATTTACACAACCACACAACCACAACTACAACCAGGCGACATTGACAGCGCCAAGCAAGGCACACACTACAAACCACATCAGCACAAGCACAGCAACCGTGTCCCGTCCATCTCCCATTCCCCATCCACATTCTCTTCCATCGCCCATCCCATCCTACAGAGCTTTGTTGTACTCTTGTACTCGGTACCCCCCTCCCCATTTCCATCTTGTCTATTTTCCCCGATCTTGCATCGTATCGAGGCCACAACCTTGCATCCGGCCCCAGGCCTAGCTTCCCACTCCCACCTCCTCTCTTGACGTTCCCCGTACCCACGACCCACCCCCCTTGGTCGCCGCTCCAGCAGTCATCCTCCCTCTTGTGTGTCTATCCGTCGCTGGTCTGTCTGTTTACTTGTCTTCTTGTCTTGTTCTCTTGTCCAGACTGTGGTGGCACAGATCCACCCACACACTGCGACCATCTTTTTGCCTTTCCCCCTGTCCCTTTTGGGCTTCTTCGTCGGGGGAGATTACCTGGCACGTTGAGAGTAGTGAGTGGCCTGCCCAAGCTCTGGGTCAGTCTCGGATCCCGAGACTTTTTGACGCCCAAAAGGGTACCTGACTACCAACCCTTACCTTACCTTGACCAGGCCAGACGTCTGCGTCTTTGATCCTCGTCTTGTTATTTTCAGGGGTGGGGAGGTAGCCTCGCGCCTACCGGCAGACCGACTACGACTGATTGGGCCTCTTTCTTGGCTTTGCTTGCTTGTTGGCTGGCTGGCTTGCTTGGTCGACCCAATCTCACCCTCATCTCTGGCTTACACTCCATCGTCTGCCAGTCATCTTGTCGACATCAAAACACAAGGTGTCATCGCGCTCGTCCTTGTTTTCCCCTCGGCCTACCAGCTCACGTCCAATCTACTACCTTTTTTTTCTACGCCCATCACAGGTGAGGCGAGCAGGCAGGGCAGCCAAAGAAAGCCTTGAGAAGGAAACAAGATCCCGTGTGCAAGAGTGTGTGTGGACCGGGATTCAGTGCCAGCAGGAGGCTGTCTGCGTGTCTTTTTACTTGGCCATTCCGCCTCCACATACCCTCCCTGGCCCACCCATCCTTGGAGGGAAATATTCAAGCCGTCAGGCACCCGACATCACGCTCACGCACACGCATACGCGCACACCCCCCCCCCCTCAACCACTCACTCGTTCATTCACACTCACACTGATACACACACACACACACACACACACACACACACACACACACACACACACACATTGTCATCCTGTGTGAAAACGTTCCCTGAAGTCCGACCTGCGAGGTAACTCACGCCATTTCTCGCCCTGCCCGGCTACCACTATCTTCTCCAGTCTTAGCTCGAGACTCTCTGTGAGGCGAGGCACACTTTCGTCCCCAGGTTGTATCCGCGCCTTGTGAAAGCAACTTTTGTCTGTCCTTGGTCACAAAAAGACAGGCAGACTGACAGCGACCTGCCGCTCACTGTACTACACCCTGTGTACATTCTCCCCCATCTTGATTCGGATCCACGCTACGAACGCTCCCGTCACATCACCTGTTCCACGCGGCGCCCTGCACCGTATTTGTTCAAGCCTCTGTCAGGCAGGTTTGATCATTCAACGGGTGGAACCCCCCCTACCGCCAATCTGCAGTGGACGCCTGGATCCCAAGGTAACCCCACAACGATCCTCACGAGAACTGCTACTTTGTTAGCCGCACGGGCACAGGTACCGTACCTGAAAGGCTCATCCACCCTTCCTAATTGGGTTGATCACCTCACCGAACAGCGCCTCCCAAGCCGCCTTCGATCATCCCCCCCCCCCCTTCGGCTCGCTGCCGGTCTTTGCCCCCGCCCTTCCTACCTTTAGACACACATACACACACGCCTATCTTGGAGAAGCAGAGCCATGTACTCGGCTCCTTATGGTTACGGCAATGCTGCAGGTCAACCGTTCAACGGTGCCCCACCGGGTCAACCCCCCCAGATGCAGCCTGGCCCTGGTCCCAATCAGCCTCAGCAGCAGATGATGTATGGCCAGCAGTACCCCATGGGCCCGGGAGGTGCTTTTCCTGGTACTGCCAATCCCGGCGCCATGATGCCCGGGCCTGCAGGTCCTGCAGGAATGATGCAGAATACCGCTATGCCGCAGATGCCCGCCAATGGCCAGAGTGAGTTTGCCTCTTTTGCTTCTGCTTCTGCTTCTTCTTCTTCTCTCCCCTCCCCACGTCACACAACTCACAAGCCATGGCACGTAACACGTTGCGTGGCTGGCTGGCTGGCTAGCCTTTTGTCCCTTGTATTGCCTCCTACCTTCATACCACACCTATAGGTCAGCAATGCGCTGGCCTCCTCCCCGGCTGAAGAGGTGACGTTGTTTATTTTGGCGGCAAGGGCTGTTGCTTTTGTCCCCCTCTCAGCGTTGACGACGTGGTGGCTACTGTTCTTACTACTACCCTTGCTCCTGTTGTGTCGAGACCAAGTCCTGCTTTTGACGGAGGGGGAAGTCTCCTTTGCTGATGAGTTCTGCAGTGGGATTCCAGGCTCCCTTCACAACCTCACCATACGGGCCTAACGTACCATCCACAGCAGCCCCTCAGAGCCAGTTTAATCCCAACTACATGATGGCCAACCACATGGGTGGCTACCCCATGAACGCACCTGGAATGAGCCCTCAGCAGCAGCAGCAACAGCAGATGATGATGCAGCGCATGCACCAGGCGCAGCAGCAGAACCAGGCCGGCATGGGCACGCCAACTCCGCAGCGTCAGTTCTCAGTTCCCCACGGGACACCGAACCAAGGTCAGCAGCAGCACCATCCGCAGCCCCAGCCGCAGCAGCAGCAGCAGCAGCAGGCCAATTTCGGAACTCCACAAAATCCTCAGGGTACTCCGCAGAACCAGACACCCACGCCGGCACCGCCGTCTGCCAACAGCATCACAACACCTCAGACACCCACATTCCCCTCCAACGTGCAGTCAGCAGCTGTGAATGGCAGCTCGACCCCGGTCAGCCCGGGAGCGCAAGCTCGTGACCAGGAGAGGATGAGTTTGTTATTGGACATCAACACGGAACTCCTCTTTGAGGTCGTACAACTTAAGAACAATATAGAGGAGACACGAAAAGAGGCGGCAGCAGGTACGGCTAACAACACCCTCACACCGGACCAGCAAAAGGAAAAGAAGGAGGAAGAAGAAGTACTTGATCAAGACTATAGCCAGTACGTAACAATTTCGTCGTGTGCCCTTGTTCTCGCGTCCTCGCTCGGTTACTGACTAGCAAAAAAATTGCAGAGTGTTCCGAAGGCTGCAGGCTAACCTCGCCTATCTGGCGAACTTGACGACAAACAAGCCAGGCGTCCCACGCCAGCCAGCACCGATGATACTCTCAGCACCGCCTCTCAACACGAAGCTCAAGCTGCGCCCTATGCCATCGGCCACAGATGCAGAGAAGGCCGACCCCATCGCAGACCGCGCAGAGCGGGACGCATACATCAGAGAACTGTACAAGAAGTTACACACGCTGTTCCCCGGTATTGACCCGACCAAGGAACCAGTCTACCGACCGCAGCCAAGACCGGGGGTCCCGAACCCAGCAATCGCGGCGCAGAATGCACAGCGCCTGGCAAGTATGGCAGCAGCACAGGGCCAGATGCAGATGAACTCGGCTCCGTCACCCGCACCATCGACTCATCAGATGACGCCGCAAATGGCCACAATACAAGGGCTACCCTCAACACATCCGTCCATGTCCGCATGATGATTTCGAACAACCAAGCAAGCAAGAAGAGGGGGAAAAGTTGATACCCAGAAAAAAGAAAAATGAAGTATCGTGGCGTCCTATTGTTGGAACATTGCTTCGTGAAAAAATGACGTCTTGCACACATGTTGTTTGTTGGCTGGGCAGAGCTCAGAAGGTTCCCCCAGAAGCGGGGACGTTGGGATACGATCTGGATCTCTTTGATTCTCATCTTGGAGCACAGACCGATGTACTACACTTGCACAACGGCCGCCTAGGCTTGCTGAATACGTGCGGGGACAGAGAATGGCGCTGTAGCGTGTTACGATTTATTGTCGACATTTTTTTTATATATATGTATAGTATTAGACAGTTGGAGGAGCATGACAAAGGTAGATGCACTCTGGCACCACAAAATATTACATGAATTGTCCCCGATGAAATCTGCCATCGCAACTCTTTTTTTTTCTTTTTCTTTTCTTCCTGCTTCTTCTTATTTTTCTTGGACTTCTATAAGCTTAGAATGCCAAGTCCAGTGCTGCTGGCTCGAAACGATATGCAAGGCTTGTTGTAGGGCTGAAGGGCTAGAACGAGGCCGCAGGCCCTTGTTCGAATCCTGTTTTTTTTTTGGTTTCTCTTTTCTAGGGAATAAAGGACAGCCTATCAATTGACTTGCATGCCGGCAAGACCAGAATCGCGGCCTGGACCCCTCTTTCTCCCGCATGGCTAACAGAACCTAATGGATTCATCAACGTCATCTTTACACACCCTGGTCGATAACCTCTTCTGGTGGTACTGACTGAGTAGCTGGGCTGTGCAGTGGCAGGCAGCCACCTGAGGAGTAAGCAAAAGAGAAGAAGAGGGAGGAGAAAAACAAGGTGAAACTTAAAAAGATGGCTACGGAGAAAGAGTGTGTTGGGGGTCGTTGGGACAGCGACCAGGCCGCGACGAAGTAAAACTATACTTAAACTCAGCAACCTACTATAGGATTGACTGGGTGAAATTTTTGACCAGCTAAACTGACTGACGTCCCACAGAGTCCCCCATGTAAGCCGATTCGTTCAGCGCAAAGGCCCAAAGGGGACCCGTCACAGACGAGAAATGACTAAAATGGCCATGCTGACAGGATGAAACACCTTCTACAGGGGGGGATTATATAATAAAATCGTCGAAGAGCCTGTGGCGGGCTCTTGTTGCGCCTGCTAATCACGCAAGGCCAGGTTGAGCAGAAGCACTACATGGACTACTCCGAGCTGGACTCAGTCCGAGGTCTTGGAAGCTGATCTTGCCCGGAGGCCATTCCTAGTCCGGCCAGACCCTGAGGACCAGTTTACAACCAACGATAAGGAGGTTCTGGACAGAGGACTGCAGTCGGCCGATAGAGGAATATCGAAAGGCATCAAGAGGTGATTATTCTGTCTTGTAATTTGCGTAACGCCCGTGACTGCCGAAAACATGTATTCAATTGCTCTCTTTCTTTTATTTTGTGTGCTATTACTGTTATATATGCATCTTTTAGTACTTTACGTACAACTGATATTACAAAGATAAGGCGAGGAGAGGCGAAGACAAGTGTCTGGACGAGGCTGGACCCTACTGACGGTACTCTGACGATCCTCGGGGATAGAGGTGCAAATTTTTTGAAACCTTGGAACACAATTAGGCAAGTTGCTAGAGTTTTGGTAAGAGGAAGAGAAGTGGGAAGAGAAGGTAGAAGGCGACGAAGAGAACGGGAAGAAAAGCTGGACAAGAAGCAGATCTTGAGTTCACAGAAAAAACAGCACCTTCTTCTTCCGTTCCAGTGACGGGGCAAGTGCCTTGCAGGATCTGGAATGGAAGGAGCATATGCTCTCTGGCGTTGCGGAAGTCACCCACGCATATCTGATCTGGACCTTCCACCTTATACAATGTTTGTTCCAACACCTGCCCAGGTGGACCTAATTGGTTATAGTAGCGAAAAGGCACCTGTGTATGGCGACGCAATACATGCAGGAGGACGCATCCGCCAGGCCGTCGGGTGTGGGTTCATGTTATTTGACACTTGCCCTGCACTTCAGCACTGATGTTGCCGTCTGCTACCTGACGGTAGTCGTGACTTGCTTCACTCTTGTCTCTTGTTACAGGCACGAGGCGAATACAAGAAAATTCCCAGTCCTGACTCTCTACTTCCTCAACGCCTCCCCCGCTTCATCCGCACCGCCTTCCTGCTCGAGGAGCTGCGCCTCCCATACACCTGCCACGGCATTCAGAGGGCTGCTAGGTCAAGGCTCTGCTTATGTGTGATATTTGCTTGATGGGCAGGCAGGAAAGGTCAAAGACTCATCCTAGCTGTGCAAGGTATGAAGAGGTACGCAGCTCACTTGGCTAATCAGGCTCTGCTGCCACGGTACCCTCACCGCGGCCAACAATCAGAATTATCATCAGAGTTGGATTTGCATCTGAGATGTAGAAGGGATTTTATCAGGTGCCACGTCCGTAGTAATGTAATGTGGCTAGGATTGAGAATTTTGTGTTCCTTGAGCTGCTGATTAATTGCATCTGATCTGATCTATCTGGTGGAGAATGGCCTTTTTTCTGATGGTCAGTTTTCTATCCGTGAGCTGAAAATGATTGCTTTAAGTCTTCGTTCCGATCTCATTATACTTCAGATATTTATATTGAGGAAAAGCCGCTTCGGTTTACAAGGGTCAAGTGGCCTGAACCTATGCATGTAGGGCTGAATAGCGCGAGTAAGGCACCATCAGTCTCCGCCAGCTCTCGCACAGTTGGTAAAGAGTCTGGAGGCGTTGAAATAGGGAAGGGGAAGAAGAAAAACGGTTGGAGCAGTTTGGTTGCTCTGTTGTCAGCTTCCCCAAAGTGAAAGATTCTAACGTAATACAATATATTCTCATCTGGTAAGCTACACAGCAGAATTGATTACATCGGCCAAGGCTTGTTGGTGGCGATGGGTGGCGATGACGAGAGATGAAGGGGGGTTTTGTTTGAGCCCGGAGATGATCGAAGTGAGGAGGGACAGAAGCATAGGGCAGGTTTTGAACCAAGCGTTGGGCGGGGCAATTTGTTTTCGGGGGGGGGGGGTTTCTTTTTTCGGTTCTGGAAACAAACTTGCGGCTGGGACTTTCTTCCGGCGTAGACTCTGCTACGTTATCGTGAATCGTACTATATGTGCGATGGTAGAGACAGTGGGCGGGAGATCATGGAAGGAGACTATGGAGATGGGATTCCTTGTGCGGAGAGTGAATCCTTGGTTCCCTGCGCCGTACTGCCACAGTACTTTACTATGTACATTACCTAGCACGCCGACTACCGTTGCTGTGCAATCAAACAGGCCAGGAACGGCCGGGGTGGGGTACCCGTGCCATGGTGAAGAAAGGGTTGACTGAGAACCAATGGGACGGGCCAGGCCGGGAAGTTTTGGAGATCAGCTAAGCAGCAAGCAGCACAAGTCAGGGCTACGGGCGGCCCAGCACAGAGGCTATTCTGTTTCGAACTTTTTAGTGCGAGCCTCCGCTTCAACTTTAACGACCACAAACGATGACCAGAAATGACAACAACAAGCAGTCGGCGGAAAAGAGTTGAAGGTATCTGTGGATGGTGTGTCTGCTTCTTTCTTGGTCGACAGTAGTCGTAATGACAATCCTTTACAAGGCTAGGTATTCTCTAGTGTCTGCAGTAGTAGCAGCAGCAGCAGCAATAGTACACCTATAGTACTGAGGTCAACTTTATCAAGGGTTTCAGGCCAACATGGTGTGTACATACTGGAGCAGTAATAGGCACTAAGTAAGTACAGTCTTGGTTATGGGTACGGGGAAAAAAGGAGGTGTGGGCCTTCGGGTCGAGCTCTGTTGCGCGCCCAGGGCCCATTGGCCAATGATATGTGCGAGGCAAGGGGGACATGCATGAACCACTGACGCGACCATCATCTCACCTCGCCCGTTTTGGTCTGCACACTTGTCGTCTCCCTTTTTGTGCTGTGTTCTTTCTTTCCCTCCTCACCGCGTCTTGTTATTGTTGTCAGGTTCCCTGGCCTCGACCTTGGCGTACCTGCCTTCTCTTGTCGAGGAAACCTTTCTCATCCCCAGCTGCGGGATCGAGTCCACTCATTTGTCCCTTCGGTTCGATTCGTCCTCTTTCTTTCTCAACCATCGTAGGCTGACCTCGATCGATCGGTGGTATCCACTTCGCATGTCCATCTCCATGCCCATACGGCTGGCTGTCATGCATCCATAATTTGACACCCTTGATCACAACCACCTGCCCAGTCAAAGCCCCAATTATCTCCTACTACCAGCACTTGTGGCCGGCCAGCTCTTTAGGCCGTTAGTTTTTTGTCTTCGCGACGGCCTCTCTTTTTTCTCTATTCTCCTGACTTGGCGCGTTTGTTGTCTTGAACGACCGTACTTCTGGAACCTGCTCCGGCGCGGGTCGACATGCCCCAGACACATTCCTTCCGTCTTGTTTCAGCACCTGTGTTTTTCTGCCCTCTTTGATCTCCATTGTCCACTGTATGAGACACAGGACGACAAGGACAACTGATACTCTCAATTCCTGGCCCCCTGGGTTGTACGTGATCCATCCTACTTTCGCTCTGACCTCGTGACTACACACAACGACACCCGGTCGACCTTCTCCTTTAAAAGCAGCTGAGTTCTATACGATCCGTCTCCTTGGGATCATCTTGACGAGAGCCACAGCTCTCGACTCGCTTGGCATACAATCCCTGCAGAGGGTAGGGCCAGTAGGAGGAAACGAAGGCATAAAAAAAAACCCAGAAAAGAAAAGAAGAAGGAAAAAAATAAAGATAAAGAAAGACAGTGAGAGGGGAGGGGGCAAGCACCCACGGCGCGAAACGATACCCACTTCCTCTCCCCCCAGTCCACACCGACCTTGCGGCCCCGGCGTTCGAAGCGACCGCCAGGAGAGGCCTGTTTTCTTTGGTCAGAGTAAATAAACCGTTCTGGCCCTGTGCTCTCACCAATCCCCTCGCTCCGACACCCCTGCTCAGTTTCTGTGTGTGGCGAGGCAAGGCAGCAAGACGAGACCGACCGACACTCGACCAGATGCACTGACGACGACCTCGACCAAAGCCCACACTGGACTCTTTCTCCCACCCACCCCCAGATTACGAAGATACCCAAAAGGGACAGGGCTGACTCTCTTTCTGTCTTGTCTCGCACGGGACCGCGGTCTTTGCTTCGGACCCTGCCTGGACCTTTTCTCCTTCTTTCTTCTCCCCTTCCCTTGCCAGCTGGGCGTTGGAGCCGGGCGCGACTCACAGGTCCCATCCCGTCATTCCAGTCTCAGCCCTCCTCAGACCTCGACCAATCCCTTCAGCCGTCTACCAGCTGTCAGTCGAGTAACACCACCGACCACAAGGGACAGGGCTCAAGGCGGGAGCCTACCCTCTCCATTCTCGATGGAAGCCGACCAAGAGACCACCAGCCCTACTGCTGGTGGTGTCGGACCCGGCCTGGGGCAGCATAAACATGCGTCGTCACTCTCGAGCTCGAACTCTGTCCCCTCTCCTACCCTTTCCGAACATACTCGCCAGCGAAGCAGCTCGAACCCTTACGACGCTACCGTAAAGCATATCATCGAGCACGACTCCCTTGTTACCGTCCGCCTATCTGAACCACCTAGGCCGTTGACGCTCAATACCGATCTCCCGCCCGGCGGAAATACGATACAGGATAGAAGGGGCTTGTTCAGGAACACGCTGAGTCCCGCGTCCGCCACTACCTCCCGCAGCCCGCTAAGCTCGCCGTTCGACCCCAATGAGGCCCTGAGCCCTGTCACGACGACCATTTCTGGCAGCAGCCTGAAGCTGAACCTACAGGACGAGCTCGACGGCATCGACGACGATAGCAAGACGATCAGCGGCGCCGAGGCAGACGAAAGCGACGAGGAGGAGGTAGACTGGGAGGGACTACAGAAGTCGGAGGACGCCGAGTCTAAAGATAACGAGGAAGATGTAGGTCGAGTTTTTATTTTCCTAGGTGCCTGGGAGCTTTTTGGAAGTCGTCTTCTATTGTTCTGAAGTGTACTGACCGCTGGCTTTGTTTCTTTTTTTTTTTTTTTTGCAGACTACTGCTATGCTGCTGGCTCGATTGGAACAGGAGAACGACAGACTAGCTACGAACCCGAAGAGCGTCAAGGTACAGGCCGCTGCAAGGCTCCAGCAGTCTGCACGAAGGCCACGCCCTCCTTCGATGGCGCAACTCAAAGAGATGGTCCAGGGGCCGCAGCCTGCGCCCTTGCGGTACTCGATGCTCCCACCGCCACCGATGACGGACCTTGAGTTCTACGCGGCTCTCGTGAAGGATTACCAACAGACCGCTGCGCGGTTGCCGACACTGCTGGCCAACAAAATCCGGAAGGGCATACCGCCCCCGCTGCGTGGCGTTGTCTGGCAAAGCATGTCCCTGGCGCGAGATGCGACACTTGAAGATGCCTTTGAAAGGTACACGGGCGAATCGAGCCCGTATGAGGGCCTGATCGGCAAAGACCTCGGACGCAGCTTCCCTGGCGTCGAGATGTTCCGTGATCCCGAGGGCGACGGACAGCGGATGCTGGGGCGTGTCCTCAAGTGCTACAGCTTGTACGACCAAAAGATCGGGTATTGCCAGGGCCTTGCACTGCTGGTCGGTCCTCTTCTGATGCACATGAGCGACAAGCAGGCCTTTTGCGTCTTGGTCAAGTAAGTCATTCATTCTCCCTCCTACCTTGGCTCAGGTTTATTTGTGTGTGCCGTTGCTAACTGCAAGTTAAGACTCATGGAGCAGTATGACCTCAGGTCTTCCTTTTTGCCAGACCTGTACGGATTGCACGTTAAGATCTACCGTGAGTTGTAATACCCTTTTTCTCAGTCACTGTACAATACGACAAAAACGTGACACGTTGTGTTGCAACCAATCAAACATCCCCTTGAAAAAAAAAAGCTCATTCAAAGACTACATGGACTGACTGAAACTACCAAAAAGAATTCCGAGAACTGCTTCGAGACAATCTGCCCGCTTTATCAGACCACATGGACGATCTCCAGGTCGACCCGGCCTACGTTTCACAGTGGTTCCTCTCATTCTTCGCAGTCACTTGTCCCCTGCCCATGCTGTTTCGTAAGTCTTTCTGGGTTCCACCGCCTATCAGGGAGTGCACAATTGACAGGAACCAGGTATCTACGATGTGATCTTCGCCGAGGGTGCATCCGAGACCATTATGCGGGTGGCTCTCTCGCTTATGAGGCGTAATCAACCCAGGATCCTTGCCCTGACCGAGATGGGGGATGTCTTGCAGCTGCTCCTGAGCCGTAGCCTGTGGGACGCCTATCATGTACCTACCAACCCCCCTCATCCCCCTCCTCTCCTGGCTCTAGAAGATAGTGCGTGCAATGCTAACCAACCAAAAAATAAATAGTACAACGCAGACGAGTTTGTATCCGATTTTGTCAGCCTGTCGTCTGTGGTCAGCAGAGAACGACTCGCGGCGCTTGAGCAGGGGTACAGGGAGAGCCAACTGGCCCATACCCCCAACCACCTAAGCGCCAATGCGGAAAGGTCTTCGGAGGTTACTAACGCTGCATCCCGCTTCCTTGGGCGCCTCTGGGCCAACTCCACCACGTCCCTCAAAGCATCCTCCTCGTCCTCCTCCTCCACCACCACCACCAACAACAACAATAACAATTCCACCTCGAGCCTCACTCCAAGTGCCGCCTCCCGACCATTAAGTATGCTGAAGAGGAGCGCTTCTAAGCAGAGCCTGGCATCCACCCTTAATTCCATGGAAGCCAGCTCATCGGCGTCGTCTGCAGCCAGCGTACTCAGTACCGTCTCCACCGATGCCACCTCCATCTCGAGGGACTCTACGGCCGACGATGCCTCGACCACCCTCGGGCGCGACTCCAAGCTGGTCTACCAAGCACACAACTCCGACAGCAGGAACCTGCACACCCAGATCGAAGACCTCCTCACCGCCCTGAGCGATTTACAGCGACAACATGCCCTCCTGGCCGACCAGCTACAGCGGGAGCGGGAAGAACGCGATGAAGACCGGAAGGCTGTGAGGTCGCTCCTCAGTGGCATTAGGAGACAAGCGAGTAGCGAGACCGTCATCACGTCGCACAGCGGCGACAGCGACGCGACAATCAAGCCTGATGGTATCAACACGCACGATGGGTCCTTCTCGGATCTGCTGGACACCATGGAGGGCCGATTCGGGGATGATGAGAACAAGAGGAGGTCATCCATCACACAGACCAAGCCCCAGATGCGCGACGAGCTCGCCCGCACAAAGGAACAGCTACAGATCGAGATGTCTAAATCCCAGGACGCCAACCGCCGTGCGGTCGATCTCGAGCAGGAGATCACCAACATGAAGGACCAGCTGCGCGAGAGTCATGCACACGTTCGAAACCTCCATACCGACAAGCAGCGTCTCGAGAAGCAGATCCATAGCATGCGCGTACGAGCCTCCGACTCTGTAGGTAATGACGGCACCGGAGGACCTGGCTGGCTGTCTAGAAACCCCAGCACCAAGTCCACCGCGCCGGGTCTGCGGGAGCTTAAGCTCGGCAGGAGCCAGTCTACACCGTCGCAGATCTCGGTCAATAAACGGACCTCGTCCCTCCTTGGCCCGAGCCCGAGCGATGCGGCGCCCTCAACAACACAGAACCTGGCGGCGCAGTCCACGCCTCCGGCGAACGAACAAGAAGCGCTGCTCCTCGAGCTTGTCCAGGCCAAGACGGCGGAGGCCATCGCGAAGCAGGAGGCGGAGGAAGCCAAGCAGAAGCTCGAGCAGCTGCGCAAGACGCTCGGGGTTACTGGCGATCATTTGCACCCGCCAGGTGACGCTCAGCAGCAGCAACAACAAGGTGTTATGGGCATGTTCAGAAGCTTCACGTCACCTGCCGCTGAGACGGCTGCCGCGGGTGCTAAGGCCGCCGCGCCGGCTACACCCACGCCCGCCCCCGCCCCCGCGCCCACACCCGCGGCAGCACCAAGCGGCGGCGGAGGTGGCTTCTGGGGTTGGAGGAGATAGATTCCGACGCGAGCATCTCCTACCACCGCCGCTGTGATTTCGGACTCTTATACGCGAATGCGGTTTGGGAATCCTTGTCAACCACTTGGATACCTGCGGTACTTTTTTATCTAATAAAGACAGAGTACAACCACGCGAGCAACCATCACCTTTGTCACTGCGATTTGACTTTTACCACTGCTGTTGACTTTATTCGCAAAATCATGGCTGTGCAACAATACACAGCCAGCGGTCATTCTTGGCTGCTAGCATTGGCGTTCATCAAACCAAGGTTTTATCATTTTTGTTTCATGTGGGAGAAGGGGGGGGATGATGAGAGCATTCAGTATGTGCTCGTTTTGACTTCAGTTCGATAAGCAACGCACTTTATCCAAGGCATTAGATTACAAATTGGGCATTTTCAGGGTTTGGGAAAGGCATATCACCATGTTGCTCATTATCATCGCGACGCAACAAACGGAGTATTCTTTTTTTTCTCTTCCGGTTTGTTTTAGACCACACTACATAACATCACCCCGACACCATACTTATCGTTTGGTTCCATTGTGTAGAAGACTGAGAAATGAAAAGATATCTTACTACCATCGCCGTAGCTTGGGAATATGCTTTCAGTAAAACCAGAGAGAAATAGGGTCCAGGGACCTGCCCCTCAGGCGCAATAGGAGCCCCTTGGGGGGGGGGGGGGGAGAGACGAAGCCACGGGAGACTGAGGCATGCCATGCATGGTCAGTCGTTGCCCACCTGCGCACTTACACAGTAGTTGTACAGCTTTATGGGGATAGGCATAGGATCAGCCTTTCGAATGTCGTTTATTGAGAGATAAGGGTCTCTAGTGGGTTGCAGGGTGGCAGTGAGGACGGTGGGCCAGATCCCTTGCGCTGGAGCAGTTGGGGCGATCGTAATACTTGGTACTGTGCGTACTTTATTCCGCTTTTCGTAGATCGATGCACCCATGTGATGTTGTCTATACTCGCATCTGGCCAACGAATTCCTTCTTGTCTCTTTTCTTTCCTTCCCCTTTCTTCATTGTGTTTTACGAAGGTTTGTTGAGAGCTGTTGGGCAAGGGTCTTTGCTGGCTCAGTTGGGGCCAAACGAACTCCGGGATTTTGGAAGAACATTCTGCATGGGCACACTCTCTCAGTCTCTAGTCGGAATATTGAAAGAAGCAACGGGATCTTTTGGCTCCTTTTCAGTCATCTGAAGGATGGGATTCATTGGGTTTCAGTTTGTCATCACTGGACAAGTAGCTGGCTTGTTGTCTGTGTTGTGTATACCATCCAGATGTTTGCTGCTCTTGGCCAGCGGTACATATTTCCGGAGATATTGGTAGAGGTAAGAGAAATAGAGGAGGAAGGATGTTTTCAGTCCATGGCAAACTGTAGACAGCCATAGTGTCTCGGGGCGTCTTCCTAGCACTTAGAACAGGGCGACTTAAAAGCGTGGTGGGAATATCTTCTTTATGTAAAGTGGAAAGATTCTTAGAAAAAGCACATGCAATCCAGCCAAATACAATTCCATAGAAAATTCTCATGTGCTGGTGTTTTGTTGTCCTTTGTACGCGCACACGAACGATGTTGTGAGCAGAGCGCCAATGGATTTTTGGGCCAGATCAATCACATGTCATCACACAGCAAGCTCTCAGAAGGATGGATGAGATGAATGGCTGGAAATGGAAGGGAGGGACACCAGATGACGACAAGGCTCGGGTGTGGGTGGGTGGGTGGCCCTGTCACGCAACATATGCGCCACCAATCCGTCGACCGGTCACCGGCCTCCTCTTACATTCCGTCCGTCCCGCGCGCCGCGCGCTCAGGATTTCCGAAACAGGGGAGAGAAAAGTATGTAACGATGCAATGCATGCCATCATCAATGAACGCTTGTTGATATAGAGGCATCATAGTAGTAGGAGGGAGAGAAGGAAAAAGATAATGATGGGCCTTGTTGCGGCACCTGAAATGGACTTGGTAGCTTTTCTGTTTCTGATAGCGCATCTTGCTATCCCTGTGCTATGACGCTACAAGCTGCTACAGCAACAAATCATGACAAGAGGCGGTGGGCCGCCATTCCCCAAGATGTAGAAGGGAAGGACATACCGAAGAGCAGGATGAACGGGCATATATCACGTCACGTGAAACATGGTCTTGCGGAATTCAATAATACATAAATCATGAGGGCAGATTGACAAGAGAGCTCGTGTGTGGTTGGATGACAAAAAGCGATGATGGTATTTGTACAGTAGTTGTAGTATCGTATTACAGGTGCCACAGATGACGAAAGTACTAGCCACAGGCAGAGAGCTTGGAACACTGACCCCCACTACCTGACACCATAGGCGGTTAGTTAGGACGTTAGTTAGGGCTGGCGCCACATACACTACGGCAACCAGCCAGCGTCACTTACCACCTCACTGGGCCTTGGCCCCCTTGGGCAGGGAGAGACAACAGGCAGTGACGGGCACCAAAAAGCAAGAACTTGAAATCCGAGCTAGATAGAGTCTGGGTCTTGGCTTGTTTTTGGACAGGGAACACACCTCATAGCTGCCTGCAAAAATACGTCGAGACTACCATTTCTGTCGTCACCTTCTTTTACTTTGCACTTCTTCTCTCCTCCCCCTCCAGCTGTCCATACATACACCTGCACAAACCTACCTATCACATCCTAACCCATCAGAGAGAGCCTCGTAATTGCATCTACGCCTAGCCCTCAACCTTTGTTTTCCACCGCACTCGCATCTCTCCAAACACCAAAGAGCACGTGCTCCAGTTGATTTCCATCTCGACATCACCTCATCTCTTGCATAATGGCCGACACCGCCAACGGAGCTTCCACCATGGACTCCCTCAAGGCTAGTAAGGTAAGTCAGAGCTGTCTGCTTCTTTGATGATGTCCAATGCTTTTCCCAATGCAACGCTCTCTATCTCCCCCAGGACTGCACCCAGCCCAAGCTCAAGTCTCTAATGTTTCGATGGATTGAATGCAAGCTAACAGCCTGGCAGTGTTTCAGGGCTCCAACCCACGAACACCCCTCCTCCCTCCGAATCTCTATGCCACCCCCGATAAGCTAACAACACCTCTCCAGATGCCCAGAGCGCCTATGACTCTGTCACTAGTGGTATGTAATTTCCTCCCATCCTGTTTATCATAATATGGCAAGCTGACGTATTCACCTCTCCGCCAGGCCCCGTCGCCCAGTCTGTCCAGGACCAGCACCTGAAGACCAGCAACGAGTTCTCCAACCTCGCAGCCTCTCGCCAGACTCCGGCCAACCCGACTGCCACTGGCCAGCCCCTGACGCACTATCACTCCTTCTTCTCCGAGCTTCTGTCGTGGAATAACCCTCGTACGTACATGCCCGTGCCATAGCCGTCCGCACAGATATAGGGAAGAGCGGGCGGGGCCCGTCTCAAGATAAGAGCCCGGGAGCAAAGCCGACTAACCAGCTATGCCGTCACAGGGGCCTCCGCGATTGCCTACCTCTCTACCGTCTCGCTCATCTTCGCGGTTAGATACCTGGATGTGCTCCGATGGGGCTTCAGGCTCACCTGGATGGTTCTGGGCATCACCATCGCTGCCGAGGTTGCCGGCAAGCTGGTTATGAATACCGGTCTTGCCAGCCAGCTTCGCCCTCGCAAGTACTATACCGTCCCTCGTGAGGCCCTCGACTCTCTTATTGGCGACGTCCATGAGCTGGTCAACTTCGTTGTCATCGAGTCCCAGCGCATTCTCTTTGCCGAGAACATTGGCGCCTCCACCACGGTAAGCAGTATATGGCACCTTCGTCCCCCCCTTTCCCGGGGGGGGGGCACCTCTACCAAGTCCGGGCCCTGCTGACAAGAGGCTTCTCTTCCTAGGTCTGCATCAGTGCCTTCCTCTCGTACTGGCTCGTCAAGATTGTTCCGTACTGGGGCCTCGCTCTCCTCGCCACCACCCTCCTCTTCACCGTGCCTCTGATCTACACCACTAACCAGGAGCTCATCGACCACCACCTTGCGAATGCACAGAACATCGTCAATGCACAGACTCAGCAGTTTAAGCAGGTTGCCGGTACGCACACGGCACACGCCACTGAGGTCACCAAGCAGTTCATGGGAGAGTATACCTCCAAGGCCCAGCAGATGCTGCGTGGCGGTCATGCCTCTCCCAAACCCCAGGCTCAGGCTGTCAAGGAGTCCGACTTCCCTGCGGCCCCTCAGGAGGCCTTCAAGGCCGCCGACGAGCCTGCGGCGCCTGTGCCAGAGGTCAAGCAGGAGGAGCCCCTGATCTCCACCTAATTGTCCACGGACAGACAAAGTAACGATGCGGTCGTCTATGCTCAACCGGTCCTGTTAGTAGACTTGGGACGCCAGCACAACAGGACCCGAGAGCCACGACCAGAGAATGAATCTGAAGGACTGTATTCTCTGGATCCTACATCGGAGGCTCGTCTCACATGAAAATTGGGGGTGATAGGGGGGGGGGGGCGCAGTTAGTTACGTGATGGTGCGGGGGAGGTCGAGGGTTTGCAGAGAGGCGAGCTGGCTCACATCACAGGCTGAGGATATCAAGGGGGAGAGGCATAGGTACGAAGAGATACGAACGAGGCTGTTTTTGTTTTTCGGAAATCCACACGGCATGCAAGAGCGCACTGCGTTGTCTTACTGGTCCTTTCCTTTTTTTTTTCCTTTTTATCTTTCCCTTTACCTGCAAGAGACTGTTGATGTTTGACGATGGACGAATGGCAGTCACGTTCTTCTTCCTGCGTTCTTTTTGTCTTGTACGGGAGTAACGGACGTGAGTTGGCGGACTTTCTCATAATTCAAGGCGTTGCATCATAATTGCATCCTGCGTGCCTGCGTGCCTGGCTGGCTCGGTATCGTTCAACGATGTCAAGACGCCCGGGGCCAGGTATCACATGCTCATCAAATGCTCCTTCCTTCTCCTGGGTCCTCGGGTTTCAAGATCGCTCTGACTGGGCCAATCATTCAGGATGTTGGAGAAGATGGAAACAGTCTTGGGATAGTATCCTTAATAGGTCTTGGGGAAGCCGTGAGACTGGGCACAGGTACTGAGGGAGAATAGCCTAGCAAGTCATCTTGTTCAGACATGCTGTGAGGTATTAGCCCGGGGTGGATCATGCACTATCTGGATTGATATTTAGCTTTTGCTTCGAGTTTTGGTATATTGTAACCAGACATCATTACAACAAGTAGTCTTCTCCTTCGGAGCCCAGCGGCCCCTCACGCTTGGGTTAACCCCAGCTGAGACACTTTTGACAAATAATCGTGTTCGTTTCGAGGGTCACCAGTTTGTTTGTCACCATTTCCTCACGCACCAACCTGAGCAACATGCCGACAACTATACCAGGGACCATCTGTTGCTTTGCCTCTTCCTCTTGGCCATTTTCCCTTCCAGATGTTTGTTTTATCCTTTGTTCTGGTTTAGTTCATGATATGCTAAGTAACTAGGAAGTTGATAAACAGAGGGCAGACGATGAGTATTTTGGGTATACTACACAATCAGACAGCCTTTGACCATTGTTGCAATCTAGCTGCTTACCCCCTCCTATAGTTACAGTATTAAGCTGTATGCAGGGCGCAAAGGGACAGACCACGCCACGTACCACCGGCTGTGACGGACTCGCGTGCGGGATCGGTGTTACTGCTGTGCTACGTCGGGGTTATATTAACATTGTCTACAACGTCTCCCATCGTATGAGAACAAGACCACATGTCGGACACAGACAGTGAGGAACTGGGTATGGCAGGCGGCTGAGTGCAAGAGGTTCCGCGGAAATGAAACGCCTGCAGTTGCCGAACTCCCGCCATTAGGTATGCCGGTGTTCCGAGTGCGTCGGTGAACCGTCCACTCAACAACGTATTTCTGGTTTTGGAGGGGCAATACGATGTCGGTGCAGATATGGAAGGGAAGGTTTCACAAACATAGAAGTGTGAGTAGCAAACTATTGGTTATCACATGAAAGGGGGAGCTTGTGGCGTTGTTTGCAGGAGTATTTGAACACTTCTGGCGCCCTCTCTTAATCCCATCAGGAGTTGGTCCATTTCCCAAATCGTCCTGTTATAGGTGTTTTGAGCTAACAGAGCAATTACATGATCGGCCCGTCGACGTTAGCCGATGTCTTAATTGCTTAATACTATCACAGTCTTTGGTGGCAGCCACGTCCGAGCCATGCAGGCGACGAGAATTGCCAGCTATGGCTGGGGAAGCCACGCCTCGAGGATATGCACCTGCCCGACCATCTCGATCTCCTACCTTGAAGCTACACCATCCTTTTAGCCGTCTCGTCACCGTTCGATACATACTCGAAGTATTGGGTTGTGTTCCGTACCGAATGGCTCGCTCTGTTTGGCGGCGCGGGGGCATACGTACTGCCGTCGTGCTTTCCAAGGTTGTCTGTGCATTGGAACTTTGCACGAGAGGGCGGCATTGGATCCAACGAGAGTAGAAGTCGAGGCTCTACAGACACCACAGCCTGATCGAGTGACTCTTGTTGTCTCACCCACTACAACCACCCAGTCACCGGTCCCTGATCCAGGCCTTGGCCTCTTGAGGCATTCCCAAGAAGAACAGGAGGAGGAGGAGGAGGAGGAGGAGGAGGAGGATAGGGCGGGGCCGCAAGACCATCGAGCCTTGGCCGACAGTCTTGTCACGATACGAGACACACTCCAAGAGGTTTGAAGCTCGTCGATACGTTATTGCCGACACTATTAAAAAACAATACAAGGCTAACGATGCGAAAGTAGTTGCTCTATAATAGCACGGACTCAACGAGGGTTCCTGTTGCTACCTGGGTGCTCTCACATCGATGGCACGTTACAGAGGATTGATGATTCAATATTGATGTGGTTTGAACTGCTACCACACGTGCGAAGCGATCCAATACTCAAGCATACAAGCGGCCTGCATGTGGCTCGAGCCGCCGAGCAGATTCCTACTTCTCCCTGACGAGATGGATACAAACAACGGCCAGCTTGCAGCCTGCCTTGAAATACCCGACTCATCAAAATAAGACACTGATTGCGTCAAGCAGCGTCAGTACTATGCATCTCAGCGCCTAGGCGAATCCTGGGAGGATCGTCCTAGCAGCAAGCGAGTCAATCGCAAATGCTCGGCCCTGTTCCGATCGTCTCGCCATATCCAAATATTGACATTCAAGACATCTGACGAATGGTTCGGCGACTACGGACCTCGGGGCTACGCGTCACTTGCATCAAGATCGGCAAAGTTTCTTCACCATTACACAATATCCCACTCGGCACACCACAATCACCCATGGCACCCACCATCAGGCTTCCGCGGGCCCTGCCCGCGAATCGCCTCCTTTGAAATTCACACCTACGATGACCTATCAAATTGCTGTCATATACAGCAGCTCCTGCTGGCCAGCATAAGCGGGCCCTACCCTTCGGATGACTCGACTGAACAGGTATGGGGAAGACACCACGCGCGGTTTGTTCCTCCCCCCCACACCCCCGTCTACAGGCCCCTGACCGCCTCGCCCTGTAATTACATGCCGCGTTTATTCCAAGAGCCGAAGTCCCCGTCCCTCCTTCTTTGCGGGCAGCACTGAATCAGAGCTTACACCGAGGACTTGCCTACCTCACAAGAGGCATCGTCTCCGCGCACGGCTTTTTAAGCATAGACTTACTTCGTTTTAGTACTTACCATGCACGCTATATGGTACGAAGCGGGCGAGTCTGAGAGGGTCGTAAGGTTGGGTGCAACCCCACCAACGCTACATCTTTTGGGGCGCCGCCCGTCTTCTCACCTTCCGGAAAGGTGACTGAATTGCATCCAACGGCAGAGATACTAATCATAGCACTAGAACACACAGAAACACCAGATCAAGCTGTCGCAGGAGATCAGAGTGGAGTTTTGTTTCCACTCGACTGCGGCTTGTTGTTTAGTAAAGTTTGGCATCCTACCCGTCGTGCCCCAGTCCAGCCCGTTGTCCCCTTTCTGCCGAGGGGTCCACCGTCTCTCCCTCGAACGAGCCTTCAACTACGATCTTGCGATGTGCAAGAGGGCTAAGAAGGGTTGCCACTGTGCTCAGAGCAGGAGGGCCCGAATTTTGCCCCAGTCTTTGGGCCGGTGTATGCTATCGATCATGGGTTGGCAAGACTAGGAAGGTGAAGACAAGAAGGGCGCCAGACAACGTCTCGCGCCTCGTAATGAATGTGACCCTATTCGACCCAGAAGAGGCCATCACGTTAGGTCGGATGTCCGCTGCTGGCCTCGGAGATGTCGAGACGTCGTCGTGGAGGTTGTGGAAGGTTGTGACAGGTCATTTACTATTTGTTTTAGGTGTACGAACGTCGAAGTTACCTTCGAGCAGCTAGGAACCAGCCGGCTTGGCACAGATAGAGAGAGCCAATGGCACAAAGATCGAGGTGGCAAACGTCGACGACGACTCCTCCTCCTGCTAGGTCCGCGTGGCCCCGGTCAGATCAACCAACCCCTGGCCATCTCAACGGGTGATGATCCCCCGGATCGACTTGGGATGAAGGATCAAGGACGAGGGACGAACTATCAGATTTGTTTCGGTTTAACACCCAAAGGGTGGCCGCAGCCAGGGGTGCCTGGCGGAGGGATACAGGACATAGAAGAGGTATGTACAGTAATTTTATGCGTTCTGGCGAGAGAGTTCAAAGAAGGAGAGAGGACAAACCAACGCCATCTCTGTGAGATCTAGCGTCTTCAGGCACCATCTAACGGACTATACCCCCCAGAAGAGGTCCGCCGAAAATATCAACATAGGACACGCATAACCTCCGAAGCATGTTTCCAACTTCCAATCCATGGAAACCTGCATACGGCTAGTCTTGGCACAAACCAGTAAGAGACCGAGTTTTGGTCCACCGCATCCTTTGGTCATGGCCCATATTACCCTTGGAGAATTGGATAATCCTTCACGGTTGCTGCAGTCGTAGCATGCCACTGGTTGAGCAATCTTAAAAATTTCAAAGGGGGGAAGGAAAGAAAAAGAAAGGGAAAAAAGAAAGGGAAAGTGGGTAGGACTGCGTCATTGGCGGAAAAGACAACAACCCGCATCTGTTGCATGCTCTCGGTTACGGTAAGGAGAGGCGACTTCGATTTTATCCCGGAGAACGACGGCAAGATAGGACCCATGGAGATCGACATGTTCTGATGCGACGTGCAAGGATCTGGCAATGATGAAGAAGGGGAAAAGGCAGACTGGGGCATCGTCTTAGCTAAAGACGAACGTATCCTGCTTCGTCTTGGGTTTCTTATGAGTATAAAGCCCAGGCGCATATCCCATTGGAAGTCGACAACCGTTCTAATGGTATGTCTCTGTCATCGAGGACATAGGCCTCCAACGCTCTTTTCCCCCTCCCCCCTTCTTTTTCTAACCCCTGCGCTTCATTTTCAAGATGCGTCTGTCTGTTGGTGCCGTGATCGCCCTGGTGACAGGGCAGGTCGTTGCCAGCTGCCCCTACGCCGACAAGCAGCTCAAGGACAGAGAGGCATGCCCCTACGCCAAGCTGGCCGAGGCACGAAACGTGCCTTCCCATCCTCATGGCCCCAGGTCTCACCTCGTGAAGCCGCGTGAGCCTATCGCTGGCAAGAATGGCATCTTCTACATGAACCGCATTGCCCCCTCGGGCTCGGCCGTCTTCGTCGCCAACGCTGACGGCAGCAACGCCGTCCAGCTCAATAGCAACCAGACTAACCCGTTCGACTACCACGCCAGCTGGTCCCCTGATGGCGAGTGGATCGTCTTTACCACTGAGCGTCGTCTGGACGGCCAGGCTGATGTCTGTAAGTAATCTGAAAGAAAGATTGAAAACAAGAAGCAGAGGAGCACGTGTTCCTGTGGCCCTCTTGTGGCAAGAACAGACAGATTAACACCTTGAAACTACGTAGACCGAGTCAAGCCAGACGGCACTGGACTGGAGATCCTCGTCGAGACGGATGCGCACGACGACGCTGGTGTGCTCTCCCCAGACGGGACAAAGTTGGCTTATGTCTCGACGTATGGCAACCACACGGCCAACATCTGGGTCCAGGACCTGACCACCGGCACGTCCTACAACCTAACTGACACGGCGCTCACCCGCCCGACCAACCAGGTCGGACCGACAGGCCACTTCCGGCCCTCGTGGTCCCCCGATGGCGAGTGGATTGCCTTCAGCTCCGATCGCGACACGGACTGGACGGGTCACAGCAGCGGTATAGGCTGGGAGCACACGCAGACTCTCTCCATCTATGTGATCAGGCCTAACGGCACCGACTTCCGCAAGGTCCTCAGCGTCGACGACTACTCTGTGGGCCAGCCGCGATGGTCGCCCGACGGCTCGACCATCGTCTTCAATATCATAGCGAGAGAGGACACGTACGCCGCCCACGGCATCTCGTCCCAGAACTCGGGCATAACAGGCCAGATCGCTAGCGTGGACGTCGCGACGGGTACTAACATCGTGAATATTACCACGGGAGACTACCAGAAAGTCGGCCAGCAGTACATTGGCAACAGCACCAACATTGGCTACGTCGTCAAGAATGGCGAATACGGCATCGTGCAGTACACAGCTCCCGACTCGACCCACCAGTCCTTCAACGTCACCTACCTCCGCAACCCGTCCTGGTCGCCCGACGGAACTCAGATCGTCTACGAGGTGCTGTACTGGGAGCAGCGCCAGGCCGAGGAGGAGCTCTATTCCTTCGACTCGGAGTGGGAGTACCGCTTCATGGACGTCTTCCCCCAGCATAACAACGCAACCAACCGCATGGCCATCACGCAGAAGCAGCTGGGCGGCGCCAACTCCTCCGTCATTACTAGTGGCCCCGAGTACACCGACCTGGTCGACTCGCTGGACACCTACCAGATCTGGAACATCAGTGAACCCAGCCAGGTGGAAACCGTGGAGGAGGGCGGTGGCGGCTGCTTCCAGCCCACCTTCTATCCCGACGGCAGCAAGCTCGCGGTCGGCCTGGGCACATGGTTCGCAGGGCGTACCCAAGGAAACGGCGTCCTGTACGAGTTCCCCGCGTCCGGCGGCGAGTACACCGCCCTGACGGATGGCACGCAGAACGCAGGGTTCCCGTCCTATTCGCCTGACGGCACCAAGCTGGTGTACCGCCTCTGGGACCTGGACAGCGGCGTGCCCCTGGGCCTGCGCGTCCTCGACCTGACCACCAACGTGACGACCAACCTGACCTGGGGCTGGGACAACACCCCTGGTTGGTCGCCCGACGGAGAGCGCATCGTCTTCACCCGCAACGTGAACTGGACCGAGTCGTACGGCGCGCGCTGGTACGCGGATCGCTTCGACGTCATGACCATCAAGCCTGATGGCACCGAGCTGACCCGCGTCACCGACTCCGACGCCAACGATGCCCACGCCGTCTGGAACTATGATGGCCGCATCATGTGGAACAGCGGCATGTACGGCTTCCGCGACGAGTGCGCCCAGTACGACAACACGTTCCAGCCGTACGGCCAGATCATGATCATGAACTACGACGGGTCCAACAAGACCTTGCTGACAAACTCCATGTGGGAAGACTCCATGCCCCTGTTTGTACCGAATGAGTACCTGTAAGGTGCCCTTCGTCGTATCGCGAGCGCACGAGAAAGGAAGGGAAAGAAAGAAAACAACGAGAGGATCTCTTTTGTTTCCTCATCTGAGCTTGGGAGGCATTGTGTTCGATTCTTGTGACTGTATATAGTCATATTCTGATGCATTCTCGTTACATATTACGCAAGGAACCCATGATGATACTTTGTCCATGTATATATATACAAATCCTAGCATTGTCGACTTTGGAAGAAGTATTCCGTGTGCCTTTTTGGTGTGAAAAGTCTTAGTACTGTACTCGGGAAGAATCTGATACGAGAAAGAAGCTGTAGATCTGGACCCTTTGTCGAGAAAAGAAAGGAAATCTGTTGTGTAAGTAAAAAATCAATGTGGGTCACTGGGCAAGTAGATGTTACTTTTCGGCAGCATTTGGTCTCTTCCTTTCCCTCTTCTTCTCTTCTCTTTTCTGTTTTACTATATTGTTGTTATTTCATGGACAATGGAGTCTTGCCTGATTTTGGAGAAACTAGCAGAATGAATTATCAGAACAACGAAACCCTTTTGATCATGACCTTGGCGATGCTTATATCCCCCCGGAGGGGGGGGGGGGCTTCTTCATTCTGTGTACTACGTGCTACATGATACACAACGCAAAATTACGATGCATCATATATGACATCTCAGCACTCTCCCTCTCATGTGATTGTTGATGTGAATAAAGGTTCCAGATTTGTGAAACCTCCTTCGCTCCCTCGCCTTTGCAGAGTTTTCGGTTTTCTGAGGGACAAAGACGTTTTGACAAAGTTATTCTTTTCTTTTTTGCTGGCCCCAGCCAGCTGAATTCAGCATAACTTTGTTTTTTGGGGGGGGGGGGGGAGGGGCGTTCATTGTTCTTGACGCCCCCCTCCCCTTCACCAAACATGCCATGGGGAGAAAATGGGGCAAGATCTGTAACCAAGGCTGTGGAATGTGGAAAAAAAACACTGGTAGGAGGTATTCAGTCTCGGGAAGGGGGGGGGGAGGGGGAGGGGGTTGGATGAGTGTTCTTTCAGATATCATCTTGGGGCGCCATTGAGACTTGCAAGCTGGTCTTGATGATGTCTGAGCACTTGTTTTGGATGATGGGTATATATTGCTGTGCTACTTCCTCGCTGCGAGGAGGAGGAAAATCGAAGTTCCTTTCTATCTCTCGAAAAGAGAGAAAGAAGAGTCCGCTGCCACTGGAGCTGGCTGCAGTGCAACACTGGCACAGAAAACCCCCTCTTTTCCTCCTCCACAAGCCTCCAGACTTCAGAAGCAAAACATACAACCACCCACCCACACAAAGCAGAAACCCACTCTCATCAGCAAACTCGCACATCATCGATCCAGCGCCATGAAGGATACCAGCCCTCTTCACAAAAGCCCAGCCCTAATCGTCTTCATCGCCGTCCTCTCCGTCCTCCTCCTCAGTTCCCTGGGCTGGGCCGTCCTTTGTCTCTACCACCTCCTCTGCCCACCAAGCCGGCAGTCTGCCGCAGCCATCACCACCATTGCCACACCGCGAACCCCAGATCTGGAGCGCAGCATCAGCCACAAGTCACAGAGCTCAGGCGTCAGCTCGGTATTCTCGCGGCCCCCGACGCCCGCTGTGGATCATGATGACGACTACTACGGCGCGGCCTTCGAGATGAGGGACTGGAGGTTTGCACGGCACTTGGCGCCGGGATCCACGGGTACCGATGCCGAGAGCGGTGGCAGGGAGAGCCGAGATGGTGGCGGTGGTGATAGCCCGAGACCCTCGAGCCGCCGCCCATCACCGCCAGGTTGCTGCCACGGTCAGGGCGCTGCCTCCGTATCCTACTCATTTGAAGAGCCGGTGGGCATAGCAGTGACTACGGGCTGCGCCGATGTTGAGCACATGCCACATAAGAGGGAGCAGCAGCAACAACATCAGGCCGCCGACAACGATCCTGGCCCTGGTTCTGGGCACTGGTGGGCTGGCGAACCTTCCTGGCCGCTGCTGCGCCCTGGCGAGATTCTCATCACTGAACGCCCACCTGTCGCCGACGCCATTGACGATGAGGAGGAAAAGGAGGAGGAAGAAGAAGAGGAGAAAGCAGCTGGTCACTCAAAGGACCCAGGACAGGGTACTGCTGCTGCTGCTGCTGCTGCCACCACAAGCAGTCATGATTCCTCTAGTGAGCCAATACCGACGTCCTCGCCAGGCCGCGAGGGAAGAGTATCATCTAGCACACAGCAGCCTCACCATTCCACGGCACTGTCTCACCCGGGACAGGATGCGCCTGTCGTTACAGACTGGGAGGAGAGCTCCGCGGGCGGGCTGACCCCGACGAGCTCCGAGGCGGGATCGTTTGGCTCGGGGCCGCACGGCCAGACGAGGACGCTCGAGGGGCGTGCGTTGAGCCTGGGCTCGATGGTGGTTGTTGCTGGTGGTGGTATGAGGTTTGGGAGTGATGGGGTGGCAAGGCGGCTGACTTGGTCGGGTTGACTTCGGCAGCGGCAGACGGGTCCTGTTGCGGAATAGGAGAAATGCGCGAGTCTGAGCGTTGGTGAAGGAGACGGGCTGGTCCCTGGTCTCTGGACCCCAGCAGGTTTGGCGTTGGGTTCTTTTTTCTTTCGTTCCTTGGATGAGTAGGTAAACGAACAGACGGTGCCAGAGAGGAGCGGCTGTGATAGAATCTCTTCCATAGATATTCTAGACTTAGAATAGTTTCTATACATTCTCGTTTACTAGAATCTCCATCCACGTCGTAAGGCATATGGTGGAGGCCATTCTAGTCGAGGCTCGGCGCCCTGGAGGAACCAGACGCCCACTGGGGATTGAGCACTCTAAGCATATGCACAAACTCATGCTGTGCAATATCGCCCGTCCGAGCATCGCTGACAACCAGGTTCCTTGCGATCTCCTCGGCAGTCGGATCAGCGACCCTGATACACGCCTCTAGCGCCTCCTTCACCGCACCGGTGGGCTGAACAGGCGGTTTCTCGTTGAGCATCTCGAAAAAACACGAGCGAATGGCCTCGCGACAGCGTCTCTGGTGATTACCTGTGGCCATCGTTTTCCAGAGGTGTATGTATAGTGCCTCGGAACGAGGCATGAGATGCTTCGGCGGCATGCGCCAGACCTCCCACCAGCGATCCCAGTTGTCCTGTGCGGCGTAGGCGTCGAGGAGCCGGACAACGGCTGCCTCGCCCATGTAGGGCAGATCCGCCTGGAGCATGAACTTCTCGAGAACGGACTGTAGCTCGCGCTGCTGCTGATGGTCCTGAGAAGACGGAGCACGCGCCAAGGCCTCGATGAGGGTCGTGACAACATCGGTAGTGAGGACGGGTTGGCCACGCGCAAACATGACGTTGAGGATGGTGAGGGCAAGCTCCGACTGCTCGCTCAACGGCACCTTGCTATTGTTCGGCTCGAGGTAGACAGCCTGCAGCAGCTCAAGGTAGTGGTCCCGCTGGCAGATGATGCCCAAGAGTTCCAGCTCCTGAACAAGGGCCCGCAAACTATCAAGGGTGTCACCTTCTTCTACTCCCAACCTCCGCCGTGCCACGGTCATCCAGAGGCGGAACTGCCAGCTCTGTTCTGCAGGCAGATATCGCAGTGCATTGTTCCACCTCCGGAGCGCGAGCAAGGGCTGTGCAGTCCCGCGGAGACCGAGGGCTTCTATTGCTTCTGCGTGAGGCAGACTGGACAACTCGGCCTGCAGCTGTTCCAACTCGGCAGTCTTGGCGCTGAGGAATTTCAGAGGGTCTAACAATGTGTCAACGTCGTTGGCAGCCGGTCTGAGATGTGGCGGGTGTGTTACCTGGTCGGGACTGTGCGTTGGCGGCGAGAGGCGTCGACATGAAGTAGTCGAGAAGAAGCGGCGCTGCCCAGGCGTAGCCATGGTCTTGGGCGAACTGCCCTCGCTAAACATGGATGTTTCGTTGGGATGTGTTTCGGAGTCGATGTATTCGAGATCGTCCTCAACCATGGTAGTAACTCCTCGGCGAGCCAGAATTCGCGACCACAGCGTCTCGAGGTCCAGCTCTCTCCTCTTGGACTCGGTGAGCATCTGGACAACAATTGTAGTGCCAGTCTGGCGGACGCCAAACCCGGTGAGTTTGCCGTCGGCAGTCTGGAAGGCTGTCTCGTCCATCGGGGTGGCGCCTATCGTCCCAAGGTTCATGCAGACCCAGCGCGTGGTGACACCATCGTCAGGGCTCAGGGCTGTCTCGGACGTGCCCAACAGCTTTGCCTTCCTCTGCCTGCGGCGCATCTTGACCTTGAATTCCCTCCTCCCCAACAGGCCGTCGGCGTGCGCCTGGATGCCCCTGTCCCACAGCCATGACTTGAGCCGTCCAGCAGAAAAGTGCAGATGGCGTTCACTGCGGGCAGTACCAAACAGCATGATGAGGGACGGTCCCAGTGCGGCTGGAGGATCCAGTGTGCGCAGGTCCATCAGGTTGAGGTCGTCGAGTCCCATGTCCTCAGCGACACACTTGACAAGGTCACCTAGAATGGCAGGTGTACCTTCAGGAATTTTTGGCAGTGGCTGCGTCTGAGGAACAAGAGTTGGGTGTCTGGGGGGTTCCTCCTGCAAATACCACGGCTCTTCCTCCTCGCCCTGACCTCCTCCTGCTCCTTCTGTTACTGCTGCAGTGGCAGTACTGTCATGACCTTGAACAGAGCCTGTTGGTTCCTGGCTGGCCCCAGTCTCAGTACTGTCTGTCCTGGAAGGCTGCTCTGTGGAGTATAATCTTGAGTGTCCTGTGGAGACAGCTCGTGGCAGCAGGAGAGAAGATAATCTTGAAGGGGGAGACAGTTGTGAAGCCCTCCTGATGGCGGGGCCATGTGGCAAGGTGAAGAGGCGTAGCAGAGATGTCCGACAAGCAGAACATCCTGCTGCTGATGCCCTGAGAGCCGGTTGTAACGCCATTGGACTTTCTCCTGGCAGGCGTGGACAGGAGGTGGGCTTATGTGAGTATGGATACTGGCTGAGTTGAACTGAATTGAATTCAGGCGATGCGATGGATGTTTGAAGCAGCTCAGGCTGCTGACTTTTGGCGGACTTTTTCAGGGCTCTCAACCCTGTAGCTACCAGTACTACCCTACTGCCAAGTGCCATAGTATTGTACGTATATGTACCTGCCTTAGTACCGCAAGTACGGCAACACAGCGTGTACCCTGACTTTTTGCCCCCCCTCCCAACCTTAAGTGGAGAAGACTTCCAGCAGGTGGGTATCCTTTTTCTTCTTTCTTTTTTTTTCCCCCTTCGTCCAATCAGACATGGCACTTCCCGCTACCGAGGAATTCTGCCGGCAGGCTGGGTGGTCCCTCGCAAAATCTAGTCGTTATGGTCAATTTGTTTGTCGCGATTCGCGATGCGTAGACGGCCAGAAAATTTTACTTTTACCTTTTCACCAATTTACAAACGCTTTCTTTGGGGGTTTCCGTCTCTATCTCAGAAGACCTGGAGCGCTTGTCGCTCGTCTTCCTCTCTGCCTTCATTAGATATTTACTGTTTTAATTTGATTTTGTTCTGCCTCATGAATTAAGAGCGCCGTTCTCTTCTTGTCAAGTCGTCGTGAACGTCGCACGACCACCACGCCCTCTTCCTACCCTTTCGATCCTGTCCTGAGCAGTCAACATGTTTGTAAGGACCAATCTGTCGCGGCAGAACTACCGCCTCGGCCGATCGATATCAAGAATATCCAACCCTTTCGAGATACCATGCCCTCCACGAAGCATCCCGACGACGACGCCCTCCTCTTCTTCGCCGTTCGCTTCAGGACAGCCACGACCACGACCGCTCTCTACTCGGCCCCAAACACGACCATGGCGAAGACAGCCTTTTACTCAGCCGGTTCGTACGGCTCGCCTGTCTGAACGCAACTTGGCAACAGCTGTAGGCGACCTCTCGGCTGTTGGCTATCCTGACTCTAAGCTCTACGCTATAAGATCATTTGACCCCTCCACTCCCATGATCCTCCCAGATCCCAAACCTCGTCCTCCTCCAGGGCGATCCACCACCTCAGGAGTCCCTGGCGAGATCGAGGTCGCGGTGCCTGTGTTCGAGGCCTGCGTCCACGTCGGCAAGCTGGAACGCGCTGCCTTGGTCCTCAAGCGTCTGGAGGACATCGGGGTCCTGGACCCCGAGCAGCTCATGAGCATGAACAATCAGTATCTCGAGTCATGGCTGAGGCACATCAAGTCAGACCCTGGCATTGGGAAGGCCGAGGATATGCATGCTTGGTACGAGGTGCATATTCGCGAGCCGAAACTGCCCCAGACCCCCGAGACGATTGCCTACATGCTCAAAGCATCCCTCCTGACAACGTCTCCCAAGGGCACGAGACTCAACAGGCTCATCAAACGCTACATGGGCATGGTTCCCACGGACCAGGGTCTCGATGTGCTCTACTGTACCGACATCTTGTCCGACGCCGACATTGCTGCGATCACCAAACACTACCCCGAATTCAATATCTCGTCTCTTGAGGACGATGGTGCCATGTACGAGGCCCGAGCAGAAGATGCCACGGCCTCGATACCCGCAGACGTCACCGCGGCGGATGGGTCAGTCGTTCCCGAGGTCCTCGAGACCCCTCAAAAAGGTAGTGGCCTCAGCACGATCAAGAGCACTCTGGAGATCTTCAAGCAGATGAGAGATGGTTATGATATATCAACACTTCCCCCGTCTGAGAGGCGGGAATTCCAGTCCCGACTCGAGACCGACTGCATTACCGCCGCCATGGACCGGTGGCGGGAGATGGACGAGAACCTCCGCAAGATGGGCCTGAACACCGCCGTCAGCTCGACCAGCATCAGCTCCAGGCTCTGGACGTGGCACCAGGATCTCGAGCAGCACCTCAAGGACGAGTTCGTCGAGATCGAGAAGGCCGAAAAGGCTGTCAAGAAGAACGAGGAAGAACTGGACAGATGCGTGTGGGGCCCTGTGCTCATGCAATCCACACCGTCACGCCTCGCCGCCATCACCATCCTTACGGTCCTCAACTCTCTTGCCTACACTGGCGTGGAGAAGGGCGTCTCCCTGAGCATCATCATCAACCACCTTTCCAGAACCGCCGAGGAGGACATCCAGGCCAGTAAATGGGCCGCCGAGAACAAGGCTCAACTTCGTCAGGGCAAGCTAGAGTGGATTCGTAAAAAGCAAGAGCAGCGCAATCGAAGACAGGACGGCAAAGTTGGTCCCGAGGACGGTGTTGTTAGCGCCGAGACCAACGAGACTGATACGCCTAGGCTGGCCACACCCGAGTCCCGCAGGGAACGACTCAGGACCTGGCCCGTCGCTCTCAGGTCCAAGGTTGGTGCAGCGCTCCTCTCCGCTCTGACAAAAGTTGCGAAAGTCAGGGTGGTCCGCGATCATCCCGAGACAAATGAAAAGGTGTCTTCTATGCAGCCCGCCTTCTCTCACAACTACCAGTTCAGGAGGGGCAGGAAGATTGGTGTCCTCATGGTTCATCCTGTGTTTGCCGAAACGATGCGCAAGGAGCCAAGAGCCGACTTTCTGGCAAGACACCTGCCCATGGTTGTTGAGCCACAGCCCTGGTCGAAATTCGACAAGGGCGGCTATATCGACTCCCCGGTCGCCCTGCTGAGAATGAAGTCTGGTGAACAAGACCAGAGGCTGTACGCGGAAGCCGCCCTCGCCCAGGGCGATCTTGAACAGGTCTTGAAGGGACTCGATGTTCTGGGCAAGACCGCCTGGAGGATCAACCGGCCTGTCTTCAATGTCCTCCTGGAGGCTTGGAACACAGGCGAGGCCTTCGCCAAGATCCCACCGCTGCACCCCGACCTTCATGCCCCTGAAGAGCCCGAGGCTTCTGCTGACCCCTTGGCCCGTCGAGCATGGCAGAAGGCCTTGAAACAAGCACACAACCAGAAAATGTCATACCACTCCATCCGATGCTACATGAACTTCCAGCTGGAGATTGCGAGGGCCTTCCGAGACCAAGAGTTTTTCTTCCCACACAACGTCGATTTCCGAGGGAGGGCTTATCCCATCCCGACCTACCTCAACCACATGGGCGCGGACCACGTGCGCGGTCTGCTCCGATTCTCCAAGGGCAGGGAGCTAGGTGAACGGGGCTTGATGTGGCTCAAGGTCCACCTGGCCAACGTCTACGGTTATGACAAGGCCAGCTTGAAGGACAGGGAGGCTTTCGCCATGGAAAACCTCACCAACATCTACGACTCCGCAAATAATCCGCTTCAGGGCAAACGATGGTGGCTCAAGGCAGAGGACCCATGGCAGTGTCTGGCGACTTGCTTTGAGCTGAAGGCTGCACTGGACTCCCCTGACCCCACCAAGTTCGTCTCCACGATGCCCATTCACCAGGATGGTACCTGCAATGGCCTGCAGCACTACGCCGCCCTGGGTGGTGACAGCTGGGGTGCTCGCCAGGTCAACTTGGCACCCGGCGAGAAGCCCGCCGATGTCTACAGCGCAGTTGCGGACCTGGTCAGGGCAGATGTCGTACAGGATGCGAAGCTGGGCAACCCCATCGCCAAGGCCTTCGAGGACAAAATCAAGCGCAAGGTTGTCAAGCAGACCGTCATGACCAACGTCTACGGCGTCACGTTCACTGGTGCCAAGAAGCAGGTCCTCAAGCAGATCGATGCCCTCTACCCGACATTCGAGAGGGACACAGGCATCCAATCCGGTCTGGTCTCGAGTTACATCACACAAAAGATCTTCAAGGCACTGTCGACTATGTTCAAGGGAGCACACGACATTCAATACTGGCTTGGCGAGATTGGTGGTAGGGTGTGCCGGGCCCTGACAGCAGAGCAGCTCGACCAGATAGCCAACAACACCACCAACCTGCAGCAGGGCTCTTCCCGTGCCAAGGACATCGTCACGAAGAAGGACCTACTTGAACTGTGCCGGTCGACCATCGTCTGGACCACTCCCTTGCGGATGCCGGTTGTTCAGCCGTACCGCAAGAACAGCAGCAAAGTTGTCAAAACATGCATGCAGAGTCTCATTCTTCAGAATCCAGACCACTTCGACCCTGTCAACCGGCGCAAGCAACTCCAGGCATTCCCGCCCAACTTTATCCACTCTCTGGATGCCAGCCACATGTTGCTGTCCGCCCTGGAGTGCAATGAGCTTGGTCTTAGCTTTGCTGCCGTTCACGACTCCTTCTGGACACATGCCGCGGATATTGATGTAATGAACCGTGTGCTACGTGACGCTTTCATCCGCATCCACGGCGAGAATGTCATTGAGCGCTTGCTGTCCGAATTCGAGGCAAGGTACAGGGGAGGATTGTACATGGCCCAGATCGACCCCTCCTCACCGGCGGGTAAGGCCATTACGAAATGGCGCAAGGGCTTGAAAAAGAGACTGACTGGGAAGGACGAGCTCCTCCTAGAGAAGCAGAGGCTTGAGCTCCTCAACTCGGAAGATGAAACCGAACGCCAAAAGGGCGAGGCCATGGTCACCCCGGCGAGCATTTATGGACAATTTGCCTCAGAGAGCGGTGCCGATGTCCTTCAGGAGGATCTCAGCGGAACCGCCCTGGGCAGCCTGTCGGCCTCGCCCATTGCCGAAGCCGATGAAGCCGATATCGATGAAGGTGCAGCGCCAGATGCGGACGCGATCGGTGCTGAGGAGGGCGACATACATGCTCCAGTGGAGCTGCAAGCCGAGTCCGAGGCTGACGTGGAGGCCCAAGCGCAAGAAGCGGCCGATGGTGGGATACCACAATCTGAGACGGACCCGCTTCGGTTTTACAACAAGTATTCTAAGGTGACAAACTTTCAATCCGTCCTCACGAAGCCGCTGAACAGGATGTTAAGGATGCCTGTTACGGTCTGGCTACCTCTCTCCTTCCCGGCTGTGCCCAAGAAGGGTGATTTTGATGTCAATGAGCTGAGAGAGAGTGACTATTTCTTTTCCTGAAAAACAACACAGCGGACGGGATGTTGAATGGTAGTTGATGTTGTGGGAGGAAAAAGAAGAAGAAAGAAGACTTCATCGAGACTTGGAATTTCTACTCGAGTCGGCATTGCGCGGTGTTTGAAGGCTGTGTTTTTTCTTTTCTTTTTCTTCTTCTTATTTCTTCTCTATATAAAAAATAACAGAGTTTGGGGAAATGGAAAGGAGAGGGGAAGGAGGAGGGCTGGGCATGAGGACAAACGGCGTTGTGAGATCAAAAAAAGGGGGTGGGTGGGCTGGGCAGACGGTAGAATTGCTGTTACGATCATGTACAATATTTACATGTACCCTAGAGATGTACGTGTATATGTGCCACTCGCCCATCGCACAGTAGAAGATGAAATGATTTGATCAAGACATAGAAACTTACCAACAAAATTATTTTTCTTTCAACTACTTTAGAGCTGAGTGTGTTTTCTCTCTCTTTCCTTCCGGGGATGCGTAAGACCCATGCCCAAAATAAATGAAGGAAGACGCACAGCGCAAAACAGGGCTATATCGTGATTGGATGGTATTCTCATAATATTCCAGGATATTCTTTTCTTTTCTTTTCATTCGTCTAGCACATACACTATGCTCTAGCTTTCCTAGCTAGCCACAACATGCTATTGTAGAGAACTTTAATCCAGTAAAATAGATGAAACAGGAGAAATCATCGGACAGTGGCACCCTTCAGTGACTTGACGGTGCAGATGCCTCCGGCCTCGGTGACCAGTTTCCCCACGCCGTCCTTGCCCTCCAGCTCCTTGACGACGGCGGCGTCGAAAGCCACCTCCAGCGTCTCGTTGGTGGTGAAGCCTGGCTGGAAGGTCTCCCAGATCTTCTTCTTGGGGTTGAGCTGCTTCTCGGGCTCGCCCCTGAAGCCCTCAAAGAACACACGTTCGCCAGCCTGGGCGTCGGCAGGCGGGTTGACGAGCTCGACGGGGCCCTTGTGGTCGTCGACCTCGCCCTCCTTGACCTTGGGGGACGCGGCCAGCACCATGGCGGACGACTTGATGCCGCGCATCTTGACGGGCTTGAGGTTGCAGACGACCACCACCTTGCGCCCTTGCATCTCCTCGAGCGGCACCAGGCCGTTCAGGCCGGAGCACACCGTCCGCACGACCTGGCCATCGTACTCCTCCGTATCGGTGGTGCCCTTGGGGTCGCCCATTGCGATGGTCGAGACGTACAGCGAGTCGGCTTCCGGGTGCTTGATGGCCTTGAGGATGTGGCCCACGCGCAGGTCGATCAGGGCAGGCGACAGCGGCGCGGCAGGGGCGGGAGGCGGCTTCTGCTGCTTGGGCTGCTTCTCCTTCTTCTCCTTCTTCTTGCCCTGGCCCTGGCCCTCGCCCTCGCCAGCAACGGCAGCGACCACGGCGTCCTTGACCTCGGCAGCCTTCTCCTTGGTGCGGTCCACCAGCGTCTTCTGCTGTTCTCCAGGGGCGGCGGCGGCTCCTCCGGCTGCTGCCGCCGCTGCGGCTTTCTCCTTCTTGAGGCGCTCCTTCTCGGCGCGAGCGTCGACAGGGGGTTTCACGTAGAGGATCTCCTCTGGGTCGACCTCGAGCTTGGCGCCGTCGGCAACGGCCAGGCCGAACAGGGGGCTGTTTTGGACGAAGTCGAGGTGACGCACGATGTTGGGGTGGCCGGCGTGGCCGGTGCGCTCCTCAGGGGACCACTTCTTGACGGTCGGGGCGAGGACGTCGTAGATGGCGACGTCAGCCTTGGACGGCTTGGTGCCGAGGAGGGTGGTGCGAGAGGCGAGGTGGGTGTTGAGGGCCTCGAGGATGGAGGAGGTCTCGGCGCCCGGGGTCTTGAGGCGCTCTGAGGTAGTGAGCCATTGCTGGATCTCGGCGTCCTCCGTCGGGGTGTATGTCTGGGACGAGATGGCTGCCATGATGTTTTTGTTCCGGTACAGAGCTGCTGGGCCTGTCGAGAAGGGACGGAGCAGGAGGGAAGAAACGCTTCGTAGCGCTGGGCGGAAGAGGTGAAGGGAGGACAGTTTGGCTGGGTGGATTTGAGGAGGACAATTCCTTCCCTCAAGGCTCAAATTTTGTAAAAAGGATGGTTGTAATCGTGGTGAGAGAGTGAGTGAATGGCGGGGTTGAGTCACTAAATTTTCGATCAACCCCTCCAACGAGATCCAACCCCACTTCGTGCCTACTCCCAGGGGTCCCCTCCCGTTGTCACCCTGCCAGCTGACTCATCAGTGTCGCCGCCCTTGAATCAGTCAATACATCGTGTCAGGCGCAGTCGCGTTGATTTCGCGTCAAAGCGAGGATGCGCGCAACGACTCAATTATGTCATGCATTTTTTTTTTTTTTTTGTTCGTTCTTTGAGCCCGTCATCGCTACACTCATCTTGCCTCTCCCTCTTATCTTTGACGTGGAATTGAGCACCATAGACCCCTTTTCACTTTTTTGCTTCGGCCATAGCCAAACCATCTTCATCTCTGAAAGTCTTCAATGCTTGAATAATACACTTCTGCAACGAGCACCCTTTCGGCTCTGTCTAGGGCAAACGGACCTTTCCCACCAGTGCTTCTAAGGTCAATTTCTCCCTCATCTTTCTGTGAAAATGCCTGCAAGTGTATCGTCTTTATCGGATCCCGACGGTCCCTCCTCGTCCTCTCCTCCACCTCCCGCTAGCAGCATGCCTTCGTCACCGCCACCAGCCGAGTCGCCCGACATGGACGATGAGTACATTCCCGACGAGCGTCTCGCAGCCCAGGAGAAGGAGGCCCGCAAGCGCAATCTGGAAGTGGAGAATAAGCGGAATGCCTCGCTCAAGCGCAAGCGGCGGCTCGTGACCAAAGAGGACCGTGACAAGAAGGCCAAGGAGCTCGATGACCTCTTGAGACAGAGCGCGGCATTCTCCGACATCCTCACCAAGAAGACGCAGGTGCTCGGTCGTGTGGGGACTTCGCTTGATGGCCAGGCCCTGGGCGCGCACGACCTCGAGATGACTGAGCAGCCCAAGTGTCTGGTCGGCGGAACGATGCGTGACTATCAACTCGAAGGTGTGACATGGATGAAAGAGGTCTGCGCTCAGGGCATGAGTGGTATCTTGGCTGACGAGATGGGTTTGGGTGAGTCGTCTGGCTTTTCAAGTGTATTTCCGTTCGATGAGCTGACTTTTCATATTTCAAAGGAAAAACTATCCAGACGATCGGTATTATTGGCAACCTCCGGGAGGTGGAGGATTACCTTGGTCCACACCTCATCATCGCTCCATTGAGCACCCTTTCTAATTGGATTGCTGAGTTCAAAAAATGGGCTCCATCGATACCTGTCCTGATGTACCATGGTCTCCCAGTGGAACGCCAGAAGCTCCACAGGAATGAGTTGCTGCGAAATCTCAAGGGTGGTAGACCTACCGACAAGTTTCCTGTGGTCTGTACAAGCTATGAGATGGTTATCAAGGACAGCTCTCTGCTCTCCAAGATCAACTGGGAACTCATCATCATCGTATGTATCCTTCTTTCTGAAGGAATGATGGCGCGCTAACTCCAGTTTCAGGATGAGGGCCACAGGATGAAGAATGCCGAGTCGCGTTTATTCCAAGAAGTCTGCAAGTTCACGTCTGCGACCCGGTTTCTTATCACAGGCACACCGCTGCAGAACAACCTGAAAGAACTTTGGTCTCTCTTGCATTTCCTTATGCCCGCCATCTTCACAGATTGGGAAGCTTTCGAAACCTGGTTTGATTTTTCGGATCTTGAGGATGAAGCTGGAACAGAGCGATTCGTCCAAGACAAGGCAAACCACGACCTTGTCAAGAAGATTCATACTGTTCTCCAACCACTCCTTCTTCGCCGGGTCAAGGCGGATGTCGCTCACCATTTACCAAAGAAGCGCGAGTATGTCTTGTATGCACCGATGACCAAGGAGCAGACGGACCTGTACAACAACATCACAGACACGCGCGCCGACACCCGTTCCTACCTAGAGAACAAGCTTTACGAGCGGCTGACTGGCACCACGAATACACCAGTGGGTTCTAGGAAGACCACACCTGGCTCTTCACGTGCCCCCAGTGTCAACATCAAAGTCGAGAAGCAAGGGGGTGGCGATGCTTCGGCTATCGAGTCTCCTGCCGCCAATGGCAACAACGCCTTCGAGCGGATGATGGGAAAGGCTCGCAAGCGTGGCAGACCTGCCAAAGGCAGTGCTGCAAAGACGAACAAGCGAAAAGACCCGCCGACCTCAGGAACTTCAACACCGAAGAGCGCCAAGTCGAACGGCACCAGCACACCTTCGCGAACGACTAGAAGCTCTGGTCGGAAGGCCGCTCAGAGATCTTACAAGCTTGACGAGTCAGACGATGACATGCTCTCGGATGACGATTTCGAGGCCAAGATTGCAGAAAAATACGCTGAGGATGATGCTGCAGAGACGACAAGCACTCCCGGGTCCGCAGAGGAGATAGAGCGCGCTGCAACCCTGGAGCTCGCCAAAAAGCAGATCGCATCCAAGGCTTTAGGAAACCCCATGATGCAATTACGACTGGTGTGCAATTCTCCTTTGAACTTTTACGATCCTTTCCCAAATGGCGAAGGCTTCGACGAGACTATTGTTACGTCCGCGGGAAAGATGTTGCTGCTCGACCGACTGCTGCCAGCTTTGTTCGAGCGTGGGCACAAGGTGCTCATTTTCTCTCAGTTTAGAACCCAGCTGGACATCTTGACGGATTACTGCGCCTTCAGAGGCTGGAACCACTGCCGCATTGACGGCTCGGTCTCGCAAAAGGATCGACATGAGCAGATCGAGTGGTTCAACTCGAGCGACGAGTGCAAGCTCTTCCTTTTGGGCACAAGAGCTGGCGGACAGGGCATCAATCTGGCCAGCGCGGATACCGTCATCCTCTACGACTCGGACTGGAACCCTCAGCAGGACTTGCAGGCACAAGACCGCTGTCACCGCATCGGCCAGACACGACCTGTGATTGTGTATCGCCTCGCGACGAAGGACACTGTTGAGGACAGTCTTCTGATGAGCGCGGATGCGAAGCGGCGCCTGGAGAAGCTCGTGATCCGAAAAGGCACCTACAGGACGCTCGGCCAGAAGAAGGACTTGCACGAGGACTTGGATAACGAGACTCTGCGCCATCTCCTGCTCAAGGACGGTGAGGTGTTCAAGTTCTCTGGAGATAAGAATGTTCTGAGCGACAAAGATATCGATGTTCTTTGCGATAGGTAAGTTGTTATCATCATCATTATCCCCCCCCCCCCCCCCAATGGAGTGTGTCCATGGTCATCATGTTAGGACAATGAGTCGTCTAATGAGGTTTTTTTTAGGAGCGACGCGGCTTACGCCCGTGCGGCAAAGGGTGCCGGCGATGCGGACGGGTACCGCATTGTGACGACCGGCGCCCAGGGCTTGACTGTCAACTCGAAAAGCTGAAGGGATTCGTTCCCAACGGATTCCATGCTTTATGATGGTGATGATGGTGACTGTTGGCCCATAAGCTGTTGTATGAAAGTGTCGCGAAGGCCGGTCGACCGAGTCTGGCCATCGGCCAGCAATGTACAATTTTGAATCAGGATCAAAAGACAGGATGCAACCGTGCCCAACGGTTAGAAAATGTTTTGCGTAATTAGACTGTACATAACAGATTACCGCCGCAATATCATCCTTCACATGTACGAGGAGTGGATGTGGGAAATCTTGGTGATACCTCCCTCGAGCCCCCGAAAAAGCCTAGTTGGTGCTATCATATGAACTCGAGACTATTCATTGTGCAGTAAGATTGATGACCTCGTAATTTAGCCAGTAATTATTTCAGTTTCCAACCTTATTTCTCACTCGACTCCCCATTTACTTGCGGAATGTACCCAACGCACACGTGAGAAATTCTTGTCCAGCAGACCAAGATCTGAGTAATGACTTAACCAACCATGTATATCGCGCGGTTAGTAATGGACCATGGGGCTCTTTCCATTACATGGTCAACAAAGAACGGAGGCTGATAGAATGTCTGCCTGCCCGCATTATGTGGCGGGCTACAATTCAGTCAAGTGTGCATTGACGGTTCTTTGTTGTCCTCCTCAAGAATCAATGCCTTGTTTCGCGACAATGCAGCTTGTTTCGGAAGTATATAAAGTGTCTGTCTGGGTTAAACGGGAAGGCAAATATTGAACTGAGCCTGGTGACTTTGACAGAGGGAAACGTCTGTGGGAAGCACTGGAGCTGGTCTTCTGTCTTCTTCGGTATCGCATCATACGTTTCTCGCCCTCTGCTTTGTTCTCGTCATCGAACAAGCCGCAAACTCCTTTTTTGGAAACATCTTACTGATCCTTCATCGTATATCTCCAGTTTAAGGCAAGACAAATGGCCATGGGAAAGCAACAGAGGGAGCATAAGTGGTGGGAAGAAGAACACGTCGCCGTAGACGAGAAGAAGGAGAAGAACAAGTCATCCTCGTCACGGTCTTCCTCCTCAGGGTTGAAAGCAGCCCTTGGGAACATGTTCCCCTGTTGCAGAGACAAATCGTACAGAGTCATTATCGACACCCCAGCGCCCAAGTTGGACTTCAACTGCTACCGCCCAGTCTACCGCAAGCAAGAGGACGAAAATAAATCACTCATTGTCAAGGTGCCTACAGAAGACGACTACCCACAGAAGCAGGCGGACATGGTGCACCATAACGTCCTCGAGACGTTGCGGAAGCTGAAGCTTGACTCTGGTTGGGCCAAGGAGGAGGAAGAAGAAGAAGAAGATGACGAGGAACATTCGTCGCTGGGAAGCGTCTCAGACGACGACGACGACGACGACGACGACGCGTCTGAGACTACCTCGTATGGCAGCGTATACACCGTATTATCCACCACAACCGACGTCGTTCCCACGTCCACCACCACAAAACCCTACGTCTGGCGCGAACCTCTCAATACTGCCCCTCGTCATGCCCAGCCTACACCTCGACAACAACAACCACACCCTGACCCAGCCCCCTGCCGCAGGGCCTTCCTCTACTTCACTGTCGAGCGCCCCCACCGAGGCGGGTTCGTCCGCCACATGGCGCACCCCATGCACCTCGACCTCTCCACGCCAACCAGCCAGCGCCGCAGCGAGAACCGTCTGCGCGCGTACCTCACCCGCGACCCACAGCGCTTCTTTAAGCACTTTGGCCTGTCGCACAGAAACGGAAACAGGGTGGTGGTGAACCTGCCGCAGTTCTTTAGCAGCAGAAGCAGCAGCAGCAGCAGCAGCAGCAGCAGGAGGAGGGCGGTCGAGAGGATCTGGGGACAGGAGTTGCGGTGGGCTTGGGCGGATGCTGGGGAAGAAAGGTTTGCTGGGGCCCTGGTGGGCTTGTTGCGGGATGTTGCGGAGGAGAGCGCGAGAATGATGGCAGCGGAGAGGGAGGAAGAGGGTGGATTGGTGGAGAAGGTTACGCTGGATGTGGTTTGTGTTGTGAGGCAGGTGTCTGGTGGTGGTGATGGCACGGAGGATTATGGGATGCCTATGGATGTGAGGAGGGTTATTCGGTAGAGCGAGGGTGGCTACGTGCAGAAGGAGATTTGGAGGACAGTCTGGGTGTGAATATGTGTGTGTGTGTGTGTGTGTGTGTGTGTGTGTGTGTGTGTGTGTGTGTGTGTGTACATGTGTGGAAGAAACACAACCAGACGAGGACGTAGAAAGATGAATTCATCATTATCACCATGTAGCCAGCTTCGTGTAGTACGCGCTCTTCTTGGAGGATAGAATGTTCACGGGAAATGCAACGTCTCTCTACTCGAGGAGTGTCTTTGGGTACAAATTATCATGTCGTTATTCTCAGGTTCTCATGTAACCTGATGGTAGTTACTTGGGTGTAGTCTTGCCGTCTTGGCTAGCTACAAGGCGAGGAATCTCCATCGTCGTCAGTCTGTTTGAGAAGTATTAATTATGGATGGAGATTCCATCGCGATCCACGCCCATCCACCACCCATCATGATTCGTCAGTCAATCCTTGTTCGGGATGGCCCTGGGAATCTGCTCTGCCATTCCATTCCATTCCTCCTTGGTTCTCCCCCTTGTCCTCTACTCCTCCACAGTCTCGTTGGTGTTCTCATTGGTGTTCTCATTGGTGTTCTCATTGGTGTTCTCATTGGTGTTCTCATTGGTGTTCTCGTTGGTGTTCTCGTTGGTGTTCTCGTTGGTGTTCTCGTTGGTGTTCTCGTTGGTGTTCTCGTTGGCGTTCTCATTAGCGTTCTCGTTGTGGTTCTCCTCGTTATTCTCACTGGCGTTGATCTCGGCGGTGGCATTCTCGTTCTCAACATTATTCTCATTGTTGACATTGTCGACATTCTTCTCGTTGTTAGCGTTGTTCTCAGTTCCGAAGTGAGTCTCGTTGGCGACGTTGGTCTCGGTGTCGACATTGTTCTGAGTCTCGACGCCGGTCTCATTCTCGACATTCTCGCCATCAGTCGCCTTCTTGATCTCGTTCTCGCCCTCGATCTGGTGCTTGTCCTCCATCTCGTTCATGGTCTCGTTCTCGGCCTCAGTCTTCTCGACGGCAGCTTTCTTCTCGGTCCTAGTCTTCTTCCGCGAACCCTCACCGTCGTCGTCCCGCGCAGCACGACGCTTGGTGCCCTTCCTGCCATCCTTCTTGCCAACGAGACCGCGGTCCTTGTTCTTGCGGAGCTCCTTCTGCCGGCCAAAGACCTCCTCGAAGGTGACGGTCTTCTTCAACTCGGCCAGGTTCTCGCGGTAGACGCGGCGGGCCTCCTCGGTAGGGAAGTGGATGGCCTCCAGCTTGGCCCAGCCCTCACAGCGGAGGCGGTTGGCCTCGGCGAAGGCCTCGGGGGGAGCATAGCCCAGGGGCCAGCCGCCAATGGGAGGGATCAGGCCGTTCATCAGAGGGCCGGTGCCGTTGACGTAGTTGAACTGGACGTTGGCGGCCGGCTGGTTGTTGTCGTCCTCGTCGTCGAACTTGGGGCTCGGGATGCCCCGGTAATTGGGACCACGGGGAGGGAACAGCCGGGGGGCGAGGAGGGGGTACTCCTCCTTCACCTTGGCGATGAGGGCGGCGCGGCGAGCCTTGTCGGCAAGGTACTGAGCCTTGAGAGACATCTTGACGTTTGGGGATTGGGGAAGAAGGAGGAAAAACGAAGAAGGTTGGTCTTGTGAAGGGAAGTTTGGTTGGATGAGCTGGGACTTGAGGAAAAAGAGAACTCGCTTGATGATCTTTTGACGTGCTTTGACGGCAAGATCAGAAAAAACAAGTCAACGACGAAGGACGAAGAAGAAGAACGTGATAGAGAAAGAAGAGGAACAAAAGGCAATTGAGTTTCGTTCCTGACGAGTTTAGACTGCACAATAACGCGTTGTGCAGATTGGCAAATTGTCTCTGTTGATGCGTTGTTGTGTGTTTGTAGGAAGGAAGGAAGAGAGGCAGAAACAGGTCAAGGCGCGAGAAACGCACATGGGTGTTGAATTTTGAGACCTTCTTGCTCTCAATTTGGTGCTGTGTGCCCTAAAGTAAAAGACGAGGCTGGGAAAAAGGTACTGGAGTTTCCTTTCACACAAGTTCTTTGATAGACAAGCTGTTTCATAGCCATGAGCTCCCCAGCCACCGATATAGCAGCACCTGAAGTGTGCGGTGAAAACGGAGAAACGCGACCGATGTAAGATGTCTGCACACTCTCCCACTATCCTTGACCTTCTGCAAGGCGCCCTGGCCTGATGAGATGTCAATATTGATACACTCTGCTGTGTCATTGCCCTGTCTCCTTCGTAGAAAACCTTCCCTGCTCAGCTATTCAGCAAAGTGTCCATCGTGACGAGTGTATTTTACCACAAGTGCAGCTTAGTTTGAATATACAAGAGACTGTTTGAGCATCAGACCGACCAGAGAGTTATTCACTGGACCACCACGCGGGGATGGAACTTGACCATGAGGTCGGGCTTCTTCCAGAGGCCAACATCGACACAGGCATCGTACCAGTTGTCGATCTTGCTGGCCATCTCCATATCATAGGTCCACATCAGCTTGGCGAGGGCGATTCTCAGCTCCATGTAGGCCATGTTGACACCCAAGCAAGCCCTGGGTCCCGTCGAGAAGGGTTGGAACGCCCGCTTGTCATCCCCCTCGAGCCCTGCTCCAAGCCATCGCTCTGGGCGATACTCCTCGCTGTCCACCCAGTAGCGCGGGCTGGTGTGCAGGGTCAAGGGGTCACATTGCACAATAGTGTCCTTGGGGATATATCGCCCATCGATGACGGCGCCAGGACAGTCACGGGGCAGACCAATGGTGACGGGTGGGAACATGCGGAGACCCTCTTCTATGCAGCCATGCAGGTACGGGAGGGTCGCAGTGGAGTCACCAGTGATTTCGTCCAGGGACTGGAAGGCGCCGCGCACCTCATCCGTCAGCTTCTGGAGGCAGGCTGGGTGGCTGAGGAGGTACCAGGTGAGGCCGCATAAGGTCGTAGCGGTCGTCTCAGAGCCGGCGATAATCAGCGTGTCGGTGTTCCCGATGATGGACCGCTCGTCCAGTTTGCCGCCCTTGAGGAGGTGGCTGAAGAAGTCGACACGTCCCATGTCGCCTAGCTCAAGACGGCGCTTGGCCTTCTCGCTCGTGAGGGTCCTGTGCTCTTCGGAAGCTTCTCGAAGCTCGGAGGAACTGGACCATTGCATATACAGCGAGCTGAAAGGGCCGTATTTTTTGGCATTGCGCCTGTAGAAACTGTGTTGAAGGTACCTTATGATCAGGTTGATCCATCGGTTGGAGCCCTGGCTCACGGCTTCGAACGGCTCACCCAAGGCCAGATCACCTTGACAGATGAAGGGCGTTAGTGATCAGTTCGGTAATGGTTGATAAACAAGTAGAGATGAGTGTGAGGATTGCTCACCGATCACGTCAAAGGTCAGCCAGGCCCACGCATGAGTGGCATTCACTGGTTTCTCTCCGCCGTTACCCAGCCTGGCGAGCTGCTCCATCAGGAGGTCGACATAGCGATGGATAACGGACTCCTGGTCCCGGAGGGCGCGAGCGCTGAAGGCGTGCGACAGGGCTCTCCTCTGCTCAGCGTGCGCGATGGGATCGCGGACCCTGACGATACGAGGTTCATCCAGTTCGTACCACTTATTCTTGAGGAAGCGATCTTGTCCGTGCTTGACATGGCCGTATATGTCACGGTAGGCCTGAGGAGTGGCAAATGATAGTCTGTTTGGGCCAAGTCTTACGACATCCCCTTGAGAGCACGTCAATAATAGTAATAATGTATGAATCATTGTGCGAAGACTTACCATGTTTGTGGTGGAGTTCCCTAACGTTAAAGCATCCCCGACCACAGGTCATGTTGCGATTATGCCATGCCTAACAACAATTGGGTCAGAAACCGCAAGCAGTGTATGTCTGAAGAGAATTGGTTGGTGAGGACCGACCTCCGAGAGGGCTGCCAGCTTTGGCCCCGGATATCTAGCAAGAGGGTGAAAGTAGAGCAGATAGACGCATCTTGCCACCAGATAGACCCCGACCTAAACGCATAATCAGTAGGCTGAAAATTGTGAAGGGCAAGATAGAAGTCAAGAAAAAACATACGCCAGCCAGACCAAAGAGCCAGAGACTGGCCAAGGGAAGTGTTGTTTCTGAAAAGTAAGGCGGCATAATGATGAGAGCACTTGTACAGCTTGTTCCTGAGAAGGTGGAAAATGCAATAGGTGCCGAACGTCATGACAACCACAGAGATTCATATACACAGATACACACATACATACATATATATATATATATATGATCGCACCAAGGCAGCGAAGTGTCCAGGGATCGAGATCCTTAGAGGTTACATTGGCTCGGGGCCGGATGGACTGCCGTTGTGCCATCGAACAAGCAACCCCCGCCTTGCCCCCCCCCCCCCCCCCCACAGGGACGGGAATGATTCTTGGGGAGCATGTCCTCTCGAGGAGGGTCCAACACACCGTACAGTGCTGTGGTACATCGTCGGATCAAGGAATCGGCCGGCCACCAGGGAGGGGCGAGGGCGATGCGTAGCAGTGACAGAAAAAGGGGGGAGAGTCCACTATGTCACCATGGATGGGACAGAGGCGGACCCGCATGCAGGATGCCCAACCAAAATCCTCTTGTTTCACAGCGGATCAGCCAACGATCTTGCTTCTGTACAGTAGGATGCAGTCTCCACCACGGGAAATGGCGAAGACATTGGTAGATCACCTTCTTGAGGAGAATTATGTCGTTGGGGAGCGTTGCAATCGCTTGGCCGGCACCGAAAAGGAGCCGGCATGATGTGGGCCAACCTGTTCAACGGCTGCTTGTGCCCCGGAGGACGGTGGGCCAAGAGACCAAAACGCTCGTTGAGGTTGGTGATACCGTGCCCATCGGAATCATGGTGGGATTGTGCGTCCCGTACCTGCTGCCCTTTTCGCGCCTCGTCGGTGCCATCACGAAGACCGAAGTCCCGTGCATGCCTGTCGGATCCTAGCCCATCCGAGGAGCAGGCGACAGATTTGCTGCGATGTCTTGCATAAAAAGATCCTGATGTCATGTTGAGCGGCGGGATCCGGCCAAATGAATGGTCGGTTGGTCCTGGAGTGGAGGCTTCTATCAGCGGATATACCATATAACGTAAGGATGCCGAAACGGCAATTCTCAAGTGACCTAGAGCAAGGCCTTACAAACCAAAAAATATAGAGAACAGGCGACAGACCGAAGCCTTCTATGCCGGCGATTTTATGTAGTCAGGCTGAGGCCGAAGTTTGGAGCTTGGATCTGGAGCTCGGACGAGATGTCAGAAGATTCTCAAAGTGTGATTGAAGAGCTAGGAGAAAAGAATAAATATATATCTTGTGGCCGAGGCTGGCAAACAATGGGAGGGGCATTTTGGAATAGCAATGGACATTGGATTATGCTGATGACAGTAGTTGACTCTCTCTTCTCTCTACTTCTTTCTCTCCCTCTTGACAGGAAATATGGAACAAGACAATCGATGAGAGATGTACCTGGATGGCTGGTTACTTGGATTACCTCAATTGTTGTCTGTTGTTGAGAAATTCTAGAAAGAGTAGAGAGTAAGGAAGGAAGTTTACCCCGGTGCCACCTTCAGCAGCAGTAAGCAAATAGCCTCTCTAGGGATAGACTGGCCTTGCTTGTAGAGTCTTATCACACATGGCAGGACCCTCTGCCACTACCAGGTTAACTTAATACAAGAGGTAGATCCGCGTCACCAATACTTTTTAGAGTACAGCTAGGAGGCCTAGTCTTAACAGGTGCCGCCAAGTCGGAAAGAGCACGCTCGAGTACGGCGTACCTGCATTACGCGCTGCGGTAAGATTTTCGAATGCAAACACCCCGATCTGGGGTCGGCGTCAAATTCAAATTCAACCTCACCACATTTCTCACCATGGTTGGCACGCAGTGTCCGCTGCTGCTTTTCTTTTCTCTGCCCTTGGTACCCTCGGTTGAAATTTGGACATTCTCTTCTTCTTTTTAGGAACGCCTACGCGTTGCATGGATTACCTTTTTCAGGATGGGGAAGAATAAGAAGAAGCAGAAGCAGGCACCGGCAGTTGGCGCCAATGGCAGCGTGCAGGAGGAGGAGGCCTTGTCACAGTCACGGATACAATCCTCGACCCCATTGTCACCCGAGGACGTTTCGAACAATGCGACCACCTTGAGTCTGCCCTCCAGGGCTAAAGCAGTCTCGACGCCTCCTATGCATGGCCCTCAGAGCTCCCCCTCGCTTGTGATATGTCGTAACAAGTCAGTATCCCTCCCTTTTGGCCCCTCGCGCACAGGCGCATACAACGCGGGGTCGACGGCCTTTCCAGTGGTCTCTCGCCCTTCTTCCTGCTCTGTTGCTTTAACCCCCCCCCCCCCCCCCGCCCCAAACAGACAGCTTCAGTCCATTTGCTGACCATGTCACCTCCTGATGCACAGGCATTGGCGCCATATCTCGTCGTTCCACGGGCCATGGCTGCAGCTGGCACCTGAGATCATGGAGTTTCTCGCCCACCAAAACTACAACCACCCGCTCCCCCGTCCTATCGATGTCGCCGTATTTTACGATCTGCTCAAGATCCGCCGTCTCGTCGATGATGCCACAAACCTTGCCGTTCGCGCCGCCAGCGGCCTCGTATCCCTCAGGAACCTGGACAATTCTCACCAGGCCGCAGCGCTGGGCTTGGGGTTCGGCGGAAGCAAGCAGCCTATGCTAAGCGCCGAGCGCAGGCACAAGCTTCGCGAGCAGGCCACCCAGAAACTGGCGCGTGCATATCGCCTGGACGAGATCGCCTGCAGCGTGTCCACCATGCAGAGCGCATCCTCACTCGAGGATGTCGCGAGCCTGGTTCTCAAGCGAGATCCGCACAGCCTCGATGCAAAATATGTCCATTTCTTCCACGAGAAAATCCCTAGCAGGCAGATGGCCGAGTCCACCAGCCTGGACGCTCTTGATGAGCTCATCGCGTCCCGACCATCCGAGTGCGAGGCCCTGCGTACAAGAGCTTCCATCAAGGTGTTCAAAGAAGACTACAGAGGTGCCGTGCAAGACCTGACAGAGGCTTTAAATATTATCAATGTGCTCTACAGGCACAGGTCGGCCGAGAACTGGTCTATGGAGTTACAACACTACGAGAAGAACGGCCGGCGGGTTGACATCGTGCCGGATGAGGAGCAGCAGCCCAGCAGCCTCGAGGCTCAGATACTGGTCGCCCGCGCCGGCATCTTGCTTACCCTCGCTTGCATGAATGTTGGTGACGCATTGGATATCGCGCCACTGGCCACAGAAGGAGAGGATGCCCAGGACGAAGTGAAACCCGGACAGCAGCAGCAGAAGCAGGCCACAGCTGATGCAACGGGAAACGGAGGGGGGTTAGATACCTCAAGATCGGTACCTAGTGCGCAAACACCTCCCGCAGAGCTCACCGCAGAGGAGAAACTCAACGAGACCAAAATGTTGGAAGCACGAAAGGCCGTCAAGATGTATGCAAAGAAAGCATTGCGGGACTATATGTCCTACCTGTCCAACTTTCACTACTCGCCCAATTTTCCCACTCATGTTGCCGACGACTTCGCAAAGAAGGTCATGTACTCCAAGTCCAAGACCAGGTGGCCAGCGTCGACTGGCGAGCCGGTTCATGCTGAGTCGAAACACACAGTCTATAAACTCAACGAGCTGTTTGTGGCCACGCCGCCGACGGACCTGCCTGACCTCTCTCCATCAGAGATTGCCATATTACAAAAGACGTTTGACCAGCCGACGTATTTGGCCTCCACTATAGAGATGGCCACGTACCACCCGTTGCTCTCCGATGCGCTGCACTCGGTCCTGCTTTGCCACGTTCTTATGCAGACGTCTCCGAAGGAGCTCCTGCGTCATGCCCACATGGTCGCGCGCATCACTCGCCTGGCAGAAGGGCATCCCATGTTTCACACAAGCCGAAGCCCTGCCCGCGCCGACTGGGTCCAGGTCGTGCGGAAGTGTCAGAACTGGGTTGGTCTCGCCGCAACATGGGATTATCTATGCTCGCCCGGATGTCTATTACCACTTAGCACGAGTGATGAGCCAAGACCCAAGACGCTGCCCCCATTCGTCTCGCCCGAGGCGGCTGCGGAGCTGGAGGAGGTGACCAAGGACGAGGTCATCCGCCTGGAGGCGTCCAAGCGGGCCCTCGAGGACGATAGGGTGAGCGACAATCACACGTACGCCGCTGCGGTCCACGCACACAGAAAGATCCTCGAGGCCGAGTTCAAGGCACGACGAGAACGGCGTCTGATACAGGCGCGTGAGGGAGACGAGGCCACTGCTCCTGTTTTCGACGGCAGCGTCGTAGGCCCGCAAATTAAGCCGGCAGCTCTCGCCCTTGAAGATTTAGCTCCTCAAGATCTCACCCCTGAGAATCCCACCCCTGAAGACATCGCTCCTGAAGATAGCGGCTCTCCTTCCCCATCGGACAATGTACGCGCTACCCCCTTTCTTACGCAACGGGCCATTGCTGTATCAGTTTGGCAGCAGAGAGTTCCGCACGGGACAGGCGGCACTGGCTCAAGCTCCTCCAAGAGAAAGAAGAAGGCCCCCCGCAACCTTCCACAAGTGCTGGCATGACAAACAGCACCCCAACCCACAGCCCTCATCAAGGAGCACCCTCGTCTTTCGATATAGGACCATCGTACGTGAGTAAGGGGTTACTGTTCTCTCTAGACACTTTTGCCAGCGCTTCTTCTGATCCTGGCACATGTAAGCGGTCCCCTTCTTTGGATACGTAACGTCCATGAACTATTTTCATCTTCCTCTTAGTATGGAGCGGAAGCCCACATGGTTGCAATCAATGTGTCTATTCAGGATAGTCTGTCTCTCGGGCGACGAATTGAGAACTTCCCAAACCGTAAATCCTGATGATCAATGAGACTGGGCTGGTTATGCCGATTTGTAAAACATTTTCCTCTTCTTCACCCCACCCTCTCCTAAAGTGGTCCCAACAGAGCTCGTCCATAGTTGTGATCACTCCAACATCCTCCCCCCCCCCCCCCAAAAAGCTCAAAGTCCATACTGAAATCTGATCTCGAGTGGGCAGCAGCGCTTCTGCCCGACGGAGCGCAGACAAGATGCGCCGGCCCATGACTTTTGAAAATACTTCGAGGCTGACGAGCCTGGTTATCATGCGTGCCCGCTCTGGACGGCGGGTTGGCACCGCGTCCTGAACCACCCTCTCCCCCTCCCTCTCTCTCCACTTTCGGAATGAGGACGGTCGCGAGGACGACACGAGGGACTGAAGGGAGGCACAAAGGTTTGTATCAGGGGAGTGTCCAAAATAGGGTTGATTCTAATTGTCACCCTCGAAATAGGCGAGATAGGTATCAATGACGACCGGCCAACACGCCCACATGGTATCGCGCGCTCTTCTTTTTTTTTTAAAAAAAAAAAAAACCACAAAAAAACCCCTCTTCATGTTGTATACAAATAGATTGATACGCGCCTCGTGTTGATGCGCGGTAAATAGCTCAATCCCAACTTCTTTGTCTATGTGGAGAATGCTCAATTCCAGCGAATATTTCCATCTGGTCCCGGATTTCCACCAATTCCACTCATGTCCATGCCCAAGAAGTTGTTGATCTCGCCCACACCGTCTGTTTCGAGAATGTTCATGAGCTCGATCTGCTGGTCGGCGCTGAGACTGCCGTGGCGCTGTGCGGCGAAGCCGAAACCAGAAGGCATCCCCTGCCCGCCGCCGAAGCCACTCGTGGGACCTGGAACACTGGTCGGTTGAGGGCCCGGGTATTCGCCACTGCCCATCAGGCCGGAGAAGGCCGCGTTCGACACCGCTGACTCGTTCCAGAAACCGTTGGTAGAGTTCATACCACCGAAAGAGTATGGCGAGATGAAGGGCGGCGGTGGTGAAAACCAGTCAGAGAGGCCACCAGCTTGTGGTAGAGGCCTCTGCTGCTGCTGCGGCTGTGGCTGTTGTTGCGGATGTGGCTGTCTTTGTCCGTTATTGACATGGTGCGGCAAGGCAGGAACGGTGAATGTAGGTGTGCGATGAGAGTCTGGTTGTTGAGGAGTTGCTTGCTGCGGACTCGCACGAGCACTGGGCGTTGAAGGTGTTTCGCCCCGCTCATACTTGATTTGGACCGGAGGTAGCTGCTGCTGCTGCTGCCCTGGGCCTAGAGGCATTGGATTGCTGTATGCCATCTTTGGTGTCGGGCTTCCTGCTGTGCCGGGCGACATGGTGTGTGGTGGAGAAAAGGAGTGTGAACTAGCCGTATTTGAGTCCGGGGGTGTTGGGATTTGGTCCAAACGCGTGTTCGTGGGAGAAGATTGCGTCTGATGAGAGTTTACAGGTGGTGGTGGTGGCGGCCGCAGGTCTGTCGTAACCGGAGGTTCACCTGGCGACGGCTGCTTGAAATCAGGCGGAAAGTATCCATAGGAAGGCCGGCGGCCGTCCATAGGGTCGCTGGAGGGATTCTTGAAAATGGAGTTGGACCGGAACGTCGGCTGTTGGAATGGGTTTGTATCAAAATTAAAGACGTTCATGTTCTCAGGTGCGTCCACAGTGTAGCCGAAGACAGGTTGAGTGAAGACAGGGCGCTGTTGGTTCTGCGCATAAGCCGACCCATTCGATATTGTCGTGGGCACGGAATTATCGGAAGCCGCTGGTGAGTCGCTGTCAGCTAGCAGAGGTGATGTGAAAGCGCTCGGCGCCGCGTCCGAGGGGTCGTCGTTCGTGTCGTAGCTCTGCAGACAGGCCCTCCCCAGGACGGAGTAGAGTTGCGACGCATTCTTGGTGCCGGGCCAGCGTTCAGAACACTGATCGATGACATCCAAAGCAACGTTGATGATCTCCTCGACTTCTTCCTTGGAGTGCTCTTCCCTCACTTCGCGATACGAGATGGCCCACAGGAGGACGTTAAGTGACATGTTGAGGCAAAGCACAAATTCCCACGTGATGTCGACTGCGGATTTCTTGATCTGTTGGTTTGACAGGTTGATGGTGTACACTGAGGAGTCATAGCATATCAAAGCTGAACGACTCGTCGGTCTAGGAATCTGGGGTGACGGCCGATGAAGGCTGATCACCATAGTATGGTATCGACCAGTGAACCTGTGGTTGTTTTAGCTTTTCGACCCCGGACGGATGGTGTGGGGGAGAGAATAATTACCATGGTTTGCACCACACAGGCTCTGCCGGGGCCGTGTCAACCCATTCCTTGATCTTTCGCTCCATTTCGAGAAAGAGAGGGCTGCTCGCATCCTTGGGCTCTGAGCGCTTCTTCTCGTACAGGATCCTCCGAATCTCGGCCTCCCGCAGGCGCATCTTACAGAAGTGGATTGCGACCAGCTTCTTCTCGCTGGGTGTTCCGGCCTGGATGCCCTGCTCCGTGATAAACTCGTCGTCGACAGTCGTGAAGAACTGAACATCAATAAAGTCATCGCCCTTGGCGAAACCATTCGGCCGCCCCATGGACTGTGCAAGACCGAGCTCGTCTCCGGTGACGATCCAGCTCAGCCGGCGGCGCATGTCCATTTGCAGGGCATCGATCAGACCCATATTGTAGCCGGCAGAAATGGTCTTTTCATCAGCCAGACCAAGTTGCTGACATATTCGGGTGGCAAGACCGATAATGTGGAAAACGACGTTACGAGTGGGCGTCAAAAGGGAGTATAAAGCGATCAGGATCAGACATTGTAGCGTCTTTAGATCCTTGGTCCGAATGACGTCCTCGAAATGTTGCATGGCTGCCAGGTAGTAACTATCGGCGAGACCTGCATACTGGATATCGAGCTTCTGCAAACTGATGGCAAGCACCATCCTCACCACAAAGTTCTTGTACGAATCATTATTGCCATCCTGGACTTCTTGCAAATCCCTCGCGAAGACTTTCTCGTGCAGAATCGGGGTGAAGTACTGTGCTGTACACATGAGTTAGCATGCCGGTGTCGGAATGCAATTCGATTCTTGAGCTAGGACCGCCAGGTACCATACCTCTCGACATGAAGACTTCGACGAGCTTGTCTGTGATGTGCGGCGAGGGCAGAGTTGAGGCGGGCAGCTCGCTGATCATGGGAAAGCTCTTCTTGTTGGCAGCATGACCGGCAGGCCCGCTGATGCTTGCGCCCGAGTCAACAATGCTCTGCATCCGATTCAGGCGGTCTAACCTCCTGGCCCGCACATCGGGTATAAGTTCTGATATGCGCTGAGAATCCGTGTATCGCTTAGCCTGTTCCATGAGCAGCCGGGTCATGGCAATACCAGAACTTGGGCCCAGGTACCGGGGCGTCTCGTCGGACTCGTTCAGTTTGACGAGGCCACCAGGCCGCACGAGATCTTCGGCGCTCTCGGGATGGTCATTGTCTTCGTCGGTGTATTGCGAGAGCTCGGCCTCAAGCTGCCGGACCTTCTCCTGCAGCTTGACCACGTAGAACCGGCTGATCTTCTTCCCCCGGGTCGTGTCGAAGTATTCACAGACGGACCCAGATCGTTCACACGGGAGGCATCGAGGGAGTGTTGGATCACATCGTGTTTTTCGCTAGAATCGGGAGATGCATTGTCAGCTCTGTGTTATAGCCACAGGGACGGATCGAGGACCATCCAAAGGATGGTATCCTGCGGGAATGCGCCAGAGGAGTGAAGGGCTTTTGGGCAGGAGGTGAAGTGTACTTGCCTGTCGACAGCGGCAACACGCGGTCAGAGTATGTGCGATGCGGTGCGGATTGCCTTCCTCCTCGTCTCGGTGCGAGGTTGGAGGCCGTCGTAGGGGAGTAGCGGACTGAACTGGCTGGGGGAATGTGGACGGCGCTTGCGGATGGAAGAAGTATTGCTGCGGTTGTCGAGGGATCATGGAGCCAAGTCCCTGCTGGAAGACGGCGGCGGCGTCCATGTGTAGCTGTCCCCGGTCTGGACGACACTGCCTCTATAGGCTCTGTATACTGCTCGTGGTCGAAGGGTATCCTTACGGCAAGATGTTACCACGACGCGGACCTGCGAGCCTTCCTTTGAATACTGGGACTGTTGTCTACGTCTCGTGATGAAGTGCCGTGTTCAAGGGCGCACACAGAGGTCTTTGACGACGAGTGTTTGTATGCATGAGAGCGGGCGTTGCTGGCGGTCCGGAAAAGAGGTTGTCAGACAATCCGAGGGAAATACGATCAGGCTGTGCTCGATGGCACCAAGTAGATTGCAACGGACAACGAGGCTGTTGTTCCAGAGGCTATGGTGGGTAGTCAGTAGGACGTATGTGCCATGTAGTGGATATTGGGCCTAAAAACGAGGGTAATGAGGTTAAAGGTCCAAATACGCCATGGCATGGCTAGTCACGGTGGAGAGAGGACGATTTGGCACCAAGCAACGGGAAACACTGGCACTGGGTTCCGTTCCGTTGATCGACTCTGCAGTTGCGCGCCCCTTCCATTGTGGGGAATCCAGCACACACGCGCCTATCTGTGCAAGCAACCCAAGAAGAGAGGGGAACAGAGAGTCAGGCTCCGAGGGAGGGAAGGAAAAGACCCCACCGGCCTAACAACCCCCCTCTCCCCTCTCTTCTCGCCGTCTCTCATAAGCCCCACCTGCCCTTCTGGCCCCTGGATACTAGGTACATCCACCCTGTGCAGTGGTGTGCCGTGTGCTGTGGTACCACTCATCAGCCCCTCACAGCACAGTACGTCGGCAGCAGCGCAGCTGTTGGGTGACATAACCCAGGCCGATTGGCGGGGATTCTCTGACAAGCTGAACCTGGCTTCGGCAGTCAAACTTGGTCTGCTACGAGAGCTCTCCGAGGTGCCAGTAATAAATTTCTAGAAAGTCTTCAGCAGATCTCGCGGACCAGGGACCCTTTCAGCATGCATGACTGACAGAACTTCTCGAACTTTGTCAAACAGATAGACCTGCCCCTGTCCAAAACACAAGTCTGCATAGCATAGTAATATGATTGATCTATAGAGTACGAGCCCTCTCCTCCAGGGCTCCACCCCCTATTTGGGCAGTGGCTGTGGAAGGGAAAATTTTCAGATTCCCAAATCTGTCCGTTAATGAACAGTACCTGCAGGTAATCCACGCCCGGATCTGTGTGCTGCCCTCGAGACCAGGCTAGGATCATCAGCTGCTTTGTGTGCCTGGACCCCTTTTCACTCTTCCGGAAACGATGCTCCACGGCAAGGGCCTCGAAGCAAAGTAGGAGGGCAGATCTATAGTTAGCCCAATGACGTAGAGCAATTGTAGAGTGCAGTTGTGTCGATGTTTTCAACTAAAAAATACTGCAACAGTGACGCAGGGAGCGAATGGGACATTCTCACGTCACATGTTATGCTCTCGTTGATGTACAGGCCGTAGAGCAGCCGAAATATGGTTGTCCATTGTATATACGGCGGACAAAGGATTAGCGAGACGTCAGAATTCAGCAGGTGATGAGAAAGCGCCCGAATGCTACCTTCACCTCAAGATCGGGAATTTCTTTGATCAGGTTTGCACATAAGCTTATTTTTTTCTTCTTCAGCCCTACTCCCGAATGAGCCAATGCTATGCACCAGATGCGTGGGAGAGAAATATTCTTGGCATGCGTACAGCCGTTTCTGGTCCATACGTGCAGGTCTGGTAGGTTTCTCTCACCCACTGGCTGGCGCAGACATATCTCGGACCGAATGTAGCAGTGAACTCATCACGTACAAGCATACGGGCCTTTCATTCGTGGCTGAGTCATATGCATACATGTGCATGACTAACACTGTGTGGATGTGTGCTTTGGAGTCGTCACTTTTTTTACGCTCAAGACGAGAAAGGCCATTCTTAGCACTATGCTGGTTGGTGGGATGGCAGGGGGGAATGAAAAGAAAGAAGAAAAAAAGAAAAAGAAAGTGAAGCCTATACTGTTACTGTGTTTTGTCGCGAGGGTGCTAGGAGTTAGGGGGTTCGGGTTTTCCCATCCCCCTAAATCGTGGCTGTCTGCTGGAGCGCGACGGGCTTAGCCTCTGAGGAGGAAACGACCTATCCCCGCACCCCCCCTCAAGAGCGACCCATACGCTGAGAGCCCGCTCAGGTCACTGTACATCTTACTGTACTGGGACTGCAGTACATTTCCAGGTACCTTCCCACTTACCACAGCATCAAGTATGGTGGTATGCGCCCGCCCGCCCCCACCTGGGTAACCCTTGAGTGCACAAGTCTCAACTCTGGATTGCTGGGGCTGGGTTTGGGGCTGGGCTGTCGTCGTTGCTTCCGCTGTTCTCACGACGTCTTCACAAACGCTGCATGTCTTCGTCAAGGCCCCTCATCACCTCCCCAACAGAACCCTGAAGCTCTCGACAACCCCCAACGACATCTAGCTCCAGAAACGCAACCCGACACCAATCGTCACCTCTTTCCGATTCTACCGTGACTGCAACGTGGCGCCAGACAGCGGCTTGTTGTTTTTTCTCATCACACAGCTGAAAGGGCTCATCTGTGATAGTCACTGCGCCGTGCCGCGCCGTGCCAAGACTCTTTCACGTCGTTGAGAAGGTTCGCCACTCTTCACTGGCTTCCTCCAGACATACCTTACGACTGGACCCCACCGTACGGACATGTTGCGTCTCTCCGCGACTTGACCTGCACTCCTTCAAGGCGAACCACGGTCCGCTTTCCCCTCCCAATCACATAGCGCCGCTGCCGCCACTAGCAATCCAGGACGAAGACGAGACGACATGCCGAGGTCGAGCTTCTCCGACAACCCTTTGTTACGGGTTTCGAGGCCTGTGTCGGCCTGCTCGAGATGTAAGGCACACTGGCGCGCAACACACCGAGTCCATGTTCTTCTTTGTTGTCCTACCGCTAACGTCCACACACTCAGGTCGGGCCGCCAAGGTGAAGGTGACTGATCACTTTTCTTCTTGTCAAATACGTCTACGTGTATGTGTGTGTGCGTGTGCGAGCTAACATGACAATCCAGTGTGATGGAAAGCTTCCTGCTTGCACGGCGTGTGAGAAAGCCGGCCGCGAGAATGAGTGCTCCGCTGCGAACGATCAATTCGCTCGTGGCAAGGAAAGGAGGTAAGGGAGCATTCAGATCCGATCTCCCATCTTGTTCGGCACGCCCAGCCTACACGACGCTAAGAACTAACATTATGCAGCTACGTCGCCGCTCTCGAGTTGAGGATAGAGAAGTTGGAGAGGAGGCTAGATTTCGCGCGCTCTCGGAAAGCCTCAGTCGCTAATTATGAACACGACGGGCCACCGTCTCGAGAGCACGCCCAAGATCGCAAGGACTCGCTTGCGAATATCCGAGCCGCCATACACCGGAAGGCTGAACGGAAGAGAGAGAACTCTGATGTCAACACGCTCATCTCAGACTTTGGTTTCCTGTGAGTCTCGGCTTCCTGGTCTTGTTGTACGCAACATCACACACTGACAACAGCGCAAAAAGCTCTGTCAATGCCACCACGCGCGACTTTGAACCGACTGTTAGCAACATGACGTTTGCTCGACTCGTCCTAGCTGCAGTGACAAACGACCCTCTTCCCAAACCTCAATCCTCTGACATGCCTGCACGACAGACGGCGCAGGCCATCATCCAGTATTATATGGCAAGCATCTACACGCTGTTCCCTCTCTTCTCAGAAACAGTTTTGATGACGGCACTGGACGACATGTACCAGCAGGACCGCCACGTCGCCAGCGCGGGCAAGTGGCTCGTATATATGGTCTTGGCGATAGGCTCAATGGCCCAGTCCCGCAGCAACAAGGACAATTTCTACAAGGACGGTGTTGACTTCATCTCTCATGCTTTGCAATTCGCGGACCGGGCTCTGCAGCCCGGATACGTCACACAGATCCAGTCCCTGGCCCTGTTCACCCAGTTTGCAATGTTGGATCCAGCACATTTCGATAGCTGGCATCTCATCGGGTTTACCTGCCGCGCTGTCGTAGACCTGGGTTTTCACCAGGACCCGCCGAGTCACTCACAAGCTGATAGGGCGACCCTTGATATGCGGCGCAAGACTTTCTACTGCGTCTATGCTCTTGACAGGTGGGTTTCTCCCAAAAACCACCCTTGAAAACAGATCCTGGTCTTTCGTTGCTGACATTCGACCTTAAAAATCAAGGGCAATCAGCATGGTCCATGCTCGTGCGTTCTCTTTCAGCGATGACTCGATCCACGTCGAGTTCCCAGCCATGTCCGGCATTGGCCGCATAGCGTCTGTCTCAGGAACCATTACTGGACCGCAATCCCATGACCCTGCGATTCTCTTGTTCCAGCTGCGGCGCATCCAATCACACTGGTACCAAATTCTCATCCAATCAGACCCCAACCAACCTATCGATGGCATCGAGGGCGACGCCACCACGTTTATTTGGCAGGTGTGCCAAGACATGCGGGAATGGGACGAATCCCTACCCGAAACCTTACCGATTGGCATCCGCGAGCTGTTTGATCTCGAGCTCAAGTACAGCTACGTCTACTGTCTCGCGCCCAGTGCTCGCGCCCCTGTTATGACAGCGTACGGGCGCGCACTGATCTTCGAGTACGCCATCTCCTACCTGGATCATATCTACGGCTTGGCACACGGCGGTCCTGATCCCAACCCGGCATTCTACACGTATCACGACGCGTTGAGGGTTTTCTTCATGGGCAGCCAGTTCATGGCTGTCCTTCGTGATTCTGGAGACGCTATACTCGCAGGGGCCTCAGTCCCCCTGCCTATGGCGATACCAGGCAAGGCGCCACCACCTCCGTTACCTGCGAGGACGAGCAATGAGGACAATTTGTCACGGAGTCTTCGGTGCCTGGAGGGGGTCAAGCACACCCTCAAGAAGTACGGCGAGAGGTGGACGGACGCCGAGAGCCTGGCGACGAGCTTCGACAAGCTGAGCGAGGATCTTATCCAGGAACTGAAGAGGAAACAGCAGCAGGGCATCCAGTATACACCCACGCCTCCGCAGCATATGCAGCGGCAGCCACAGATGCACATGCAGCACCGCCACCAACTCTCAAACCCTTCGCCGCAACATGCGCACATCCCCGTCACGATGCCGGCCTACATACCTGGACAGATGGCAATGCCCATGGCTGGGCCTGCAATACCACACCAGATGCATCCTGGGCAGTATCAGATGAACATGCGTCCACAACAGTCGCCCATCCAGACCCAGATGAGTATGCGCTCACAGCAATCACCCATTCAAATGACGGGATCACCGATGCACGCGAGCATTCCGATGCACCAAGGCCCACAGCCGATGCACCAGCAGCACCTGTCGAATGGAGCACAGCACTCGCCTGAGGTGAAGTGGGAAAACGTCGACATCTCTCACATGATGAGAGGGGGTGGAATGTGAGATGGCATTGGACAACAATTTTAGCTCTGCTTGGAAATGACGACACAAGTATTAGATCTCCTATGGTGGTGAGCATTGGCTCTGGGCTATTATCATTGTTATTTATATTGGGCATGTATGTGTACTTCTTGTGTCTAGGATACCTTATGATCTCACGAATGCATCAATCGGAGTACCATGTCTTTCCCAAGTCTGGCCTGACTTATGGCATGGTGATGTCGAAATGTACCTTGTTGCTATCATCTCACTTATCGCCACCATTCTGGCTTCAAGGCAGCCTAACTCATGACTCTTGTCATCCTTTCACCCCAGTAAATGCAGTGGGACAGATGGCGAACATGCTATGCTTATGACCTTTCTTTGGCTTGTTTCTTGGCTATAATGCAATGATGCCATGGGCGTCTTGTGCAAGGAGGCAAGGGCACAGACTTGCACAAAAAGGTGAGACCTGTTGGCGACATTTCGGACACTTGCCATTCATCACAGCCGCAGGGCTTTGAAAATGCCAAGATCGCTCACTCCCAAGTATTTATTCAAGTAGCAGCCTCGAGGACTGTTTGTATTACCTTGTTATCACACTGGATTCCACTCTTCTTCTTCAATCTTCTTCTTCCAGGTGACTCCCATCGCAGCAAGGACCTAATTATTACAGACTGCTCCCCCCACTTTCTTTTCCCAAAATAGAACAAACGAAGAGAAGAAAGATATGGGCGCTCCCTTCCCACCCCCGACTGGCGAATTTTCTCAACACCGCGCCAACTGTCACTGTGGCGCCGTACGCTGGGCCTTCTCCATCTCGCCGCCGCTGTCTCAGTACCCTGTAGTCCGTTGCAACTGCTCTGTCTGCCAGCGCAATGGATATCTGCTCGTTTACCCGACCAGGGAGAACGTCCGGCTCGAGAAAGGTGATGGTGGTGGGGAGGAGGAGGGGAAAGAGAAGGAGGGAGGCAGTGGTGCGATCGGATCCTATTCCTTTGGAAAGGGGATGGTGTCGCATAAGTTCTGTAGGCGGTGCGGCAGTAGTGTGTTCTTCGAGGTAGAGGCTCCGCCGCAGGAGGTTGTGGTCGCTGCGGAGGCCGAGGGGCGGACGGTGCCCTGTGTCGTGGGGATGAATGTGAGTGATAGCCCCCCCCCCCCCCCCACCTCTTTTGTTTTCTGATTCATTCCCCCTTTTTCTCTATCTGCTGTTCTTGGATGGACTCTATGTGATGGATGCTGAGAATTGTGCCTGTTAGGTTCGTATGATTACTGGACTGGATATTGATAAGTTGGTCATTAAGGATGTTGATGGGAGGAGTAGAGAACCTCAATATACTGTCTGAGAGCTGACTGGGTGTTGTAGGGACATCTGCAGTGGTTTGGCTGCAGCGAAGACCACGGGAGGAAATGTCACATGAGCTTTGCGAGACAAGTCGAGCATGTTAACTATACCTGCCTGTGACGTGTTATGATGTTGGTCTAAACACCAGACACATCCCGCGGATTGATGGTACTGGATATGGATGTACTTATTTTCAACACATTCGCCTACTTCAAACAGCCTTCTCTTGCTAATGCTGTTAACAATGCCACTATTGCTGAATCAACGTTATGTAGATTGTGGACTGAGAGAAACGAGGAACTCAGGTTACAGCAGATGCAAAAACTCTAAACTATCATAGAGTAATTACTTGGATTGCCAGGAATACCACCGTCTCAAGGAAAAGCTTGATTACAAAGCCATGGCCCTGTTGAAACAATATAACAGATTCGAGGCCTATGTACCCTTTTTACAAGCAAATTCATGCAAGAGGCTTCTTTCCTGCCTCTTTCAGATAATGTTCGTCACTGCTCCTCGAATACGGATGGGCTTTTCACTGTAGATGTGCATGTGGGAATGAGAAAGCTGGAGGTTGGCCGACTTGACGTCCTCAATGGACGACACAAATATAGAACATACTTCAGATAACAATTCGCCCAAGAAAATCCCGTTTCAGACTGTCATGTTATTTGTAACACACATCAACAAGATGCCGCAAGATGGCATGAGCAGAGCTCGGGTCACACGGCGCGCCCCCACAGTACAAAGAAAGAGTGGATAGAATAAGGGCAGGCAAAAGTCTGAGGGTTTCTCGGAATTACTTATCGCAAGACAGGCAGAGAAATCGAACATCGCATCCATCTTACGTATGTATGTGCTTGTCGGGAAGTCTTCAGGTGTCTTCGAGATTCTCCCCCCCCCCCCCCCCCTAAATACACAACCAACATCACAGAGGGATGATTACAGCCTCGGGATTCGCTCGTTGGCATCAACATGACCCACTCGTCAATTCGACATCTCATGAAGTGGTTTCTCCATCGTTGCCACTGTTTGGTGAACTCCACGGATGACGAGTGCATGTGCATTGCCCCTTTCCGATACAGCTGTCCAGGTCAAAGCTGGCCACGCATCATAGCAGGTCTGCCGTTTGTAACCTTAGTGAGCGAGGGGATCTGTGGAGCCCATATGATCCGATGAGCTCAAAGTGATGCTACGATTGTCCGCAGCAAGTCGACTTTCACTCTCGCAAATGTACCAACGGTGTGGCTGGCAAATTTGCCTCTTGTGCGTCCAAATGCTCACAAGAAACACCCCTAGAAGCCGAAGAAAGCGCTGCTAGGTGGAGATCTTTTGGATTTTATGCATGACATATTTTATTTCCGGGCCGCAGCGAGAAGTTGGCGCCTGCGGGTGTGTCCGGAGTCCCAAGCCCGGAACCCGCCCGTGGCCCTGCAGCAGAATCGGCCCACCGTTGCGTCGATTGCGGCTGATCCATTGCTCGATGGCCTGACTGAGAAGTCCCCGTCGCTGCAGGTTAGCATCACATCATTCGACCATTCGGAACCCTCTGACCCTCGTTGTTTTCGTCGCGGAACCTCGTCGTGATTTTTAAAAAGGGCTTGGAATCTCCTTTCTCTGGGCCATGTCTCGATTCTTTTTTCTCGAAAGACATACTTTACAAAAGCAATTCATTCGCACCACCAATTTCATCTCGAGAGACGTTCTTCAGTCAGCCACAGTACATCCCTCCGTCATATCACTACGACACACAACAAAATCAGTCCCACTTTTCAACCCGCCTATAACACCTCGAACAAGTCATCGCACATATCGAACAACGCAGCAATGATGATGAGCACGGGGGCAAAACGCATGATCACGACGACAACCAGAGTCTACCCACCCATTCCTCCCATGTCTTCGCCAGTGTTCTCAGCTCGTCGGGGTCTGGGAAACATTAGATGGTACGTCACAAACAAACAAACAAAAAGGAGAAGAAAAAAAAAGAAAAAAAAGAGGAACAAAAAGAAAAAGGGCGGTTGAGGCGGCAAGCTAATATTCTTTTGTTCCCAGGGTGCCGACAATATTCGCACTGGTTAGCATAGGTTCGTTCCCAATCGGTATCAGAGCAAGAGAAAAATAACATGGTTGTTTGTACAGGAATTAATGTGCGTGTTTGCAGGGTATGGGGTCTCGGCCTACAGGCGTAGGCAGATCGAGAAGTACTCTGCACGGTCGGCCGACTTCGAGAGGCAGCAGGCCCAGCGACGAAGGACCGACGCGATGCTGATGGATGCGTATGGCGAGAAGTCAAGTCTGGAAGACTTGCAAAATGCGATGGCGACATACGAGGCTCAGCGAAGGCAACTGTGAGGAACAGCTTCTTGCAACTGAGGACAAAGCGCTCACGGGAATTGTTCCTGGGCGAACGGACGCATGGGCACAATCAAACGAAATGCACGGGCAAAAGGAGGCAACATTACAGCGGCGTTGGTTTTAGGTACAGGCTACACAGTATTGCCTAGGCGTTGAGACAAATGTCCATTGTGAGGCAGTTCATATGGGAACATAGCCATTGTCGAGTTGATTAACATTTACACATTCCTACATCCGAAGTAGCTCATCTTCGTTCTCGAGTGCTGTGGTGATGTTGAACTGATATGTGCATCTTCTCAGTGTGCTCTAGTGCCAAAGAACAGGCCATCCTCAAAGCTAATCCTCGAAGAGTGTCCTCCGATAATGAAAAGTAGCTAGTCTCTAAGAATCATATTAACAACCAACTGGCAGGGCAATGCGATCCAATTAATATACCTGGCGCAACGTTCTCACTGAACAAGATGGTCAACCACTCAGAAGCTATGCCACTAATGAGCATCTATGCTGCACTATCTCACTATACGATTCTTGAGATGATATAGAGATTCTGAATCCTTCTTGAGTAGAGTTGCAATAATTACATCCCAAGTCTTTCGTTGATTGACATAAATATGCGAGACCCCAGAGAGGAAATATTCCCATGATATCAGATCGATGCGCTCCGCAAGGTCTATTGAGTAGTGAACCAAAATCTGCTTTGAGTGTTGTTACTGCTGGAGCCCCTAAGAAAAGCGTCACTTTTTACCAATTTACTGATACGCTAATCTTGCATTGTTCAAAAATTGTTCGAATATATCTGAAAACCAAGTTCACAACAAGGCTTCACACTTGCTTCAATGTTGGGCACATCAACACATTTACAGTCTGCCTGTAAATTGAGTAAATGAGCCAGCACTCCATTCCAGTGCTAAACCTCTCACCAGTGAATGCCAAACTATAGCAAATATGGCATTTCCACAGTAGAAGTGAATGGCGCCAGTCAAAGTAAAGAGCAGAACACTTGACTTGATTTTCCCCATATGCTTATGTTAATTGTAATTTATTTTTATTCACACACTGTTCTCCCATGTGATGGTGCTTCACTGGCACACGTGGTATATAAACTCATTCAGGTTTTGTTCTAATTACGAGACGTTTCTTCCACCTCAACACACTGCAAGTCTTGAGCTGATATCCTGGCATGGATGAAGACCGGCCAACCCATCACCACACTTCGATACAATTTGAGGAAGACTACCCAGCATTATCACCCTACTACCGTGCTAAGGTAGCAACAAAAGCACTTCTCTCAAGTTTTGACACCAGACAACCACCACTCCCAACAACTTCAATGACAATGAGTGTATCAAACTCAGAGAGCCCGGGGTCTTCAGCCTACTCCCAGCAACAAGAAGCTGTCAACACACCTACGGGCCATGAGCAGCATCAACAAACCCTCTCAAAAGTTGGGATTAACTTCAACTGGTTGACAAACGCTATCAAGCATCTCCTTCAAGAGCCTTTCCCAGAGCCAGGCTCCATGACCCAACCATACATCTACAATGAAGGGGACTTTCGTGTCAAGATGGATGCATACTTGAGTCTGTGCGACAAGAACAATACCCGGATTACCCTCAATGACGACTTTCCTGAGGACCCTGAGGACCAACAACGCCTTGCCCGAGAGCTTGTCACAGCGATGACCAACCTAGACTGTGAAGACAATTCCTCCAAAGTCGCTGTCGCCCGCATCAAGAAACTCAGCCCTGTCGAGTTCAGCCTCATGGCCTGGTCCCTCCTCTTCGAGACGAGAGATGTCCACCGCGGCAAGCTATCGATGCCCCGATGGGGAAAAGAGTGGGAGCTGGAGAGGTACGACACTTTCCATGAGCGCTTCGAGATGGTCAAGGACGTCCTTCACAACCGCAAGACGGCCGTCTCCAGCCTATTTGACTATGTCTTTGCGAAGCGGTTGGCCCTGAACCCGCGTGCTGAGCTGGGACGCAAGAAGTCGAACACGGTGTCCAACGCAAAGCGTAAGCTGGACCTTGACTTTGCCAAACAACACAGGAGCGGGAAGCGAGCTCGCTCTGGTAAACGCAGTTCCCAGACTGGCCATACGACTGATCAGAACAGTCCAACACCACAGGACTCACAGGTGGACCACCACAGCGAGCAGATGGACGATGCCGAGGGTAGGGCTAGGAAGCGAGTGAGGACAGAGAAGGCCCCTGAGATGGCCCCAATCCCAGCAATTATCAACACTCAGATGGGTCACTACAGCGCCGCGAACGCTTCTGTGATGCAGCCAGCAAACCGGACGTGGCATGACGTCTACGGCACTCATCACAGTCTTGAGCCTCACCCCGGCTCCGGGCAAACGGACTGGCCCCGCACACAATACGATAATGGCCAGCCCAACCCCCAGTTCCACAGTCAGCTTAGAGGCCTGCTCAACAATCAGCTAGCGATGATTCCTTCCGTGCAACGCAAGCCACAGGGGGTGTACTCGACCGTGGAGAACGCAGAGGTGCATGGCGGAGGACTCGATACACTGGACGAGGACGAGGATGAGGATGAGGGAACATATCAGGGCGAGATGCAGGTTGGAGGCCCGACCTTGGATAACACAGCTGTGCATGCGGGAGAAATCGACACGCTGGATGAGGACGAGAACGCGAGCACATATCAAGGCGAGACGCAGACCGGAGGCTCGTGTGGCAACAGCTACTCTTCGCCTGTGGACACGTTCCAGTCCGAGAGTGAGGATGGCCAACTGGGACAGAACGAGGCGGGGGACGCAACAGGCCAGCCTGCATTCTATCCCAATCCGCAGCAGGCCTTCCAACAAGAGTTCTCCCCCACTGTTGCTCAGAACGTAACCACTGGCGCCCACTATCCTTCCGTCACCAACCAGCAGCAATATCCTGCAGCACCTGGCGGGGTCGGAGACGCCACTTCTGGACCCTCTGAAGACACCCAACCATCGTCAGATGCTCAGCAAGGCCACCAGCTCGATTCTTCCCCAGAAAGCCTTGGTGATGTCCGCCAGTGGCTGGTCAACACAGAGTCTGGCGTGGCCCCTGTGCAGGATCCTTACACCGACATCCAGAGAGAACAGAGCACTCAGCAGAGCCCGGTCGGAAGTGGTGAGCTTCAAACGACACCAAGCGACAACGGCTCGCAGCCTGAACAGCACCAAGCGACCCAGCACAGTCAAGAGATGGAGGATCTTGGTGATTTCAATGAGCTCCCGGGAGTGTGGGATCCTTCTTATGGAGAGGCGCTGCAGAGGTGGTCGGACCAGGATAACGGTTTTGCAGGCGGGTTCGATTGGAATGACTTTTGAGGGCAGGGGGAACTCAAAGGTGTATTATCATGCGTGGGAGAAGGTCTTGAGCTCTTTACGTCATCTGGAACGGAGAAAACAAAGGAAAGGGGGGAAATGACAGTTACATAGAAACTCTATGTCGACCTAGACAGAGACCTTTGCACAGAGTTTGTTTGAATGGGATTACTACATCTTACAAGATGGCATGATCAAAGGTTTCGATTGCTGCGCAGTGACCATAATGTGTACAATGAGAATGTTTGAGCATGGTAGTTGCACACACAAACCATCCATGGTAATGCTAATCATAACGACCATATTCATAGTGATCAATACCAGGTACATTGAAGGGCACTCATGAAATGATTCGCTATGATGTCCCAGTATAAACCAGTGCTCAGGAAGTGCAAAACACTGATACTAATCTATAGTACAATTTCAATCTATTCTATGTTATCTGCCTCTACATACAGTACTAATGTATTTATCAGTTCTCATTGCTGTCCAACTCAAATTTACCCATACTAGAAACTAGCACTCATCGGCCAACGCTCTTGACACAGAAACCAAGCAGCTCCATCTCCTTGATGTCTTCAAGCACTCCTTTTCCGTCAAATAGCCATCTCGGCTTGCTCATGTGGTAGCTGATCTTGGCCCAGTCTATCTTGTCTTTGGTTTTGTACTCCTCGTGTGGAGCATAGCCACTATTCTGAAGGCTGCAATCTGGGCAGTCGACATCGCATGGCGGCTCAGCATTGAATCTTTTCAGAGGATCCATTGATTCTGTGAAGCCGGAACCGAGTGACGGGAATTTGGAAGATGCCTGCTCGGTGAGATGCTTGTGAAGAGACAAGAGGTCCAACTCCGAGGACTCAACGGACTCGAAAGGTCTGAGGTCGAGTGAGACAACCCTCCCTAGTTTCTTTCCAGCTGATGCTACACCATCAGGGCTAATGCTGCCTGTGTTGATGCCGTGTAGGTGCTTCTTTTGCTGGCTGCTGCTGTTGTTCCTGAACTCATCAAAGTCGGTGGTGATCAGAACGGCATTGGAGCCAGCGCACGCCTCATACGCGTTCTCATACACAACCAAGGGCCCACCCTCCTCTTTGAGAATCTTGAAAGCCAGGTCTTCTCCCAAGAGCCTCTTGACTTCCTCACGAACCATCCCGGGATGGCAGCACGGATCGAAAATAGCCACCTCCCTGGGTCCCTCCTCCAACAACGTCCGGATGATCTCCAGCGCAGGTGACTCGCGCGTGTCATTAGTGTTCTTCTTGAACGCATACCCCAAGACAGTCACTTTCTTCCCCGCCAGCGTGTTATTCAGACACCGCACCACCCGTGCGGCGAACCGATTCCGGCTGTACTCGTTCATCGAGTGGACCTGTCGCCAGTACGCCGCCACCTCGTCCAGACCGAGGCTCTGCGCCAGGTACACGAGCGACAAGACGTCCTTCTTGAAGCACGACCCGCCAAAGCCAATGCCGGCCTTGAGAAACTTGTCTCCGATGCGCGGGTCCGCGCCGATCGCCGCCGCCACCTCGTCGACGTTGGCGCCCGTCTCCTCGCACACGGCCGCGATCGAGTTGATGGACGAGATCCGCTGGGCCAGCATCGAGTTGGCCACCAGCTTGGCGAGCTCCGAGGACCACACGTTGGTGGTGAGGATGCGCTCCCGCGCCACCCAGGCGCCGTAGACGGATGCGAGCGCCGCGGCGGCTCTGCGGCCGGCTGAGGTAGGGGAGCAGCCGATGAGCACTCGATCTGGGTAGAGGAGATCGTGGACGGCTGTGCCGGCTGCTAGGAATTCTGGGTTGGATAGGATTTCAAAATGAACGCCGGGACGGTGAATGGCCATCTTTTTTAAGAAGGAGAGCCAGTCAGCCAAATTATTTGCCCATGAAAACGAATAATAAGAAAACCAAAAGAGTAGACTGAACACGGCTGAGGAGAGGTCAAGAATTTACCGTTTGTTGAACCATCTGCGCAGTACGACACGGCACCGTGCTCTTCTCGACGATGATGGCGCCAGGTCTTGCGTGTCGAGCTACGTCGGCTGTGACAGCCTCGAAGGCCGCCATGTCGGTCGCGCATCCTTTGCCGGCGCCCCTCGTCTTGGTCGGCGTGTTGACGGCAATGAGGACAATGTCCGCTTCGGAGATGCACTTGTCGACCTGCGTACTGAAGAAAAGGTTGGGCTGTCTGGAAGGCACAGTAATCTGCTGGTTGGCGGCGGCTGCTTGGCCAGGAGGCTTCGAGTGGGCGGCAGCGTCTGGAAGTATTATCTCGCTATTCCCCGCTTGTGAGAGGGAACATGTCTGTGCGGCTGGCTCGTTGCTGAGAACGACATCCCGAGTCCCGTCTCGGGCAACGCGCACAATGTTTGCCAAACCAGGTTCAAAGATGGGAGGATGGCGACTGTTCCAGCGGCGAATCCGGGTTGCATTGAGATCTACCACGGTCACCTGGATGTTTGGGTTGTTGAAGGCGATGACCGCCGCCGTTGGACCTCCTAACACGGGGCTTCTTCAGTACGCAGGACTTTTCATTTCTTGGGGGGAGGCTCTCTTTCACAGAATGGTATTTAAGTTTGTTTCTTACCGACGTATCCTGCGCCGACGCAGCAGATATTGCGGATAGGTCTGTCTTGTGCCATGCACATCGCCATAGATTCCAGAATCTGTGGCCTCAATAAGGGGCTGGACATGTAGCTCCCCTCTGGCGTAGTCGGGGCTGTGGAGTCATCCATAGCGGTGCTGTCCTCGCAGCCATTCGTTGAGGGTGATGATAGGATGTTCATGATGGGAGGGGATTGGTTTGGTATTGCGGCTCAAAGTTCGTCAGGTAACAGTGATTTATCATAAGCAGCTTCGAGGAGAATATGGCTCAGGTGCTGCAGCAGACCTCTTTCTGGATGACAAGGGAAATATTTCTTTGTGAACGAAAAGAGGATTGTAGGATGGGCACACGTGTGTTGGTTCGGTCACACGCGTGTTTACAATGTGGGTAGACGTCTTATTCTCCGAGGGACGGCGGCTCACACGTGCAATGATGGGCGAGTCCTTATTGTAGCATGTGACAACAGTCGTTATCGCAACTTTTTAGGTCGAACAATGTAGCAGCAGTCATGAGAAATCTGCTTGAGTAAGTCCAATCTTGTGGGAAAATAGGATCACACAGCAATATAACCACAGGAAGTAGCCTTGCCACTCTATACTAATTATCGCAGCCCATGATAAGTCTGGCCGAGGTCCGCATAAAGCGCCCCTTTAATTCCCCCATAGCAGAGAGTCACGACACACGAGGTCCTCTTTCCGGTCATCATGGGCCGGGCTCGATATAAAAATCGCCGCTCGCGACTCGATGGCAGGTGTCGACCTTGATCGGCAAATTAAGGAGATAGGAACCTGTTGCATTCACGTGGGCCCGGTGCTCAGTCTAGACACGAGAGAGGGGGATTAGTAGCATAAAAACATTGTCCATCTTTTGAGATATTCGAGGTCACTTGTGACTACACACTGCTGCTGTCCAATCAGAAGGGCCACGAGGGTTGGACTCAAGGCGTTACTGGTTTTATTCATGCGCCGATGAACGAGGTAGCGTGATCAGAAGAGGAGGAGGTCATCTTCAGACGATGCAGTCTGGGCTTCCGCAAGCATGTCAATGCCCGAGACAAAGCTTAGAGTCATGGGGAGAGAGAATGATTTGATAGGGAAGAGAGTCGATAGAGGCAAGCTGCCAATTAACCCACGTGCTTATCGGTCATGCTCGGGCGGGCTTCGATCATTGGGTGGATGCGTGCCTTGTGCTTCTGTTCCCGCCTCTGATTGGCTGCTGTCGTGTAAGTCGTTATCAGTTAGAGTGATTAGGTCATCCATCTGATTTGTCCCGTAGAAAAGACGAGGACTAATGATTGTCAAATATTTTCGAGAACCTAGTGTCTTTAGATGCAATGAAAGATTTATTATCCTAGTGAAGATGACGGACGTAAGGAAAGGGACACAAGGCAGTCAAAGAAACCCTATTTGGCGTCGTAGTCCACAAAACTACGGCACAACCCTTGGGGAACAGAAGCGGGTCACGACGCGAAAAACTCTTAGAGACGCGGATGACCGAACCCTGGCGTTGTTTCGTCTGCACTTTGCCGACGCAGTCGATGGATGCGGGCATATGATCAACATCGGTCGACCCTGCCCTAGCTTCGAAATGCCTCTTGACTAAGTACTTATACTTGGTATTAAGTAGTCGCGAGACGCCTAGAACTTGTCAAGTAATTGCTTTTATACACCAAGTTTCATGCACCGTCTCCTTCCCGAGTCGTTGTAGCCAAGTAAACCCAGAACTCATTGATATTTGTTTATATCTTTGGAGCCCACACCGAGAAGCACAAGTGCAGGTAAATAAATAGTCTTTCTGCTTTCTCATAGCAGTACGCAGTTGAGACTAATAACATCGGACAGCTGCCTTGGTACTACTAGGAAGATAATACACTGGCCGCTCATTGAGTCGTACAGTGCAGGCGCCCTACAGGAGGATGGCGGCAGTGGGCTCATCACCACCGGCAGATGGCCAGCATGATCTAGCAGTGTTCCCCGAGGGCCTCAAGGGCAGGCGGGTGTTACTGTGCACCGAGTCTTTCGGTCCAGTCAACGGCGTCAGCAGGACCACTCTGATGCTGGTCAACCACCTGCGCGCCAACGGGTGCCACGTCGCCGTCGTTGCGCCTCACAACCCGACCAAACTCAACACTTTTGTCCCCACGCTGGCACCTGCTGTGAGGTCGAGTAGCACGGCCTCGACTGGGAGCATCACAACCACCACCACCACCAAGAAGAACATTGAGGTCCGTCTGCACGGATATCCTGTGCCCTTCAACCCCGAACTGAGCATCGTGTACCTCGTCAGGCTGTCGGCTCTCTACAGCCGCACGTTTGGCGGGCCCCCGGATCTCATCTACCTCGCCTCCCCCGCCAGCCTGGGCTTCCAGGTCATGTTTCAGCTGCGCCAGAGGCCAGAGCGAGAGCAAATCCCTGTCCTCTGTAACTTCCAGACCGACCTTGCTGGGTACTGCAAGACGTTGTTTCCCTTCCCTCTTGGCGGCATCGCCGACTACGCCTTCGCGTCGGTCCAGAGCTTCCTATTCCGGCATGAGAGCGTCAAGACTATCTTCTATCCTAGCACCTATGTGAGGCGTTATCTGGAACGGCACCACGTCCCGGGTGACAAGATGGAGATCCTCACTCGAGGGGTCGACACAGAGCTATTTAAACCTGACAGGAGGAACCAGTCACTTCGAGACCATATCGCACCGGACGGGGAGATCATCCTGATCTGCGTCGCACGCCTGGCGGCAGAGAAGAGCTTCGACTTTCTGGCCATGGTGGCCAAGGAGCTAAACCTCCGCGGGCTGAAGTTCAAGTTGTACATCGTGGGGGGAAACCGTCAGGCAGAGGTCGAGACGGAGATCAAGGGGCTCTTTGCCGATCTCGAGGGACAAGGCAAGGTGATCTTCGCAGGCTTCAGGGTGGGGGAGGAGCTTGCTGAGGCGTATGCCAGCGCGGACCTTTTCCTGCACTGCTCCATCTCCGAGACATTTGGCCTCGTGGTGCTGGAGTCGTTTGCCTCGGGTGTGCCTGTCGTGGCACGAGACATGGGAGGCCCGAGCAACACCGTCCAAGACGGGTACAGCGGCTTTCTCACGCCGCCGGACGACCTGTCTGCCTTTGTGGACAGAGTGATCCTGCTGGCCAATGACGAGAACATGAGAGCCAGATTCGGCAGAGATGCCCTCCGGCAAGCCCGTGAGGCGACGTGGGACAAGATCAACAACAAGGTGGCATGGAAGATGCTGGATGAGATCGAGCAGCGGGAGGCGGTCTTGGCTGAGATGCAGCTGCAGGGAGACACAAAAGAACCGCACGGAGGTATATCTGCCGTGCCTGTCTTCGGCTGGTTGATGCTGAGTGGCGCCTTTCGTGAGACCTTGGTCAACTCCCGCCTGGTAGGAGCCCTGGGCGTGATTTTGGGCTTTTGGGGTGTCGTTGGGGTATATCTGGGCTTTACTAAGGCGAACCGGTGGGTGAGAGGCATGTTCAGCAGGTCATCGGCGTGAGGAGTGATGATGATGTTCATGATGATCATGATACGATGTGGTTTTCTGTGTGGCAATGGCATTCCTCTGGCGTTTTGGAAACCCGTTGGTTGGTGGTTTGGCCACAGGATCTCGCCCACATAAGTGGCAAGTCTTGTTAGACCCATAAATCCGTGAATAGAGGCCCACCTTGTTCCGATTGTGTACAGCATAGAAGTGGCGAGACGATGATCATGTGACGTATTTTGTTTCTTTCTTTTCTTGCTGTGTCTCTTTGCTTCTCTGTCTCGGGATGAAGCCGTTGAGCGGGCGGGGTGTGCCCGGCCTAAGAAATGCTAGCTTAGAATTGTTATGCTTGTGCTGTGTGAGCGCTCATTCTTGCAGGATGGAGAAGCGGTTACACTGTCTTGCGCCCAATCCATTTCTCCAATTCCATCTCTAGTTGGATCCTCCTTCGACGTCAAGCGATGAGATATATGTGGCTTGAGATGGGCATAATTTCCTGGGTTTTACAGCCTTAGCTCGCCACCAATTGATGGAGGAGCCTTGCCCCAAGCAAGAGAGAGCCAGCCGCCAATCAGGCAGAGGCCACCGAGGGGGGTGACTGGTCCCAGTACTTTGAAGCGGGCCGGATCTAGAATGAGGGCATAGATGCTTCCACTGAACATGGTCATGCCAGCTGTGAAGAGTCCTGCGGCGAGTGGGTTGTCGCGAGCGACCAGAACAGCAACGGAGTGAATGAGCTGTTGGGGGGAGGGCGTTGTCAGCCATGGACAGAGGTCGACTTTCTGAGACGGAGAAGGAGGAGAGAGAGGGAGAGAGGGGGAGAGGGGGAGAGAGAGAGAGTGAGGTAACTGGAAATGCGTAAGTGAGTATGTACCTGGTAATGAGCTGCTGTCGCCCAGCTTGCGAGCTTTGCAGGGTCGTTGATGCGCTGCTTCAGGCCATGAGCACCAAAGGCTCCCAGGCAAACCGCTGCAGCGCCATAGACGGCACCGACACGCCACCAGGTAGCAGAAGTGTTGCTCATTCTGTCTCTCTGGGGAGTGCGCTGGGCTAAAAGAGGAGTGGATTCGTTATTGGTGTTATTGTTGTTGCTGCTTGACATTTACGTGGTTGTTGACGTCGTCGTTTCTCTGTTGTGCAGTTGTACAAAGTCAAATTGATTACTTAGTTTGGTACAGATTTGTGCAACATGACAAAGATGAAATCATGAGCTGAGTTCGGTCTGGGGTTCTTGAGATGATTTAGGGGGTTAGGGCAGGTATCTAGGAGGGAAGGTGGGGCCCCCCCCCAAGGCCGGGGGTAAGGTAACAACGTCCTAACCCTATGAGCAGGGATTCATTGCCAATGAATGACGAACGCCTTGTTGTCCTGTTCCCTGGGGAGTTGCAACTCCTCCTCTTGCCGTCTCAGTCAGCACCTACTTACGACACCACACAACCACAACCTCTCCAACTTCTTACAGAAGTAAAAGAAAAAAAAAAGTTAAAAAAATTAAGCGTCTCTCTCTCTCTGTCTTTCAACATCATGAAGCGTCTCATCGCCTTTGACCTGGACGGCACGCTGGCGGAGAGTAAACAAGCTGTCGACTCCGAAATGGCCTCCATCCTTGCTCGGCTCAGCCACGTCGCCGACATCTGTGTCATCTCTGGCGGAGATTGGCCTCAGTTCGAGAAGCAGGTCGCCAGCCGCCTTCCCGAGGACACCGACCGTTCTCGTTTCTGGCTCATGCCGACTACAGGCACCAAGCTATACCGCTTCGAGGGCGCAGCCTGGTCCCGCAAGTACGCGGACCTCTTCACGGACGACGAGCGCGCCCACATCATCAAGGAGCTCCGTGCATCCATAGACCGCCTGGGCTTTACGCCCACAGAGGTCTGGGGCGAGCAGATCGAGGACCGCGGCAGCCAGATCACCTTCTCTGCCCTGGGCCAGCAGGCCCCGCTGCACCCAAAGGAGGCCTGGGACCCCAAGCAGGAGAAGCGTCGACGCATCCAGGCCGACTTGCAGCCTATCCTGCCGCATGTTTCGGTCCGCATCGGCGGCGCCACCTCGATAGATATCACTCGCGCTGGTGTCGACAAGGCCTACGGCATCGAGCGTCTCTCTGAGATCTCGGGCATCCCCAAGGCGGATATGCTCTTCTTTGGCGACGCCCTCTACCCCGGCGGCAATGACGCCCCCGTCAAGGACACTGCTGGTGTTGACTCCGTCCAGGTCTACAATGTCGACCAGACCAAGAGAGCTCTCGAGGCCGTCATATTGTGTCTCGCCTGAACGGTTCTCTTATGCGGCGCCGCCACTCATCCAGACCAACAGCGATCTGCCAAGGCTAGTTGGGGCCTGATTTGACCCGACGCGGCAGCTCATCCATCACAACCTTCAATTTCCTCCCTTCGTCTTCTTTCTTTCTTTCTCTTCCTCCTTTACGTGTGGCCACCCTGCAAGCCCCACATGTAATAATGTACAGTACAAGCACGACATGGAAGGCGACGCCGGCCGCTGGTGAGGGGATACGCAGCGCCTCAAAAAGACGTGTTGTGGGACGGATTGGTTTGAAGTCTCGTCGCCTCACACACATGGAGGAAACCGGTGTGCGACAACACAAGTGCATCCCAGACGGAGTTGAAAATAAAGGGAGAAGGAAAAAGAAGAAGAAAGAACAAAAAGCGATTGTTATCTCGACAGAAATAAACCGACACGTCTCAAAAACAAACTCTGGCGTTCTTTTGCGCTGTCCTTTGTCCCACACTCGCGCGCGGTGCATGACAGTGCATTTGTCAGTTTTCTGATATTTCGACAGCATCAAAAATTTGGAGAAAGGCCCGAATGGCCGATCACAGCACCAAGCTCATCTGCCGGAGTTGCAGCTGAAGCCTAATTTGATTAGTGCTTGATCCTGCAGAACGGGTGGTGAGCGGAAACGCCACGCGCCCCTCCGCGCAGAGCTTAATCGCCGTGTGGCCAGCACGCCAGCAAGCACGTCCACTGCAACTTCACCGTCACAGTGGAGAAGGGGAACCCCCCGGGGGGGGGGGGTGTGCGTTGAAAAGTGAGAAGAGAGAGAGAGAGCCTGCAGCCGCTGCAGAGAGTAGGGAGAGAGTGTGGTGTGCAGGCATCTGGATGCTGCATGACTGCCTCATACGGTAACATGCACCGGGATCACTGCCAATACGGAGCCTTCGAACACTATCAAGCTATCTCGCTTGGTTGAGATTGTGGCGACACTTGCTCCTCTGATGTGTATCTATTCTGGAAGATCTTGCGCAAAGCCTGGTTGCTGCTATAAGTCTAATCCTACTGCATATGACGCGAAACTTATAGGCCTGGGTCGTACAGAGGGGCCCGAGTACCACACCCTTGACTGATCTGGAAGTAGCCGGAAGGAATGATGTCTTAACCATGTCCTGCGGTACATGCAAGCGTACATAAATAGGAAAGCATAAGAAGCCAATGCTGCTTCAGGGGGGCTGCAAGACCAACAGGCCCCGTCGTCGTACCTTGTATGGAGAGAGGTCCACGCGTCTTTGCCAAGGATCCCGCTGAGACGCAGCTACGCAGGGGAGCCCCCGACCCACCTGGACGAGGGAGACGAATTGAATAAAGACATTGTTAACGTCTTGTCCTCGCTCTGAACCCAATTCCTACGAATATCTCTTCCCCTCCCCCCCCCCCCCCCCTTCCAAACCATGAGGCTATCTGTACGGTGATCTGGCGGCCTTCATCATGGAGCAAGCGGCACCTGACAGTGCCGAGCATCGCTTGACGGTAACGCAGATCCGGAGGAAACGACTCATCCGTGTCTGTGTCCATCTCGGCATCGGCGGACTCTTTACAGGGTAAGGGATTGTCCCCACCCTGCCTTTCCCATCGCTGCCACTATGCTTGAGGAATTCAAAATCTAACGGGCGCGGCTACGGCTACCTTACCTAACAGTTGGTGGATCGCCGGCCTCATCCTCCACCGAAACGACAAGAACTGGATTGTGCCATTTCTTGTCTGGCTGGCCGTCATCAGCAGACTGCTCCTCTGGCATATCCCCAGCGTGCGCCTTGTGCGGCCTCTGGCGAGGTTATGGGAGAGGGCCATTACCCGGCCCGCCAATGTTGTGCCTCCAAAATGGACCCTGATCGGCAGTTGGATTCTCCTGATTGGGCTGATCGCAACCGTGGCGATGGTTGCTCCCGACTTCCAAGACAACACGACCGTCAACCGAGGCGTCAGCCTGGCCGGCCTTGCCGTCATGCTTGCCCTGCTGTGGCTGACGTCCAGAAACCGGAGGAAGATCAGCTGGTACACCGTGTTGTGTGGCCTGTACCTCCAGTACATCGTTGCCCTCTTCGTCCTCCGAACAAGCGTCGGATACAACATTTTTACATTTCTGTCGGATCGTGCATCGGACCTGCTGGGCTTTGCAGATGAAGGGCTCGCCTTTCTGACAGACAGCTCTGTCCCTGAGCTGTCTTGGTTCGTGATCAGCGTTGTGCCGCCTATTATTTTCTTTGCGGGCATAGCCCAACTCCTGACTTATTGGTAAGCGAGAGCCTATTGAAAGAAGAAGAAAAAAAGAAAAAAGAAAGAAGAAGAAAAAAACAAGACGATTCCACCCCCTCACCCCGCCCCTCAAAAGGAAACCAAAAACCAAGGCCATGCTTGCTAACTTAATTTGTGATTTCCTGCAGGGGCGCACTGCAGTGGCTCGTCACGAAAGCCGCAACATTCTTTTACTGGGCTTTAAAGGTATCGGGCGCCGAGGCAGTAGTGGCAGCGTCATCGCCATTCTTCGGACAGGGAGAGAGTGTGATGCTCATCCGACCCTTTCTGAATGATCTTACCCATGCAGAGCTACATCAGGTCATGTGCTCTGGATTTGCGACCATCGCCGGCAGTGTGCTGGTTGCGTACATCAGTCTCGGCGTCAACGGGACTGCATTGATTTCTTCCTGTAGGTTTCAGCCACCCCAGACCAGGATTTTCTTTTTCCTTCTTTTTTTCTTCTTCTTCTTTTCGTTACTGACAATAATCACAGGCGTCATGTCCATTCCTGCGTCCATCGTCGTCAGCAAGCTCAGGTATCCGGAGACGGAAGAGACGCTGACCGCCGAGAAGTTGACGCTGACGCCCGAGGACAACAAGGCCGAAGCCAGCAACTGGATGCACGCCTTCACCAACGGCTGCTGGCTCGGCTTCAAGCTTGCAGGCATTGTGGTGGCCGTCCTTGGCTCGGTCATCGCCCTTGTGGACTTGTGCGACGCCCTGCTCACCTGGTTTGGCAGCTACCTCAACATCGAGGAACTGACGCTGGAGATCATATTCGGCTATGCGCTGGTCCCTGTCGCTTTTCTCCTTGGTGTCCCCAGGGACCATGACATAGTCCTTGTCTCGCGCCTGATTGCTGTCAAGATCCTAAGGGTGAGTAACAACCACACCTTATGGTGTTCCTTATACCATCCAAGAAGTCCAAGGGAGGGCTATATCAGTATTGTATGTTGTGCTGACATATCCATTCTTCTGCCACACAGAATGAATTCATCGCCTATGAGGAACTCCAGACGAGCCCCGCCTATATACCACTGAGCCCCAGATCACGCCTGATCGCGACCTACAGCCTGTGCGGGTTCGGGAATCTCGGGTCGTTAGGCACCCAGGTCGGGCTGATGACACAGATGGCACCCCGCAGGAACAAGGATATCGCCAGCGTGGCTTTCAGCGCCTTCATCACCGGCGTCATCTCTACACTTACGAGCGCGGGCATGGCTGGGATGCTGCTTGGGGAGCAGTCGGCTATGTCGTTGCTGCAGCCGACGACTAGTTCACCGGCGGCTACGGCGACATCTCCATCTGCATAGATGGTTTTTAGTTTTTTTTTTTTCATTTTCAAAAAGAAGCGAATACCATATGATTTGATGAATCCTTGATCTGCTCACTTGCGTACGTGCACTTGTGATTTGTTGATGTATACTTGATTCAAGTCAACGCTATTTTTCATAGTGAAGTGACACAGTGACTATTAATTGCGTTTCATGTTGGCAATCTATATTGGCAGCAGAGCTGTTATAATCACCCTTTGGGCGTATGGAGTAAATTAGTATGTCATCCAGTTACCAGCGTCTTCCTGACCCTATGACACGGACTCCCAATCAGAGAAACGGCCAAGGGAAGTCTGGGCAATGGTGTGTCTCACAGACAATTTAGAGGGCCTGCTCACTTGGTATAGGATGCATTGAATCAGCGTAAATTTTGTAATAAAAAGACCACACAATGTGAACTGAACACCCTTTATTATGTTTGGTCAATACTGATCCAGTCCGCGATGATTATTGCCAAACAACCACATTAACAGCAGACAAAGAAAACGGCAAACAGCTCATTGCATAAAATGAAGCATAATTGCCTCTACCAAACTCTCCTCGTCAATAACCTCTCATTCACCCAACCGTGCGAGACAAATGTAAGTGAAGATCCCCATTGAACTCTTTCTTGAGCCCATAGAACTCACCAACGCCTATTGGCCACGAATCCAGAGAAGAGAAACACTGCCAGAGCCCGTCGTGCTGATTTACCATCAGCAAGATGTGCTTCTACGCATACGTAAAGGTCAAGTGCGACAACTGTGGCGAGGAGCTCTACTGCACCACCCTCAAAAAACGAGACTGCCGCAAGAAGTCCTGTAATCGGAAGGTTCCCGCCGGAACGCCTGTCAAGGTGTCGGAGAAGAAGGCTACCGACAAGACCCATTCCTGCCACTTTCCTCTTGTCGTTTGAGAGGTTGACCAAGGAGCCTTGGTGGTAGAGCTTGGGGGGTGCCGCATTTATCGCGGTATGTGAGACGCAACGTAACGTTCTTTGTTTTCCGCAGCGCATTGGAGGCTTGGAAGCCGGTGACCGGGTCCTCAGAGGTCCCAGCGTACTCTAGGGTAAGTTGTAGGCTATTTCTTCTTCTCGCAAAATGACATCCGGAGTACTTCGCCAGGCCGTGACGTAAGCTAGTAGTATATAAATTGATTCATACCATCAGGTAGCTCTAATGTGTCATAACTTTGTGACTAGCTTTCATAGGAGTGACCACAAAGCAATGATGAAACAAATATGACTGCCTCTGTCATGATTAATCAAAATATCACCACTCCGGCGCACTCAACAAGCAATATCGATTCTACTGTAATATAAGACAATGCAAGTGTTAGGCAACGAAAGCCTGTTGGGTGACTGTGACTAAAAGATTATCAAGAAATCTATTGAAAGCATAAACAGCGACGTATGAACCAAGACATAATAGTCCATGGCTCTTCTATCAAATTGTAATCAGAACGGAATCAAGAGACCTACTGCCCTTTCTTTCTTCCTCTAGTCTAGCCCTACATTCCTATCACCGTAACGCTCCTATGCTGGAACTCAGCGCACATGATCAGACTGGCTGGAGAAGCGCAAGGCAATTTTCTCTGCCCACCGTAATGGCAACATCCCCTAGCGCCTTGGTCTCGAAACCTGCCTCACAATAACAGAAATAATACTGTGTGCCATTCAATAGTCAGTTCGTTGTCACTATCTCTGCACGGACTCTTCGCGGTAAGGACTCACATGCCACTTTCTCCTGAATACTTCCATGTCGACTGTAGTCATCTCGGGCTGACTTTCCTTCAGTGCTGGCACAATTTTGCCGTCAAAGGCCTCCTGAAATGCTGCATCCCAGCATCTCAGAGCCTTGGGGTAATGCATCCCAACGTTCCTGATTTCCTCCACGATGAGCCCGCCCATCGATCCTCGATTGATGCTGTCCACGAGTGCGGTAACAGTGGGCAGATGACCACCAGGAAATATGTATTTCTTGATAAAGTCCTGGCTGTGCCGGTATTGTTCGTACCTGGCCTCCGGGATGGTGATGCACTGGAAGAATCCAATTCCACCGTCCTTCTTGAGATACTGGTCCACGCAGCTGAAGTATGTGTCTAGGAAGTCATGTCCGACATGCTCGATCATCTCGATGCTGACAATCTTGTCAAACGCCCCCATGCCACCTAGCTCCCGATAATCGGCTTGCACGACCGAGATCTTGTCCTCCAGTCCTGCCGCCCGCACACGCTCCTCAGCAAGCCGTTTCTGTTCAGCGCTTGGGGTCACCGTCGTGACGTGGCAGCCGGTCGTCTGAGCTGCGGTGATAGCAAAGCTGCCCCAGCCTGTGCCGATCTCGAGCACATGGTCTGACGCCACGATTCTCGCCGCCGAGACTGCGTACCGAAGCTTCCTGCGCTGGGCGTCCTCGAGGGACTCGGTCTTGGACAGGGGGTCTGATGGCGGCAGCCAGATGGGGGCCGAGTACGTCATGTCAGGGCTGAGAAAGGCCTTGAACATGTCGTTGCTGAGTGAATAGTGCGCGGCGGCGTTGAGGCGCGAGGTGCCGATGTGATTCAGGGTTCTGAACGGCACCCGCTTGAGTATAGGCCCGAACAGAGAGGGTAAGAACCCCACCGTCGCGGGCTTGTAAATGGCCTCCTTGTTGTGGATGAAGAATTTTAGGACGGACGTGAGGTCTGAGGTGCTAATCTCCCGAAGCATGTAGCTCTGCGAGAAGCCAATGTCGCCGAAAGCGAGGACCCGCAACCAGAAGACTTCATTCTGTATTTTTATTGTTGGCGTTGTGGGCTTGGCAGATTTCTTGTTCCCCAGCATCAGGATCTGTCCATCTGGAGTCTCTAGTCGCAGTGCTCCTCGTGAAGCTCCTGAGAGGCTGGAGATGATCATCTGTCTAGCAAACGGTATCAGATACGCCAGGCTAGCATCGGCCAGCTGCCGCAACTGACTATTGGGGAATGCAAATGATATCGGAAAGAGATTAGGCGAAGTTTGTAACGACATGGCAAGGTAGATATGTGGTTGCACGTTGATGAAATCAAATCTCGTGTAAGTAACTAAGTAAACAAGCAAGAATTAAATTGTTTGTATTAACGTCATTGAAAGGGGGAAAAAGTCTCGAAGCCACCGAACAGTGAGAGAACACAAGACAGAGAAAAAGACAAAAAGTTCAATAGACGAGAAGATAGGGCGGAGAACACGATATATTTCCTGGGCCATTGCATGACCCCCAACGGCTGTTGGCGTTACGCCGTGTTGGAAGGCGGGCGACTGCGGATGGGCGCATCACATGAGCGGTCAGCATTCCGATGCCTAAAAGTCCCAATAGTTCGAGTGAAAAACCTGATTGCAGTCCGTGTTGGATCGTCTAACGTTGGGTGCATTGCCCCGTTGTCTGTCTGTCTTTGGCTAGAACATGAGCGGGATGGCTGTCTTTGTGTGAAAAAAGTATTGGTGGATCACCTCATCTCTCACGTCCTGTTTCAGTAATAATTTGATCAGTAATATTTTGAGATGTGATCAAGTCCAAAGATTCTGACTTGGCCGAGGCACCCGTGTCAGTTATTTCAAGACAATGGGAAATGCAACCCACGTGAGAAGTAGTTTGTACACCAGAGTGAACGGTTGGCGTGTTCCTGACGGAGTACATCGGGTGACCAATCCGGTTGTGTGTGGTGTCGTGTTAAATCACATCTAGATGTCGGAAGTGAGGAAGTAACACCAGCCCGTTTTTTTCTTTTCCCTTTTCCGTGTAAGGTGAGACAAGGTTTCGGCAAATCATCATGTCCTGCGAGTTTCACATGCCTGTCAAGGCTGGCAGGCTTCACGGCACATCTTGTGCTGCATTATATCTGAAGACCATTGGATCTTAATACGCCGCTCCCTACTGTCAGCCGTGTCACGGTTCCACAACCTTCTTCGACGTCCTTGCGGTGTCTGGACAACCAGGATACATTCCATTGATGCTTGTTTGTTCAACTTGAATGCTATTGTTTCCCTCTCGTCTTGTAGGTACGCCAGGCTATTTGATGCAGATGTGAACTCCACCGTCGCTATAGAATGATACTGCTTTTGCCTCCTTGAACGGCTTGTTGCATTCTCCAGCAGCCATCGAGATCTGAGAGAATTCCTGCAACAATCTCACAACCACATACATGACCTCAGTCTGTACCATCTGTTGGCCCAAACAGGCCCGGGGTCCCGATCCAAAAGGCATGAAGAAGTCTCTCCTGCCCTCTTCAATGTATGTGGCAGTGGTAGCGCCGACCTCAACAACACCATCTGTGTTATCAGCTCTAGGCCCAGATGTTGCTTTGAGATCTCTTGGCTTTAACGCCGTGGTCCACCTGTCGGGCCGAAAGGCTGCCCAGTCTTCACCGTAAAGCCTAGGGTCTCGATTTAGGGAATACGTGCTCCAGACAACGGTCGTCCCAGCCGTGATTGGGATAGGACTCCGTCCATCCGACCCTCCTCCTGTTGGAAGAGTTGTGGTAACCTTGGCTGTCCGAGAGTGAGAGCTCACGGGGGAATATAGACGTAAAGCTGCGAATAGACTTGTCAGTGACCAGGAAAAGAGAGGGGGGTTTTTTATTTGGAGGGGGGGGGGGAGGGGGAAGGACATTGTGGACCAGATCTTCAACATCCAGATGCTGTTGAGAAACATGACGAACCTTCCATGATGACCATACGCAAGAACTTCATAGTGGATAGTTCCTTGGCAGTAGGAAGCCGTTGTCCTAGGAAAGCAATCTCCTCCCGAAGTCTGTGCTGTGTGTCGGGGTGTTGTGAAAGGATATACATCAGATTCGCCAGAAAGGTTGATGTGGTATCGTAGCTGGCAAAGAAAACGTTCTGTAACTCTCCTTGGATCTGATTGTCAGATATTCCTGCGGCTTTCATGGTCCTGAAGACGCTGGGTGGTATTTCTCTTCCTTCCGCCAGGCCCTTGCTCCCTCCACTGCTCATCTCGGCAATGATTTCGTCCAATTGCATCCTGAAAAAAGCCTTCATCCCGTTGACAACGCCGATAAGTCGTTTGTATGATGTGAAGAGGCTCAGCCAGGCGAGTGGGCCGATAGCTATGAACTTCCCTGACGGCCCCTCGAAATACTTGACCAGAGCAAGGAAACGCAGTCCGTGTTGATGGCTTGTCTGCTTCGCTCCTCGTCCAAGGCATCTCGTAGACTTCCCGAACAAGAAATCAGTGACGACATCCAGGGTGAACATGGATGCCAAGTGATGAAAGTCGAATGACCCAGCCGTCTCAGACAGACGGCGCATGTTCTTGATCAGATGCTGCACGTGAGGCTCTAGGAGAGCAGGCTCGTTGACCGCTGTCCTGGAGAAGATGGGCTTGAGGGTTTTCCGAGAGTACTTCCAAGCCGCGCCCTCGTTCATCAGGATGCCGTCACCGATGTGCTTTGCGGCTTCTTTGACCCAGCCTGCCTTCCCAAACTGCTCAAAGCCTTCGGTGGTGATCCAACGAATATTTGCGGGTTCGATAGTGTAAATGCATGGCGCCCCAAACGTGTTCGCGACATAAGTCGGCCCGTAGGCAAGATGCCTTTGTCTGAAGCCTTCGGATAAACGTCCGTTGTTGAAGTCCCACCAGGAACGAATGACGAGATCTAATCCGAGGAGAGGATCAAGATGAGGGTATCTTGGGACAAAAGGACGGGATCCTTCCGTCTTGGAGAAGAGGAAAGGGATTATCAAACACTTGATCAAGATTATGAAAAACAGAAACGAGACCATTGCTAGGAACGACATCATGTTGATTAAAGGCATGACAAGTAAAAGGTCGAGATCAGGAAGCTCTTTACCTATGTTGGCAATGTATCCTGTGAAACGAGACTGCGTCGGTCAACGTAAGACACTCTATCTCTTAAAATGTAGTGTGCCGCTGGGTGAATAGTGAACGACAACTGTCTGCCACTGGACACAGGGCATTGGCATGCTGGATGAGTCTAGGTAACACAGCCTACGAGAAAAAAATGGGACGTAGGCAGCTGGATTCGCAAGCCGCAACTCTCCATAGCTCGGCCCGCGGCTGACCATAGAATGTTGGCCTGCGGCTGAACCTATGCTGAGCATCGTCAGCACCAAAAGGTAATCATCACCATGACGAAGCTGTCCAGCTGCCAAAACCGTCTGCCCAACATGCCATTTTCCCCCTTTCTTTGTTCACATTTTGATCGGCAATGGCTCAAGGGAACCTCTCAGGCCTGTCCCTTTCCGACTGTCCCTGCTCGGCCATGTGTCGTTCAGTGCTTAAGTATGTAGTGCATTTTCAAGGAGCAGAAGTACTTCCGAAGGCAGCCAACTCAAGGCTGCCATCAGCGCATTTTAGTCGGCTGTCGCGATAAAGGAATAACATTGGCTGTCAGATGTGCACAAGGCTCGGCCGTAGTGGAATGGGGGGGGGGGGCGGGTCTGGTGGGAGGCACGTCAGAATTGCGTAGCCACCTTATGGTAGAAGCTTTCTGGTGTGTAGACCTGGGTGGTTGAGAATCAGGTGCGAGAGTTTTCCTTTCTCTCCTAGTCACTTCGCTCGATTTTTCTCCCACATGCTGAAGGGCACCTTGTTAATCATTATTAATATGTTCCGGCATGATTACGCTGTTTGCGGTTTCTCTCAGCGTCCGTTTAAGCAGATTTGGCTTTCTCACCGCCCAGTTGTCTCTACTCCGTGTAACCCTGTAATTTGTAACTGTAAGTTGTGTAAGCGAACGCCGAGAAAAAGTAGCGTACCTGCGAAGAGGTTTGTCATCATGAATCTGAGCTGAGGCACACTTACGAAGAGCAATGGTGCCTGATCAGCAAAGATAATGAGACCACCTGTGGACAAGGAACGACTCCTACCGAGAACAAAAACACTAGGCAGCAACGACTGGAAAAAGAAATAGGCGGAATTGAAACATGCTTTGCTGGGTGCTGCTCATCGAGAAAACTGCATTTGACTTCTTGTATGATGGCGGGACACAACGCCTTTCTCTCTCCGAACCAAAAGTAGGTACCCGTGCAACCGCATCGTATAAGAACTGATACTACACCTTGACCCACCGTAGCAATATACACTCTTCGATATTTGCTAGTTCTCGAATATGATGTACCTTGATGGGCAATGTCAAGGAAAATTTGCCGACCAAATCAAGGGCCTAGTTTGTTTCCACTAAACATTCTGTCTCGTAGCCTAGCACGAGATGCGAGGACCTTGATGGCCGTCAACAGCAAAAAGGCTGACGCTTTGCACCCATGAGAAGACAAAGAGGGGAGCAAAAAAAAAAAAAAATTGACATCTCCCTGATCACGTCCTGACAAGCAAACGGCTACATGGTATTTGGCATTCCAAATAACGGGCAAAGCCGGCTCTGCGTCCTGTGCCAGATGACCACTTCATGAAGATGGGGGAGAAAGCGCAGCCTTTGCTACTGATGCTGCCAGCGGAAATACGACAGCACATTTATACATACCTTTTTGATGATGGCGGGAGAAATTGCATAGCTATACGAAACGGGCAATGGAGGGGCCAACGACTTGAGCCTACCAGGGAAACGATTACCCAGCCCACTACCAGACGCAGCACGAAGTACCATGTGATGGAACGAACATCAATGTTTCATCAGCGATGCTACGAAACCACCTATCACCTCGCCAGCGAGCACGTTAAATTCCACACAGCCATCATGGCTGTCTGCAGACTGCTCTACGGCGAAGCTTCTGAAGCACTGTACGGAAGACATTCTTTCGACTTTGGCCATCATGTCCAGGCCGTCGTCCCCTTCCTCACGGACCGTACCCCTTACACCCTCTCGCTCGTATCATGCATCTGTGTTTACAAGCGCGGCCCGTTCCCTTCCATGGGCTACACGAGTGAGAAGAGCGAGTGGTCCTGCATGTGCCGTTTCCTGTCCGGCATGAAAACGCTGGAGAGGCTGCGGGTCGTGATGGAGACGGGCCGCCCGAGCCATCCATGGGAGGGCGTGCAGGAGCTTTCTGCGTCGGACATCAAGCTGCTGAGCCTGATCGGCCATGAGAGCCTGGAGTGGGTTAGGGAGCTGGCCCAGGTGAAGACACTGAAGGAGTTGGAACTTGTCTCGGAAGCCAAGTATCTGCCGGTGCCCAAGTCGTCAGCCATGGCTGTCTATGCCGCTCTGTCGGTTTCTGTTGAGCATGGGCTGGTCGAATATTTGAAATTGGAAATGGCTGCGTCGTGTATTACGTCTTCTGTTCATAGGCTAGATGGAGATTCCTCATAAGCATCATCTGAGCCTGAGGATTCGGAAGGGTCAGAAAACTGAACTGAGAGATGTACAGACAACAAACAATACCCTAGGCCGTGGCAAGGTCAAGTTATGATGCGAGACTTGCGTACAAGCATTATTTGAAGTTCCTGTGTCGGTGTCGAAGACGCCAATTTCAGAGTGGTCAACTTGGGCCTGTACTCAGACCCGCCCGTACGGATCGGTGTTCAACGGAAGATCCTTCTGTTTCCAATCTCTTAATACAATTACTAGGTATAGTACGGTGTAGGAAAAAGGAAATCAATGCTCGACACCTTACTTTTCGCAGTCAAGGCTTCAAATCGCAACGCTATTCGAGCCTTCCAGGCACGAACAAATTATTCTTTGGAACCCATTTGAGTACTTAACCTTGGTACTAGTGACTCGACAAAGACATTCGCCATTAGGCTCAGTAAATTGATAGCACACAGCAGAGCATTTTCCCACTGTTTCTGTTCAAAGTGATATTGCAAAGAGACTGTGCATCTTGTAGTATTGTAGTTCAGGAAGGAAGAGGCTAAAGTGAATTAACTAAACAGCTACTTTCAAACCTCCATGATTCGCAAATAAGACATTTCGCTGTCATCAAGTCGTACTTTGGCTTTACCAACTTCATCTCCGATGGAGCCATTGACCATGCTGGGCGGCGAGACTTTCTTAAGCAGAATCGGATCCACCTGAACAAACAGAGCAGTAAGAATATTCCCTTTACGAATAGGCACCTTCATCCATGAAAGTTGCGCCAGACTCACGCAAATGAATGTGCAAGAGAGTATGACTATCGCACACGACGGGATAGCCCAAGGCCACCGGACATAATAGACTGTTACAATAGTAGACATGAAGCCTGCGTAGAGCAATCCATTCTGAGCCGGCGGTTGAACAGAGCTGTTATCCGTGCGGAGAACATGAGTAACATAGGCAGCCAGGTTACTGAACCATAAATTGATGTCATCCATACTCGTCGTTAGGCCCTGAATGATTTCCATTGATGGCGTGCTCCATTCCGCTATGTGGTTTGAATTAACCACCGGTATGATTGTACCGCTGCCGTTCAATATGACACTGAAGGTGTTTTGGAGGCCATGGATGACTCTTGGCTGCAAGGTATAGTTTTCGTTCGGCAGCACATTCATACTGGAAGGCATGCCGCCAAAAACTGAACCGTTTACGTTGTCGGTTGGTATCGATGCATTGAGCTCCGTCCACTTAAGATATGAGCGTCTCCGTGAAGGTGCCGTGGAGCACTTCAGTCGTATAAGCTTGAACGCACACTTCAAGCAAACACTGTGCTGAAATGACATTTCCTTCAGTCAAGCCTGGAGAATTTTCATATTCCAATGCTGTCGGTATGTTGATAATCGACTAGCACAAGGCCATTTGCAACAGGCAGAGCTGCTGTGGAGAGGCTGAAGAGGTTCCCATGTCGTCTCTGTAGACTGTCATACTAGCTCCAGTTGATGTCGTGATATTGCACGGGAGACCGCTTGGCATGCATGTCCAAGTGTAGCTAGTCTTATTGCAGGTACCGCAGGCACCGAGAGTGGGGGTAATTGGCCAGGTGCAGACACCGGATGCACCGTTGCATGCTGCAGAGAGTTTGGGGGCTGTAGTTCCGAGAGAGCCAGCGTAGGAAGCCGACAACATCGCGGCCGTTGGGTTCAGGGGTGGAATGTATTGACTCTTCCCATCTATGTAAAACAATCTTGTATCGCCATTTCCGTTGAAATATTCATTGACGCGTGGCACATCGCTTATAATGCCTCCGGGCCGCCTAATTTCAGTGGTGGAGACTAGTTGTTGATTGAAGGTGTCGAAAGCGAGGATGACAATATTCCTGTCGTAGTGGAATCAAATCAGTATGTTTCTTGTACAAAACAGCAGAAGCGAGTTATACCAACATACGGTTTTAAGAACTGTTTACAGCGTAATAGCAGACTTCCCCATGCACCCGCTGAGGCTTTGTCTAGGTCGTAGAGTTTCCGAAGCTGACTTGGTGCTCCCTTTGAAGCCCATAGCCACATATTCTGACTAATCATGGCCGAGACTGCGTACATACAAAGTATGCGGATGATTGTTGAAAAGACCGTGACTGTCGAGTTGAGCGTGAAGACAGTCGAATACGGGGTGGCTCGTAATTCCAACGGTAAAGAAAGGCGAGCAAACCGGCCATGCCAAACGTGGATGCAATGACGGAGGCGATTTCCTCCCACCACAGGATCGCAACGTGACGGCCATTCGACCTGGCACCCGGTCGCATGCCATGGCCCTCCAAAGGGGTTTCTTCAGACGACTTTAGGCTGGGAGTAGCTGTCGCCATTGTATGCGTAAGAAAACTTTCCAGAAAGAAGCTTTGAGGGGTCTGGGGATGAGATTTTGGTAGAGCAAAAAGACTTGTTATAGATAATTTGAGGATTGGCGGTCCACTTTGTGATGTTCAAATTGTTTGGCAAATGTAATGGCACAAACTCTGGACTCGAAGAAGAAGGCCTCGTTATATAGATCCGACCCACACCTGGGCATTGAATCGTCCACTTGATCGACTAGGACTTGTGCAGGAAGCACAGCTGGATAACACCCCCAGGCATACTGAATGGGCCAAGAAGGATGTTCTTTCGCCTAATTAGATCCACAGAGACTCTGACTTACAAAGTTCAGCTTGATGGTGTGGACTTGATACAACCTGACAACAATTTTGGGATGCCAAAATGATAGAAGGTTCTCGGCCAGGCTTTAGCATTTCCTGAATAGAAATCCGCTAATAGAATCATCATTACAAGAGGGTCGCTGGGGTTCAAATGGCCCCGGAACAGATTCCGTTGCGTGCATTCCAAACAGTAACCGCCGTGGCTTTCAATTGAGAGGAAATCGCCAGTGGCTGCTGACAGCGTTTCAGGTATGCGTGCTGTTGAAAAGAGATCCGCCGCGGATTCCAGGCAAAAGAAAGCGCCAGTGCAAGTAGTGCTCAGGTATCCATGCCTGTATCTGGAATTGTTGTGGACGAGACAGCATCCAAATGCTGGCATTTCATTCTTTGTAAATTCGGAAGATGACAGCTCATGAAAAGCTCGTTTGGAGGCCTCGATGCTAATATCTGGTCAACTTTGGGCGTTTGTACTATGGCTTCACGGGTTAGGGCCCTTATCAGACAGGTTTGGATTGCCAGCTGCTATACCACCACCGCCTTAGCACAGCCAAATCAGAGCCACTCTTATAGGTTGGCATTGTTCTCCAGGCTGAAAATCTGCGTATTTGCCACTTCATTCATGATGTTTTCTTTGCTTGACAAACATGCCATGCTCTCACACTCGATCACTTTTTGAATTATTTTTGCAGCTCACCAATCACTCTAGGGGTCCATGCAAATGGCAGTAAAAAAAGATGGCTCATTCACTATCACTAGACAAAGCCAACCCCTCTATGCAGTAGATGAATCAGAGCTGGCTAGAGGCTCTAATCTCGTTGTCAATAGGGAACCTCCGAGGCCTCTGCTATATGAGCACACAACAATGGTAGCAGGTGTTCTCACGTGCTCGCCAACGCATATGCCCCATGATTTCGGTCATCTTTAGCTAGCAGCTCCATCCTTGAGCGTGAACATGCCAAATTTGCAAAATTCTTGATGAGATGTAAGTTTGTGTCAAGACTTTTTTGAGACTTGGCTCGAGCTCTCTTCGAGCAATAACAGTTGTCAGCTGGAATGACATCTGCCAACAACTATCTGCTCCTTCATGTAATCCTTGAGTCTGACCAAGGGGTCTGGTTTGCCCACTTTGCAATAGCAATTCTTCCATATCGGGCTCCAATATTCGCGGGCAGTCTCGGAGCCCAAGTGATCGCTCGCACCAAAGTAATCCTGGAACTAATGATCTATGCTATCTACAGTATGCTCGACGATATTTCCCATTCGATATTGCACAATATGAAGTCTGTGAAGTTCAGACATAGTTTGTAACTAGGAATGAATAGGAATGACAAGCAAAGTATACTAACGAAGAGGAGAGACTCAATGTATCAGTAGATAACGGAGAGGATCAGGTTGTGAGAAGGGACTGCAGAGGATCACAGGTACACATGTCCATGTACGAACATGCATTTTTTGACCAAGCCTACTATTGGGCAATATGAGCCTTCGACTATCAATCATCAACCTTCTTCAATTGACCAATAGAAAAAGCGCAGGGGTGTCTCAGCTCTGTTCTTAATCAAAAAGACACAGTGCATTCAGGTAACATAACGAGGATAGTTAGAATTCACTCAGCTCAGCCATAGCTCCCATAGGCGCGCTTCGATTACGGAGAGTTCTGTATGCATTTAATCAACAACCATCAATATTGACGTATCTGCAACCGCCGGCCCCCAAGAATAGTTACCTTGTTAGGCGCTTTCAGGTTGCTCTGTGCCTCGAATCATCTAGCAGATTGCATTTCAACACAATATTATCTAGGTAATCATATAACAAGTTGGAGGTGGATGGCTTTGAGTATTGATAAATAGGCATTGACCGGACTAAGCTTGGATTTTGTTAAAAGTTATAGGTTGCTATTTTCATACTTGTAGTGATTTATTAGCTGTCTCTCAAGTAGGCATGATATAGACTGGTCAGTGTGGATCAAGTATCAGTCCAGTACAGAAGGGCTGCGCTACAGCTTGAAGGTCACAGATTCTAAATGAGACCTTCTATATGCACTGTGTTAGGATGATTGGAGCTACAATTATCTTGAATCATGGCAGTATGAGCGCTGACCTCGGTGCTGCTATAAGGTGCGGCTGATAATTATCCTTGCTGCGTGTGGCAGCAATTGCCATGTATGAAACAGCTAAAAGGAATGGCCACCTCCCAGCTGACTGGAAATGGCTGTGGCTTAGATGGCTGTGTAGAGGGTCGAACTCACACACCACGCCTATTCAGATACCGGCTGACTGTAAACTTGCGCTGTGATATAGCTGCAGAAGGTGTGCAGCAGGAACATGTATTGAACAGTGGCATAGTGAAAACACAGGGAATAGAAGAACCAGGCGACAAGGAGTAGAGGTGGCGTCTCCAGCCTCAATTTGCCCCTTATGGTTATCAGCGCCTTTCTTGTTCTAAAAAGAAAAGCATCCATAATATGACGACTGGTGGAGTGTCGCTCTTACAGCATTTCATTTGCCAGCTTTAGTATTAAGCAGCAGGAAGCTATCGAAAATCTCGTGCATAGTTGGGACTATACTGATGTTAAGTGGAATGGATTTCCATATGCATTTTAGTTTTTACCTGCAACATTTATCCACTCATCTACTTGCTACAAGCTATATTTGCGTCCAGTGATGTATGAAGCTCTTATATATCTCTTTATGCATTTCGCCTCACTTCTTCCTATTTCTGTTGCCCTATTATTCTTGTATTGAGGTATCAAGGTCATATCGTATATCCACACAAACATATTATCTCAGCAAGCCCAATCCTCTCTTTCTATCTTCTAGTTGCCTAGTACTTGAAGCTCTAAAGCTGATGGCATTCTTTTTCAGAGCTATTCTATCTTACCTGCTAGATATTTAACATAACTAGCTCAAGGTCTGTGAACTTTGGGAAGCACATTGATATGCCCCATCAAAGTTTTACATGGCGGCAGATCTGGGTCGACATCTTAGAAATTATAGTGAGGCTCAGCTCCTCTCATCATGGGCTGGTGTGACACTCTCTGATGCTGCCATCAGACGTATCAATTACTGTATACCTTGATTCGAGGGACAGTTCACAATGTCCAAATGTGACGTAAGAAGGTCGAATTCTTAAGATTTATTCATTCAACTGCTAAGTTCGAATGAACTCTTACTTAAGGAACGCAATTTACGTGCCCAGACTTTTACAAGCGAGGTGTAAGCGTGTGGCAACGTATGCCAACAATTTCCTACTTCAATACTGCGTCTGTATTTGAAAGGCACAGCACAAGTTGAATGTAAAGAGAGACACGGAAGAAGAGGAATAAGAACGTCGAGAATTGCTTAAAGTATCTCAGAGTAGCAGGAAGTATAAAACAACAAAGGGAGACCCAAGAAGAAGAAAATGCGAAAGTGGGGGTTGAAAACTGGCCATTTGCATGAAGGTCACATCACAGTCAGTTCCTCTGATATCCATACTCTGTACTGACGACATGTGATTAATATGGCCAAGCCAGACCACGACCGCCTGTACATCTACTTATTATTTGAATCGCTAACGACTGTTGATCGGAAGAAGCATCTCATCCTTCTCGATGTTATCCAGCGACAAGGTTCAGTCACTGCCCAACTTGTCAATGAGAACTCTTTTCCTGGCCCAAAGATTTCTTCAAGCATTTTCTCCCATCTGCCGATTGATCCGTCATGCGATGGAGGTCTAAAAAGCTCCTGATATCGAACTTACGGAAGAGACGGATAAGACGGAATTGATAAAAAGCCTCGTTGAGAAGATGCTAGGGTTAGGTGCAAATGATGATCTAGGCTGTTGACCCAAGGTGGTCCCTGTCCTGAAGACCCTGCAGGTGTTCAGTGGATCAATCGTCGTCGTTCGTCGTTCTCGGGGAAAGAAAGACAAAGATAGGGGTGGTTTGGTGCCCCAAGATTGGGGGCCAGGGGTGGAGATGGGCGGGCGGATGTCCCCATTCCCTAAACTGTCTGCGTGTCGTAAATTTACGCACCCTGTACTATTGTACCAGGGTACGAGTATCACTAGTGCCAGAGTGTAATCTGGTACCTGATTTGACTTGGCGGATCTCGGGGCAGCCTGCTTCCAAAAGAATACTGGTCCAAGCTGCTGCCGGGACCCAAGTCGAACTGGATTGCGACAACATCAATCACGACATCTCTCGTACCTTTACAACTCACAACTTACACCCGCACAAACGACCACCGCCACCACCATCGGTCATCCACCATCCACGACCACCGTCTTTCTTCCACACACCACCTACCCTCATGGCAGCATAGGGTCTTGTCGCTAGTCGATTCATCCCCAGAGTCTATCCATGAAGCCGCCATCAGCGAGTCCGAAGAGCGCTGCCTCTTTTGTTACTACGACCTTCCCTTTGCCTGGGCCTCGCGCCTAGATTCGACAACTTTCATCCATTCGCTTGACTTTGTTTGATATTTTTCTCATCATCTCCTTTTTTAACTTCTCCTACTACCTTTCTCCAGAAAGAGGCCACTCCTCTCGACCAGGGACTTGTTTCAGGGCTTCCTCTCCCGCCTTGTGACTGTTCTGTATCTCTACTACCTCTAAAATTGTCCACGAGTCGTTACGATGGCTCCTAAGGACAATCAGCCCTACGATCCCGCCCCTCCTATTCCTACCTACGATGAAGCTATCGCCGGTGGCAGCCACCAGCCGACCCGCCGCCCGTCTCTATCGTCCCCATACGACGACCCTTCGAATCTCGAGTTCGAGTCCCAAAGCCTGTTGAATCACGGCGCACCGTTCCACCCCGCCAATGACGCGCCGCCATCATCCACCCGTCCTCTGCGGCGACCAGGTGGCTACCGACCACCTACTGTCGAGACAGATGACGAATACTCCGACTCCGAAGACGGTGGAGAGGAGGACCATGTGCGGAGGGAGATGCAAGAGCTGGAGATAGACGATGATGCGAGCACCAGATCCTCCATATGGACCAAGAGGATGCCATTCTCATTATCACTGCCTCGTTGGAAGTCTTGGCGCTGGCGACTACCAAGTCTACCATCCATCAGGCTAGGCGAGCAGCAGCAAGACGGCAGCAGCGGTGAGAGTCCTGGCTCGCGACGGCGATGCACGCCCGATATGAACTCCACCGCCACCTTCATCATGGTTGGTCGCGTGTTTGCTATTCTTCTCATCATGGGCTTCCTCTATCTGCTCTTCATGAGCGATCTCTTCTCCAACATGGCACGACGACTTGGGGGCGGCCAGATGTTCGATCCGGAAAGTGTGCGCATCCACGTCCAGGGCAGCGTCGATAAGGACCGCATACGCGAGAACCTGAAACACTTCACTTCCTACGCTCATGTTGCCGGTTCCGAGGGCGATTATGCCCTGGCAATGGATACAAAGAACCTCTTCGTCAAGTATGGGCTGGAGGACGTCACCGTGGACGAGTACTATGTCTATCTCAACTACCCCAAACCCGATGGTCGCGCAGTACAGATCCTCGACGGGAGCGGCAAGCCGACCTGGACCGCTCAGCTCGAGGAGGGTGATCCAGGCGAGGAGAAGGTCGGCCACCAGACCTTTGCCTTCCACGGACACTCGAAAAGTGGCGACGTCAAGGGCCCGCTGATCTACGCCAACTATGGATCCCGCGAAGACTTCAAGAGGCTCTATGATAGCGGGATTGACACGAAGGGCGCCATCGCTCTCGTCAAGTACTACGGAACCGAAGGCGACCGCGCCCTCAAGATCAAGGCCGCTGAGCTGGCAGGCTTTGCCGGCTGCATCATCTACAGCGACCCCAAGGATGATGGCTTCTTGCGAGGCGATGTGGCACCGAATGGCCGGTTCATGCCCTCCGACGGCGTCCAGCGTGGCGGCGTCAGTCTTATGAGCTGGGTCGTTGGCGACGTGTTGACACCGGGATGGGAGAGCAAGCAGGGTCTGCCGAGGATGAAGCCGGAGCAGACCACGGGCCTCGTTCAGATCCCTAGTCTGCCCCTGGCCTGGCGTGACGCCCAGGTCCTCCTGCAGCATATCAAGGGCTTCGGTCAACCGTGCCCCGACGAGTGGGTCGGTGGCGTCCCTGATGTTGGCGAGTGGTGGACGGGCAACCTCTCTGGACCGATTGTACGCCTCAAGAACGAACAGGACGAGAACACTCAGCAGCCCATCTGGAACGTATACGGCCGCATTGTGGGGGTCGAGCAGCCGGACAAGTCTATCATTATTGGCAACCACCGAGATGCTTGGTCATACGGCGCCACCGACCCTGGCTCAGGCAGTGCCATTATGTTGGAGATGGTTCGCATATTCGGCGACCTCGTCGAACGGGGCTGGAGGCCACAGCGAACCATCGAGTTCATGTCTTGGGACGCCGAGGAATACAACCTGATTGGATCGACCGAATTTGTCGAGAACAACCTTGATGGGCTGCGCCGCGATGGCTACGTCTACATCAACATCGATACCCCGATTGCCGGAGATGAATTCCATGCCTCTGGCTCTCCTGTCTTCCAGAAGATCCTTTATCGCGTCATCGACCGAGTCTACGATCCGATCCATAATACAACGTTGCGCGAACTATGGGATCGTCGTGGTGCGGAAATCGAGGGCTTGGGTGCCGGCTCCGACTACGTCGCGTTCCAGGATATTGCTGGCGTGTCATCCCTCGACTTGTTCTTTGATGAGCCCGGTGGCCCCTTCCACCCTTATCACTCCAATTATGACAACTTCGAATGGATGGACACGGTCGGCGATCCCGGCTTCACGTATCACGGCATGATGGCCGAGCTTCTAGGCCTGCTCATTCTAGAGCTGTCCGACCGGCCTCTGCTTCCCTTTGATATGGCTGCCTACGCCAACGCTCTTTACAAGTGGACCAACGAGTTATCTGACTGGACTGACCACAAGGGGGCCAACCAGGACGGTCAAACGCCACTGGACTTGAACGTCTTGAAGAAGGCCGTCTTGGAGGTGATTGAGGCAGTGGCGTCGTTCCAGGACTGGGAACATATCTGGCAGAACAGTGTACTGGCGGCGAATGGATGGGAGCCCATCCGACTGGGTTCCAAGAGGTGCGAGTTCAACAACATCATGTCGCAATTTGAGACGGGACTCCTTGACGTGGAACAGGGAGGTGGTGTAAGTTTCCTTTCCTCCCGGCAATTTCTCTTTTTTCACTTTGAGCAAAAATTACCATCTCTTCATCAATGAAACCGCCCTGGACACTAACGCCTTGTCGTCTCCCCGCAGATCCCCAACCGCACACAGTTCCGACATGTCGTATTCGGCCCACAGCTCTGGTCCGGCTACGATGAGGCTTTTTTCCCGGCCATCCGCGACGTCGTCGAGTCTGGCAACTGGACACTGGCCAACCTCACAGTCGCGAAGACGGCGCGCATCATCCGGGACGCAACCGTGCCACTCAAGACATGGCAGGGCTGAGAGAGGCGAAAGAACTCGCTGTTGTTTCAATCATGTCTCCTGGGGTCCATCAAAGGGAGAAAGAAACAACGAGGGTGGGGAGGCGGCGGGAAAACGGGGATGGCGGAAATGGACATGGGCATCAAGGTATATATCTCGTTTCCGTACCACGGCATGGCATCGCACGGCGTTTAGGGCGCGGGGTGGAATATTTAGATTATTTTTGCCGCCGTACATAAAATTCGAAAAAAAAAATTTGGACATGCACATATCAAATCACACCATGACGAGCACTTGGGACAAAATCTCACATTCTTAAAAGAAGGGGGCCGAGCGTTCATCATTACAAGTATTTTGAGTATTTACAAGAACGAAACAGAGGCGTAGTTGACTTGACGACGCATGCAGTTTGGTTGATGTCGTTGTGCTTTCGCAATGTGCGCTGACAATCGTCCTCAAGTCTAGTCCCCTCATTCCATTTTCCTGCCCTCATCTCCTACCCTTGACTTTGAACACCTCCGGCCTCCTAACCTCCCCTGGCCCCAACCCCCCTTGTGGCAAGAAGAAGGAAAAAATCCACAAAAGCAACAGCTATCCGCCCTCCCACCACTGATGGTGGTCGCCCGCTCGATCTTGCGACTTTCTATGGATCAAATCAAACACATATCTACCTCACTGTTTCACTCCGCTCATTTCGGGGTCAACACGACACCCTCGTACTCCTTACTCTTGATGATCTCCAAGGTATGGTAGAAATGCCTTTTGCTGTTCTCGATAGATGCCGAGTCCTGCTGGTTGCCGGCGAGGTTGGAGTGGATGAGCTCGATCAGCCCATTGAGGTATTTGGTGGTGACCTGTGGTGACATGGGGGATCAATATCGTGTTATATTATAAGTAATCAGGTACCTCGGATTCATTCTTACCGCTTCGTTGTGCTGGTCGAAATAGTACACATATCTGTCGAGAATCTCCACAAAGAGTTCAATAGACGCAGCCGTCTCCATGCAGGAGTCAGCTACGCGGAGGGCACGCTGCAGACACTCGAGGACTCGCTTGCCATCACGATAGAGCTGGACGGGTTTGTTTGGTCAGTTAAGAGAGAAAAAAAAAGAAGAGAAGAACTCTAACAAGAAGGTTCGGCGGTGAGGTGGGCTACACAAAGGGTTTCTGAACTCACATTCTTCTCGTCCTCCTCTCCATTGGCGGCAATGGGGTTTGCCCACCAGAGGTGACTTGCCAGATACACAGCTCGGCACTGATCTGGTTTCCGTAGCAGTTTACTAGCATGCTGGGCGCACTTGGTGATCAAGGTGTCGTAGTTCTCCTTGCCGAAATTACGTGTCTGATGCAGCGCCGAGGCGATGACACACACAGCTTGGAACTGCGCTTTGGAGTCGCTGATAGCTTCCTCGTATACGGTAAAGGCTTGTGCGAAGAATTCATATGCCACCTCCTCGTGACCAGTCTGGTCAGCCGTCTGTCCGCAGGCACAGAATAGTCTGAGTGCGAGCTCTGAGGCACCAGCAGCGTTCACGCGCGTGTACAGCTGTGACAGCGCAGAGTGCATGAACTTGTACAGTGCGGATGATTGTGTTGACCAGTTGTCATCGTAATGCTCGCGGGCCTTGAAACGACGAGCCAATTTCATGCCCGCCGTAATCAAGGGAGGTGTCGTGGTCCGTATGCGCTCGTTGCCTTCAGCGTAAGCCTTCCGTATCATTTGCAACAGTTTGAACTGAGTATCGTTGTTTTCTGCGGCGAGTAGGTGGACCAGACGGGCAAGCCAGCCTTGCTCCTCCATCGTCTCGTCCGTCTCCACGGTGCGCGCCCTCGCTGGGGCCCCAGGATATCCAGGCTGAGCCTGCGAGACTTCTTTCACCAGTACACTAAGGACACCGAGCACATTTTCCAACTGAGTCGTCGTCTCTATAGGGGTCTGGTTCTTGAGCAGGGTGCGTGCAACTTCGCCAGCAACCGCACGCCGGGTAGGGTACGTTTGGGACTGGAAAAGCGGCACATACATCGGGAGGGATAAGGCGGTGAAGATGGAGACGTATCGTTTCAAAGGAGCTTGGAGCAGGCTGAGGAGACTCTGCTGGGCTGCTGGTGAGTGCAAGTCGGCGCTGTTGGTGTGCTCGTGGACTTTGACGTTGGCATAATCGAGGGCCTGGTCCACGTAGTCGAGGCGTTCAGGATAGATATTGAGAGCAAGATTTGTGAGAGACACCAGGAGAGCGATCGTATCCTGCACAGGTAAACGTTGTGCCTCGACCAGGTGCGTCACCTGTCCGAAGAAGATCTCGTACAGTGGCACGTTATCCGGTATGCCTCGGTGTTCTACTGTTGTTGTCTTGGGCTCTTCCCCATCCACAGCAGTCGCCTCCGTGTCTGCTATTGATGGCGCCGACTCGGACTCGGACTCGGCGGGTTGCGGCTCGGGCGCCGGAGCAGTTTCGCTTTCAGGACGGTCGCCATTGGTGTCGGATGGTTGCTCATGCTGATGGTCTGCGGGGTTTGGCTGCTCCTGCCCGAGTTTGACCTTTTCCAAGAGACTGGCCAAGGCGTCTTCCTCCATTTTTGCCCGATCCTCTGTAGCCTGTCCTTGCGATTCTCTCTCAGCGTAGTCGGAGAGCCGGTCCATTAGTCCTATCACGATTGCCTTGACGTTGACATGTGGGTTCAGCCTCGACACGGCGGCGAGGAACTGGTCCAGGGTGTGGAGGTGATACTCGTCAGGGAAGACCTGCGTGATGACCTCAAGCAGGTACTCCTGTGCCAAAACATCGCGACACTGCACCACCTGTTCCAGCAAAGGCGCAAGTATACCGTGCTTGTAGGTCTCGAGGTCGACAAGCTGGCTCAGTCGCACAATGTTGCTGCCCACAAGGAGCTGGAGCTCCTTGCGCTCCTGTGTGCGCAGCTCACGTTCCCGGGAGTGACCCTGATGCTGCAGACGAACCCATAGCTTATTCATCTCGACAAAGTTGGTCAGGACGAAGCTGATGGAGTCCTGTAGGTTGCCCTCCGGCCCATCGCCATCACCAGTAGGCAAGAAATCCCTCGCCTGACCGGTCAGGTAGTAACGCAAGAAAAGACCCCGGATAGGATGCTGGACGCCCCTGCTCATATCCATCATATCCTTCATGAGCTCTTTCACAGGTGCGCCCTCGATGGACATGTAGGCTGTGCCGACGGTGATCATGAGGTAGAGGCGGGGGACGATGTTGCCCGCATACTGGACAAGTTCATAGAGGTCGGCAAGATGGTTGACTGGGTGATTCTCGCGAAGGTGGACGGAGAGGTATCGCAAGGCATCGAAAACAGCCATGTAGAGTTCATAGTACTGTTTGGGCCCAAGGCTCGAGGTGCGGAGCTCGGACACAAGGGTAGAGCTGTCAGGAGACAATGATTGTGAGCGTCAGCGATTCTGGTCGGGGGTAAAAGGGAAGGGAGAGAGGGACCTGTCATGATGGACCAGGGACGGAAAATCGACATACCAGCACTTTAGGGCATCCATGAGCTTGCCAGGCATGTCAAGGCACTTGCGCATTAGGCCGGTCTGGTGGCGGACTGCCTCGAGGGCGTCGCTCAGCAGACGGACCTGGTCCTCTGGCGGGGCGGGAGCAGCCATGCCTTCGGACCTGGTATTGTTGTTGATGTTGTGGTGGTCGTAGACTTTCTCTCGATTCCAGAGCTTGCTCTCAATTCCTCCTCTTTCAGCTGCTGCTGCCCCTCTTCTCTTATTCCCCGTGCAACAGCCGGTCGCCGAACCTGACGCGCTACACAAAGAAGCGTAGAGCAGGTTTATCTTCGAGTAATGGGGCGCGTCGCTTGGCGTCGCAGTCGCAGTCGCAAGAGCTGAGCAGGTCAGCTGGTCGTTGGTGCCCAGGTGTTGAGAGAAGGACGAGGAGGAGGCGGCGGAGGAAACCGGCAGAAAGAGGGCAAAGATGATGACGACCTGGAGGTGGGTTGAGAATACAGGAATGTCGAAGGGGGAAACGACTTGCGTAAACAAGTGGTTGAGAGAGATAAAGAGATGCAATTTCAACAGTAATTAAAGACAAAGGTACCACTGCAGTGCGCTCACAAGAAAATCAACGAGCAGACTTGAAGAATGCTTGGGCCGGATTAGAGTTTCCCACAGCGACGATGACCTTCCGACTCGATCGATAGCGATGTTGCTGCTGCTTCGTCACTGTCACCGTGCTGCTGCGCAAAGCACGGGCCAGCCAGCTTAGCTGAGCTTACCTAGCACTTACCAGGATATGACAGCAGGGGTAATGCATTTCCGTAAGCCAATAACAACCCATCCCGAAACTTCGTCAGTACTTGAATCTCATCAACACATTTTTTACCTTTTTCCTCGTCTTAGCACATGGACTTTATACCGATACAACTCAGTCCACCTCAAGCAATGTGATACGCTACCTCCATCTCTATACAACAGTCTCCTGGTAGGTCACTAGAAGGCAGGTTTGTGTGCTTTTTTCTTTGCTCTCGTTCACATCACGATCCGATGCAGCTCCTTCTACCGGCTACTCCTCATCCTTCACCACGAGTCTTCTTCTGGAGGGCCTCTCCCTCTCGATGCGTTTTGTGTCGAGTTGTTTGAGAGGAAGCTGGTTACGGGAAGAATGTGACTCTCTGTCACAGACAACAGCTGCAAGAATAAATACTACCGACTGGACCATCATAGTCCTCGCCTGTGGATATCTTCTTCGACCTGGGCGAGGCTCCTAGAGCTCCTACAAATCACAATGAGGAAGGGGGAAAGGGAAGCCTGCAACGGCATGGATATAGGTCTAGGAAAAAGAGAGACTCGGTCTGTACTGATCCTCTAGATATTCGAATCATACAAAACATCTTTACAAGCGATCCAACCTTCCGTCCCACCAGACAATGTTGTTGGCGATGTCGATTATACCCGTTCAAGGAGCCTGGATCTCAGCCACGTCAGCGCAGCAGAAGCTAGTTGCACTCTTGACGATCCTCTTCCAGACCGCCACCTCCTCCTCGTTACGAGGGGCGTATATGAGCGTATAGTTCCAGGGCAGGATCCCTCCCCCGCTGAGCCGATGCCGACGTCCCCAGCCCAGCTCGATCACTCTCTTCTGGTCTGCGAGGCTTAGCAGCAGATGCGTACTGCCGTCTGGAGGGTGTATGTGGCACATCTCGCCCCGTGTCTGCCTCAGCACCCTGGGCCTGGAGCTGTCAGGCACTGTCTGGAATCCCTTCATCCCCATCGCCGGGACTGGCCCCTCTAGCACCGACATCTGTGTCTGCAGCACCTCCGGGTTCGCGGCCACCAGCGCGTCCAGGAACTCGAACATGGCTTTCTTTGTCGCACTGCTCGCCTGGTCCGTCACTTGTCTCTGTGGTGCGACGAAACCTGGGATCTGCGGTGGCTTGTTGCCCGGCCGCCAGCTTAGGGCCTCGGACTGGGAGCGCGGCAGGTAGCTGGTGTAGTCGTGGGGACCCGCCACCTTGTCGAGGTCGTAAGGTGCCGGGACTGTCGTGTCCTTGCGCGACTTGCGGCTCATGGACAGCTGTCTGTACCAACCCCAGAACGTGTCGGGCAGCCCGTGGGGCCCCAGGGCTACATACGACCGATAGTCCTGGTATGCGACGAGTCCGGCTCCGAGGACCAACGCACCGGCTGCGCTGAGGAGAGGTCGGCTCCTGATAAAGACTTCAACGGAGTGCAAGGCGTCCATTTTCTTTCGTGGTGTAGCTTAAGGCTGGTGAGATGTTTGAGATGGGAGATGCAAAGCGTGTTGTTTGGAGTGCAAAATCAGCAGAACTCTGGTTAAGCATATGCAAAGATGCCATGCCGTTCATTGATCTTTTGAGGATCTCTTCACGGAGAAGGACCGTCCCTCTTAAATACTCAAGTCTGCGCCCACCAGGAGGCTCCATTTCGAATATACTTGCTGAGCGATGGCAGCTCGCTCGCAACGCCGAGCTGACACATGTAAAACATTCTTACCATTCTTACATCATGATACCACAGCACTCACTACGGTTTACCAAATGCCTGCACAAAAAGACAAAGTCCATGGCAGACGCAAACTATTTCCGAGCAGGCAGCACAACGACGACGAGAGCTCTATACTAGCCTCGGACATCTTCTGAGTGGTGTTGAGGTACAGCCCTTTCTGGCCCGTGTGAGGTGCAGTCGAGCACAGTCTCGTCTCTCTCAGCTCCAAGCACTTCGGGTTTAATCTCGGATAACCGAGGGCAGGCGGCGGCGTCACCGGCCGTCCACCCCCGAGGTATCTCCCCCGCTTCGGATATCCCCTCGGCCTCGAGACGACTGCTCTTACGGATCCTTCGGCTCGGGCAGATGAGTTGGTCAGATCTTATTGCAGATCAGTCATTTGTCTCTCGGTACGTCTCGTCCCAGATCATAAGCTGTCGGCTGTAGACGATGCAGCCGCTCACTCAGCATCGGATTTGCAGCAGATGACACCGCTTCACATTTTCGAGAGCCGATTATCTCCTAGGCTCGGCAAAGCAAGCTTGTAGGTACGCTTTCATTAAGTGAATTCCTCGAATTCTCGCTCTCTCGCTTCCTCTGGTGCGCGATCAAGCCTAAAGATGGATGATGCATCATCAAACAAACCCCAAACCATGCAATGTTTGCTTTGCTTGTATTAAGGAACATGAGAAACTTGCATTATTCAGCAAGAGTTACATAACGCCTGCATGACATCTTCTCATATTTTATAGAGGTACGCGTGCAAACCTTTCTCGTCTGGTCATGGAAAATTAAAAGTCACTGTGGCGAGTTGCGAAATAGTCAGCATGTCTTACCAATATGGTCGTGCTAGTTGCGGGCCAATGGCAAAACGTATTGCCGGCTTATGGCAACGACGGCGATACTCAAGAGAAAGGCGAGGTGCATGATCTCATCATAAACAGAGGACCTTCTCAAGTTCCTTCTGAGTAGCATAACAATTTGACAGCGTGAATTCACCCCCAACTTCCCCAAGGACCGTCCCCCCCCCCCCCTTTCCTCTTCCCTCCCAATCTATTGAACACTGTCTTTCGAATCCCAAGCAGTAGCCAAGAAAGAAGGCAAAACTCCTATGGTCAGAGGCAGCCCAGGCGAGTTGAGACAAATCATTGACATACCTCGCATTGCATATAGCTGCTGCACTGTATAAACTACATCCACACAACCATGTCGAGCTCCAACCCTAGCCAGTCCGCCATCATCTGGCCCTCCAGGTTCACCCCGGGCCTCACGGACAATTTCGTGTCCAACGAGCGCATCGCCAAGGGCATCACGGCAGCCCAGATCTGGGCCCTGCTCGACGACATCACCAAGTGGGAATCCTACTACAAGAACTGCCAGCAAATCACGCCACCCCGGTCCGGCGAGTCCCTGCTAAAGAAGGGCGACAAGTTCAAGTTCAGCACCTTTGGATTCCCTCCCCTGGACTGCTCCGTCGAGGAGTCAGTAGCACCGGGAGGAGAGGGGGCGCCTGGTCGGCTCGCATGGATGGCAGACACGGGCGAGCTGCAGGTGTATCACGCGTGGCTTGTGGAGGACTTAGACGGCGAGCGGGTCCGGATACTGACGCAGGAGAGCCAGGTCGGCGGAGTCTTTACCGAGATGAGCGAGGACAAGCCGAACGTGATGCTGCTGGGCCACCAGGACTGGCTAGATGGGCTGGTCAAGACGGCACGCGGTGAGAAGGTCAACAAGACGAACCTGGGGAGCGTGGGGAAGTGGGAGCGTAGCTGAGCTGAGCTCGGATTCAGAAATATTATGCCAGGATGTACCAAATAAATAGGATGACTGCGACAATATATATATAGTATCTCTGAGTGACACAATTATCGTGTAACAAGTAGGGTTCGGGTCGAGAAACTTGAGCAATTATCTCGTAAGCACGACGTCACCCTCATCAGTACTCTCTGGTTCAAACTGGTCTATCGATGAGTAGTCGTACTCATCAGACAAAAGCAGACATCCATATCCGTATTGCATTATGGCGTCAATATGCACTTGGTCTCTTACGACTCACCTTTTGTCACTCGATGAACCACAATACAAGGCTGCGACACAACACCGCTTCCTGAAGGCTGCAGGAGAGGGGCGCGTCCCCACCGACACCTTGGGCAAGTGGTTAGCCAACGACAGGCTCTACATCCACGCCTATATCAAGGCAGTAGGGAGGATCCTCGCCCTCGTCGACCTGCCGCAGACAACAACCCCTCTTGGGGCACATGGCGAGGCGGCTGCCCCCGAAACGCAGCTCATTGACTGGCTGATTGAGTCACTTGCAGGTCTCCGCCGCGAGGAGCGCTTCTTTGTCGAGATGGCTCGGAAGTATGGCATCACCATCGACCTCGAGACGGAGACCGTGACGAGGGTGGCCGGTCGGGATATACAGCAGGTGGTCCCAGACGGCGCAAAGTTGCCTGGTCTCGTGCTGTTTGAAGGACTGTTCAGCTCCGTGTCGCATCTCCCTGCAAACGTCACCGCTGCTGCTGCTGACGACGACGACGATGACAGAGGCCTGCCACCCCCTGTCCTTTCGTGGCTGGAGGCTGCAGTGGTGTTTTGGGGCACCGAGAAGGTCTACTCGGAGGCGTGGGGGTGGGCGAGATCCCACCAGCAAGAAATGAACGACAATGTAGCAGCAGCAGCAGCAGCGTCGTCGTCGTCCCTCCAGGACGCAGATGGAGGGGCGCTGCGGACTGAATTCATACCCAACTGGGCCAACCAAGGGTTCGTAAACTTTGTGCAGCAGCTGGCCGGCATCATCGACTCTGCCGTCTCAAAAGCTGTCGACGTTCTAGGGGATGATGTGAAGACTTCGCTGGTCAGGAGGGCGGAGGGGGTGTGGAGGGAGCTTCTTGTTGCCGAGGAGGCATTCTGGCCTGACGTTTGAGGGAGGGTTGTGATCGGCTGCATCGGTAAGAAAAAGGAAGGGAAGGAAGCCCGTGCAGGTAGCTCTTGACGATAGTTGGGTTGGCTGCTGTGGGTAGGAAGGAACAAACAACAGAAACGATCCTACGGCTAGCCCGGGCAACCCCTAACCCTTGTCTGCTTCTAGCTTTGCTTGGTATTTACTCGCTTCACTTTCATAGCTTCTACAGAAACGTGTGGATGGATGGATTCTAGCAGGAATGATTCGAGAGGTTGTGCAGGGAGTCTGCTTCTCCAGCTGTGTTCCATGATGTTCCGTGGGTCAAGTACCCAAGTTTCTGTCCCGGTTTCGTGCGGGATGTGCCTTGAGAATGACGACATGACTCTTCAAAGTGGTCATCGTTCTTCTTCTTTCCTTTCTTTCTAGACTCTACATTTTCCGACAGGGCCACAATCCATAGCATTTCTTGGTCAATATCCACAGTAAATCCTACGCCCATTATTATTAAGCACTTAGAAAGCAGTAGAGACCGAATCCCGAGGTTGGTGGCCAGGTGCCGGATGTAGCTATATCCATCCATGTATATCTTCCTCTCTCTCTATCATACGACGGCAGTTGTCCACATGACTGATGAGCGCTCATACGGTTTTTGGTTGTTTTTTTTGAGCTGCACTTAAAACCCACTTTAAAAGCACTACCTGATTTCACATTTCTACTCAAGTCATCATTTTGGTACCTATTGCATCCATCCAACCTTGGATTTTTTTTTCAAATTGCCGGTGCAATATTGAATATTCATTGTGCAACAACAAAAATCATCCATCATGGCACCCGCACGCTTCGAAGCTGAGGACGTCGACCCGTCTCCCCTCGGCCAGCCTCTCAAGTTTGAGTTCAGCGGGCACACCGCCAAGAACCGCTTCATGAAGGCAGCCATGACAGAGCGCCTCTCGACCTGGGATCCCGTGAACATCGAGAAGCGTGGCGTCCCGAAGCCGGAGCTCATCAACGTGTACCGCCGCTGGGGCGAGGGCGGCTACGGCGTGATCCTCTCCGGCAACGTCATGATCGAGTATGATCACCTCGAGGCCCCTGGAAACCCCATCATCCCTTACGGCGCCCCCTTCGAGGGCGAGAGGTTCGAGGCGTTCCGGGAGCTGGCCGCTGCGGGCAAGAAGGAGGGCTCGCTGTTCCTGGCGCAGGTGTCGCATCCAGGACGGCAGGTTGTCGAAGCCGTTCAGCCGCATCCAATCTCGGCCAGTGATGTCCAACTCGAGGGCGAGGTCATGGGAATGACGTTTGCGAAGCCACGGGCCATGGAGAAGAAGGACATCGAACGTGTGGTGGAAGGTTTTGCGCATGCGGCTGAATATGCCCAGAAGGCAGGTTTTGATGGAATCCAGCTTCACGGTGCCCAGTATGTATCATCTAGCGACGTTGGAACTCCTTTCTTGAGTTGTATGCGCCTAAACCAATCATAAGGGTATAAGCTGACAGAATCTCCTTCCCAAAGCGGCTATCTCCTGGCCCAATTCCTGGCCCCGTCGACCAATAAGCGCACAGATGAGTATGGAGGCTCGCTGCGGAACCGAGCACGCATCATCCTGGAGATTGCGGACGCCATCAAGGCCCGCGTCAAGGGCAAGCCTTTCACCCTCGGCATCAAGATCAACAGCGTCGAGTTTCAGAAGGGCGGTTTCTCCACTGAGGACTGCGCCGAGCTGTGCGAGGAGCTGGAGAAGCACGGATTCGACTTCGTCGAGCTCTCGGGAGGCACGTACGAGGAGCTCGCCTTCAGTCACAAGAAGGAGTCCACCAAGAAGCGAGAAGCCTTCTTCCTCGAGTTTGCCGATATGATCGCCCCGCGCCTCCACAAGACCAAGACGTATGTTGTCGGCGGCTTGAGGACGGCCAAGGGGATGATCAAGGCGCTGGATAGCGTCCAGGGCGTCTCTTTGGGACGACCGACTGCGCACGAGTTCGACCTGCCCAAGAAAATCCTCGAGGGCAAGGCCAAGAGCGCAATCCAATATAAGATCGACGAGCAGAACTTTGGTGTTACCAACGTGGCTGCGGGTACCCAGTACGTTGACTGTCCTTTTCTTGTCATTTGTCACGTCTTCAAACGCACAGGTCCACTGACAAAATTACATAGGATTCGCTTGGTCGGAAATGATAAAGAGCCGCTTGACCTGTCTCAAGAGAAGCAGCTCGAGGTCTTTATGCAGTCGCTGCAACAATGGTCCGAAATCATGGCCAATAATAAGGATGGGTCAAAGTACGGATTCGTTGACATTGAAGGGCTCGAGCTTCAGCCTTTCGGTACGCCTTACGTGGCGTAAGCTATCTAGTTTGTTGGTTACAATCGGTCTTTGTCATTTCAAGAGCTTTTTATAAACTTAGACAAGGTGAACACAAGCAGTATCAGTACTTTATATACCTAGAACGACAATAGACACTCGATGAATTGCAAGCATAGTGTTGATCTCAACTTCCGAGATATTGAAATTTCACGTTCGTGGTCATATTCAGGTTATGCACACCTCTAGTCTTTTTACACGCTGCAACACAAAGAGAGAAAGAAGAAAGAGAAGGGAGAAAAACCTATACATCCTTGGTTCCCAGTCCTCCCATTTTGCAACAACAAACTTTCTCAAGTGACGTCTTCATTTTCAGTGCTAGAAAAGCAGATCTTCTACCTTACGGCAGTCAGTTTCGTAGATCAGCCGGTACTTGGTGGTGCTCTCAGTGCAGATCACGGATCAGATCTTGGCCCTCAGGAGGAGGAGGCGGCCGTGTCGTCGTTGTAGGATGGCGAAACATCAAGAAATCTTGGAGTTTCTTTTCTGGGGGGAGATGGTCTTGGTGACCGTGCTTTCTCTGCTATTCACTACTGAACGCACTGCCAAGGCTCTGTTGTATGACAAAGTCCCCCGCCAAGGTCACTCCTTGAGGCTGCCAAGTTCTTGGAGCCAAGTGCTCGTCGCCTTGGCTGGGCGGGCGGCTTTCTGGTCGACCTGTGAGCTTGAACAGGCGCTGTTTGAAAGAAAGTCGTTGTGATCTGCGCATACATGTAACTGGACATGTGTAAGCAAAAACGAGTTGAAGCAGCATCTCACGAGAAAGTCATGGCAGCCAAAACAAGGGTGCTGTCATCGGAAACATGGCTGTGAGGTTCAGATCCAGTTTTGGGACGGAACTCCTACTTCATGAAGCTGTCAGACAATTTTCTGTGTCGGTGAGAAGTACAAAGATCAGGCTCACAACAATCCGATGTTAACTACAGACGGTCGATGGTCCAACATAAGCACATCTCCAAGGACAGAGATGGGTATAAAGGTCTGCATGGCCTCGAACTAGACGTGGAGATCTCTCTGAATCTCTTCACTATACATGTCTCAATTTTGACCACGGTCGTACTCTATCTGCTTCTTTGTCTAATTTATTGCAACATTCTGCCCCGGAGGCATTGGTCCATACTATCCTTCGCCCCGTTTCTCACTTTATCTCTTAATTCATAGACTCAAGACCTAGTCAGAATGAGGACTCATTCAGCTGTCATATCATGTATTTTTGGCTACACCCTAGCCCACGGTGTAGTCACAAAGATCACAGGAGCCAATGGCGTCGAGATGCCCGGCCTGTCAGGTGAGTCCAACCCCAGGCACACCCTCCCCCCCCTCCCCCTTGGTCCCCAACATAGTATGGCCACTGATACAAGGCCAAAAAACAGTCGCGGATGGCACGCCTAGAGACTGCTCCTCCAACGGCTGCGGCTCCCAAGCCGACACCGCCATCATCCGCGACAGCGACATCCAGTCGGGCGCCGCTGGTCCTCTAGGCCGCACCCAAGGCGGAGGGCCCATTGACGCCGCCCAGATGATCAAGGTGTTCATGGGCACGGCCAACGCTGCCACGGCGCCTCAGAACAGCGCCAGTTCCGGAGTGGGCCAGGAGGACAATATTGGTGCCACAACGGCGGCGGTGGGGGGCGGGAAGCGCGGTAACAAGGGGCGACGCCAGCTCTTGGGCGGACTCGCTGGGCTTCTCGGTGGTGGCGGGGGTGGTACGGATGCTCAGGGTTCCCAGAGTACTGGCCCGCCTGAGACCATGGTCAAGACCACTGCTGGCACAGGTGCGCAGAAGGGCTTGCCGACTGCCAACGAGGACGGCACGGTAGACCTGACCTTCCGCCAGGTGCGTTTCATTCTTATCTTTCCAGGTCGATCCATACGTGGGTGTCTCTAAGCTTACACGCACCACTAAACTGCAGATCAACCAAGACGGGGCTGGACCTCTCGAAGCCATGGTGGACGGAACCTCGGGCGGCACAGAGATGTCCGCCTTCCAAGAGGCCGAGGTTGTCCAGGACGTCCCTGGCCTTGTGGCGGGTCTTTCGGCGGCAACCATGACCGATTTCCCTGTCAAGGTCCAAATGCCACATGGCATGACCTGTGATGCCACCGTCGGGGGCGCCCAGAATGTCTGCGTCGTGCGGGTGCGCAACAATACCCCAGCTGGTCCCTTTGGCGGGTCTGCTGCCTTTACCCAGACAGCCGCTGCTCGCAAGAGGGCGATCGAGTACCGCATTAAGATGCGCAAGGCTCGTGGGGTTTCCACCTAAGGTGGGAGGGGCTGGAACGGTGTTGATTGTTGGAAGTGAGCTGGGTGGAGGATCCAGATTGAAACTGTTTGTTTCTGAGTATGAGTAATCGGTCGTTACAATCAATCTCTTGTAGTATCTATATGGGATAGGAGCCCGTGAATGGTAACAAACTTCTTAACGAACTTCTTAATAGAACACGAGGCAGACGAGGTGTACCGTAGATGAGAATCAGATTGCAAGTGAGATCAGCCCATCTCGAGGGAGTGAGTATATGTACACTGACTGGGAACCACAGGATTGATACAATTCCGGCCAATTCAAGCCTTCCCCACAAAGCCTATGTTCCACGATCAATTTTCCCGCTTGCTCAGATATTCCCTGTACGCCTCGCCTCTACTGCTCGTTCACAAACAAACCAGCCATACCCATGCCAGTGCCGATGCACATACTCGTCAACAAGATCTTCTTGCCCGTACGCCGACACTCGCTGAGACCAGTCACAATCTGTCGGGTGCCAGTGGCACCGAGAGGATGGCCGAGCGCGATGGCGCCACCCTTGGGGTTCATCTTGGCCCAGTCCAGGCTCAGCTTGTCACGGCAGTAGACAGCCATGGAGGCAAAGGCCTCGTTGACCTCGACGACATCGACGTCGTCGAGGGTCAAACCGTGCTTTGACAGGAGTTTGGGAATGGCAATGCTGGGTCCAATGCCCATGATGCGGGGAGCTAGGCCGGCGACGGTAGAGCCCACGTACTTGGCCATGATGGGCTGGCCGAGACGGATGGCGGTGGAGCGCTTCATCAGCAGCACAGCGGCGGCTACAGGTTGAGATATACATGTTAGCCCACGGCCCGCGCAGATGTGCTAGGACAGAAGAAGGAAAAAGAAAAAGATTTATACCTCCATCGGTGACCTGGCTGGCATTGCCACCAGTGGTGGTCGAGCCCCACTGAGGGAAGGCAGCCCTGATCTTGCCCAGGCCTTCGGCCGTGGTGCCTGGCCTGATGCCCTCGTCCTTGGTCAGGACAACCTCCTTGGCCTCGCCGTCTGGGCCCACGATCTTTGTCTTGATGGGGACAATCTCGTCGTCGAACCAACCCTGCTTCTGGGCATGCTCGGCCCGCTGGAAGCTCTCGGCGGCGTACTTGTCCATCTCCTCCCTGGTGATGCCGAAATCGCGGCTCACATTCTCGCTGGTCCAGCCCATGGGCTCCATGCAGTCGACCGCCTCCTGGCTCTGGGCAATGACATCCTGGTCGAAGGGCTGCTCGAGACGGTCGCCACCCGCAGTCATGGACTCGGCGCCGATCGCCACGCCAATATCAATATTCCCGGAGGAGATCTGGTTGGCGATGTCGGCGGTAGCCTTGAGGCCTGAGGAGCAGAAGCGGTTCACCGACGAGGCACCGGCAGTATTGGCAAAGCCTGCGGCGAGAGCGGCGGCACGAACTTTGTATGCTGCCTTGCCATCCGAGACCTATTGTTGTTGTGGCACGAACCAGGGTGTCAGCTACGACGCAGGCGAGGCTGGAGTGGTAGGAGAAGGAGGATTATTAACGGCAGACGAGAGCAGACGTACATTGCCCAGGCAAATGTCCTCAACAAGGCCAGAATCCAGACCAGATCGCTCGTTGACCTCCTTCAGCAGGGCGTAAATTATATACTCGAGGCTGGTGTCCTTGAAACCGCCCTTCTTTGCTTTGGTGAGGGGAGTTCGGATGGCGAGGGTGATGACAATATCATCGGGGTTTTTGGAGGTTCTAAAGGACAGCAGAAGAAGCGAATGATGTCAGCCCTCGTCCCCGTCAATCTGACCCTCCTTCCACTCCTCCACCTCGCTCTCCACTGTTCCCACATAGCAACCATAGACAGAAATGACTTACAGCGCGCCCAGAGAGCTACCCGGCGCGAGGTGCTTCAGGATCGACCCCAATCGTTCGGCGACCATCTTGATTGATTTGGGTTTTTAATTGATTTCTTTGTGCTCAGCCTGGCTGGGAAAGATAATGATGTAGAGAAGCAAAAAGACAGAAAATGGTAGGATAAGATGCCGAGGGAAAAGAAGTAGCAAAAGAAGAAACAGACATTGTGAGAAGAGGCCAAGCCGCGCAAAGGATGTCGGTGTGATGTGGTGGGAAAGGGCAAGTGCCGTGGACCGTGGACCGTGAACCGCGAGCCGAGGCTCAAAGTGCTGCAAGACCCGTACGTAAACTCCCCGCGGGGCGCCCATATCCCGACCCACCGATCATTTGTTCCCGTTGGGGTAGCCTGGGTGGGGACAAACCTTCTGCCGATCTACCCTAACCCTCGGTAGAGAATGCTACCACGATGATTGGAGTACCACTTCTTTCTCTCCGCATCTGAGCAGCTGCCAGGTGGCCAGGTTGGGCCAACCACCCATAGTCTACTTAAGCATTGTGGTACATACCAACTTGGATGTAGTCATGATAGAATCCATGATCTTGAACCTTGTTCTGCCAGCTTGAGGAACTGCTACATCCTGCCTGTCATCTAAAAGCCTGATGGCATGATTACCTCAATGCAGAAACCCCGGCCACCTGGAAGTGCAACTTGGCACCCAACAGCTGCAGCCTCCCGTGATGATAGAGGGGCTGGCCAACGCATCAACTTCTCGCTATCCTACATACAAGGCAAAAATGTGATACGTTATAGCTAATCCCAAAGGGGGCCTGCATCTGAAGGATCTCCGTTGTCGAGTGTTGAAAATGTCGTTCCCTTGTCACACCAGATGCAGATCCAGAGCAAATGCACAGCAAGTAGCATAGAACAACTGATGATGATCATGACCATGGCCATGATGAGGAGAGACATCATTTCATCCCTTGAACAGAAAATCTAGATCAACTTTAGAATGGAAATGATGATTTAGATATTGAGAATCTGTCATGCAAGAAGAGACAAGCTGCGCGTCTGTTGTTTGTGCTTGATAATTGCGAGTGCAGAAGTAGGCTTCAGACATGAGGAGAGGAGCACATTATATTCTGAGCAAAAAAAAAGTTGGCCTAATATTGATGGCCGTGAAGGTGTAGCAGGTACTTGCCCCATGTTAAGCCATCAGCATCCAATAATTATTTTTACAGTCGGAAGTCCTTGCAGCCTAATGTCTGTGACATGTTCAAGGTCTGTCTCTCTGCTGCCAACAAAAAACACAGAGTTGACCCAGACCATCCAACTTGCCATCAGACGCGCCATCACGCTGTGCCAGCATAAACACAACAGACACAAGCTTGCATATTGCTGTCAATCGTCGCAGAAACGTTGTTCTACCTCTCAACCCCCAAAATCAGACAAGCATCAACTTCACTTTCACTGACTGCTACGGCCAACGCGTCAACACGCGTCTCTAGCCTTGACTGTGCAGCACCTTTCCTTCTGGCTAAACATTTCACTTTCCAAGCCCTTCCAAGGTTAACATATCTTGGGTAGTCCATTTACGATTCTCCCCTTCACTACCATATTCATCCTTTCGCCTTTCGCCTTTCGCATCCCTTCTCTTATTCCCATCTTATACTTGACGACACAAATCAGAAAAGAAGCTGGATTAACATCGAATTCCCAACAGACTTTGCACACCACCTGCTTGTCCCAAAACACCACTACTAACGCCCCAATCAGTGACCATACTTCGACATGGCCGACAATCACTTGGATCCGCAGGCTTTCAAGGCCTGCTACGCCCAGTTTTCAAGAGCAGATAGCGACCGTGATATCCTCTTCAATCAGCTTCTGAACGGCTATGAAGCCTTGCTAAACGAGAACACGAAGGTCATACAGGAGTTAAAGGATGTGAAGGAGAAACGATTTCTATGGCAGAGCCAGGCCAGATCCTTCAAGAGCGAATTGGCCTTGACGGAATCGACGACTGTACATCTACCCACCATTACCTGCACCTTACTTATCTCCATCTGCTTGCTACTTTATCAAGCTTCCACCTTGCTGACCGTTCCACTGACAGGATTTTCGTCCTTTCGTCGTCATGATCATGAACGGAGACGGTGCCCATTTTAAAGACGACTTTTTCCGACAAGGCGAAACCGGTGGCGAGTCTGCAGCCAAGGAACTCAAAAACCAGATCAGATCCCATCTCCGGGTCAAGTATTCCGACATAAATATTGACGATTGGAACATCATGGTCTACTTGTACGCAGATATGGATGGCCTGGCCAAGGTCTTCACATCCAGACGTGTTATATCGAGCGCCTCTGAGATGCAGAAATTCTGTTCTGCCTTCAGTCGTGCCAATAGCCTCTTCTCCTTTGTCGACGTTGGCCCCGGCCAGGCTAAAACGGACCATAAGTGTCGGAAGATGCTTGACTTCATGCTGCACATCTCATCCTGCCAACACGTCTTCTTTGGGCCGTGCCGTGATGTGTACGGATATTTGACCTTGTTGAGGGAGTACAAGCAGGATTTGTCCAGAGAGAAGTTGATCCTGGTCTCTGCTGGTACAGCCCCGCCAGATTTTACCGGTCTGAATTTTAAATTCGCCAGCTTTTCGAGCGTATTTAGTTCAGAGCCTCTCGACAACGCAAGGGACGCCAGGTCTCCCCGTCTCGACATCGGCATCGAGCCTTTCCCACCTCCTCTGGCACCCCCGCCTGGCTTGGCCACAATCGAGTCCGTTAACGAGTGCTCTGACATCAACGGCGGCTCGTCCACTGCGCTCACTCCTGCGTCTCCTGCGACATCGTTCGTAGGGAACGTCTCGGTGTCGCTCTCACAGACACCAACCTGGGCAGTTGTCTCCAAGCTGAGCAATGGCCCCGTCATTGACCTCTACAGCAAGAAGGAGTCCACACCCAAGCTCAGATACATGCTCTTGAATGCGTCCAACCAGCGCGTCGACGAGCGTCTCCCTGCCTTTGACCATGCGGGCATGCGGTCCATCGACGCCAGGACGCGCGCTCTGGGACGCAACTTTTGCAATCCCTACCACTTGGGCTTCGGGTGCGGTCGAGGCGACGCGTGCCACCATCACCACGACGTGAGCCCCAAGCTCACGCCTGCGGAGAAGCTCGCCCTCCGCCACAAGAGCCGTCAGATCCGCTGTCCTGGTGGCCAGTTCTGTGCCCGTCCTGGTTGTTTGAACGGACACCACTGCAAGCACAGCTATGACAAGGAGGGCCAATGTCTCTGGGGTTCCAAGTGCTTCTTCAAGGATACGCACGGCATAGATGTGGTAGGTTTTTTCGACGAATTATCCAGTTCACCCTTAGCTTCACTTGCTCATGTCCACTCTTCCCATTTCCCCCCCCCCCCCCCTCCAACCCGGACCCCAACCTTGTTGATATGCCGTTGCTGATATTACTTCCCTTTATTTATTATTATCTAATAAAGACACCCACTCTCAAAGTGTTTGAGGACGGCTCTCGCGAAGACCTCACCCTTCACTCGAGGCCTAGCACCCGTTGAATGCTGGTAAGTGTTCTCACACACGACCCGGCACAAAGATGTAGAGCAACTGATTCATTAAATGATAAGAAATATTAGTGATTCCGCGGGCTAGGGCAGGAGTCAAATCAACGAGACGATGTGATGTTGTTATCTCGTCAAGCAAGGTGATGAGTGGACGGCCAAGTCCTTCGTGGGCTGTGGGAAATCATCTGTGCTGGTGAGCATCGTCATGATCACGAGAAAACCTCAAGCACTGGCACCGTTGGTCGTGCCATCTGCAGAGTCATGGCAGTCACACTGGCAGAAGTTGGTCCCGCATCGTGGAGGTGTTACAGGTGCTCCTCCTGGAGCTTTCTCTCGACACCGGCACGGAAGAATTACTCGCGGTACAGTTTACCTAGGCAGCAGGCTCGCTACCGTGATTCTTTTCACGTCATCTTGGTCCGTCATCGGCTAATATAATTATATCCTCTATGGATTTCTTCGATGCAACGCTACCCTCGAGCCTATATACCTAGATAGATAATTTATTACCCTTAAAACATAAGGTTACTCGGGACTAAAGTTCAGCACCTGTCGTGTTGTTGAGACACAACGCATCGCTTCCTCCTCTTCTTTTTATTATTGTGCGAAGATAACACAACTCTTAACTTGACAACGATTACAATGATGATGTTGAAAAGTCCCAACAAGGCATGATTCGATGGGAAAGGAGATATGTTCAGGCTAATCAAACGCCGGGCTCTGAGGCACAAACGCCGGGCTCTGGGCCCTACGGTCGAGCAGGACTAAGAATTTCCGTCAATCATATTTGAGGGGCAGTGGCGCTATAATTGTGGATCAGTTGATCTGGACTGAGTTATGGCATAGGTCGAGTGTGAACTGATACAAATTTATTTGTCCTTGGCCAAGCATCTTGGCGAGTCGCGGCTCTCGTTCTAGGCGCTGTACATAGTAGCCCTTATAGTCTACTCAAGGTTCAGGGATGTTGGGGCGCTGGCACTTTGCTTGTCAAAACACGCGCCGTCTTTCACATCTTCTCACTCTATTTCTTAGGGGGCATCTAGAACTCAGTCTTTGTAAGAGAAGTTTTGTGTTTGTTTTCATGGCTTGTTTATCCAGTTGCTTTTTTGTTTCTTCTCCTCCTTCCCCGTTTTGAACAATACTATGGGACCCTTCTCTTCTTTCAAGCAGAAAACCCGGCCCACCACGTGTCCACCCACAGCCTCGGGACTGACTGATCAGGTTAACGGTGGGCAGCAGTGGACGTGAGGGTGGGGACGTTCGTAGGCGTGGGCACGCTGTCCATCTACATAATACTTGGTATGATACCTCTGTACTGTATACAGCATAGGAGCCCTCTGTCTAATCCACTCGGCCGGACCCTCATACTAGGCTTGTTTTGGCAGCATCGTCCGTCAGGGTGATGATCCGGCAACTACCGAATGCCTCACCCTTTAATCTCGTGGTCTCCTATGCACCTGATCCGCTCTTCTAAGATGAGGCTGAGAAGGGTATCGATCAACCCATTGTTTCCCCTCGTTTGGCCCTCGGTTTTCGCCTGCATACAAGCTTAATTCACCCTGATCATAACTTGGCAGATCACGCCAGGCAGGTTTCCGATATGGATGGGGAAGTTGTCCGGAATAATACCGAAGGGGCTTTTTAAGCGATGGAAGAGAATGATCGTGGGGACAGGAAGGACGCCACGAGACACAAGTGCCATGATTAGCGAGTAATTAAAAGATTGGCTATGGTACGCCGCCATCGTATCTTCGCGTGAATAAATAGTAGCAGACTCGTCGTGTAGTCCGTCATTCATTCTTGCTTTTCTCGCTCCCTATCCACGATCACTCTTTTCTGCGCATTGCGTTTCTTATACTCTCGTTTTATTATTATTATATCATCCACAGGAGGGACATACAACATAAACAACATTACCTCACAATGAGAACTAACGCCCTTGTTCTCCTGGCGGGCATTGCCCGTCAGGCCCTCGCAGCTACTGTCACAGGTATGACGAAGTCCTCGCAGGATTGTTTACCCTTTCCCTTCTCCCTGCTTATTAAACGTCGGACTGACTGGGTGTTCTTTTCGTCACTATGCAGGAGCTGCTGAAGGTTTTGCCAAAGGCGTCACAGGCGGTGGCACCGCCACGCCTGTCTACCCCACAACCACGGCCGAGCTCGTCAGCTATCTGGGCGACAGTACGGCCCGGGTCATTGTCATCGAGGGCACCTTCGACTTCACGGGCTCTGAGGGCACCACAACGTCGACAGGCTGCGCCCCCTGGGGTACTGCGGCGGCTTGCCAGGTCGCCATCAACCAAAACGACTGGTGCACCAACTACGAGCCCGATGCCCCTTCTGTGGCGGTCAGCTATGACAACGCCGGCGTGTTGGGCATCACGGTCAACAGCAACAAGTCCCTTGTTGGCAAGGGTGGTGCTACCATCAAGGGCAAGGGTATCCGCATGGTCGGCGTGTCCAACGTCATCATCCAGAACGTTGCCTTCACTGATATTAACCCTCGCTATGTCTGGGGTGGTGATGCCATTACCCTGGATGGTACCGACCTGATCTGGATCGACCACGTCACTGTGAGTATTTACCAATTTGTCTTGGGGGTTATTCGTGTCGTTGCTATGACCAGCAGCAGACAGAGAAACATGATGCTAATAACACAAAACAATTATGCAGACTTCTCTCATTGGCCGTCAGCACATCGTCCTCGGAACTTCAGCTTCCCAGCGTGTGACCATCTCGAACTGTTACTTTGACGGCGTCTCTACCTACTCTGCCACGTGCGATGGCCACCACTACTGGGGCATGTACTTTGATGGCTCTTCGGTATGTTCTCCTTTTTTTTTTAAACCCCCCCCCCCCCCCCACACATTCCCTATCATACGATTCAACTCTTGGAACCACGCCCAACTAACAAAAAATACTTTCAGGACCTGGTTACCTTCAAGAACAACTACATCTACCACATGAGCGGCCGTTCTCCCAAGGTGGCTGGCAACACCCTCCTCCACGCCGTCAACAACTACTGGTACGACTACACCTCTACTGGCCACGCCTTCGAGGTCGGCTCGGGTGCCATGGTTCTGGCCGAGGGCAACGTCTTCCAGAACGTCCCCGTGGAGGTCGACACCGCGAGCGGCCAGTTTGCGGGTCAGATGTTCTCGGTGCCCACCACCAGCTCCGCCTCCTCCTGCGCCGCCTCCCTGGGCCGTAACTGTGTCGTCAACATCTTTGGCACCAGCGGCACCATGAGCTACACCACCACCTCGTTCCTGACCAACTTTGCCGGCAAGAACATTGCTGCGGCCGCTGCGGCTACCAGCGCCATGGAGACCACCATCCCGGCCAACGCTGGCAACGTGCTGTAAATCAATGGTTAGTCCATTGGGCATGCCATTCAGCGTGAATCGCCTGAGAGCGCAAGTCTCTCTGTATTTTCTTCCTCTCTCTCTCTCTGTAGTGGAGGAGATGCTCTTTTTTATTCATTTCACTGTATATACATCATTTTAGAGCACGACTCTCTCTCCCCCTCTGTGTGTGTAGCGGCATAAATCGCATTTGTATAGACGTTATCTATATTTGACTCTCCATTTGCATGGACTATTAATTTACGCCCTTGGATTTTGTCCTTCTCACAGATTTCGCAACAACTTTTTCCACCATGGACGGCGGAAGTTCTCCATACCACCCTCTGCAAGCTCCTTGGCCTCGTCCAGATCTCGTCTCCTGCCAGACTGCAGATCAATCTCGTCAAGTCGCCAGAATCGAGTCTTGAAGGTGAACTTGTAGACCACATAGATGATCGGAAACAGAGGCAGGAGTATGTACGCGTCCACAAACCCGCCAGCATCAAAGGGACTGAAGTTGGTCCACCCTTGAACAAGTGCGAGAAAGAGGTTGGCCCCCAGGCCAAAGTACGCACTCCACGGGTAAAACTTGGACACAAAAGGGAGGTCGACGGGCGTGTACCCCTGCGCTTTCCAGGCCTGTCGGAAGCGGATGTGAATAAAGCTGATGCTCCCCCAGACCAGGAAGGTCGAGACACCAGAGAGGTTCACGATGTACTCATAGGCCTGGCCCGCGCCGGTGGATATGTTCATCATGCTCAGCGCCCCGCAGAGATTCGTAAAGACGATGGCCGGCACAGGCACACCCCTCTTGTCCGTCCAGCCAAGGATCTTGGGGGCTTTCCCGTCCTGGCCCATGTACAACAGGGTCCGCGCGCCAATGTAGATACTGCTGTTGACAGCCGACAGACAGGTCACGAGGATGAAGGCGTTGATGAGGTGCACGCCCGACTGCCACCCTGCGTTCTGGATGGCGATGGTCATGGGGCTCTGGAGGGCTTTGCTGCTCGCCGAGACCAAACCCTCTGCGTTGGAAGGGCACGTCAGGCCAAAGAAAAAGGCGGACCCCATATAGATAAAAATAATGCGCCAGAACACCTGGCGGATGGCCCTGGGCACCGCCACGCCTGGGTTCTTGGTCTCGGTCGCGGCCACGGCGATGGACTCGCACCCTGCGTAAAAGGTGCTGCAGAAGACAAAGACGGTGGCGACGCCGCGGAACCCTGTGGCAAAGGCGCCTGGGTCGTGCCAGTACTTGAACCCGATGGCTGGCACGCCGTGAATGCCGCCTGCTGCGTAGATGATGGAGAAGATGAAGAAGGCGACGAGGCCTCCTAGCTTGAGGAGGGCGAGCCAGAACTCTGCCTCGCCGAAGGCCTCAACGCCGAGGAGCTGAAAGCCGAGGAATGCGAACTAAATTAAAAAAAAAAAAAAAAAAAGAAGAAGTGATGGATTAATAACGATGATAAATTTAATCAATTCATGAATGACTTGTGTTGTTGTTGTTATTGTTGTAAGGGGGGGGGGGGGAACAAAAAAGGCATCAATACTCAAGAAAACTCACCCATAAGAGGAGGAAATATCCCCACAGAGGCACCTTGTCGCTCCAAAAGACAAGAATGCTGCAGACGGTGTTATACTCATTGGCCAGCACGGCAAACCAGATAATAAAATAATTCCAGCCCACAGCCACGCCCAGCGCCTTGTCCACAAATCGGTCCGCAAGCCCCGTGAACGCACCGCCCGACGGGTACAGCGTCGTCAGCTCGCCCAGGCTCTGCATGATGCTGAACGCCACGATGCCGATGACGCCGAACCCGATGAGCAGCGCTGCCGGCCCGCCGCTGGAGAGGGCGCCTCCGCTGCCCACCAGCAGGCCAGGGCCGATGATCCCCGCCAGTGCCATCATGGACAGGTGTCGTGTCTTGAGCCCTCGCTTCACCCCGCTCGTGGGATCGATGGCACGAAAGTCGCTGCCGCCACCACCCTCGGTCGACGACCCCCGTTCTTGCTCCTCCAGGCGCGCAGCAGACGCGCCGTTGCCATGCTGTGCGTCTTCATAGTCCGAGGCGGGGTGGGAGAAGTCCTTGGTGTCAGGGGCTCGATAACTAGACATGGTAAAAGAAGAAAAAAGGTCTAGTATCTATTATATCTTATCGAATAGAGCCTGTCAGACATTGATGGATTTCAATGTCGTAGAATCCTGCATATGTCGGTATGTTTTATTCTTCTCAATCGAGGGCCAGGAGGAGAATCTTGATGAGAAAGAATGGCGAGTAATAAGCACTGTCCTAAATAATCTGACACCCCAGAGGAAGCGAATATTCCTCTGATGTATTAGAGAGTAAATTTTTCGTACAAATCTGCGCTAATACTGGCGATGGCAATTATTTTGTCTTTAGAGCTGCTTCGGGCCGCATTAAAACTGGGGTCAACGAGGATCAATCGTTGGATGAGCCAAACATGTGCCGCTATGGCGTTATCTCGCTAAGACTCTTAAATCCTCTCTTTTCTTGGGTGCTTCGATTAAGTTCGTATTCTATAGACATCAACTCGACAGTTTTCGAATTCAAGAGTATATTTTGCTTCCAGTCAAAACGTAGTACAAAGAACATAGCAATGATACTTGGCATTTATATTTGAATGAATATATCGACTGAAGCACCCAAGTGAGTACTTGATAAGTACATGAAGTGATACCTATTTACACAGAAATTCAACCAGTAGTAACATCATTCCACATGGTCCCAATTGCAAATCGCAATGAACCACTTAACCTAAACGAATGTACAGGAAAGTACTATAGTAATAGCACCAAAGTCCTGACTCTCCCCGACTGTGAGAAGAGAGAGAGAGAGAGAGACAGAGAAAAAGAAACTGGAAGAAGTGAAATGGTATGAAGGGGAAAGAAAAAAAATAGATACATCAAGAACATCCGTCGAACATGGTCCAGTTTCTAAAATCCTACTCACACTGGCACCACCACACACTGAGGCACTCACAAGAGTAAGGGCTGGCACAGGTGGTCGACCCCGTATAGCCGGTGCCGCCACACTGTCCCCATTGCGCAACTGGTGTGCCCGTGCTGCTGGAAGCCGTGGTCGTGACCGTTCCTGTCGTAGTGCTGGTCGTCAGGGTAGTCGCCGTGGTTGTAGGGGCAGTCGTGGTTGTGGCCGGGCCTGTGCCGCTTGCTCCAGCCTCGAGATCCGCCACGACCTCGTCTAGGAATCCTGAGTTCTCGTAGAGCTGGCTCATGTCCCACATCATGATTCCGCCGAAGCTCGAAAACGTCTCGCTGTACTCGATGGCGTCCTCCAGGGTGGTTCCTGTGGTGTATCCGGAGCCTGCTGCGCCGGTGTTGGCTGGGATTCCCAGAAGAACCTTGACGTCAGGGTTGGCGCTCACAGTTTGCGCCCAGGTGTCCCACGTATCGAAGTTGTAGTAAGCCTGTGTGGAATCACCTACGACGAAGGTGTTTACTCCGCAGCTGGTAGCAGGGGTTTTTATTGTTAGCGAGACGGAGAAGTAGAAAGAGTACAAAGCAATGCAGTGTCTCGAACGAGGGTTCTAAAACTTTTGCAAGAAATGGACCTAGCGGTAGATAAAGCGGACTTACTAGTTATTGTAGAATTGTACACTGATCCAGTCGAAACTTATAGTTCCGTTCAGCATGTCATTGTCAGCCGCATCAGGGTACGGACACTGTGGCGCCGCGCTGAGATAGTATTGCTTATCCCCTGCGTCAGTGGCTGCGGTCATGAGGGATCTCAGCTCGGCAGCAAAGGGCGCCATGTTCTCCGTGGTAGACTCAAAGTCAAAGTCGAAGCCGTCAACAACCGCGTCACCAAAAGGCCTGTCTACGCTGCTGTTGGACTGCACGGGACCAAACATGGCCCAGATCGTTTCCGCTGCCGCCACCGCAGCCGAAGAGGATGTAAAGCCGCCTTGTGTGTATGTTGCGCCGCCGATCGAGAGCACGATCGTCTTGCCGTAAGTGGACTGACATTCTTCAATGTCGGCTCTGCGAGAATAGATCAGTCTTGTGTGTCAGAGGCACCATCTTTTGCGGTATGAGCACTCGTCATTACTTACTCAATCTGTGGGCAATCCAGAAGCTCCGCATTGTCGGCAAAGCTCGAACAATTATTGCCGGCATTAGCAAAGTTAACTACCGGCGTTGTAATCTCATCCAAAAAGGCAAGCGGGATGATCTAAGGTTACTTTTTGGTCAGGGACAATCATCTTTGACAAGTTCAGTCTAGGCCGTAAACACTCACGTCAATATCGGTATCTAAAACGTGTCAGTGATGGAACTTAAAATTGCAACGTCAGTCAAAGAGCACTCTGATAGAAACTCACTGGAGCAGTAGTAGGACAACCTCTGTTGGGAGCTATCCTGGCCGTAGGAATTCTGGCCTAACAATGGAAACGTGATCAGCATATGCGAGGTACGGAGAATCCTTCGAGACAAATAGAATGTCGGTCACATCGTACCCCAATAAACTTCAATATTTGTCTTAGATGACGGGTCGAACCCTGCGTGTGCAAGGGGTAGAAGGAAGGCGACAAGTGCCGCCACTTGTGTCATGAGAGCCCTCGAGCGCGCCATTATGCAAGATTTGGTGGTACAGAATCTGTTACAGCCTCTGAGCCTCTTCAAGCACTAGTGCAATATATGGACAAGACGGTGTAACACAATCTGGAAGCGGAATGTGAAGATGAGTGTCAAGTACCGTCGTCAACTCAACTTTTTGGGTCGGAATCACGACGACACTTATATGAGAATATAATTTTGAGTCAATGGCACCACCATATGAGTCGCTTTCAACCACGCGACTATATTGGTGCCGTTACTATTTGCCCTTTACTTGTTACATTCCATCTCGTGGCACCTTCCTCTCCCTTAACAACATCCATCCTCTATACTCCAGCCAAGGTCCCACACCTACACCTCTTCTTCTCCTGATAAGCTGGTGACGAGGAAACCAGCCTGTCAGAAGAGGACTTGGGCCTTCACGAGGAGAAAACGTGCATCAAACTTGGGTCGCTGAGGGTGCCCGAAAGCTACGTTCAAATCTCAAAAGATCCCCGGACCGGACACCAATTAAACTAGATGCTGCGCTCCTATCTGAAAAAGGAGTAGCACATCAATGATGTAACGACAAAACGATGTGACTTGAGTTATGATTGTGGTGTTTTAATCAATCTACCACGTGGTATCAACCATGGTTGTCAACCTGGGAAAAGAAACCCATCTCGTGGCATCCTCATCGCTATAGCCATCCAAGTTTTTTTGCCGACTTCTTCTTTTGTCTTAATCTAGCATATCCACAACAGGACACATTGCCTGTTTATCTCTTTCCTTTTCTTCTGTTACTTCTTCTTTATCCCCCCTGCTGGCTGTCATACCCACCCAGCATGTCGGTGGTTGGCTGCAACGCTCCCTTAACCCACGCGCGCAAGGCACTACCCGATGACGGCTGCATGTCTCAACCAAAGATCGATCAGCTGTGCCATATCTCACGTGCAGGGTCTAGGCCACATTATCTGTTTTCCCCCCTGACAGCGGACGCAACTCCCATTCGGCTGCTACCGTGCTGACGACGACCCCTTACATACATGGCTTCCTCATCCGGCTAAATGGTGGGCATTCTGGTCTCATCGCTGACAAGCCTCCTGGGCAAATTAGGCGGCTCAGCGGGTAGCCTCAAGCCTTTTAAGAACCTGGGTTAAACAATCACATTTTCTCACATGTGACTTTTCCCGACTGCCTGACACGACAGGTTGCCACGGCCAAGGGAGACCACATATGAACCGGTCATATGCCACACATTGCAGCCATCTTGGACTGGAACAATTAAGTGATTGCAACAACCCAAATGTTCTTGACACGACTCAAAAATCATAAAATCTCACGGCAGGGCCAAGATTACGCGGCCGTCTGCCAGCCCAGATGTCTTCTGCGCCATCACCAGACCATCCCGACCTGACACCAACAAGGACAATTTCCTCTGTAGTCACTTTGTGATATCTATTTTTCCCCCCTTCTCACGTCCACCTGGCCCAACCAGGACGTTTTCGACCGAGAAAACCCACGGTCTCCGGCGGCTCCCACACCCGAGATTGACCCAGGCGACCTAAGCAGGTAGTCAGGCAAAGCTACCACGCCCTTCCTATTTTTGCGTGCAACGTAACGTTGCTTCTCGAATGTTGCCATGTCACAACTACTGCTGACGATTGCCATTATTACAACACACATTCTTGAGGCGGCGGCACGAGCAGTGACAATTTCACCGTCAATAGCAATTTCTGTTCGAGAACAGATGTCTGAACGCTGACTGGTCGGTCGGCAATAGCCTAATTCATGCATGTTCTCGATAATGTCGGCATGTTCACGGGTCGGAACCCTTTGGAGGGAAGGTCTCCGACCAAGCGTACCGCCAAGGTGTGATACAGGCACGTACCAGAAAGCCGAGATAGAACCTTATTCTGGTATGGTACTGTCATCAGTGAATGATTGGTGAGATGGCTATGCGCAGAATTGTCGCTTCGCAAGGGATGAAAACCTCAAGATTGGCGAGCCCCGATGGACTAAGATGAGAAATTATCTCTCATGAATGAAATCCAAGTAAGTTTGATTTGATGATTCCAGCCGGCCTGCGATCTCTTATATTATTGGTGTCTTTTCAATTTTAAATATCCGATCAGCAAGGAGCACCATGGAGCCTGGGATATAGGAACTCCAGAGGAGGGGGTTCTGTATAGGTTCCAATTTCTTGATACAGATACTGCGATCCGGATGGATGCATCTCTCCAGATGTCTTCAGCATCTCGCCATCAACTGAGAGGATAGTAGTGCGATGGTCCAAATTTGGTGACCTGTGGGGACAGATCAGCTCGTTTTGATGAAAAGGCTCTCCTTTTCCGAAGCCATGATGGACTTCTGCCAGGCCTCTCATCACCCAGCAGAACCATTCTCAGTCACCTGAAGGAAGCATTCTTGTTTTCAGCTTGTGCAATCTGTGCAGACTGAACAGCCATGGAAAGCGCTTTTGTTCGGATATGTGTGAGGCCAATTGCAGATTCATTAACATAATTCAAGCACTATTGACCAGAGACATCACTGACATCTGCTATCAGTCGGTATGACAGTGCCGAGATATGATGGAAGTCTTGACTCTCAATTAGTGTTATCACGAATCGAAAGCAATAGCAGCATCTGAAAGAGAAGAAAAATAAGAAGAATTAGAACCAATCTCCTCGGCCTCTGGTTCCATGGCAGTATTCATGCTGGCCAATTATAGTGCTCGTAAACTTGTTATGTTGATGCTCAGCCGACTATCTTTCAACCGACCACGACATTGATAGCTTGCATGGAGATGACCATCCTTCTGTTACTCAAGTATCTTTCTTTCCATAGCATCGTTTCGGATTCCGCTGAGAAGATAGAGAGGTTATGCGACAGCTAAAAAGAGTGACCACTCCCAGCTGACTGGAAACGGCTGTGGCCTATATAGCTGCGTAGACGGTCAGACTCACACGGAGGTGCACTTGAGTGAGCTTTTCGGTGCATGATCTGGTAATTTCTTCAGAATTCTGTCCTGGTACGATACACTGCCATTATCATGTCATCGGATCCGCTCCTACCCTGATAATTCCTCTCAACCATGTGCGTGAAGAACGTCCATATTACGCTCTTTCCTACACTGATACATATCGTATGTCAGCAACCAAATGCAATGATTCCATATTGGCTGGAGCAACCTCGAGGTTCCGTCTCTTTCCTATGGCCAAACCAATTTTTACCGATGGCGTTTCGAAGGACACCTCATCTTCCATCGACACCAGTGTGACGGTTGTTAGTATGTAGCCACTCGTATGAAAGCTTCGTTTCACATACTAATGTCACAGTCTACATGAAGATCATGTAAGACCTCGTGATCAAGTTCCAAACATATGACTAGGTTCAAGACTAGAAAAGAGCGAGAGACGATTGAGAAATAATTGCATCACGAGGACCGCACTTTCCTCCATGATCCAACCCATGTGTCATCACTAGCCTTCTGGATCTTATGCCCAGGTTGAGTACTTAACTCTGGGTCATGTCATTGAATTTAAAGTGGCCACAGAAGACATAGGTACCTCCAGTGCCAGCAATGCTCAAAATGGGAACTCTGTCTTCGTCGTCCATTACACAGTGACCGGCTTTGATGATTTCTTTGGGATTGCCACGCGCACAGGGCAACTCACGGGAAATTTAGCCCATTACTTTGAATAAATACATGTATGGAGACAGAAACAATTTCTTCAAATCCTTGAGCTATTGCAGGACAGCGTCGTAGGTCACCCTATGGACCCGAGATGTCACACAGTTGGTGCCATGAAATCTGGGGAGATTGGTGGCAGCAGGCAAGATGTTGGACAGTTGCACATTGCGATCCTATTTGGAAAATGATCGAGGGGGATATATTGTCACACTTTGATCGTTGTATTATTCGGTGATGAAAACCTGGCATCTTCAAGTCTATGCCGAGGACTCATGGGAAGTAAATAGTATTATACCGCCTGAATGTCGTCGAGTAGACCTCGCACCGGAACCTTCTATCTTCGACAGATTACGAGTCATATAAGGTGTTTCTTAGAGATTTTAGGGGACCGCGCCCTACAGGTGGGATTCTGGATGTATCACTGAGGCTGAAATTGCCGAGACATTCATGAATGAACAGCGACTTTGCCTTCCTAACATGAAGTCTATATTAATTACTCTAAACAATTTAGGATCAACTCAATGAATCGAAAGACGAGGACTTTTCCGGACCTGGGGAATTAAGTAAACTCAAATACTGAGGGGAAAGGTATAAGAGTAGGTCTGACACACCAGGCATATTTACAGGAAGCTTTTCTATGATAATGTCGACTATGATGAGTTGTACTTAAGTAAGCTACCTTTCCATATCAGTCTACGGCGTCCAAGTTAGAACGAAAACGGCTCTACATGTAGTGTTCTGGTGCGATGAGATGGCGTTGGCAATGTTGTATTATGTCTAAAAGCTGTTGTCGGCGCCCTCCCCTTATGTAGGCCTGGACACGATAGAGTTCTGTGCACTGCGGCATATGCTTAGGACGTCAAGCTATTTTCTTTTTAAAGTGTACCGACTCTTATGATTCAAGTATAATCATGAGCTTTGTATCAACCAAGTTGACTGTCATCAACGATAGGAGACAAATTTTGTCCTAATTACCTCATCCTAACTTATCCTATCGACAGGATCCAGTGAGCTTCCTCCTTATTTCCTACTCTATGCGCCCGAGTACCCGGTTAACACCTTCGCAGGCCTGTAGAATTCGCTCAGCACCTTACGCCGTAATCTAAACCACATCTAGAAAACTTGAAAACTTGGAAAAATTGTTGCTACCGCAGCAGTACTTCACAGATACATGTCGCTTTCTATACGAAGAACTAACAGGTGGCCCAGTGCATAAGCTTTTTCCTTCTCCTCTTTCTCCTGTGTGGCAGCAAATGTAGAGCTGTACAGGTGGATTGCCAAGGTAGATCATGGCACTGTAGCATCGCATTGACCGGCTTGGAGAAGCCGGAGGAAGCGAGCCTTGAGATAAAGAACAAGCCCGCCTTGCATGCAATCACAGTCTCGGGTTCACATGAGCAAGGGGCAAAGGTGACGCATGTGGGTATCTGTCAGGACTTCACAGCCACCGCTGTGACTCATGAGTTGTGTTCAGATCCCAACGACAGCATCATCTGAGGGTTTGAAGGTGTCGCCAGGCTGGACGCCCAGGCAACCACAAATCTATGAGGTATTACGGTGGACAGGACTTATCGCGCCTCCACAACGGCTCATACCCTCGTAAAGCACCCGTCACAGGGAAGAACGTTTTTATTCTCTGGAAAGACTACAAATCCAACACACACTGTTTCTATCACATCGATACTTCTAATGGCACGCACGCAGGCAAGCAGGGACCACCTGTCAACCCCACCCCGTCCATTTCCTGCAGCCAGCCGATCGTGATATATCACGCACGACACTCGTCATGCAAGTAGGTTACATCGTGACGAGCCAATCAGGCCAAGCAAGCAACCATGTCTACATCTGTTGATCCTCAGACGGGGGGTTGTTCCAGACCCGGCACGCACAGCCAAGTTTCAAAAGTGGATTTTGGTGGTGGGCTATGCTAACATTCTCACTCATCATCTATCACCTCACATGCAACCAGGTCATCTGATTCGACAGTGCGCAGGAGGCGTCCTGGACACATGGGGGTCCGTCCTCCGCGCACGGTAATAAGCAAACGATGTTTTGTTCCCTCCCCCCCCTCCCCCTCCCACCAGTTCTCAATAGCGAGATCCATCCTAGCCGACCTCTTCAGCAGCGGCAGCAGGGATAAGGCAAGCATTCCGCGTGAGACGGGTGTGCAGATGAGCCAAGGAAAGGGTGGTGGGGAACTTTGGAAAAAAGAGGGTGGGGTGGGTGGGTGACTTCATGAAAAGTGCTAGGTCATGTTTTGTTTGCGAGTTCTTTTTCTTCTTCTTTTCCTTCTGGTTCTTTAAAGCACAGCAGGGCTGTCAGCAGACCGTGGAGGGGGCTTGCTGACCGGGCTTGTGTGACATTCCGAGGTAGAACAGAGAGAGAAAATATCATGAGGGTCATCTTTTGCGCCCTAATGACAGCGTTCCGTAGACAGCTCAGATTTGGGACAAAACACGAGATAGGGAAGTAGGAATGGAAAAGGAAAGTACACAGTATAACAGATACAAAAAGGCAAAGATAGCGAGGGAAGAGAAATGGAAGATGGAGCTGAGATTTCCGCACAGGTGACGTATACGAGATGCGTCATGCATGCTGAGTACCTCCTCCAGTTTGTAGCACGGGGAACATCCCATGTAGTGATTGAGTAAAAGCCCGTATCCCGATTAAACGCCGTGGCGGAACCCACATTTCCTTTTTGTTTTTATTGTTGTGTATATAATAACCTAACCAACGGGCGGCAACAATTTTATTGACTTAATTTTTTTTTTTAAAAAAAAAAGGAACCAGAGAGATAACAGGTGGGGTCCAGAGATTTGCGTTAAAGTTACCATGGTATCGATGGAGAAGGTGGACGGATGATGGCGAGATTGTTCTCCCCAGATTGAGAGTGGTACGGCTTGGAGATCTGGCGGGTGGCCAGGCGAGAATATATACATAGTACCAGGTATGCATGTTGTCCATCTGCCCAGACCCTTGTGCAACTTGTGTGGGGATACGACCAATGGTCTGCACTGAAAACAAAGACGAACATGTTACCATCTTTACTCTAGACTCGATCTGATTACCATCTGGAAAGTGTCGATATGACATTCAAAAGTGTCTTCTTGGCCAAGGGGGAGGTCCAAGCAATGTGTCCATGTCTCTTTCTTTTTCTTTTTCCCCGTGTCTCGACTAAGGTATCTTTTTCTCGCGCTGACTTCTTTATCTATAGTCGAGACCTTTTTTGCGTGTGTCACTAGGTGCGCCCCGTCCCTAGGTCGACTGACCCGTCTGCGAACGAACGGAGCTTCGGATGGAGCCTAGGGGCGTTTGTAGAGGAGGTGGGGAGAAAGAGACGATTGGTTACAAACACCCACATGACGGGGCCCCTTGCCCTGGACTTGCATCGGGACGAAAAGGAGATCCACCCACCCCACAGACGCACACACTTCAAACGACCGTTGTGTGTACTTTGGTCTGTGTGTGCGTGCGTGCGTGCGTGAAAGTGCGCTTTCGGGAGACAATATGTCGACAGAGGGGTGTAGTATGTAAATTATCACTGGTAAAGTACTTGGCTATACGAGGGGGAGGGAGTGTGTGCGTATGTCGCAGATATATGTTAATTACTTGATGTACAGAGAAAAGAAAGAAAAGAAAAGGGCAAGGCAACCAGAAAAGAAAAAGAGAGAGAGAGAGAGAGAGAGAGAAGGGTGGGCATGACATTGGTCACAGCCCCCCTCCCTTCTCACAGGATGGGTGACTTGTATCACGCAGCCTGTTCGCTGCCAGGGGCTCGGGTTAGCTGGGCTGGTCCGTCGCAGTCAAAAGACAGGAATTTTTCTTCTTTCTTCTTTCGTCTTCTATCTCTTTCTCTCTCGACTTGATCAAACGCTTGACTTGCGTCGCCGTGTGGCGGACCTGACATCAAAAAGTCGGACCCTGCAGGAAGGAGGCGTGCTGTTGCTCGGCTGGCGCGCTTCGCTCTCTATGACTCCATCGTGTTTTTATCACTGTCGAAAAGTACTTGGTACTTATGGAGGGAGGGTGACATGAAAAGAGATAAGGAATAAGGAAAGAGAGGGTACGTTCTGCAATCCTGTCCTGTCCTGTCTTTCATCTTATTTGCTACATGAGGTAATAATAATTCATCATAAATGATTTCTAGAACTGCATAAATATTGCCTTGTCAAGATGCACTATAACACAAAACGAACAACCGTCTCAGAATTTTTTTGAAGAAAGTAATCTCGTTCCTATACTCATTACTATGTGAATATTGATCAATCCAAACATCAAGGTACGTACTACGTTAGGTAGGTATCTCTGTCAAAAGTTTCGCCTCTTCGTGTTCCCGTATGTTGCCTTTCATCTCCCTGCCCCTTCACTCTATCATTTCACTTGTTACACTTCCTTAAACCCCCAAAATAGAGAAGAAAAAGAAAAAGGGAAAAAGAGCAAAAAAAAAATTACACCCATCACCATGTCCTGTCTCCCCCCCCCCCCTCCCACCCTCCTCCAAAACCTCCCGCCCCTTTGAATCCCCAGCAACGCCAGAAGTAACTTTCTAACCACCTATTGTTGTTGTTGCTGTCGTTGTTCTTGCCCACTCTTCTTTCTATGTGTGTGGTCTCTCCACCTTGACCCCCTCCCCCTTGTTCCCCCCTCCTTGTCCTTTACAACCCTTGCCTCCTTCTCCTCCTCCTCCTCCTCCTCCTCCTCCTCCTCCTGATTTGATCTCATGCCCTCTGGCTGGCCACATCCCCGTATCCATAATCATACCCTCCACCACGAGAAGTACCATAAGTACCAGTCGTGTCAGATATGGAATTCATACTGTACTCCCACCTGCCAGCAGCAGCCGCCGCCTGAGCAGCCGCCTGAGCCTGTGCCTGCTGTTGATGATGGCTTGTTGTACCCTGCGCCGTCGACATGCTGTAGTGGCCACCCCCAAGGCCACCCTGCTGCTGCTGCTGCTGCTGCTGCTGCTGCTGCTGCTGCTGCTGCTGCTGCGAGGATCTTGTGGGGTCATATGTCGTGGCAGGGATGGCAGATAAGCGGAGTGCCGAGCTGGGGTTGGGCGAGGCCGTCTTGATGATACCTCCTCCGCCTCCTCCTGTGGGCGACATGGCACGGGTGCTCACGTCACGCCACGACGAGTGCATGGCCCCTGTCAGCGAGCGAGGCGAAGGGATGGTATCTGAAATGGAGCCGTGGTGCGACAGGCCTGCGCTGCTCATGTAGCCTTCTGCAGTACTTCCTGTGGTCGGGGTTGGTGGTGGCGGCACGCCGTAGGTTGTACCGACGCTGACGGGCGTCAGTAGACTTGTGTTGTTGGCCGTGTGGTTGGACTGCGAGGAAGGGTTGTTGCTTGTGGTGATCATGGACTGGTGCGAGATGGTGGACGAGGGCGAGGCGCTGTACTTTGAGATGATCTTCTTGAGGGCCGGGGCTAGGATCTTCCAGGGGAACACCTTGACGTCCTTCTCGATGTTCCTAGGCTTGGGGTTCCCAAACCCCATGATGATCTTGAAGAAGTCCTCCGACTCTGCCTTTGCCTTGCTGACCGTCAGGGGCTTGAACCCTTCGAGGTTGCGCCGGATGCGGTTCTTTTCCTCGACCGTGAACCTGTTGGGGGCCGCGACGAGCTGTTCCAGCAGGTGAATCGTGTCCACCGAGGTGACAAAACAGTCCTGCTTCTCCTCCCACCAGATGCAGCTGATGTAAATGTTGTTGGGGGGCCGATCGTTGACGGGGACCGCGCGGAACGTCGCGTTCAGCCTGTTGCCGTTCTGAGACCTCTTGAACATGACGATCCGCCTCTTGTTCTCCCACTCCTCCTCTGTCCAGCTGGTGGCCATGGTCTCCAGGTTGCCCTGGATATTCAGGACGGCCTTGTGGTGCGTCGCAAAGGGTGGGTAGCCCGATCCACCAAGCCCAAGTCCTGAACCGCTCTGAGGAAGACTTGTCGTGCGCACAAGGGTCGGTGGTCCGCCGCTGGGCATGGGCAAAGAGGGCGTCAGGCTCGGCCTCGTGATGGAGGTGTGATGATGTTGATGATGGTGAGCAGCGGCGGCGGCGGCGGCGGCGGCGGCTGCAGCAACAGCAGAGGAGGAGGAGGAGGAGGAGTATCCTGCGCTTCGACCACCATCGAGGATGCCACCTCCGCCATAGCCGCCCCAGCCTCCTCCTGCTCCTCCCGAGAAGTGATGGGGCGAGCGCAGCGAGGTAGGGCTCCTCTGGTGGTAGGGGTGGTGATGGGAAGGGTTATGGTGGTGCGCATAGTTGTTGGAGGTGCGGTAGGCGTGAAGCATCGTGTCATTACTCTGGCCGTATCCTGCGGCAGTCCCGAAATTTGTCGTCGTTGTCGTCGACTGGACAGGATTCACCTGCAACTGGGACCCTCCAGCCGAGGCCACAGCTGAAGGAGGGGGAGGATAGCCATAAGTATTTGTAGAAGGGTCCACAGCGGCAGCGGCAGCAATGTCGACATCGTGATGTTGTTGGTGGTGATGCTGCTGCTGCTGCTGGTGATGGTGATGATGATGTTGACGGTGACCCGCCAGCTCATGTGCTCCGGGAAGATGTTCAGTCGTGGTAGGGCTGGTGGTGGCGCTCGTGCGGACGGTCAGTGACGGAGGAGGACTGTTGACCTGAAGAACAGACGCCTCGTGCTCATGTGACGGCGGACTCCGGGTCGCACTCCTCCGCGTGATGGACTCGTCATGTGGACTGTTCCTCTCTCCTGCCGCTCCACCACCACCACCACTTGATACTGCTGCTTCGCCTCCCGCGTCTGTATATGTAAAGGACCCCGCCGACCCGACCCGTGCGAGCTCGTTCCCGTCTGGGCTCTCAATCACCACCGTCAGCGGCACCCGCGTTGTCGTCTGCCACCCCGTCACCATGAACGGCGGTGCCTCCGCCGTCACGCAGTACGTACAGCCCCCACCAGCATCCTGTGACTCCTTGAGGATCTGCGCTGGTGTCTTTTGGGGCGCATCGCCAAAGAGAACCCAGGCAAAGGGTGTCGTCGTCGTCAGAGACAGGAGATCGTACTGGCCTGAGATGCGCAGCGAGACTTTGGTGCCGCTGGGCCCTGCGCTGGGCTGTGTGAGCCCCTGAGACGAGAAGCCTGACGACGAGGAGGAGAGGCTGAAGCTGTAGGGACTCTGGTGGTGGCTGTTGGCCGCGACCGCTGCTGCGTTGTTGGCCACGTAGGCCAGCTGGTTCATCTGTGAGGCCGCATTTTCTGTCTGCTGCTGAAGGCTGCCCTGCGGGAGGGTCTGGGGACTGTACTGGCCATACGAAGACTCTGGAAACCCTGTGAAGTTGGCGAAAAAAAGAAGAACAAATTAATCCAAAATTCATAAAACACTCAGGAAAGGGTTTTTCTTTTCTTTCTTCTTTTTTTCTTTTTTAGGGGGGAAAAAAAAACCAAGAAAGAGGAAACCTTGCGAGATCTTGTTTACAAAATTCTGGAAAGTTTATAAACAAGCAAATGGTATACAGAAAAGAATTGCCAAGGAAAAGACACAACAAACACAACACAATGGGAGCTCTCACCGTGCATTTGGGGCGGATGAGGCTTGTATGCCGCCATAGGCAGGAGGTCCGGGGACGAGCCACCTCGCAGGTCCCCCTCTCCGCCGTTGGCACGAGCTGCTGCCTCCTCTTCGTACCGAAGAGTCACGGTATCTGGTGATTCGAGGGCCTCGGAATCGACAATGATTGGCCGTTGCGGATGATATCCCGGCTGTTTTGCATTTGTCCAAATTGTCAGCCCAAAATCCAAGCAAGAAAAGGAGGGGAAAACATAGTCAAGAGAAAAAGGGAAAGGAAAAAAAAAAAAAAAGACAGAGAGGACAAGAAAGAAAATGGACGAATCAAGCTGAGAATGGATAGACAGAATTGGAGTTTGCAGCCATTGAGTAGCGGTTTCGGAATATACAGAAAGATAAATTACATCGCATCATAATATCTTTAAAGATGGAGGGGTGGGCTTGCAGGGCTACGGGGGGGAGGGGGGTTCAGGACAGGGCAACGGTTCTGTCACACTTACCTCAAACAGTTTGTACAATGGCTGGTCCAGCTTGAGAGCAGACATTCAGGCCGTCGTTCGCAGGGTGTGCCAGTAAAGCAAGAAAAAGGACAGATGGATCGGTGGTTGGATTGGTTTGGCAGATTGGTTGATTGATAGGAAGAGAGGATTGAAGGTTGTAGCAGATGAGGTCAGAGCTGCTAGACACGGCTGTTTCAGGAAGAAGGAGGTGAACCGTGATGGCGGGTAAAAGAATACCGTCAGGGTAGTATGGGGGGAGCAGAGTAGGGAGAGTAAGAAGAAGAAGGGACAGAAAGAGTAGGTAAGAAAGAAGGGTGGTAGGGTAGTAAGTAGTAAGGTAGTAAGAGTTAAGAGTAAATGCCAAGATGGTATGATATGGCGGTAAATGGTACGGCGAGGTCGGATGGATGGAGTCCTGCGTGTGATGCAAGTGTGTAAGCTTGACCTGTCCGATCTGATCTTGATTAAACCCCAGTGACAGGAAGATGTCTCTGATCAATCAGGCCCCTTGCTCTTCCTCTCCTCCTCCTGTTATAATGCTGACCTGGGAAGCTACCTTCCTCTTTTTCTCTCTTTCCTCTTCCTTTTATTGTGGGGGGAGAGGGGGGGGGGTGTTTGAAGGGGTGGTGTGGGAGATCGACGCAAGGGAGGAGGCTGAAGCAAAGAGCTGAACGCCGTAGCCACTTTTTGCTTTTTTGTCACTCCCACCTCGGGGCAAGCCACCCCAGGAAAATCACACTACCACAAGTGTGTGATGAGAAATCTTTGGAGTAGGCGGGAAAGAGGGAGGGGGGAGGGGGTGAGGAGTTTGTGTGACCTCAGAATCGAGCAGTGGGTTTATGAATGTTTATGCATGCCCTGATGATCGAATTCTTTGGCTCGGATGGTGAACTATCGTATCTCATCAAACAAAAGAATCTCGCAACGGCATGTGAAAATGTGATATGTCTGCCCCATTCCGGTCGTGTGTATGTGTGTGCGTGTGCTTGTGTGTGTGACTTTTTAGAGAGAGGGGGAAGAAACTTGAAAGGGGGGGGGTTAGAAGGGGGCCAACTGCCAGCTTAAGACCCGGCCCAGAGGTCTTTGACCGGTGTATCTGCAGCACAAGACTCAGACAGAGGTTCTGTCCCCCAACCGTCGGCCTTTAAACCGAAAAAAAGGCATTCAACATTCCCAAGATGAGCTGGGAGTGAAGGGTCTCGGCAGTAGGATGATGCAATTCCAAACTGGCTCGTAGCTTTGTTGAAAGCAATGGGAATCATCAAAGGAGGAAAATATGAGACCACACATGTCACTGACCTGTTGAGAAGAAGAAGGAAAGTAAGGGAAAAAAGTCGGTCAGCACATGCTGCATGATATGGTGGTCTCCATGGAGGGGGTTGGTTCTTTGCGAGGAAGGGATGAGGGATCAGGACTACTACTGTGCGACTTGCCAACCACGCCACCAAAGATCGACAGGTGACATGATTGGCCGCAGGTAGAATTTCCTGCTGCACTTGATCTCTCGACAGAGAGAAAAAGAGAGAGAAGAAAAACAGGAGGAGGCTGAATTTTGGGTAGATGTGTTCCATTCTCCTTTTCTTGAGATAGATTTGATAACTTACCTTGAATGAGAGGGTTTTTTTTTTTAATATAAAATTTGTTTTTGATATGGTCGAGACCAGAAATTCTGGGCTAAGAGACACAGAGCCAGCCTGATACTACCACCAAGTTGAGCTGTAAGTGGACGACAAGCAGAGAGAGACGTAGAGCTCGATTCAAGTGTGGAGCCCCCAGGAAGATTCGGTCTCATGCGGCTTTCCCGAACGTGTTCGCATGGGCGAGTGTCATGGCAGGAACTGCTGCAATCATCAAAGAAAACTCCGTGGTGGCCAGGCTTCGAACTACAGCGGGTAGCCGTGGACAGTTCATCCGCGTCTTGTCCGAGAACCCGCAATGATCGAGAGAGAACGGGGGGGGGGGGGCAGAAAATGCCTGGGATGGTGGGGGTGAGGGAAACAAAGACGGATGCGGAAGAAGGGGGGGGGAGGAAACGCCGAAAAGGAAGAATAATTATACGAGACAAGGTCGAAACACCACGTTCGACAAGAAAGAATGGAGGATGAAGTTTCTCTGGGGAAAGGAAAGAAGGGGAGACACCAAAAAAAAAAAAAAAAGGTGATGAGTGAAAGAAGAGTGAAGTGAGGAATTAGAGACGGGTAAGTAGATGGAGATGGTTCAGAAAAGTAAGACGTATGTCGCGCATGCTTAGTACGTTTAGTACATACGCAAGAGATAGAGAGAGAAAGAAAAAGAGAGAGGCCTCTCTGGGCAAGGGGAGGTGGAAAATAGGGGACTAAGAAAGAAAGCGTGGCACACAACCTTGGCTGGGCAGGAAAGGGAGGAATAAGGACGACACTGTACATTTCTCAACACGGTCGGATCGCGACGTGCGGATTACGTCCAGTGGGGTCTGGCAGACCAAGGAGTGGCAACGAGCACAGGTGTAGCGCGTGGACATCAGAGACATGACCGGTCCAGCCCTGGCCATTCCTCCCTAGCTGGCGGTACTAGAGCTCTCCCTACCTGTGCAAAGTACGGGGAGGGGGAAGATAGGGGACGAGGATGGCATGTACTTGTTGACTGGTGAAGAGTACCGTACATACACAGGGTACCTCTATGTAAAAGAAAATGAAAGAAAGAAAGGGGAAATAGAGAGAGGGAGGAGAATGGCAGGCTGACAAGCCCGGTGTGAACCTAGAGCGCAAAGAGGGAGCCAGGCTTGAAAGAGAATCGGTGGAGCTTCGGCAGTGTCATGGACCCTAGAGCAGCAAAAAGAGAGAGAAAGAAGAGAGACATGGAGTTGTATAGGGTAGGGTGTGCTCTGGGGTCTTCATGAAAAAAAGAAAAAAAAATTAGAGAGAGGGAGGGGGAGGGTCTGGGAGCAGACCGGGATGACGAAGG